GTGTAAGATCATTGTGAGGACAGTGGACTTCGCTAGTTGACCCAGAGTCCTTGCTGAACTGAACAACATCCGCACGTTTGCTAACGCCACTATCCTCATTCGAAGAAGACATGCCGTTTTCGACAGGCTGCGACTTCCTCGCATCTGCAGATCTGAACGACCGGAGTGACTGGATATTAGTCCAGGCAAGTTTCACAAGAGGCCTAAGAGTTGCCATGCAACCAGCCATGATCCCAGCCCCCGGTTCGATCGTCGACCATATCGAGATATTTGTAGCGTTCCCTATGAACAGAATCAGCAACTCGAAGGATAGTGCTAAGATTCACTCACAAAAGAAGTCTTCGATCTGAGTCAACCCATCTACATAACGAAAACGGATGGCAGAGCACACACAGCCGCTATACTCTTAGTTGGGGCAGAGGGGTCAGACGGTTATCTTACAGTGCAGCCAGCGAGAGAATGAAGCCTATGGAGAATTTCGATTTCCCGCTCATGTTGGTGTTCCAAAGCAAGGGTACCGGCAACACCACAAACACACAATCCGTCGAGAAAGCAAATGCCGCATGTTGATATGCGAAGAAGCGGTCTAGTCCTCTCGGTGCGCATAGGTTGCTTAGCTGCCGCATCACATAGTGATCGAGATTCGTACCGCATCTGAAAAGACAATAGAAGAACGATGCCGATGCCGAAACGCAACTGATGGTGACTGTGACGTATATGACGGTAAGGTGCCAGTGCTTGACTACAATGCGAGCGAAGAAGATGCTGACAGAGATCTTAAGCATCATTACTGTCGCGATGTATGTTGCTTCACTAGCGACAGCTCGCTGTGCGGATTAGTTTACACTTCATCTGTCACAAAGAAAATGCAACACCTCCCTTGGTAAGATCGCTCAGCTGATTCACGCTAGTGACATGGGTTCCGCCGCCATGTGCTTCGATGTAAAGAATACAAGCGCAGTATGATGTGAAAATCATCTATCTTCAAGTAAGCGCGGATATTGGGACGTGGCGATGGTCATACTCCGGCAAATATCATAGTCATATCATCCCATCCAAAGCTCGGTCTCACATACTTTCGTGTGTAGGTACGTAGGGCGATGGAGAACCATGATAGAGTAAGAAGAGCAATAGTGATGCTTTCGAGCTGCTCGCCACGTCTTGCGAAACTTTCAGGATCGTGAAATGCCATTCAGTAATAAGTGGGAGGGCCAACACTTGCAAGCCCCGCCAAATTGAAAAATTGTTTCGAAATTTTCTTTAGACAGTATGCTCGAAAGATTGCAGAACTTCGCTGCGGCTACCGACATGACATACCGTAATCCTGATGCATAGCCATTTGCCGTACAGTGATACAGCAGACGACCCACACCGCTCCCTACCACTGTCGTTGTCAAATTTTCAATACAGGTAGTGATGGGTACCGCAAAGGAAGGCTTTCGTGCCTATCTGGGAAAGGTTACAGTGGTACAGCATGAATCGGCTAGGGGTAGGCGCTGCTAACGCAGAAAGCGATGTTGCATGTCGTACTAAAAAGCAAGGAAATAATCGAGAAGATGATGGCGCCTCACTCGAGCGCTTTCCGAGCAGGTCTTGTGGCGCGTGGCCAATACCGCCGAGAGCGACATTTGCTCCAAGTCTCGGGTAAAGATCACTCGAGAGTCTTGGATGGTACCATTCTACTCTATGCGATAACAAGTTATCGGAGGAGAGAGAACGAAGAAGCGCAGAGTCCTGAACCCGGCGATGTGGGTCAGCCGACCGTACCTAGCGCTTTCCTCTCCCTAACACGGACCGCCGATCTGAGATTATTATTCTCTTGTACATTGATCGGGATTTGATCGCTTCCGGCGCTCGAATTTGACTTCCAACGGTAGTTTCGACGCTGCCGATTCTCCGTGCTTTCGACATGTAGCACTGCAAGATGTCGTCGTCGTACACGCAAGATAAATGAATATGGGTATTTCACGCCCAGTCTGTGCGCTGATAGTGTCTGTATCCGATGTTTGAACATAATGATGGCATGAAGTTACAAGCCAAAGACGCAGCAACTCCCAGAAAGACCGATTCGTGGAGGTAAAGATCGTATCGGACCTAGGGATTGGGACAAGTCGAAACCTGGCTCACTTTGAGTATTGACTGACTAGTATCAATCGAAATACTAGTGACCGAAAACCGTCTCACAGCAGCTTTTATTGCATATACCGCGCTCCATTCCCCATAGAATACATTCCATAAATACAGCCCGAACGATCATCAACAACCTTTATCGATAATTGCTTCATGCGGTGAACATCCGAGCCGGTCTCTGATAATCAACCGTAGGCAGATCCTCAGGAGGCCTAATTACATCAACCGTCAACCTAGTGGAACCTTTCCTCACTACGCGGTCTTGTGAAGTTGTCACATTCTACCGTAACTGAACAGGACTACACTCAGAAGAAGAGAATTCAAGTCAACGCATTGTTTAGTGCGACTGCTGAGACGCAATGATGTATTCGTAGCGCGGATTCTATGTACCGTAAGCAGTGAATCAAATACTGAGAGAGGTATAGGTACCTGAGGAAGGGCTGCATACGGCATGGCCAATCATGACGACGGTTTTGTGTTTCTGGAGGAAATACAAAGCGGACTTTCATACTGCTGTTACGTTTGGGTCTTTGTGAGTGATCCATTGTCAAGCACGAATTTCACTAATGGTATTCCTATGGGAAAGCCATGGCTGGCTGGTTGCAGCACACTATCTACCTGTAGCAATGTTACTAGCTAGGGGGAGTATGAGCTGCCGCGGGCTGTCCGAATCCTCATGGCTATGTAAGTGGCTGTTTGAGTATTGGCGTCCTATCATAGATACACGTATAGTGCTCTATGGGTAATCAGGTGTTGTTACATACTCTCTTGTCACACTTGCTGTCGTTATATGCTGCTCGCACGGTATTGCCACAACAACAAAAGCAATGCTTGATCGGCTGGTATGTGTACAAGATGTAGGAGGATAGAAGTGAGGTGGGCGATACAGAGTTTGACTGCGCTCAGTGCTATTAAGCAGCTACATTGCGTACCATAGTTCCATCCCAGGCATCACCACTTAATAGAACACTGACAAGTCACACGAAAGCTATTCCCATGAACGTTGCCTAACAGCACGTGATCAAAAATGGCGAAAGAAGTGATGGCCGGTTGCACACAATGAAAATGAAGGCCTACCTGGGCCTAGCTCGATATCGCAGACCTATCAACGGGTGTGGGTGGACTAACCTTCTTCAATTTCCAGTGACCCGCTATAATAAGCATAGTCGTTGGTATTGGCCACATTGTTCATCTTCTACGCTTTTTCCGCTCGATCCGAGTTATCAGTGCTTTGCGCAAAGAATGTGCCACCTTCCACAGCGCTAGGATAAGAAATTCGTGAGTTTTTAGCCAATGTAGTTACTACAAGGAGTAAATTATTAGCTTATTTACCATAGTACGCTTATTTTAACAGTTTAATACTCTATTTTAGGCTCTACCATGCCTAAAAGATGAGCTTAACAAGATCTATCTAATGCTTTACTCCTTATAGTCACTATATTAGTTGCACTTCTGATTCCAGCGCTGTGGGAGGTGGCACATTCTTTTTGAAAATGATAATATACCAAAAGGCGTTCACTTACGAAGCTGACCTTTCCAGATTCGGATTGAGCATGTCTACATTCGCCCCAATCTCAATCGGACCGACCATCATTAGTATAGCAAACACACTCTGGTGGGATCAACTCGATGAGACGCTACGTCTCCTGCAGCCCTACATATCGATGTCTCAATCGCCTACACCTGTTCGTTCCGGAGCAGGCCTGACATATCGCTCGAAAACCTGGATGGGAGCCGCCATCAAAGCTGCTCGACACAGACATTGGATCTTGTTCTTGGTCGCTCTTGGAAGCACACTCTGCCAAGTGCTAACGGTTTCCATGTACGCCTTATTTGAACGACGAGCCGATGCTGTTTCACAACAAGTGTCACTGAATAGAACGCTAGAGGCTCGGCAATGTCCCGTAATTACCACTATCAACACTCCTGCGTATAGCCACGATGTAAACCCTTATGTAGAGGATCTTAAACATCCTGACTTGGTAAAGAATACTCTCTACCAAAGCAAGTCGCTTGACATGTTACGGCTGCGGTGTACCTGCAGGCCGATGAGCCTCTGATTCTTCCATTGCATGTCCATAGGCTGACTTCTTTCCAAACAAGATCATGCAGACAGTTGGCTGTACGGCGCCATCGTCGAACTGTCGTTGGGTGGCCCTAAACTAGCGTGGACGACTGATGAATGGAACTTTGTACCTGTTGACCTTTCCGACATCCCAGATCACGTACCTCATCAGGCTGCGGGAGGGTTTTCAAGTTCCACCAACGTCACCCTTGAGACCACAGCGATGAGAGCCTGGCTTGCCTGTAAGCAGATTGAACAGGTCGCAAATACGTCAACCTGGCTTGATAAGACGTCCCCGGATGATATTCCAACCCTCGGACGCGACTCAAACATTACCGGACTTTCCGACGGCTACGTTCTGCCCACATCTCATGTTCAAGGATACCCCTTCGAGCACAGGTGTGGTCAGTGCTGCGAGTGTTATTCAGTGCTGCAGCAACGACACAGATTCTGACCCGCAGAAGCAGTCATAGGCCACTGGTCCCTTTTAACAAAAACTGGACGCGGCCCACTGCTGTTTGTAACCAAATGGATTGTCGGAAATCCGAGGAGCTTTTATGCTCTGGGGGGCGAGAACACCCTATTTTACGAAGATCGTCCATCGTTACAAGCTGCGCTCTGCACGCCCGTCATTGAGACAGCGGGGTCTAAAGTACAAATCGATCAAGACACGAAACTGGTGCATTCGTACGAGCTTACAACCGCGCCCAAGCCGGTGGATTCCGCGTAGTCAGATGTATATGTCCGCCACGAGATTTCAGATGCTCACAAGCACTTCAACAGAAATTATAGTGGCGAACTCAACATGAAAACATCCTTCGGTATCCTGTTCCTTGATGCCATAGTTGGTGCTGCTGGTCGAGCCACGAGCACTGCTCTGGAAGACCTGACAGCCGACGCATTCCACGTTCGCGAAGCCGGCATTGGAGAGAACATGGATCTAATGACGTACTCGATGTACCACCTAGTGCAAAGAGATTCGGGAGCTCTGCTTAACTACACGACTCCTGTCACTCACGCCAACCACACGTTGCAGACCTTTTTCCAGCACTTCGTCAACAACAGCTTGTCAATGATGGAGAGTAACTGGGGTTATGAGAAGATCGGAGATGGGGGCCACTATGATCTTGGAAGAGCTGTAGACGGAAACGGCACGACAATGTCAGGAAGACAGTACTCTGCAAGTGAGAGCAATCGAACCGTAGCTGCGACAGTGTCGAATCGTATCCAAGTTTTACACTTGAACGCAACGGCGACATAGCTCTCGGTTGGAATTGTCGCCTGGCTCATAGCCACAGCGGCAGTTGTAGCATGCGTCCAGCGGAGATATACAAGCTCTATGTTGCGCAACGTCGAGTTGTTAGCGGACGTGCTGGTGCTCATAGCAGGCAGCGAGAATCTGCTGTCTCTAGTACAGAAAAGAGGGCTGGATTTGAAGCGCGATACAGAAGTTAAGACAATGCTGGGATGGTTCAAAGGTCGTGACGGAGTAGTCAGACGGGGTATGGAAGTGGTAGGCGGCAGAGATGCGGTGGAGTGGGTCTCGGCACCTCAAAAAGATTTTGTATACACTAAGTAGGCATCACCTACTGTCCTTGGCACCTCTAGACCAAAGCGCATCAGTCAAGGCACCCATCCTCAGGAAGATGTAATGGCTGGAGCGATGTGTTCAGATGTTGTGCTAATTGAAACTGCCCCACGTGAGGTATTCGGGTCGTGCTTGCCCTACGCAGGAGCGTCCCGACAGATTCGCAACCAACTTCACAACCTCGATCCTTATGCCACATGGCGCAAGCTATCGCCACGACAGCAACCACGGCTCGCCGTCCCACAAGAAGCCTGCCGGCTGCGACAGGTAATGAAAGTGTTCGCGTCTTGGTCGCTCGCCTAGGCCGACGGTCGTTGGGAGGCCACGACAGTCCCACGTCAGCACACGCGCCGTGTCGCTGCAACAACATGACGCCCCAAGGGACGGTGGTGACGACGGCGACCAAGAAGACGCCCCAGCAAGCGAATTCCATGTACGCGACAGCCTGATTGAATTCATGTTGCCTTCATCTTGCGAAGGGCCCGGCTGTCGGCCATGGGAAATTACTTGTGGACAAAGTTTTTCTCACTTGGCAGGGCCCGCGAAAATTACCTCGACACCTTGCCACGCCTGATTGCACACGAAGGCAAGAACAGCGACCAAGGCGAGGCCCCTTTCCAAGCCGGCCCAGGACCCCAGACCGCCCGCGTAGGAGCCATGTCAGTCTCGCCAAGGGGCCTCATTTCGGCGCAAGGCTGTCAATCGAAGACCATGGTACGAGCGCCGATGCGAACATTGCCAGTGTCTCATCAGCAAACTCGGCGTCTGCCTCTGGGATCAGCTTCTGCTGTGTCGTCGCAGTGCAACGACAGGCTTCGCCGGGTGTGCGGTGAGAGCCAGAATAGAAAAGGGCAGTCTTGCGCTGCGGGCTGATGGCCATGGTCTGACTCCCGGTCGTCGTCTACTCCTTTTCTAGCACTTATCCGGCACGGGGTCGCCTTTGCGTCGACCAGTCGCGTGCGCCCGCGGCTGCCGATCAGGCACGACGCTCGCCCGATTGGCGTGGGCCTGCTTCGTCTGTTTTACGCTATCCTCGTAGCGGCTGCACACTTCATCCATGCAGCGTCTCCGGACCGCCACAACGCCTGGCAAGGATCTAAACAAACCCGCGCCCTGAGCGGCCATTCGTCTCATGGCGGGCGGGTCGCTGACCAGGTGTGGTATGGCTGCGTCTGCCATGCAGCCGTCTCTTATTAAAGCTGCCTCCCCCAGCAAACCCCCGATTTTCTTCCTACCGCACCAAGCAGGACCTCGTCTCTCGTTGTCGCTGAATAGCTTCACTCCTTCAGCTATCGGCAGTCGCTCTTTCATCGCCATTCTTACGACTCCCAGCATCTTTGTATAACCTCCCACCGGTCCATCATTCACAATGAAGTCCTTTATTGCTACCGCTGCGCTCGTCGCTACCACTGCCGCATCCAACGTCGCTGAGCGTGGCGCAGGAGTCTACAACTTCATGGCACAATGCAACGTCAACGAGCCTAAGGTCAAGGTCGTCAACCGCTGCTCCTATCCCGTGTACCTCTGGTCGATTGACAAGCAGTATGGCTGCCCTGACGGCTCGGGTTTCGAATTGAAGACTGGCGATCTGTACCAGGAGAACTTCCAGGACGGAACCGACGGCGGCATCTCTATCAAGCTCTCCAAGTTCGAGACATGCGGTGGAAAGGATATCACCCAGTTGGAATACAAGATCGAGAAGGCGAACGCAGCGTTCCAAGGAAACTACCTTGACATGTCTTTCGTCGACTGCACTGGCAACTTGGAGGACTGTCCCGGCCGTACGGATGGTTTCTATCTGAAGGCTGGAAACCAAAATGGCCTCTTCAAATCCGCAGTCAACAATGAGCACTGCCCCATCTTCAATGTTTACAACGCTGAGGAGGCCGCGAAGGTGTCCTACATCAACTGGGACGATCCTCAGACCAAGTGGTGCGATGTGACCGCCGATTTGGACCTCTACCTTTGCGGTGGCGACGCCCCCGGCGACGATGACAGCTCTTCCGCTGCACCCGTCTCCTCGACTGCACCCGTCTCGTCGGCTGCACCCTCGAGCGAAATTGAGAGCAGCAGCGCCGCTCCCACCACCACCAGCAGCAGCAGCTCGTCTGAGGAGGCTCCCGCTCCTTCCTCAACGGAGGATGCGTACGTTGTCGCTGCCGCCGCCGCCGTTACTGAGGCTCCCGTCGCTTCCTCTGCTCCCGTCGTCAAGACTGAGGTTGTCTATGTCACCGAATTCGTCAACAGGAGGCACGCACACGGCCGCCGCCATCAGCACTTCCACGCATAAGCTACACTGCACCATGTGTTCTATGTCAGCTTAATGTTTTGGTCCATCGCGACGGGCATGCCGAGTTTGAAGATACCATTTTCGCAAAGTTTTTCGACTGGGGAGGAAGAGATGGAGATTTACATCCCATGTAATGTCGGTAGTCAGCGTCGCAGGCAAATTCAGTCTTATACCTACATTCTTATCGACGCGCTTCCGGTGTTGCACTGTGCTTTTGTTCGCTTTGCGCTTCGCTTCGCTCTTCGACCTGTCGCCTTGCTTGTCTTCGGCATGCTCTAGTGGCTCTGGAAGCGGATGGAGTTTCGGTCAATACCCCTCACGACTGTCATGACGATAACCCTCATCGGCGCGCTTGAACACAGTATCGTTCTGTTCAATTCACTCGTAGGTTTTGAGACGGACGGCTTGAAATGTACACAGCGTCGTCGGCTTGGAGCACACCCGTACCATTATTGTCTAGTATTCTTTCGTAGTTATCTTTCCGCTGTCAATAGACGTTCTGTTCGCTCATCGGTCGCACACGCGTGATGCATCGTGACTCGTCACCGCAAACGAAAGCGTAATCTCCCGTGCGACTCGAGCGCGTGGCCCTGGCGAACAAGGCACCGAAGCACGCACGCATGCGCGTGCTCCGAGGCCCCTTTCTAGCCGCCTGTCCACGCGGCTCGTGCGACTACTTTCACGACAATCGCAACGTCGACTTGGGCTCACCATCTTCTCGTTGCACGACGCGACGTCAGAGCAGACTCCATGTTCGAAACATGTTTCTTACGCTTATCTTACTAGGCCACGAGCGTGCGCCGGCGCACCCGCACACCGCAACAGCCGCCGCAACGTGACAGAAGGTCATGTGATGCGCAGCGAACCTCCTTGGAAACGAGTCTCCATGCGCGGAAATTGCGGCGTTGTTGGAGCAACACACACGATGGGGGGCGACGGGCAATTAAGCTTTGGGGATCGCTGAGGTGCATGCGCGATCGGCGGGGACGGTCGTATCGATTCATTTTGCATGCTCGTCTGCGAGGGGACGGCGTCTGGACTCTACAGTGTGTGCATTGTGAAGGCCACCGTCGAGCTCGTGTGCAGTCGCGGCGACAGACCCGCAGAGAAGGTCTGCGCTCGCCCACTTGCGCGGCGCGCGAATGCATGCTGTGCGTCGCGGCTCGGCACGATTTCTGGTGCTCACCTGCGCATGTAGGATGCAGTAGTCCGCGCTGGCGTACCGCCGCCGCGAGACGCAGGGCAGGACGCTGTGGCATCGTAGTCTAGTACCACAACAGTCTTTTGCAATGCTTTCGCAATCTTCTGCTGCTGATCATCTTCTCTTTGCAAAGCATAAAGTCGAGCGTGATAGCACCGGATATGTGGTCGAAGTCGACCATGTCTACCGTGGTTGAGCCTCGCTATGGTTTCCTCGTGGACATTGTGCCATCCACGGTTCTCGGGCGCGTCGCTCGTTGCCGGCCTTGTGGAAGACACGCCGTGTGAACCCTGGTTCTGCTGCTGCGCTTCCATCTCGCGGCAATTGAGTGGGTGACGATGGCCGTGAGCGGAGGTGGAGAAGCCGCGAGAGAGACTTCCCTTTTGCCTTTCACCGGTGTCATTGTGCAATTTTGTTTTCTGGTCTGTTCAGGTAGGTCTGGATCATCGACTCTGAACTGGGGCAACGCGCTGCAAGTGCGCATTGTGTGAGACCCCACCGCACTGGTCCCTCGATGGTGCTCTCGCGTGATTGAGTTCCTATTTTCAGCTGCTCTGCTTAAGCAAGGCACGTTGATTACATTCGCTGTCTCCGGGATCCTGGCTATAGGCATCCGGATGAACTCCTGGCTGAAAGCGACGATCCATGAACCTGGATATGAATAGTACCATATTGTGTCGCTACATGTCTGATAAGGACGAAAGGGTGAGCGGTACTAACGTACCTGTATGGGCGGTAGTAAGAATTGCGACAGGTAATTAAGACTTTGACCGATGCGCTTGGTGATGTGTATTGCGGTTGTGGATAGTGACAAGTCGTGTGAAGATGAGTGGCATATTAGCTCTTGAGGTTCCGTGCCTGGAAGTCACCTTGGCAACTTATTTTGGTAGAGATCAAGGGCACTCGCGCTTCATTTTACACGTCATTGCAGAGGTAATCGATCGCACTTGCGTACGGACGGTTATTCATGAAAGCAAACACCATCATAGCCTGGGGTATTCAGATAGCTGCTTTGGTGACCCTATCTAGTATGAGTAGGATCTGAAGTTGATGCGTTCGAAAAGTATCTCTCAAGCATGAATCGACATATGAACAAGGACGAGACTGTCCTCTTCAAAAGGGTACAAAAGTGGTCGAGGCCAGATAACAAAAGGTCAACTTGTACGTGTTTGTATCGTTGAGCTCACAGCGCTTACCCTGCACGGCACCTCGAAACCTTGCATTGCGCCTAGTTAGGAGCCGTGAAGAAGGACATCTCTTCGATCAACCCGCGTTTCACGCTGGCCACTACGTGAGGTGCGGAGAGGAGTGATTGGAAAATATTGTTCATGTGAAACGCCATAAAAGAGTGGGTTCTTCCATGTTTCTCAATGAGCTAGGGATCAAATCCCTCTTAGTTGTCAGCCATAAGGATACGACCAAAAGACGATGTAGTACCAATGATAGCACAAGATTGATATGCTAGCCACAGATGGAACAAATGGTATCATTCCAACAACAAACCATACAAAGCCCACCGGTATTGACCTCGTACTCCCACCTCCTTATTTTTTTTTCATCTCAAGACACACAACACTACCTCAGCCTCTGCTGCCCTCCACCATCCAACTCCACAGAAAAAGGCCTCTCTCCATTGCCCACACTCGGCGGCTTCCCCTCCCCACCCATAGAATACGCCTGTACGCTCTGCGGCGGCGGCGGGCTCTGGCTCGGACTAGGTCCCATGTACACCTGCTGCCTCTGAACCAGAACCGACTGCCACTGCTCCCCATACGGAGTCGGCGGAGAAACCGACTGCGGCGGAGAAGCATCCCAGCTCTGGTGCGAGCTCACGCCGGCAGGGAGCGAGTTAGGCACCTACGACTGCGCCGGTGATCCAGGCTTTGCTTTTGCTCTTTGAGGGTTTGGCGATGGGAGTGGAGTCAGAGGTTGAGGTTGCGGAATCGATGTCAGCTGCGTCTGTAGTGTCTGCTGATGCGGATCGGGTAGTAGTGGATGAGGAAGTCGAGGACTCTGTTGAGGAGGTAAGTGCAAGGTTCCATGATGCGTGGGGCAAATTTGACATACCGGAGGACGAAGACGACGTTGACTCGGGTGGTCTCACTCTGTGTTATCTGGTTATCGAGGTAACATTAGCGCATGTGGTGTGGACAACCTGCATCAAGATCACCCACGTCCACCTCGAAGCACTTGCAACGCAAAAACGTTGGTCATTGGATCAAAATGCGCAGTGCTCTCATACATCAGACCTGTATCACGCAATGAGCATGACGTAGCATTAGGGTCGTCACCGTACACTTCCGAACTACACAGACAAGTCAATTTAACACTTTCTACTGCCTGTGATCGAAGAGGTTGTACCATGCACGTGTGGTAAAACTAAGTGAGCCAGAGCTGCGGAGCGAGTAGACCAAGCTTCCTGCAACGCATCCTACCGGGACATTGCAACCGTCAAGTGTGGTTGCGCAACACCTCCAGTATTCATCGCTTTGAAAGTATGTGCCGCCGATTTCGCATGTACGGCTAGTCCAGCCTCCTTCTACAAAGATCCAACCTATGAGACGGCCTTCGACTACTTGCTTCATGAATAACAGCTCGGGAGGAACATCTGGTTCTCTGGTGATCGTTGGGCCGGCTGCGTGCGTGGCTGTCAGAAGTTCCGCCAGGCTGCAGCTCGGAAACAGCGCAGAGCTCGCGAAGATGCGTCCGAGCATGTTAGGTTGGTGTGGCGTTCACTAGGATGCAGGGAAAACTCACATTAAAACAGAACTTCCGAAGTCACGGACGCAGTAAGAGAAGGAAGCGAGCTGAACGAAGCTCAGCTGTGAAGCTTACAGAATCTACAACGACCCTACTGTTATTTACCAAGTGTGATGTACGTACCGTACCGCAGTGGCACAGCGAGAGCCTTAAAACCTTGTAACTGTGTCCGAGGTATCGATTCCATTCCCACGAGCTTCGTTGTCGGCGAATCGGAAAGTGTGCGAGGCGAGTCTGCATGTAGCCAATGGGCTGACTTTGCTTGGACGGGCGAAGTGGCTTCGTATTTAAGTGGCATGGTCAACCAACACGACATCGCCGTGGCACCGATGTGTAGTTGGGTAGGAAATGCGTGCTGTACCGAGACCGCATTACTTGTTTTTGAGTGTCGTGGCGTGAGAATGTGCGTGAAAGCTTGAGCTGTGGAGGGGGAACTGACGAGACGTGCCGTCGCTGTCCATCGAATGAGTAATACAGGTGTTCAAAAAAATTGGGTTTGGGTATTAGTGTACTAAGACAAGACGCACCGACAGAAAGGACGTGGGAGATGACTGGGCAAACGAAATGTTTTCTACTATTATATGTATGTGGTGAATAGCGATGCGTATTCCTAGTCGACACTCACCGCTTCGTCCATACTCCAAGTACGTGCAACCTCCTAATGCTTTGGACGCTGTCAGTCCACCTTGGGTCAAGGACCTCGTTTGGCTCGCAAGATTAATGGCCGAGCTAAGCACCTGTCTGTATAGCCTGGTGAGTATTGAAGACTGCTGAGTACTCCAATCCAGATTCTGTGCGGCTGACTCTGGTGCTTGCTGCAGGTATATCAAGAAGCCATAATGCAGCGTTCGTCGGGAGAAGAATCATTCCGATCCGGATTAGATGGATTCCATCTTGCCGCTCGCGCATGCATGCCCCAACCGCACCCTACAGATGCAGGTCCTTCGCCATTTCGTACAAATTCTTCTCGCAAAAATTTAGCCTTCGCAATCCTAGACCTTTGACGTTACAGCCTGTGACTGCCACTCTTCCACCACTGGCACAAGGGCAACTGCGGTGGCGTATTTCGCATCATGACTTATGCTCACTTCGCATAGCTGACCATCAAGGGAAGTATAGTCGAAGTCTGCTGCACCAGCCATCGTCTTTTCGAGGTCGATCTGCGATAGCTCGGGGAGGCGGTCGCGCAGGACTAGGGCTTGCGGGCGGGAGGACGCTCCTGGCGATAGTTTCGGCAATGCGGTCTCAGGCAGGATAATGATTGAGTGGAAACCGTTGGAGTGGCCGAGATGTTCGCAAGCTTTGCGAACGGCTTCTTTCGCTGCCCACCTGTACATTGTAAGTACATAGAGGACAGGCCAGGAAAAGTGATTGTCCTACCTGCCGGCGAGATAATGCGACACCTTTTTAAGACTCGGAGAACTCTCGTCACCCTCTCTATGCTGGTCCTCTTGAAAACGGTGGTAAAAATACAATTGCTCGGGCCATGTCAACAGCTTAGACACGAACCGCTTGAGCGGCGTGCGTTGAGGCGGCAGGCCCTTCGGATCATGAGCAATCTTGCTGGGGACCTTGTCGCTCAACCTGAGGAGATTGTGAATGCGCCCAATGCTACATATGTCGTTTCCTACGCGGAAGGGGAACGGAAAAGGTCGTGGAGGCATAGCGACATGGAGAGCTTCACCCTGGAGCTTTCGCTAGAAGAAAGCAGTTAGGTAAGCGGAGCCTTCTTAGCATGACGCGCCTCGGCCACGCGAACGTGCCACGAAGGCATCGGATGCATGTGAGCTCAGCGAGCAGCCAACCTACTGAGTGCTCTTGATAATCTGGGGTTCTTCCGCATTTCTCGTCACTGGATGCGCTTTTTGCGTTTCTGCTTCTACAAATCTCATGGGCATGAGAAAAAGGAAAAGGAGAACGAATCAGAGCCTAAAGGAACTCACTCCTGCATCTTGTCACTGCTGATCCTGGGCGACGCAACCCCAAAAAGATCGACGTCGGCCAGATTCGAACTGACGCTCCCGAAGGAACAAGATTTCTAGTCTTGCGCGATAACCACTCCGCCACGACGCCGTTTCATCACTTAGTGAGTAATGTTGAAAATTTTGATTGATTGAAAATATATATGCCAAACAAGCACAACACTGCAGTCACACATAAATGGCCCCCGCACCTCTAGGATCTAAGAATAGCACGTTCTACGTCCTACACCACGCCACCGCGACACTTTCCTCAACACGGCAATGTGTAAGACAATTTGCGAACCCTCCACCCTTCTGGCTACAGTGTGCGAATCTTCCTTGACGATGATGGCGTCCTTTGCTTCCGATTGTCGCGACACGGGCGTGCTCGATTGTTTCGTATGGCAGCCTCGTTTGCACCCCACTGCGCTGGTTCGCAGCACCATCCTTCGTCCAGCGCAGCCCTGTTGGGACGATCAACACCACAATTGCCAAATACCAGAGCACGCCCCAGAGCACATGAACGACGTCTGGAAGCGCACAATCTGTCTTCGGACTTCGAGCTGAGCACCATCGCCGTATCCCCGATGTGCGCACCCAATCGTCGCACACCGGCAGTCCGTAACACGACCCCGATTGGCGCAGTTCACCCTGTACAGCTTAGCTCCCCGACCTCAGGTATACAACAATAGCGTGCTGACTGCAGCTAAAACTGCAGGCCTGAGCTCCAACGTATGGTGCAAACGGACATACTGTAAGCTGCGAGCATGCCCGCTCCTAGTCAAGTCGACGGGCTGGCGTGCGCGAGGCTGCCACCTGCGGCCTTCTGCGACTGGGGTTCCCAAGCTGGAAGCCCGACGCCCCGGCGTATGTCATTCTGGACGCTGCGGACACTTATAGTCGTGAGGTGCCGTGGGGCGGCCGCGCCGCTTAGTCTACGTCAAATGTCCGGCTGTCAACTACGTTAGATACTTAGGCGTGGCCTTTACCGTTGTGCAGGAGCTTACCCCATCTAATAACACTCACACCTGTATGGGATTTGACCGACCTCTTGAACAGTCATCTATCGGCAACCATGGGCCCACTGTCATCGCCACGTCTGCCTGGCGTGATGCTACTACGAGCAGAAGCTACCGGACCAGAATATGCGAGATGGAAAAGGGAAATCAAGAGCGCTTTCACAGCAAAGGGAACTTGGGGCCACTGCGATGGAAGTATACCGATGCCTATGCCCGGAGCTGGACCGAACTTCTTTTCGCCCGTGTCACAGCCTGACATGCAGACGACGCTTTTAGAGGACCGAAAGGCTTGGGTAAAGAAGGATCGGGAAGTGAAGCTAGATATCTTCCTGTCGGTGTCGGACGACATTAAGCTTGAGGTTTTCGAAGTTGGGCCTCCACTACCACCGTCGGCAATGAACGCTAAGGAAATGCTCGAGGCGCTGGACGAGCACTACGATGGGTTGAAGTTTGAGGACTATCATCACGTCTTCTGCCATTTCCTAAACCTCCACATCGACCAATATACCAACATTGAAGAGTTCAACGTGGAGTTCCAGGCTACACTCGAAGATCTGTTAGATCATGGCCACCCTCTGAGCAACATGCAGGCCTGCAGTGCCTACTTCTCAAAGCTGCGCTGCACACAGAACCCGTGGGTTGCAAAACAGATTAAGGCATGGGACAATCTAGACCAGGAGCCGCAGCTTGCACAAGTCATGCAGAAGTCCCCGCCTTGGTCAATTATCCGTCCTCTGACAATGTCAACAAAAGCCGCTTCAACGCACAAATCGGTGCCGGCATCAATACCTGAAGAGCCGCTAATGGACACGCCTCCTCACTCAGACGGAGAAGACACTCCCTCGGAACACTCCGTCTCAACAATATCCTCCTCGAAGCCCTCACACTCTCGCGACTCCTCCAACGCAACTCAAAGATCACAAGAGATTACTATCCACGCTTCATACGAGGACCTCACCGAGCTCCAGCTGCAAGCCTTCCCCGAAGTCCCAACCGGAATTCCAGCCCTAAACCATATCCCAAAGCGCGTATCCAGCATCTCCAAGCTCTCGCTGCATTCTCTCCCCCAGTAAATCGCCCACTCCCACCCATCCCCGCAAACGCAGAGCGCTCGCGCTCCGTCTCACCACACGCCCCGCCCTCGATATCACGGCCCAAAACCGCGAAACCTCCCTCCAGACTCCCATCTCCGACTACAAGCCTCCCAGGCCTCGAGCAAACACATCCCGCTCTCCGCTCGCCCCTCCCTCGAACCGACTCTCTTCCCATGATGGAGCCAACAGTAAGCCCCGAGCAACTCGAGCCGCACCCAGTGCGGGTGCGAACTCCCACACCACCACCAGTGCAATACACAGCGCCTGAGCTTCAAGCCGATGTCCCCTCCGCGCACATTGCCGCCGTAATGCGCGCTTTCACTCCCTCCCCGCCACCCACCATCACCCTCTTGGCGCCCAGTTTGCCGGATAACCGCCCAACCTCCAGCCGTTCCGCCATCGTCCCACAAACACAGGACACATACTCCAACTGGTCTCAAAACCGCCCACTCCTACGCATCGACAGCGAAACGAGCAGCGTGCTCAGCCTGCCTTTGCAGGGTGTGACGCGGAGTGCGACGCCTGAGTTTGCGGACACGACGATCAGCGAGGGCGCTACGCCGCCGAGAAAAGCACCTAGCAAGATCGAGCTCGCGAGGATGAAGTTCGAGGGCCGCGGAGCGATTGGACTGCTAGTGCCGAGCGAGGAGGAAAAGAAGGCGCGGAAGAGGAGTTGGAGCATCAAGGCGCGGTTGAGTGCGAGACACGGGATTAAGGAGATCATCTAGTCTTCCTCTTCTCGCATTTCCGATTTTGGTCTTGTTTTCTTTCGGTGGAATGAGGGGGAGGGCGTCTACGGCTACAGCGTCTTGAGTTCTTCCTTTGCAACACTCCCTGCTCTTTCCCAACCTCCGATTTCCTAGATATACCCGCTTCACAGCATGAAGCAAGCACGCAAGGCGCACAGTACAGTCTCTACGTCGCACTCCGATTCGAGTTTCTCCTTTGTCAAAGTTTCCTTGCGCTGGAATGGTTTAATCCGCTGTATATACCTCCGTCTTCACTTCACGTCTATACTTGAATATCACGCCATATCTACACACACTTCTTGTCACGGTGAAACGAGCTTACTTGCCCGAGGTGTTGGTCTGGCTCCTCATCAGCGAAAATTCTCCAAGCCCGCCGTAATCGAAGCACCAATGAGAGCCCAGAGCACCGCATCTCACCTGGCAGCGCGTTGCGCAGTCGCGTGCTCACTGCATCTGTGGTCTGCCCTAGTCTACCGAACAACGGTGGATGCTACATATGGTTCCCAGTTTGATGGGCCCTAGCGGCGTAGGTCGTACCGTACTGTCCAACGACAAGACTACATACGTAATGCATGGAATGGGGATTATACAGTACGGGTGTGCTCCAAATTTCCGATCTCGCCCTACGAACAAAGGCGCACGTGACGCATATTAATTCGGGTTTCTCCGACTTTTGCACATCAAGGCAAGCCTACGCATACGTGCACATTCTATCCATGCCAACGGTGTGGGTCCACGGATGGGACAACGTGGTAGCGGAGATTCCCTCTGATTAATGCACTCGCAAACACGCCTAGCCTAATTCTACAATTCCCATCCCTTTTCCCGACCCACGAGTCCGAACCTTCCGGATCGTCTCAAGTTTTACACCTCGGTGTAATGTTCGTGATAATCATGTCATGGCGACACGCAGGATGTCGTCTACAAGCCCGAAGCGCAGTTCGCACGGGTGGAGAAAGTCAAATCCGCATGTTGCCCGCTGCCCCGCCGCGCCCGTTATTTCAAGCCGTTTGTTGCCGAACGAGTGGTATCAGCTTGGCGATGGAGGAGTAGCTGCATCTACTGCGTGTCGCGCACAGCCTTGTCTACTGCCTTCGCGAAGTAATCGATATTGTGGGTGTTGAGACCCGCCATGGAGATGCGGCCGTTCTTCGTCATGTAGACGTGTGAGTCCTCGCGCAGCTTCAAGACCTGCTGCTCCGTCAAACCCGTGAAGCTGAACATGCCGATCTGATCTGTGATGTGGTTCCAGGTACCGGGGGTACCGAGTCCCTCGAGCTTGCTACGGAGGGCCTTGCGCATTTCTATGATGCGACCCGACATGGTTCGTAAGTCCTCCTCCCATTGTGCGAAGAGGTCGGGTGTATTGAGGACGAGCGAGGCGATGCGCGCACCGTACGCGGGAGGGTTGGAGATCTCAGAACGTTGAAGAATGGCGAGCTGAGAGGCTACACGACCAACGGTGGACTGAGCGTCTGATGATGGTGCTGTGACAAAGTGGAAGCAGCCTGCGCGCTCTCCGTACAGACCAAAGTTCTTTGCATAGGACTGAGCAATGCAGAGCTCGAAGCCCTGCTCGACGAAGTAGCGGATGGCCCAGCCGTCGCGCGAAAGATCGCCAGAGGCGAAACCTTGGTAGGCTGTGTCGAAGAACGGAAAATGCTTCTTCGCCCGGATGACCTCCGCAATCTTCTTCCACTGATCCTGCGTCAGATCTACGCCGGTGGGGTTATGTGCGCAGGCATGTAGCACGACGATGCTGCCCTCGTCCGCATTCTGTATTGAGTTGTAGAAGCCATCGAAGTCGAGGCCCTTGGTCTGCCTAGAGAAGTAGGGATAGGTCTTGTGTGAGAGGCCGACATTGGAAAAGATCTGGAAGTGGTTCGGCCAGGTCGGATCGGAGAAGTAGGCGGTACGCTGCGATTTCGGCTTATAGAACTTTGCGAGGAAGAGGGCACCCAGGTGCACAGCACCGGTGCCGGAGACGGTTTGCAAACTGGTGACCTGCGCACAGGTGAGCCTGAGTCATGATATTGCGGGGGAATCGGGGTACTAACCCGTTTCTCCTTCAGCGCGGGGCTGTCTCCGCCGAGGATGAGCTTCTGCGAGGCCGAAGTAAAGTCTGCGAGACCGGCAATGGGCAGATACTCGTGGTTGAGGTTGGGGTCGTTGCGGATGATGTCGTCGGCCTGTCGGAGCAAGCTGTCAGCATGGCCCACTGCAACATGGCATGCAGCTCTTTCCCTCGGTAGCAGCTCGCACTCACCTTCTTCACCACAGGCAAGACCCAGGGCTTCGCATTGTCGTCGCGGTAAGCTCCAATGCCCAAGTCGACCTTGTTGGGGTCCTCGTCGCGACGGAAAGCTGCCATGAGCCCGAAGAGCGGGTCTTCGGGCGCCTGCGGGGACCACATCTGCGCTAAAGTTTGTCGAAGACATTGGTGCGATGTGCTGTGAGACTTGAGAGGCGGGCTTGAGGAGAAAGTGATGAGGAGGAAGGAGCGTTGGAAGAGGGTGAAGCGGGCATACTGCCAGCTCCTGGTATACTGGTCACACCGCCTAACCTAACACCACCCGCCGCACGCTAACCCCGCAAAGACGATCAGGCGAGAATGGGCTTGGAAACGCGAAGACGAAGTGGACCAACGAGACGCTTGCTGTCGCGGGGACGAGGGATCCTGCGTGCTGTCCATGCTAGGCATCCGGACTGCCGACTATAAGAGCTTCAGCTTCGCATCACGTTCGGTGCCGACCCTCTTCCACGCGGGCCGAGGCAACCCCAGGTCCCGCGCGCAGGTGACGCCGACGTACGTTCCATCCACCTCTCACATGTCGCGAGAATCAAACCACAACAGAGAGTGGGTTCGCAAAGCGGGTGAGCTAACGACCTGCCGCTAGCGAGCGAACATGTGCATTCTCTGTCGTGTTTCCATTTTTGGCAACTTTTCCCATGTCAAGCGAAAGTGTTCCCGGGGCACGCGATGCTCGCAGACTTGGAGCGCGCAAGCTCACAAGGTAACAGTCATGTATGTATATTCACATAAGTGCATGTCGCGTTGCCGGAGAGCATTCCCACCATGTGTCTCCAGCGATCCAGGCTGTGCACCTGCCCTTCATGCGTACTCTCAGCGCTATACGAAGAGATCCACCAGTATCAGCGTCGTGCAGAATGCGCACGTGGACCAAAACACCAACTGCGCTGTGCTCCGTCGCTCCGTCGCCTTTTTCAACTGCTTGTTTCCGCTGCCCACATTCTCGGTGGTTAGCTGCGAGTCAGCCACGAGCTGGTCTATATGCTCCGCTTGGATGTTGAGGTTGGCCGCGAGCGTTGTTTGCAACTCGGAAATCTCCAGGAGCGACTTCTCCGCAGTGCTGGTGCTGTTAGGCTATGAAGACCAATATATGTGTATAAACTCACCGGACTTGATCCAGAGTGTCTTCGTAATACTTCAGCATATCCTGATTTTCCTGCGCAAAGAGCTGAAGCTGCTCAGCGTCGAGATGCTGCTCCACTGATGCCGAACTTTCGTCGGGGAGCTGCGTAGACTTCCCGCGGTGGTCGATTGTTGCACTGTGGTTCACATGCCTACCAGAATAGTCGTCCAGTGCAGGCATAGTCCCTCTAGCTTTGTACAGCACGCTTTTGCTCTTCTCGACCTCGCGCGTGATCCGTATCTCCATCATAGACCTCTGGAAGCGGCCACATTCCTCGAGAGCGCGCTGCAGGTACCATATTATGCTTTCTCGATGCGCCTTGACTGTGTTCGACTTGGCCTCCTCAAGTTCCTCCTCAGGGCTCTTCGCCGTTATTGCCCCGCCTGCGGCCCATCGTCCCAAAGCCCCTAAGCCCCGCCTTGCACGCTTTTTGTAAGCTATATGGGTCTCTGCCTCTTGTCGTATCTGCTCGGTTTGGGACAATTTCGTGATCGCATGGCTCAGTTCGCGCAATAGCTCCTTTGCCGAGGCATCGATTTCGTTTCGTTCAGCGTCTGTGAGATACTTCGCGTCCTTGTCTGTGGAGGCTCCATTCGGGCGCGCAATTTGTTTCCGGCGTGGAGCATGCGTAGTCGAGAGGTAACTCTGCCGTATCGATGTCAGATGGCTATGTAGTTGTGCAATGTGCGCTCGCTGTACTAGTTAGCTGCATTGCGGGGAGCGCAAGTGGGCAACGTGGCATACAATGCGATATGCCTCCTTGAGGAATTCATCCAGGTTCTCTTTGCGAAACACATAGGGCTCGACTGGCCGCGAGTCGTGCGCAGCGAGTACCTGGTTGAATATGGGTGTTAGATCCATGGTGGTGTGCTGCAGCTTGCCGGTGGAGATGTTGGTTTCGGTGACGAAGATTTGAGTAATGAGTCAGTACGTCGCTTGCTCCACCAGTGATCGAGTATCAATCGAGTCATTGCATGGCGCTCGTGCCTCTCCACCCCATCTTTCCCTCCCCTCTTCCTACTGCTCCGTCAAACTCCTGGCCTTACCATGAGCATATGAGGCTCTTGTTCTTCGAAATAGACACGATCTATGAGACCTAGTCAAGCTCGCTATGGTGCACTGTAGGATCCCCAAACTCGCGCTCATGCGCGGCGTCCCTCGGAATTATCGCTCCTGTGCGGAGAACCACGACGCCCCACACATAACCGCAGAACGTCTCGCCCGTTGCTATCGCCAGAAGCCGGCGGGAATAGTAGACAATTGAGTGCGAAACCCGTGCGATAGCAGCTCGTTTCCAGCCAATCGTAGCCGTCTGACCTCACACTCCTCGGCCGATCTCGCCCAAATTGCAAAAATCGCGTACGCAAAGGCAAGGTTGTACATCACGAATCGGCAACCTGCACGTATAGTTGCGGCGTCGTTCTCCGTTAAGATGTCGACCGGCAGCCCGTGCCTGAATGTGCTACGACCTTATTTCCTCCTACTTCGCGTGTGATTATGCCATGCCCCGACACACCACCAAGGGGTATATCCAAGAGCGCCAACGAGGTCAAAGAAGAGTACGATGACGTGATCGCGACGGAGAAGACCGAAAGTATGGAGGAAGGTACTATGAGGAGTGAAGAAAAGGAGGAGCACCATGGAAACTCTGCAATAGTATCATCCGCAACTTCGTCAATCCATGAAGGCCAACACGAAAATCACGATTTGGAGGCCATCGCTACTGTGTCTACCAACTCACCACCCTACTCTGTGTTCAGCAAAAAGCAAAAGTACTTGATCGTGTGTGAGTTGACATGCCCGAGCTCTGTATCGACGATGACGAGTTTATACTAATAACCGCAGTTCTTGCTGCGTGGGGAGGCTTCTTCTCGCCTCTAAGTGCAAACATCTACTTTCCTGCTCTGACACAGCTGGCTGTTGAGTACAATGTATCAAGCACACTCATGAACCTGACTCTTACGTCGTACTTGATCTTTCAAGGATTGGCTCCGACCATCTTCGGAGATTTTGCTGATATGGCGTATGTTCACAATTAACATTATATGGACCATGCTAACTGTTAGCAGTGGACGAAGACCGGCTTACATTATTGGCTTTATCATTTACATTGGCGCTAATATTGGTCTTGCCCTTCAAAATTCTTATGGAGCCTTGTTCGTTCTTCGATGCCTCCAGAGCTCTGGCAGCAGCGCCACTATCGCCCTGGGAAATGGCGTTGTTGCCGATGTAGCTACAAGCTCTGAGCGCGGCACATGGATGGGCTACGTAACGAGTGGCCCAATGGTTGCTCCAGCCATTGCTCCCATCATAGGAGGTCTGCTTTCAGAGTTTTTAGGCTGGCGAGCTATCTTCTGGTTCCTTGTCATCATGGCTGGCGTCTATATGGTACCGCTCATCCTGATCTTTCCCGAGACGGGTCGCAACGTTGTCGGAAACGGAAGCATACCACCTCAGAGTTTCAACATGTCTCTGCTCAGCTATCTCAAAGTCCGCAAATATTCTAAAGCGCATCGAACCAACGAGCTCACCAGAGCAGTATCACGAGAGGAGCAGCAAGCCCTGGCCCGCAAGCGAAAACTTCGTATTCCAAACCCGCTTGGAACGTTGAAGGTCATCGCGCAAAAAGACGCAGGATTGCTGTTATTCTACAACAGCCTTGTATACACGGCATTCTACACCGTCATATCTTCTGCTCCATACCTTTTTGAGGAAATCTACGGGTTCAACGACCTGCAGATCGGCCTATCATTCATCCCTTTCGGCGTTGGTGCCATGATCGCTCCAATGACAGCCGGAAAATTGATGGACTGGAACTATCGCCGCCTTGCAAAAAAGGGCGGCTTCCGCATTGACAAAAAACGAGGAGACGACCTGAAGGACTTTCCATTGGAGCAAGCTCGACTTTACATCGCTATCCCTATGCTTGTGGTAGGAATACTTGTTACTCTCTGCTACGGCTGGGTTCTCCACGTCGAGCCTTCGCTGGCGGCGCCTCTGGTCTTGCACTTCTTCCTTGGTCTCTGTCTTACGGGCGCCTTCAACTGTATGAGCGTCATGCTCGTTGATTACTACCCGCTGAGTCCTGCCACTGCCACCGCGGCTAACAATCTTGTGAGATGTCTCATGGGTGCAGGAGGTACGGCTGTTATTACCTTGATGATCGATGCCATGGGCAGAGGATGGTGCTTCACGTTCGTTGCCGGAGTCATTGCATTTTTCAGTCCTATCCTATGGGTACTGATGAAATGGGGCCCAAAATGGAGGAACGAACGCAGATTGAAGATGGAAGCGCAGGCGAACGCTTGAAGTTGAGAGGTAGTCCTGGAGACCTATTTGTACACGTCCGGCAAGCGTACGGTGTGTTTGTAATCCGCAGTGGTCCTGTTTCTGTTTGGTAACTCGGCAAAAGTGGGGGTGGTGTACCATGATCGGGTTGGGTTGTTGCAACAGTGCAACGTCTCACCAACGGTATGCTGATTTAGTCACGAAGACACAACCTGGAGCTTGTCGTCGCATCCAATCTAGAGTCTGCTCACGAGGATCTACGCACAATACCTCTGCTCTCTACGAAATATCGGATCACACCAAAACTTATTTGGTCGATTTCAAAAAGCCAATGGCAGAATCGCGAGACGCTACGCGTGCTGGTCAGGCCCAATCTTCCAAGGCAACACCATTTGATCTGAAGTCGACTCTTTGAAAGGCATCCAACAGATCTGAGACTCCTTCCAAAAAGTGAGCCACTTGCTAGGTTCATGTTGCTGTGGGCAAAAGTTAACGGCCTCAGGCGTGCTATAGTAATGGCGTCACCCGCATCGTCACCGGCGAGATGCTTTAATCCTTAATACCGAGAACCTCTCGTCATATTACCGCATGAAGGCCTGGATTATCATCAGCAGTACTGACGATTTAGACGAGCCGCATGAGAATTCTTCGTCCACAGAACATTGGCTAAAGAAAGCAGGAGAAGCCTTGGAGGAGGCGAGGCAACGTGAACGCACGAACCTGACGATGCGAGGCAACTGCGGGTTTACAAGAAGATGATCGAGGACAAGGAGAAGCAACCCTGCAAGCGGAGGAACATCATACAGTTTGATGATGACGATGACGAAGAGAAGGGTTGCTAGTGCGACTCAACGAGGGATAGCAATACACACAGGAGTACTCACATGCGATCCTGCTCCCGCGTTGCAACGGTGTAACGTGCCACGAGTGCTATGCTTGCCTAATCACGAAAAAGCGTCCCCGGAGCTAGCGAAATGGCACTCTCAAAGTATCAATGCCTGAGAAGCTACTGCTTTCTGACCGCGCCACTTTCGCATTGCAAAGGCCTATTATTAGACGGACGCAACAAGCGGCGTAATGAGACAGTCTTTCCACAAAGCTTGCATGGGGAACGTTTGACACCATATTGAACACCCCATGACAACGCGACTCATAGACCCTTCAGCTCAGGACGTATGTCTGAACGTGGCGAGAACGACACAAACGATTCAGTGAGGCCAACAATCGAATTAGGAATATCCAATATTGCTGCTGATGGTCCGCCTAACTTTAGTCCACGTTGTTACACACGGTCGGCTTCGATCAGCGCAATGCGAACACTTATACTTTATTCAACCCTTGGCGCGACGACATTGTGCATGAAATTCACAGCCGCATCTGTTTGTACTATTGGCGTCCTTGTTTCAGGCCTTTTACCCAGTTGAACGATACCAGTGGCCACCAATTACAGTCAGCTTACCACCTGAGGACCAATGACGACGCATAGGCCCATCCTTGACATTCGACTAGCTGCCTCAACACCTGCGAAGTCGAAAGGTTGGTAAACGGAGGCAAGTGAAAAAGGACATGATACGGTCCCCTGAGTCACAGTACCAATATTGGCGGGAGCGGCTGCGGCTGAGCCGCATGCACGGTTGTGGCGTTTGCGACCGTCGCAGCTTCCTTCACGCACGGCCCGCATGATCTACTCAGTACCATAGTAGAGATGCATGCGCCGTTTATCATCATATAAGAGTCTAAGTATGCTGCCAGTACAGCCTTCCTGCACACAACTGCACCGCCCAATCACATCCACATCCTCCAAACCATCCTCCAACGACCTTCGATCCTACTACCCGTATCATTCAACCAAGATGATTCATCCAATACTCACAACCCTCCTCCTCGCTGCATCCACCGCCTTTGCCGCGCCTACCGCTAACGCAGCCCGCCATGCCGCCAGCTGCAACCCCACCAACTACACCATCTCCTCCTTCACCCTCGACTCAACCCCACCGGACTGGTCCGTTCACTTCGTCTTCCGCTCCACATTCCCCGACCCCTCCGTCATTTCTGACGCCGCCATCTCCGGCTCAGTATGTGATGCCTCTTCTGACTCCAACGGCAACTTCCCGAATGAGATTGCGTGCTCGACTGGACGAGGGAATGTCGAAGTCGATTTGCGGGGCCCGGAGCCATCGGGGAAGTACCAAGTGATCCACTTTTGGGAGTGTGATGGGTAAGTATTTCCTGGGAAATTACAGAATGATTGTTTTGCTACCTTGTGCACTTGAACTAGAAGCTGAGTGTCTTGTACAGGAACAATTGGATGAGCTCGACACCCGTGGACGTCGATGTCGCTACTAGTGTAAAGGAGTTTCAGCCGCAGAATGTGCGCACGGTCCCTTGTGGAGCGCCGACATGTCCTTAGGAGAGAAGTATGGAAGCGACTTGCATGAGGTGCATTGAAGGAGAGTGTGGGGTCAGTATCTGAACAGAAGAAGACAATTGCTTACCACTGCGGTAAGAGAGTCGCGAATAGGCGTATTTGGTATGATCGGTAGTATGAGGGCGGTTCTACACAATCAACAGCGTATGGTAACTGGTGTGTGCTCTACGGTAATCTCCGAAAAATTGTACATCTCGACCCGGAGCGCTTTGAAACAAAGCACACAGGCTTTTTTGTGACCTTCAAAGCGTAGGAAATTAGACACGAGCTAAGGAATTCCAAAAACTCGCAAAAGAGGCGTATCGTCGACGTGTGGAAGGCAGCAACCAGAACATGAGGTGGTGGCCTTGGTCACTTCAGCCAATCCTTCCGACCATAGGTTTTGTACATTCCGCACGAAAGTGGAAAACGCAGAAATAGGCCGCTTTGATATCGTCTACTACGTTCAGCTCCGCACTATTTCCCTTACAGAACCCCTTCCACCAGACTTCTCACACACTTTCACTGCCACTTCTACCTACCGCCCCCTCCCGCTCCCCTTAGATACCCCCATCCCTCCATACTTCCCAAATCATCCTCTCTTGGTCACTCTAGCTTTAATCCGATGTAGTGTCTGTTTTCACTCAGGGTATAACCTAGCACTGGTCTACAAGCCTTTTGCTTTTATCTTTGTTTTTGCGTCTCCGAACATGCGGATGAAGACTGTGTGGGTATCTGTGGGAGCACATTGATGCTCGTATTTGCAGTGTCAGGGGTAGTTGCTCCCCTCCATTCTCAACCTCCTCTCTTCGCTGTGCCGCCACGCGTTACAGCAGGTGTAGGCTCACAGTGAGGTAACGTATCTACACTGCGCTCTCTTCCATTATAGTACCCTTGAGCCCACCACTGCAACTCTATATGGTCTTGTTTCCATATGGAAGAATATTTAAGTGTCTTACGGTATAAGCGCATTCCACTATACGGTGTATGAAGATGAAGAAGAGAAGCAGCAAGACAAGGATGGAGATGGAGATGAAATTCGAAGCAAGTATGCTGCATTTGACGGGCATTTGTTTGAAGCGCGATGTGAGAAGGAATGCAATGGTACAGCATGATCATAAACGGAATGATGTTCAGTGGTACGATGCAGTAGACACCAGGAAGCTAGTTAATGGTCATGCTCATTTAACAAGAGATCTAGCGACAATGATGTCAAATGTATCCTCTTGATGCCACGTAAGGGGCAGATGCATGTCATCAAATCCGATATGACGAAGGCGTACGCACAGCTGGATCAGCTTTGCGCTTGCCTTTCTATGCTACCGGCTTTGACAACATTTTCGATCAACTTAGATGTAGGAGGAGACCAATGATGCCAATTTAGGGCTAAGGCGCTTTCTCTGGCACTGTTTGCACTGCCAGCAACCATTGTGCCTAATCCCAGCCCAAGTCTCCTGTCTCAAATGTAGTGAGCAATTGCGACAGAATATGCAACAATGTTTGTGATCTTACAGGTTGTATGACAATCGTATTTCACACTTTTCACGGTATTACTCTAGATCCGAATCTACGCAGCCTTCCGGCGCGACTATGGGATTGCATCTAGCCACCCTTCCATCTAAGTTCGCGACGTAGTCGAAGTCCCACCTTGCCGCCATGCCGTAGACCGGAAAGTCGGTACTCACAATCTGCGCTCCGCTTTCGAACGCACTATCCCTCATCGTAGTGTTCTTACTCAGAACCGTGGTAATTGGTTCATCTGCGCGAGTTCGCACGATGTATCCCTTTTTGATTTGTCGCTGGATGTCAGCTGTGTTGTTGCCGACAGGGTTGTTGTGCTTGATGAAAGCAGCAGCCGACTCGCCTTCCACGCCTACCAAACCCGAAGGTACAAAGTCAGTGTATGTCTCATAGAAGTGGGAATGGTACATTGCTTCGTGTCTCGGCTAAGCAAAGGGAAGATTCTTCTCTTATATCATAAGGAGATGAAGATGGTCCTTCGCTCGTTTGGCGGGAAACACAAATTCACATTGTACCTGGGAGACTTGCCATTAGTGAACACGGTACGGTTCTGCAGCGACTCGTGGCCGTCTGCGGTGTACAGCTTAGCAGGACTGTTAGGATCGGAGGACGGGTCGTTGTCGAAGAAGAACATGAAGCGACCGCGGACATCGTCCAGGAACGGCCATCCGTGCTGCAAGACACTCTCTTCGAGGCTCAGGTTGCCGACGCGGATGTCATCTGGGACGATGAGCTGTTTGCGTGGTAGCACGGACATAATTTCTGCGTCGACGTTGAGGAGGCGCGGGAGCGTCCAATTAGTAGCTTCCCCGGGGCATACGCCTCCTGCGTCACAGGCTGGGGCCTCGGTCTTGAGTTCTAGGTCGATGATGATGGGCACATGTTTCGTGTTGTGGTCGGACCATTCCTTGAGTTGGGTCAAGCAATCCACAAAGGTGTGGCACACGGCATTCGGGTCGAAGTCGGTGACGTGGAACACCTTGATTCCAGGTTTCAAGAGGACGCTACCATCAAAGGGAGTCGTAGCATTCGTCAAGTTGGAAAGCGTCCAGATGAGTGGCGGGTAGTAGAGGCCGCCCTTCTCATCAGAGTGCAGATCGAGCTCGAGTGATCTGATGGCCTGGTGCGTGAGTTGATTGGGCAAGGACGAATGCGAGTAATAGTAGCTTTCGGGAGAAGGAACGTATTTCTCGAAGATTTCGCGCTCGGCGAGGGATATTTCGCGGTGGTATGAGTTGTGGGTTCCGATGACTTGGATTTGGTTCATGCGGAGGCTGGAGTTGGTGTTGTACGGGGCTGCAGTGCCATCTGCATGGTCCTCAATTTGTACTCAACCTCACCATATGTAATACGTACGTGCAAGGAGCGCAAGGCTCGCGGGTACCTGAAGATGTTAGCATACACATTCGATATTGTGCATTGACACGAAGAACGTACTAGCTTGCTCAGCATGGTGTCTTGTCCTCGAATGCTGACGGTTAAATACAAGATCGAAGTGCTGATCGCAATGATGCCGAACCTCACGAGCACTGAACGGGCTCTATATATGCCTCGCGACATTGCTCGCAGCTCCGTCCCGCTTGTGCATGAAATGAAGTCATTCAAATATCCCAGCGGTGATCATAGCACATGCATAGGCGACAGGTGCTTATTGGCTGCATACGATCGACCTTCCAAAATGTATCCCGCTTGCCTCAATGTCCTCGTGAAGTGGCGTAGGAAGGGGTTTGGTTTGGGAAAGCTCCGAGGAAGCCGGGGTGGGATAGGAACAGATGGAAATGTCCCATTATCTGGGAGCGCACACATGGTAGCGCTAGTGCCTTAGTGCGATTGGCCTGCGTGGTTTACGAAAGGCCTGCACACTCAGGAACCAAAGATCACTGATGCAAGCTTCAGTAAGATAAGCATTGTTAGTTTTGTTAATCGTACTTGTTAGCTGTGTCTTTTTGCTTATGCAACCCCCCTACCCATCACCAGGGAATCTGGCGACCATATCGACCAATGAATGTGCCCGCCTCTGCATCCCTCTTGCCTTCCACTATGTCCAAGATTGCCTGCGCACTCGTTTCCGAACTCTCAGCGCCCATAGCAGCCCTCCTGTCCCTTTGGTCTGCGAGGTTGGTGACGACGAACCCTGGACAGAAGCTCCAAACCTTGACGCCTTGGTCCTTGAGGTGGGCGTATGTGGTTGCGCTGAGCATGTTGAGGGCTGCCTTACTCATTCGATAAGCCGTGAATGGATTGCGATAGGCATGGTGGCTGGGATTTGAGCCGCCAGTAATGCTTCCCAGCTCCGAGGATACGTTGATGATCTTCTTGCCATGAGAAGCCGTGATGAGGGGAAGCAAGGTCTGCGTCACTATCACCGGGCCATAAACATTCGTTTCAAAACTTTCACGGAGCTGCTCGCGCGTTGGGAATCGAGGCTGTACTTGGTTGCCGGCATTGTTGATGAGGACATCAAGGCGGCCGTAGTCGGCTTCCAGCTTCTTGGCTGCGGCGTGAATGCTGTCGTCGTTCGACACGTCGAGGGCAAGGAGGCTCAGTGTGCCCTGGGGCTTGCGGGCGTTGACTTCATCCAATGCTTTCTGCCCTTTCTCTAGGTTCCGCACTCCCATGACGACATGGTTGCTGGCGGTCTTTGCGAGGTAATACGCTGTGTCTGAATATCGATGCACGATCAGCAGGTGGGCCAGAAATTGTCTCTTTCAGAGGTTGCTCACCGAGCCCGACTCCTGAATTGGCACCTGCCGTGTGTTAGTCCCCGACGCTTTTGGTCTGCAAGCTTGCTAACCCGTGATGAGAATAACCTGCTTGCGTGCTGCCATTGTGGTGTTTAGAGCGATGTAGGAGTTTAGATGGATAGTGGTCAATTGCGAATAGCTTTCACGGAGAGGTAAGTACGTTTATATACAGCGAGTAGTTGCTCCTGCAACGCATTGTCGCCGGTGTTGGAAACGACGCAAGGAGTTAGGCCCGTTCGTAAAGCGAGCGGTCGCCAAACTCCGCCATGTATAATACATTGACGTCGTTCGCAGCCAAAGCCACAAATGCTGGGCATGTACGACTGAGGTTCCTACAACGTGATGCATCCTGCCTCTGGCTGGTGACGCCGTTGTCCGACAGCGTTGTACGACGGCATTGCGGCACCAATACGCGTTGTTCGATACTCCATGTCCAGTACGGCTCAAATGATTTCGATTTGTCGGTCTTTGAAACAACGCGAGCTATTGTCAGCACTTGTGACACCCGAGTGGACTTAACGGAGCTGTTTGCTATGAACAAAGCCGGAGCGAGGACGAACGGCAATTCCGCAGTGCTTGAGTGTGTGCAAGTGCATCCCGATTCTACATGTGCAGAGTCGAAAGGAAAATGACTCGGAGTTGATGCCGTTCGATTGATGTGGATGGCTACCTAGGTAGGTGCAGGTTCTTACATGGGGTCACGTGCAGAGAGGTACTTAGTCAGCAAGTTCGTGCCCGTCGCCAGCAGTCGCGTAGCTGAGGTCGATCACATCTCATCTGGCACCACCATGGCACCCTCCCGCCGGTCGCCTGACATGTCTCGTCTACAGGAAGTAACGCATGCCAGTGCTAGAACCTTGGAACGTCCCAGGAACCAGTCCCCCTTCGCTACATGACCCTCTTTGGCACGGACGAGCTCGATGGTAGCATCTGCCTTGCCCACCCCGAACCTCGCAGCCTCGTCAGGCATACGTACGACCATTGCACGCCTTGTATGCGAAGAGAAGGGCGAAGGCTATACACGGAGTCCGCATGATGTAGTATATGCCTATAGCAAAAACCACCATTGGCTCGCGCTCGAGCCGTAGCAGGCCCCATAGCAATTCTTTGGGTGCAACACTGTCTCACTGTGGAGATGGTCGATGGGCCTGCTCGACCCACAAAGCTCGATGGCGTTGTGGTATGCTCTGAACTCTAGAGCCTACAATTGTAACAGCCTGGATCATTTTTGTTCGGGTTGACAACAGTCTGGGCATGGGCTACAACCTCCGATTACTTCCTTGCCATAGCCCTCCCTTGCGCATATGGATCGATGCAGACCCTTCTTGGGCATTAATTGGTATTGTGTGCCTACCAAACCGGGTTGTACATCTATATACCACGGAAAGACGTATCTTCTTGGCTAGCAGTTTGGCACGACATGATATACAGCCCGGTAATTAAAACGGCATCTCTGCCGAAGTTTCGATTGGATTTCCTCCACACTTCTAGATCCCGGCACTCGTGTGGCAATACAATGACAACAAAACAACCTCCAGTCGCGCGACGTTGGCATTTTCTCCACCCCAACACTAAAGACACGATCAATTTTTGGTTGGACTTTGACGCCACTCTTTCACAGCTAATCGTCTATAGGATATGACCGAAGCAATACCCCGATTGAAACAAAGCGCGATCGGCGGTAGGCAAATGCTCACTGTCGTACGAACCGGGTACGACAGGCGAGTGAGCCTCGTGAGCTCTATGTAGCTGTTGGGAATACAAAGTTCTGGGATGGGTGCACGTGTTACTGCGAAGGCCTCCGAGGCGCTTGCAGTCGCGTACCGCTGTAACTTGTCACCTTCTGATATTCTTCGCGAGCGTTATCCCCTCTCAGCAACATTTCCGTTATCTTCTGGACCGGGTTCTTTCCCCCGTTGAAAACTTTACTCAAACGCGCATGTGGTCCGCTATGCGATTGTGTTTCCCACCGTTAGTGGCCCTTCGTGCATCTTGTGCGCCCGGACGGTCTCTGCATCTCGAGAAAATCCTATCAGAAGATATCGTTATCGACAAGCGCAAATCTTGACCAGGAGTCGCGGACAGAACAACGAGTTGAGATTCGACTAGATTCGTCTTCTGAAAATCTCCGAGGTGACGTTGGCTTGCTCTCGTGCATTTGAGCTATCTCTCAACAAGTCCACGGAAGCACGTCAAACGGGTATCATTGGATGGGCAGAAACATACACATAACTCTGTCGTTGGACCCTTGTTGATGTTTACCCCAGTCACTCACCCTCTCAGCAACGGCTCGTACCGGCAAGTTCGCGGTGTGTGAAGCGGTCTGGTGCTACTGTAGGTACACGTCCTTGGTGGGATCGCTGACAACGGGAATTTGCACAGATTCTGATGTCCTACTTCGCTTGTTCACATTGAGCGCATCCGCGAGGCTCATTACCAGCGAGAACCATTCGTAGGGGAGGACATCCGGTCTGTTCGGTGTTCTGAAAGTGTTGGATGAGGCTAGCGAGGCGATAGATTGCGACCGACTAGGTGCGGCTCTTTGAGCATCGGTGCCCTGGACACCCACCTGGAACGACATGGGAATCTTTTAGAACGACCGCAAATTTAACCGACATCCATCACCAACAGCCAAGCCGCGCAAGGTCTTCCGACTGGCCACGAGCAACTTCGAGGTTTCGTTACCACACTCTCGCCTTTGTTAAGCTTGATTGCTCCTGCGCGTTGTCCCTGGCCGGAGAAAATCTCGTCCTACTATTTCCATACTGAGAATGCGGATCATTGCCTAATCGCTCATGCCGCGCCAAGTCATTCAACGCCTTCGCTTCTAATTTATGCTGCAGATTGGGACAATTCGAACCCGCTATCTTGCGACTTGTGCGATTGCATATCAAAGTCTAATTCTCTATGCTGTCAGTGGCGTTCAACTGAACAGGACGGCGGTAGCACACATCGCCCGCAGCAGCGTGGAAGAAACGCGTCAATGGGTTGGTTCCGCTGCCATCTATCAGAAGCGAGCCGTTTTTCGAATGGCCTAGCTCCACTGCATCTGCATGTTTGAGGTCACTTTAATATCTTGCCCTCAATTGTAAAGGTTGTGTTTCCCCTTCGGGCTGCATATCGTCCATCGAGATTAGAACAATCCTAGCGATTCGCGCGCCGATGCAGGGTATGACCCACCATGTACAATCATGAAAGCTTTTGTGGAGTGCATCGAGCCTCTTTACCAGCTCATAAAATGGTGTTAGAAACCGGCATGACCGGACCAAGCACGTTTCCCACTCTCGTTTTACAATCACTCTACTTAGATCGAGTACTAAGTCAGCGGCAATGTTTGCTATTCGCAGACCCCTGTCTCTGTTTTGTCTCCTTCTACCTGCTTTTGCGCTTCGCTATGATCCTGCACACGAGGGCTGGAACCTGAATCTGAACCAGACTGCGACTGACCCGTTGCACTACTGGGGCCAATGGGAAAACCATACCTTTCACCCTTCGCCGAAGAGCTGGCGCTTTCCGTTCTATTGTCTCACTCTAGATCGATATGTTGACGGTGATCCTACGAATAATGAGGCAAACAGTACTTCATTTGAGCATGACTGGACGAGTAATCAGTTCCGTTTTGGTGGCGATGCCAAAGGGATGATGAACAATCTTGTGGGTGCCGCAACAATACAATGACGTTGACGATCGTGCTCTGACCCATCTGTACAGGACTACATACAGGGAATGGGGATTAAGGTACTTACCTTTGAATATGGACCAGGGAGCATTATCTGACCTCATCCAGGCTATCTATTTCTCTGGTACTCCGTTCATCAACATGCCGTGGAGCAGTGATGGCTTCGGAGCACTTGACTTCACGCTTCTTGACCACCACCACGGTAAGATCGAGGATTGGAGAGCTCTAGTCTCTGAAGTTCACCGTCGAGGAATGTACGTGGTCATGGATAATACCCTCGGAACGATGGGTGACTTGCTCCAATGGGTTGGGAACGAGAATGTCACCGCGCCGTTCGAGTGGAGCGAGTACGACGTTCGTTATAAGTCATCTCGGCAATATCACGACTTTGCCATCGGGAACAATCTCAATGCGACCTGCAACTACCCGCGTATGTGGGGAGAGGACGGATACCCTCTTAGTAATCAATCAGTCTTGGATGCTATGAGCCGGCCATGCAGGGATAGCGACTTCGATCAGGTCAAGCTGTCACTATGCCTTCTCTGGATCATGCTGACATTGGGTAGTATGGCGACATGAAGGGCGTTGGTGAAGTCCCTGTCTGGCAAACTCAGCTCGCCAAATTTGCAGGTGTACAGGACCGGCTCAGGACATGGCGCGAGGATGTGCTTGACAAGATCAATCATTTCTCGTGCATGCAGATCGCGATGCTAGATCTGGATGGGTTCAGAATGGACAAAGCCGCACAAACACCGGTTGGTGTCCACGCAAACTTCTCCGACTATCAAAGGCGATGTGCGAAGCGCTACGGCAAGGAGAATTTTCTCATCGTTGGTGAAGTTGTCAGTAAGATTCCATATGCTTCTTTACTCATTGGCCGCGGAAAGCAGCCAGACATGCGTTTCGACAATCATACGCAGGCAGTTGCAGCCATCGATCCGAGGAACGACAAGAACTATCTCCGAGAATTTGGATCCGTTGCCTTGGATGGAGACGCGTTCCATTATCCGTTCTATGGCGCCATGACTAGGTTTCTCGGTTTGGATGGTCCTATTGGTCTAGAAGGTGTCGACTTCGTGGAGCTCTGGCATAACCTGCTTCTGCACACTGACATGGGGAATGCGTACACCGGCGAATTCGACCCACGGTTCTTGTGGGGTATGACCAACCAGGACGTATTTCGATGGCCTGCACTCGCCAACGGCACGCAACGACACATCATGGGCCTCGTCATTGCGAATCTGTTGATGCCTGGCGCTCCATTTCAACTCTGGGGTGAAGAGCAGGGATCATACGTTCTAGAGAATCAGGCAAGCGATTATGTTTTTGGCCGGACACCGATGTCTTCACAGCGTGCATGGCAGCTTCACGGTTGCTATAAGTTGGGCGAAGAGGTTTATGTGGATATGCCATTCGATAAAGCACTCCATGGGTGCGAAGACGATTCCGTGAGCCTCGACCATCGCGACCCATCGCATTTCATGCGCAATATCTTCAAGCGCCACTATGAACTTCGTGACCAATACGCTGTGCTGAATGACGGCGCTTTTCTTCAAACACTGTCGCAACAGACTCATGAAGTCTATCTCCATGGCAGCATGGGCCTGCCATCGCCGACTGGAATCTGGAGCGTCTATCGTGGGCCTTTCCCCGGCGTCCAGGACTTCTCAGCAGCGGGTGAATTGGGTAACCAAGGAGTGTGGTTCATCTACTCGAACGACAACAAGACGGTCAACTACACTTTCGAATGTCAAGATGCGGCCGAAGGTCTCTTCGCCCCGTTTCCCGAAGGCACTATCGTCAAAAACTTGTTCTTCCCATACGAGGAGTACAGACTGGGGACTTCCGCTGCACAGTCGAACCTCAACGGCTCTCGGGGAGCCAGTGGTTGTCTCAGTAGCCTCGAGATGCAACCATGGAGCTACAAACTCCTTGTGCCGAAAGACAAATTCGCGGAACCTCGGCCGACGATTACGCGCGTTGTCCCTGGTCACGACGCGCGACTTGTGTCTGAGGTACGCGATGGTGGGCCGCAAACAATTCCTATCGAAGTGCACTTCTCTAGCGAAATGAACTGCGACTCGGCGAAACGAAACTTTTCAATGCGGTCGACAACCTCTGCTGGACTAGTTGCGCATCTCAATACTTCGAGTGTCGTATGCACCAAGGTACCGGTCAAGACAGAACAGCAGTATGTTGGTCAAATCGGTACAGCTTGGGTGATGAGAGGAGAACTCGAAAACGTCTACGATGGCATCCATGTCTACACACTCAACAACATCTCCACAGAGTACACCGACCTCTACACCCAAGCGGTAGATCACTTCATGTTCCGCATTGGTCAGCCTGAGAACCCCATGGTATTCCCTGCCAGCGCAAATTATTCCTCGTCACTCCTTCACCGCGACGAGAAAACAGGAGCGCTCACCGTCACGCATAAAGCTACTGGTGCTGACAAGTGGCAATATACCCTCAACTGGGGTGCAACGTGGAGCGAATGGCGCGACTACACTTCTGTCAATGCGAGCATCACAGAGCAGCCATGGTCTGGCTCGAAAGATCAAGCCTGGGAGGGTGAGCACATTGAGATTCGTTACTGGAGCGAGATGACTGGAAGTATGGAGCACATTCAGCATGGCGATGTCGGCTCCAAAGCTCCTCGTCGCTGGCCACACATGCACGTCACTGGAGAATGGAATCTGTTTGGCTTCGATTCAGGCTTGCCTGACAAAATGCACGACACAGGTACTGGTCAGTGGCACTTCGATATCATGACGGAGTACCCAACAGACGTGATTCTCAGCACATGGGGCATCAATCCAGACGGTCAGCCGGACAAGTCGAAGTTGTACGGCGACGTTGATCTTGATGGTGTCCTAGACTGGCTTCCCCCAACCAGTCTGGGGAAGAACGTCATCAATATCACCAACCCAGGGATGCCATACGTTGGTGTTAAGCTTATTGCGAACGATGGATACCTACGCTACTCGTACCAGCCTGTCGGGTCCGCGTGGAGACAACTCGCCATCCTACTCCTCCTGGCGCTCATCCCGCTCAGTACAGGGTCGCTTGCCATTTCGCTCTTCCTCAAGTCGTTTTACCACGTCAAGTTCAATCATCGTGGTATATCCGAGAAGCGGTCTGGCATCATGGCCGGGCTGCCAACGTTCTCCAGCGTCTCTAAAAGCGTTGTCACCCTCAAACCGTGGACACATAAATCCAAATCCACGGCTCTGTCGAATCCCCTGCGTCAGGAAGGTTTTGCCTTGGAGAATGAGGATCAGCGTCGGACAATTCTCATCGCAACAATGGAGTACGAGATAGAAGACTGGAAGATCAAGGTCAAGATCGGCGGCTTGGGTGTCATGGCTTCGCTCATGGGCAAGAACCTCCAACATCAGAACCTCATCTGGGTCGTTCCGTGTGTCGGCGGTATCGACTATCCAACAGACACAATCGCCGAACCGATGCAAGTCTCCCTTCTCGATCAGACGTATACCATCAACGTCCAGTACCACCGTTTCCAGAACATCACTTTCGTCCTTTTGGATGCACCAGTTTTCCGTGCCCAAACCAAAAACGAACCGTACCCAGCTCGTATGGACGACTTGGAGAGTGCAGTGTACTACTCCGCTTGGAACCAGTGCATTGCCGAGACCTTCAAACGATTTCCTGAGATAGACCTGTATCACATCAACGACTACCATGGTACACTTGCGCCACTTTATCTTCTAACGGATGCTGCACCACCGTGCTGTCTCTCGCTACACAACGCCGAGTTTCAAGGGTTATGGTCCATCAAACGCCCACAAGACCTTGACGAGATTTGCAGAACCTTCAATCTCAGCAAAGATATTGTACACAAATATGTGCAGTTCGGCGAAGTCTTCAATATGCTGCACGCAGGTGCAAGCTACCTCCGCATCCATCAGCGTGGCTTCGGTGCCGTCGGTGTCTCCAAAAAGTACGGTAAGCGAAGTTTCGCCAGATATCCAATCTTCTGGGGGTTGACGAAGATTGGTTCCCTTCCCAATCCCGATCCTAGCGATACTGCACCCTGGAGCAAAGAGGACAAGCTGCCGGAGTCCGTCGACGTTGACACCAACGGCGAAGCACAGCGTGGTATGCTTCGGACCCAAGCGCAAGAGTGGGCAGGCCTACATGTCGACCCTGATGCCGAACTCTTCGTCTTCGTCGGCCGCTGGTCCATGCAAAAGGGCATTGATCTCATCGCGGATGTCTTCCCTTCTATTCTTGAGAAGAATCTCAGGGCCCAGCTCATTTGCGTTGGTCCTGTCATTGACCTCTATGGGAGATTCGCCGCTGCCAAGCTGCAGCGTCTTATGGAGATGTACCCTGAGCGCGTATGCTCCAAACCAGAGTTCACGGTTCTTCCACCCTGCATCTTCAGCGGTGCTGAGTTCGCCTTGATTCCGTCGCGCGACGAACCTTTCGGCTTGGTCGCAGTCGAGTTTGGCCGAAAAGGAGCGCTCGGTGTTGGCTCTCGAGTGGGCGGTTTGGGAACTATGCCTGGCTGGTGGTTTACAATTGAGTCAGTCGCGACCAAACACCTCGTACGCCAATTTCAGAGGACCATCAAGGCGGCCATGGGTTCTACCAAAGAAGTTCGGGCCGAAATGAGAGCGCGGTCGTCTCTGCAGCGGTTTCCGGTCGCCCAATGGCTCGAAGGTCTGGAGAAGTTACAGTCGGGATCGATCAGAACGCACGCGCATGTCACGGGAGCACGCGCATCCCGGAGGTCTGGCGCAAACACACCTGCCATACCCTCTCCTCTGCCTTCCGCTCCGGGGTCAGCTTTCGTCTCACCCGCCAATACGCGACCTTCCAGTCGTAGGATCAGCCGTGCTCCAACCCGAGTCAACAGCCGAGCGACCAGTCCAATCCGCGAAGAGCTTCCGGTGGGAAACATTCCAGCTTTGCCCCCGATCAACACCGCACTTGCTCGACGTTATCGTCCACATGCACCATCATCATCAGACGTATCGGTACCAGGTTCGCCTTCCGAACTTCACTCCGCCAATAGTGTGAATGGCTACAATTTGTTCCCTATCCCAAGCGCTACTGCAGAGCAGGAGGACTACTTCTCAAACGGTGATCTAAGAAGAAGCGTGGGCCGTGCAGCTGTCTCACGAAATATGTCTCGTCAGAACTCTCAGGACTCGAACGTGTCCCAGTCGTCAATTGAGGCTCGGCTTGAATCAGAAGAGCCAGATCGTGTTCCAGACAGTTCAGGTTCTATCATCTCGTCGTCTGCGCATGGAATGAGCGCTCAGCCATCGGTGCTCAGCCTACAAACTGTGGTGGGTGAAGAGAAGAACTATCGAATGCAGAAGGTCGAACCGTACTTCACCGACTCGCAAGGTGTCTATTCAAAGCAGTTCGAGAGACTTCTTGGCGGCCTCAATGGACGCACTTCGACAAACGAGCTTTGTATTGAGGAGTTCATCGCCAGATCTGAGAAGAACTGGTTCGCCCGATTCTATGATGCTAGGCTCGGCGTGAAGAGATCATACTCCAAAGTCGCAAGGGTTCACGTAGAAGAGCTTGCGAGTAGCAGTAGCTCCAACGCTTCCATCCAGACGGAAACTGCTGTCGAGGACGAGTTCGAGCTTGGGAACGACTACACGCCGCCAAAGGGTCTAGAAAAAATTGTTCAGTACAAGGTCCGGGACTGGCCTGTGTATTCCTTCTTCATCGCGCTTGGCCAGATTTTATCCGCAAATAGCTACCAGGTCACCTTGCTTTCTGGAGAGATAGGACAGACCGCCAGCAAGCTCTACATTGTGGCTAGCATCTACCTGGCTGGGTCAATTGTGTGGTGGACGCTGTTCCGCACGTTGCAGTCTCGCTGTGTCATCGCACTCCCTTTCGGCTGCTACGCTCTCGCCTTTTTTGTCCTCGGCATGGCTCCATATGGTACTTCGATCGTAACTCGAGGTTGGATACAGAACGCCGCCACCGGCCTATATGCCCTCGCCTCTGGTTCAGGCTCCCTCTTCTTCGCGCTGAACTTTGGCTCCGAAGGCGGCACCGCAACGCACACCTGGGTCTTCCGTGCCTGCGTCGTCCAAGGCACACAGCAAATTTACGTCACAGTGCTCTGGTACTGGGGTGCGCACCTCTCCGCGCTGAGCGCCACCGGCCACAACCCCACCGGTTTTGCAACCAGCCCATACATCACGGCCGTAACCACACCCGTCGCTTTCCTGCTCGCCCTCATCGGCGTAACCCTCTTCATTGGCCTCCCAGACTTCTACCGCAGCTCCCCCGGCAGCGTCCCCTCTTTCTACAGCGCCCTGTGTCGCCGCAAAATCATCCTCTGGTTCTTCGTCGTGGTCGTTATTCAGAACTACTTCCTCTCCGCGCCGTATGGGCGTAACTGGCGGTACCTATGGAGCTCGAAGCTAGTACCGGCATGGGGCATCGTGATCCTTGTGCTCGTCTTCTTCATCTTGGTCTGGATTGCTGTCTTCGCCGTGTTCCGGCGCCTCTCCATTGAGCATAGCTGGATCCTTCCTATCTTCGCTATTGGGCTCGGTGCGCCGCGCTGGGCTCAGATGCTCTGGGGGACTTCAGGCATGGGGTCGTTTATCCCATGGGCTGGGACACCCGCGGTTGGCGCACTTCTCGGTCGCGCGCTGTGGCTCTGGCTCGGCGTTCTCGACGCTCTACAAGGTGTAGGCTTCGGTATGATTCTACTGCAGACTATGACGCGCTTTCACGTTGCGTTTACGCTTACGGCAGCACAAGTTGTAGGGTCTGTAGCTACGATTGCTGCGAGGGCTACGGCGCCAGATAGGCTGGGGCCTGGGAGTGTGTTCCCGAACCTCGCGCTGAGTATGGATGGGCTAAGTGACGCGGTATTTTGGGTCGCGCTGGTGCTGCAGGGAGTGGTATGTGTGGGTTTCTTTGCGTTCTTTAGGAAGGAGCAGCTGGCCAAGCCTTGAAATCGTCGGGGGAAGATGGGAGGGAAGGAGGCATTCTTACGATTACTTGGAGTGTAATGGTTCCGTCACCAATTTGTGTTTGGCATGTCAGTTTGGCGTTGTTGTCTTCTATATAGAGAGCTAGCTGTTGGAGTTGAGGGTTTAGAAGAGCGTCAACTACGCATTGGATTTCATTGCCATAGATGATCATAGAGTTTCTCTCTTCACCAATACCAGATGCCACTCCTAGACGATAGGATATGAACAATGTAGTACTCGAACGTTCAATTAGACTAAAGCGCAACGGATGTGTATCTACACCCTCGTATCAAATCCCATTCCATCCCACCAACGATCCCTGTAATCCACACACTGTGGGGTATCTAAGAAATCTATCATAAAGAGTGACGCCATGGATTTCTCATCCAATACTATCCGATAGTGTAGGTATCATAATGACCGTAATCCGCACGCCGGCGGGAACTTTTGTGTGCAAACGCGCAAAAACAAGAAGACATTAGTGAGACAGCCACCCGTCTTCGTAAGGAGTGATTTCAGTCAATATTACCCAGGACCGGATATAAGAAAGACAAGAAGAAAGCAAAAAACCCGCATCTATGGTATTTCAAAGTGCGTCTGCAGCCCCGGCGTGCTGGGCACCCTCGCGTGCTTCGACCGCTTGAACGAGTGCATCGGCTTGATACTCTGGTTACCCAGCGAGGCGATTGACGCACGCATATCTTGGCTCTTCTTGCGGCGCTGCGCGAAGTACACGGGCATGATCTTCATGCGGACCGCGCTCTCGACGAGATGCACGCTGAACTCTGTACGCGCCGGCGAAGCTGGAGATGGCATGCCGGGTGACGCGGGCGGTGCGAGAGATGGGCTGCGTGCATGTGGGCCGGGAGTCGTCGGTGTCTTTGGCGTCGAGGTCGAGGTCGACCGTGGTGTATGAGGTACGTTGAGCTTTGAGGATGTTGGTGTGGGCGTGCTGTCGATGAAGCCGCCATCAAGACTATGGCGGACTTCTTCGAGGCTCTGCCGAATCTCCTCAAGGGCAGCGGTGTGGCGGGATGTGTATGAGAGGTGGGAGATGCGGCGCTCGAAGGGCGCGTAGTTTTGGAGGGCGCCTTCGGCTTTCTTTGCGATGGCAGCGGTTCTCTCCTCGGGGACGTAGCGTGGGGAGAGGGATGATTGGTTGGCGAGTTGTTCGGGCGTGGGACGGACGGGGATGCTGAAGTTGAGGCGTGGTCCCTTGGGTTCAAGCCTAGTGGCGGGGAGTTGAAAGGAGGTGCGTGGGATGGAAGGTTTAACGGGGAGGGAGAGAGTTCGAAAAGGTCCTCGAGGCCGGTCTTCGCTTTGTGTACCTCGCGAGCCCTGAGCTGGGCCTGGAGTCACGCGGACGCTAGCTTGCGTGGGCTTTTGGGGAGAAATAAATCCGGCAGGAAGGGTAGGAGATCCATTTGGCGGAGTAGGTAGCGTAATCTTGGGAGAACCCTTTGGCGGAGTAGGCGGTGTAATGATTGGTGATGCCCACCCGTGCTTCTGTTCGGGAGTGTTTGGCTTGCTGCTCGAAAAGCTGGATGTAGGACTGAATAGATCCTTCTCGGTCTTGAAACCTCTGATCGCAGGCTTGACGGTCTTCGTTCCCCGAATGTATTGGATAAGACGAGGAAAAGCTGGGCAGCAAGCCATATACATGATAGCCGTGATCTCAGCGAGCCTGTAATTGGTCAGTATGTGCTATCAACGATCTGTAGGAGCTGATACTTACGACCACATGTGCACAGGCCAGATAGTTTGCGTATAATTGCGGTTCTTATCAACTTGAACACCAAAAGCCAACCTACACACGCTGGCAATGCATGCAAAGCTGCCAATGCTGAACACAACCGCGACCATAGTCTGACGTCTCCCGCTCAACTGGAGCCTGCTGATGCCCCAAACCGCGAAAAGCAGGATCAGAACATCGGAAGCGACGTTGACAGTGCTGGACACGACAATAAGGTTGTTCTGGGAAATACATTTGCCAGACACTGTAGGGTCCACAATCTTTGCTCGCGGTGTGCAGGCAAAGACATTCGTGAAGAACATGGCAGTGTAGCAGAGAGTGTTGACGTAGGCCAGGGCACGCACGCTCCAGAAAATCATCCGCTGCTTGTTGCCGGAGAACATGCGGTCGACTTGAACGAGGATGGAGACCTTTGCGGCGAGCATGATCGGAGTGTACATTATGTCAAGGATATTCGAGTAGAGGAGCGCGCTCTTGACGGCGTCGGCGGAGAGAAGAGCTACGTGCTGACCAAGACCAGCATGTGAGGCGACGAACATGAGTGCGATGAAAACAGCAAAGCACAAGCCCGCAAGGATGGTGGCAACTGTAGAAATTAGCATTTCAAGACCGGTTTGAATCATCAAACTTACGATCATCAATTTGCAACCGTCGCATATCCACCATGTTAATGAAAGTCCTCGCGGCCACTGCTACTGTCGTCAAGAAAAGGCATATCGATGCCGCTGCAATGAGATCTGAAGGAACGTGGAAAGAGGCATCAGCCTGCCTTTGGCTCAATTTTGAGCGAAGCTGCTCTGCATGAAGGAGTGTCGCCGGCATCTTTCTCTAATCCAACCAAGCAAACGAATGCCTAAAGGAAATAATGAAAGACTGTGAACGAAAAAGAGAAGAACAAGATAGATCGAACGAGATGGCGGGTCTCTGTACACTTCGCGGTGACGTGGACCATGGTGTCTTCTTGTAAGTTTTCTATACGTGGCATGGCACTACCATGTTCCCTTGGCTGGTGGTGGTGCATTCCCGAAGGAAGACTGAGGGTACCCGACTGCACGTCAGCTCGCTTGAAAGAGGCGCGGCTATCACAGGCGAATTTGACAAGAATGAATGAACAATACGACCATTTCCTTGTGCACATACTCTTGAGCACTTGACTTCCTCTTTCTTTACCACATACGAAAGTAAACGTCTCGAACTTTATCTCAGGTCTATAGCACCTATTCCACTCTTCGTGTGCGTCCAGGTTCTCCAACTTTTACGGAGCGACGTGGTGGTGAGATGATTGCCTTAAGTGGCATAGGCGCCTCAATCGGTTGCCGACCACCGTGCAGGCGTATTGTTCTTGCAGCAGGTCTAAGAACAGTGTCTTTGTCGGATGCGCAGCCAATAGGAGAGGTGGACTGGCATCAGCACAGCGAGGCTGAGGCTACGGACTTCGGCGCACAGTGCCAAATCGCAGCAGTCGCGTGCTGCACCACCGTGCAGCGCGCTCATTTCGCGTGTCGCCGCAAGGCTGCGCGCTCGGTCTTTGCCATTGTGCATATTTCGTAAATGCGATACGTGAGGCCTTCAGGTGTGCGGCAAATCGCACGAGATTGGATGAGTGTGAAGGTCAGACGCCACGGGGACGTTTCAGAGTTGCACCCTGCCACTTCGCTGACCTAGTAGGACCCGTGGACAGGGCGACTCGGGAGACAGGATAACAACGGCGATCATGGACTTGCAGAGGATCTTCAGCAGGTAGATGAAAGTATTGTTCTTAAGCTGAATACCCTTAGCATCCGCTATTGACAAATGATTCGACTTCGGCCTACAGTTTCGAATCAATCTCGAACAAGATCAACGAGAGACTGGCGCATTGTCTGTTTGTATGCGCTAGCTGTTACATCGACATGGAAGTATTGTTAAGACAGTATCTACACACAGTTTGATCGTTTCTAGAAGCTAATGGCTCTTGCGGCAAGACAGCTTTACAGGCTGTCGTTCGTTTTAGCTGGTGCGGCTGTGGTGCAGCAATATCTTGCAGCTACTACATCCCTTCGCCTAGAGTACGAGGTACGGCAACTTAATCGTGCGTGTCCTAGCACAGGCCATGTACTCTTGCCTCATCGATTCGTGGCGATGCTAACGATCAGCCAGACATAGCAGATGAGCGCCTGCATCAATACGCCAGCGATCTGAAGAGCGAGTTGAACGGCCATGGCTAATGGAAATCTAGGTGTGGTCCAGCGGTTCAAGGGAGGATCCCAAACGTTGTGACCGGCCGACGTGTAGAGCCAAGTCATACAGGACTGTGGCGTAGGAAATGCATGTCCAAAGGTATTGCGCACGGCGTTGCTGAGGAAACAGGTGAGTTAGACGCAACATCATTGTAATTATCAAACCTGTCACGTTAGCCAGGTAGCAAGAGAAACAAAGGACGCTATGCAAACGTTAGCGGCGTCAGGCACGGTAGGAAGGGAGTAAAAGCGCTTAGCCTCTAAAATGGTGAACATGATCAAGAAGGCAAAACCTGTCACAATATTAGGAAGCATGCCTTGCACGGGGTGTTACAAACCACGCGGCAACAGAGTCACGATGTACCGACCAATACCTAGATGGGATCGATCAAATTGTGCTGGCAAGGACACTGTACAAGCCTGCAAGGCATGAGTCCTAAGACTATTAGCACCCCCTGAATCCTCCTCTATCCTTAATCGTTGCCTTTGCCTGTAGAAAGCATTCGTGCGGGAGTACCCTGCTGAGGACAGGTAAGATCTGACCGTAAGGTCCACCGCGCGACATACCAAGGTCATGAAAGACTTTTAAAACCCCATGACAGATCGGCGTCGAGAATGGTCGCAATTGCTGATCCTTCAGCCTCAGGCGGGTCGGTCAATCTGTTGGGAAGCCAGCGAGTACTTCACCACGTAAGTTTGCCCCAGCCAGGCCGAAGAAAGAGAGAACCAAGCATTCCACCAACGCCATATCCGCAAACAATCACCCCAATATCGCCAAGACCATTCCTTAACACTCCTGCATATATAGCACCCTGGCAGATCCGCACCGCAAGCAAATGAAAACACTCTTACCGTCAGAATCCATCTTGGGTCTGAGGGTCCTAGTCGCATACAGTCCCATGGCCGTGCAGGTCTTAAAATGCGGCAGCCGCACCGTAAAGGGAGTTGTAGACCTTGTCGACGACGTAGGAGGCACGAATAGTACGGTAGTTGAAGTTGCGGCCATTGAGGCCTTGCAGAGCCCTTTCCCCTCCGCTGACTGAGTCGAACTTGACGAAAATCTCTCCGTCGGAGTTGGCGTCAACAGCGATGTGAACGACTTTGCCGTACTTGGAGTTGCACTCTGTCTTGACTTCGGTCTCGAGATCCTTCGCCCAATTAGGGCCGAATTGTTCTAACTCCCTATGCAGGTGTTAGCTTGCTTCGTGAGGGAAGGAGAGCGAGTTCACTTACTGGTCAGCATCGAATGCGTTCTGAATCTTGATGCACTTCGAAGGTGCAATCGTGTTCTCAACAGGGGCACGGGCTTTAGCCATCGGCCGGTCGTCCTTTTTGGTGGGAACGTCGACCTCGTTGCGAGCGAGGTTCATCATAAGCTTGTTGCGATCGACCTGCTTGAAGTTGACACCCGCCATGTCAGTATCATCGAGTGCTGAAGCGCCGCTAATGCCACGATCATCTCTACCATGAGCTCTGTCGAAGACACCGCCTGAGCCGCCAGCATAAGCACCGCGACCACCAGCACCACTGAATGCAGAGCCTTGGTAGCTAGCCGCCTGCTGTGGAAAGTTGCGGAGGAGGTGGGCGGTCGACTCGGGCGTGAACTTGTCGTTGCCGAGGCCAACACGAATCTGGCGACCGGCAAGCTCAAAGCCATTCATTTCTGTAAGCGCTTTCTTAGCGTCGTTCGGATCAACGAATCTAGTGGATTATTAGCAACATTACATTGGTGGCAGTGAGGTAATGCATACTGAACAAACCCGTAACCCTTTGAGCGAGTCGGATTCTGCTCGTCACGCTGGAGTGTGACCTGCTCAAGTTCGCCAAAAGGAAGGAAGATCTCCTTGAGATCCTCCTCGGTGACACTAAAGTGGATGTTGCCGACATAGAGGCGGTGGAACGGAGCGCCATTGGTAGCGCTGGCAGCGCCTCCTTCGCCTGCTGCGCGAGATGCACGATTCTTCTCTGCCTCGGTAAGTTGTGCGATGATGGGCACTCCCTTGAGTTTCTGGCCGGTTAGCTCCAGGGCCTTGGGGACAGACTCTTCGTCTTTGAACTCAACGTAACCGACACTAGATGTGTTAGCAGCATCCTCCAAAAACAAATAGTGGTACGTACCCTTTAGAGCGACCAGTAACTCTGTCCTTCACAATTTGAGCCTCCACCACAGGACCGACAGCCTCGAAGAAAGCGCGGAGATGGCGCATCTCGGCGCGCTGGGAGATTTGCTGGACAAAAATGGTACGCTTGTCGCGGTCATCCTCGGTTGGCTCGGGCGTTGGAGTACGACGGCGACCACTGCCACGACGGTCGTCAGCGTCCCTATCACGGGGAGCGCGGTCGCGGTAACGATCCTCACGACGATCATCTCGGTTCCGACGAGGGGAGCGAGAACGTCCACCTCGTCCGCCACCACTGTAGTAGTCGCCTCCACGATCTCCACCACGGTCCCTGCGACCTCCACGGTATCGGTCCCGTGAGTTGCTGCGACGTGGATACCTAACACGTTCTTCATCTGTGTCAGCATCCTTGCTCTTGCTAGACCGAGGTCGGCTTCCATCTCTGCGCTTGCGCTCACGGCTGTGGCGCCGCTCCCCATTAGACTCACGAGGTTGGTATCGGTCTCGGCTTCGGTCTCGATCACGGCCGTGGCGGCGGCTGTCACGGTAGTCACGATCGCCATTGTAACGATCAGACCGGTCGCTGCGGGTGCGGCGATCATCCTCCTCGCGGTCGCCAGACTCGGGCTTCACTTTGCGCTTCTGCTCATCTTCGAGCTCCTTGGCCACGTTGTCGAGGAAGTTTTCCACCTCCATCGCGTTATTGCTGCGCGGGGGCGAGCTTTCTTTCTGGGTCCTAACTGGTAATTGAGTAGTATCCGATCTCTGCACGCGCATGCGAACAGTGTCGGTCAAAGATGTGTGCAGTGGGACTGTGTAGCAAGGAGACTGCGAGTGGCAAGTACGATCGAATTACCTCAAAAGAGATATAACAGCAGCTGCGACGAGCGCGGCGGTTGACTGTCTTCGGATTGTTACGTGCGCGGCTGCGGAGTTCGCGAGCGTAGTGTTGTTGGCGCAGGCAAGAGGTGCGGAGAAGAGGGCAGGCAGCTTTTGAAGACGGCAGGAGCGCACAGACCACCTCGGCTGCGCGGTCACATTTGGATTATGTCAGTCGGTGGCGCCGTGAAGGCAAGTTTCTTGCGCGAAACATACAATATACAGACTTGACGTGCGGTGAAGAGAGAAAGGATAGGCCAGTGTTCCCCAGTCATAGCAAGATAGGTCTTCGAGTCGCGTATTACATTACTAGGTCTATGAATGGGTCCCACACACATAATACTCGTACAAACCAACGCCTACCCAACGTCAAATCATATACATCTTCCCTAGTTGGTCTTGAGGACCTTGGGTGGTGCCATCTCCAACTCAGTGCCAAAGACCCAATCCCAGAATCGACTGCTAACACCAAAACCATTCTGGTAGTCGGCAAAGTGGTGCTTGAGATGGTACTTCTTCAGCTCCCGCCAATATGCCGGCAAATTGCGGTGATGAAGGAAGTAGTGAGTCATGTCGTAGCATACGTATCCGAAAATTCCACCGCAGTACGCTACGAGGGCGGCGTGCCAGTTCCAGAAGACGATGAAGTGGGCGAACTTCCAGAAAGGCGCGGCGAGAGCGGCAAAGAGAGTGGGCGGCATGACGAGGCGGTACTTGTCCATTGGGAGGTAATGGTGGATACCGTGGAGGATGAAGTGCAGCGTGATACCAACACGATTGTCAGGAAGGTAGCTAGGAATTATTAGCATATAAGCACATCAACTTGGCGGGGCAAAACTCACTAGTCCAAGTGGAAGAGAAATCGATGCAGAATATACTCCAAGAGCGTCCAGAAAGCCAGGCCAAACAGCCAATACCCCAGAGTCTGCGCTCCACCCAGTTCTGAACATCCCCATGCGGTCCCCGCAATCACGGGAGGAACCCACAGCGTTGGTACTATCCACCACGGCGTCTTGCTCAGCGGCTCCAGAAAGTTCCCGAACAGCGGCGCCGAGTCTCCGCCCTTGTAATGTCTAGGTCGATGTACCTGCTCCAGATAGAAGTCCTTTTGGAAACCGCCATTCCAGACTTGTAGAAACAGCGGTTTTGATAGGTCGAGAAATTTGTGTTCCTTGTAATCCGTGTCGAAGTCGGTATCTCTGGACAGATCCTCTGCTGTCGACATGCCTGTCGCAGCGTACATTGGTTGTTGAGCAGCTAGTTCGGCCTGGCCCTCTTTTGACGGCGGGAGGGGCACGATCTCAGCGGGCTTGTTGCTCTTGGTAGCGCCGTTCATAATAGGTTCCGTAGGCATGAAGCCAACCAAGCTCTCGTCTAGAATGTCGTATGCTGCCTCGGAGTGTGTATGCGACACCTCATCCTTCAAAATTGCGGTTACGTCTTTTCCACCATATTCCAATATGAGGTCACCGCCACCGGGGTGATCATCCAGAAAGTCAGTCACGTCGTAAACCTTCGCGCCGATAGTGACATAGCAGCTCTTGCTGGTGTTATGCGCCTGCACATCGGCAGCAGGAATGGTGGGCAACGTGCGAGCGGGCATTGTGAAGCGGTCGGAGTAGTGGCGAGCGAGGCGGTTGCAGGTTTCGACGACTGGTCTCTGAAGAGTCTTCTCTTCGACTTGGAATGCCGAGCGTCGAAAGAGAACGCGTAGCAATAAACTTGCGGTCAAGCTACAGACAGCCCGGGAGGCAAAACAGCCACGGCGCTAATAGCGGAAGGTTCGGATAGGGTGGAAATGCAAGGCTTGGATGTTCGCCTTCAGAATCTCGAGCAGTCCACGTCACGAAAGGATTAAAGGAGCGAATACAGAGCGTAAAAGAGCAGACTGAAGAGGGGCGGTCGAGAGTGCTCAGGAGAGTAATGCACGCACGGCCACGAAAAGTTAGCCTAGCGAAATCACCCCAATGTCACCAGCAAATCGCGAGACCTCTCGCCACGCGCATCGAAAACTATCCGGCTTCCGCGCTCGGTGGTTCGGTCTTCCAGGAAAAATTCCCACTTGTGAAAGGGATGCTCTTATCGATAACAGCATTCCACTCTAGCCTTGTCAGTTCGATCTGCCGCTTCTACACGTCGGCAAGCCATCGGAGCCGATCGGCAAGCTACAAACCTTAGAAAGAGATTCGACCGGCCTCTTGTCTCCGCCCCTTCGCGGACACTTCAGCAAGCACACCGCCGACGCAGTCTCCTCAAGGTACATACTCATCTCAGCTCAGCGATTCGTAGAGTCTGATGTGCAAAGGTTCCCGTGTACTCAGCACGCAAACAGATGCTTTCTACCGATGTGCTTAGAGGTGTGTATATGCCTTTGCACAGACTGTCAAGAATCGAACCCTTTCCTGTAATGACATCGGACTTGTTCCACATACACTATGTTGGCGTCAGTCATTAGGAATTTCCAGCATCATCTGAACAAACATCAGAAAGAATTCTCTACAAAAAGCAGCCTCGCTGCCATTTTCATACGACTTCTACATTCCACGTTGTTAAACACTCCCAGCAGGGCTAGCAACTCCTTCTCTAGCATCCGCAACTCGTATCCGCTCTAATTGTCATGTCCGCACAGAGAGTAGACAACTACGAAAGCGCAACGCGTACTGCACTCCGGCCAATCCCTCCAATCCTCTCTCACCATTCCATCCCTCAGCAATCCGACTGCGATCGTATCTGCGCAGTACTTGGGCGTCCAAGGGTCTTGACCCCAAGCTCGTCACACATCATACACATTTCTTCCACAAATCCACCGTCATCTTTCCCATGCACGACCGTTTCCCACCCCTGCACCTTCCTTCCTTTTCTAGCCTCTCCTAGCTCATTCAATCACAACAAGCCGTGTACGTACGTACCTGCAACCCGGTCTGTGGACATGTGTAGCCAGCCTCGGCCCTCTTTCCTCATCGGAAGCACGCGCTCCCGATGCAGGCTTCATACTTCGTATCTGCCCTTCCACTGTCGCACCTACATAGTACTACACCTCGTGTCTAACCACACGGTCGGTCCGACCTTTTCGTCTGCACCATCCCGTACTGACTGCTGCATCCGCACACACCGATCACTGCAGTCCCGTTTGGCAGAAAGGCCAGTGACGCAACTCCGCTTCTCTCTCTAAAGGTGGCTGAATTCCATTCGGAAAAGTACACTGGCTGGCGAGCTGGAAGAATAATAGCCTCAGCTCTAGCCTGTATGCCGGCTGGCTAGCTACAAGGTAGGCGGGTAAAAACCATACCACGCTACCATAATACGAGAAGGCTGCAGACAAGGCCTAGACGCAAACCACACCACAAACAACCCCTACCTAGGGTATCTCGTCATTGGCCAAGCGAGTTCAAATCCTACGTCAACAACGTTCACGCGTAGATGCGCCATCCTTGTCTTTCGATATTACGCATGCCTGTCGATAACACAACCTATCGGGAGCCAGCTTTTCCATGAACTTCGCCAACAACTGACGACGACGATGTGTGCGCGTCCCACGTGCGCAAGCGAAAACCTTGGAAAAGGGCCGAACCCATGCCATATGTTCCAGCCAGCCGCTCATGTTCGTATCGTACGTCTTTCCTATACTAGACCCGAATGCGAGCCACACCACCAGGGTACGTTTTGGTCATTGGACGATGGCACGTTGCACAAGCCCTACGACAACCAACATTCGCGCATACGCGTGCTATCTTGAACTGTTTATCCTACCGACGTCTAAGTATACATCCTCTACACGCTTCACACGCCGATCTCATCCCTGCCATTCAAAAAAAGTCTCGTGCATCCATTCAACACAGCCAGTTTTTCTATAATAAACAACAGCACCACCAACAATGGACGATGATGATGTGTGCCTAAGCCATGCGCGGAAACAGAAACGCTGAACCCATGTGCCACATCCTAGTCAACCACCCATGTATGTATGGTCCCCCGGGCCCCTGCAGTGGAGAGACCCTTCCCAAATTCGCAAAACGCTTCCGCTTGCAAGCATTACCCCCTCCTAAGACATGCATACAATCGTACAGGTTCACGGCGCCAATTCTCATCCTACCGACATCGACGTACAGTTTGCAGCCCTAACTTACAGATGGCTATCATGCCTGCCCTTAACACTGATATACTTGTCAACGTGACAGCGACCTTCCGCCTCTGTAGAGCAGCTAGCTCTTCCATGAACACCACTGACTAAAGATCAATCACGATAAGTGCGTAAGCCTCGCGTAGACCGTATGTACCCGTGAAATTGCGACCGCTAATGTATGTCCCTCCAACCCCTGCGCGATGCCAGTCCCGATTCGCAGATGCCTCCCAGTCTGAGGTATATATGTAATCGTACAAGTACAGCAAAACGAACCATGAAAGAAGCGCATATGCAAGATGCAGGCGACCAGCGAATGACGAGAAATGCATGCAACCCAATGCAGGTAGGTAGGCAAGAAATACGAAACTCGAAGAAAAGTTCTTGCCTTTTCCCATGTACGTCAGAACGTATGTATCGCCCCAAGTGGAAGGCGTCAACTGCACGTCCTGTTTGGCTTCAGAAGTCGTCTTCCTTTCCGCCGAAAACGCCAATGACACGCCCTCGCTCCTCACTCACCGCAGTCTTTCTCCATCATCGTAGATCCTCCCGAGAATCTCACTCCCACCCGCGGTGGGACCGGGCGGCCGTTCCCGTCCTTCGCCCTCGCCAATCATAAGAATCGTCATTTCCACTCAGTTCCCTTGCATCCAGCAGGGCGCCCCAGTATCCTGCGCCGCGCCCTGAAAGTCGAAATCTCCCGCCATGCCAAATGGCGCGTCAAGCATATCCGGCAGGTTCGTATCCCACATCATATCGTCCCAGAACCCGCTGATGTTGGCCATATTCGGATCCCTGCCCCAGCCTTCCATCATGTCGGGGTTGGCGTTCATCGCAAAACCATAATCCGGGACAGGCGCAGCTGCACCGTAGGCGAAGCCACTCAGGCCTTGCATGTCTGGCGCAAACTGGGGTATGTTGGGATTAGGGACCTGCTGCGCGCCAAGCGAGCCGGGCTGCGCTGGAAATTGCATCTTGTACGCCTGGTAAAGTCTCGATACGGCATCGAGGCTGCGTTTAGCGGCGATACTCCAGGGCTTGCTGCGCGCAAAGAAGGTAAGCGCCGTCTCGATTGAAGCACACCACTTCTGCGTCTCCTCGGGGACGCTCGTATCGCTGAAAAGGGATACGAGAGGCACCATGCAGGCCTGAAAGGTGAACCAAACGGCGTTCCAGCCTGAGATGAGATCGGGGAGACACTCGTTGGAGATGTCTTCGATTGTCTTTGCGGCGATGATGCGGCATTTGCCTACGGAGACCTTCTCTTCTGCGCTCAAGTCTTGTAACGGACATCGGCGCAGTGCCGAAACAAGTAGGGCGGGGCGGTGAAGGACGATGCGCAGGTTCTGGAAGCGCCACTTCATTACTAATCGCACGCGTCGTAGGAAGTCCGGGCAGGATTCGAGAGGATTCGAAAGGATTGGAGGGAGTTCGTCGTGCCATTTGATGATGTCCGCGTCATAAGCGGCGATCTCCGCCCGTGAGAGAAGTGGTGACTCGACAAGACGATCTTGGATCTTCGTGGCTATGGTACAGAATTCGGAAGCGTGGATCAATGGCAATACTCTCAAGTATTCGAGGTACTGTGGACTGTTCGGTTGCGGAAGGATGCCCTGGTGTATCATTAGCAGCAGTTCCTCCTCGTTCGATGTTTGGCATACCGAATTGTTGGCCGTGCCAGGACGTAACACCGTGATGGATGGTCCCATCCGCCCTAAAGATGGTCGTCCAGTGGTGGTTGAAGCCCAAGCATCGAGACAGAAAAGACTCCACCATATACGCCGCCGATTTTCGGGCGAAACAGTGTCTCCTTCACCAGGACCCAGAACACTGAGTAGTTGATTGTTGTCGTGCGTTGCTCTGTCCGAGTATTCCCGGTGTAGTCCTAACGCTGTTGCCATTCGAAGCACGCCACCCATGAGTGAATGAGCTTCATTCGGTCGATTCAAATAGTGCATGTAGTACCCGCTCATGATAGCGAGAGCCTGCAGTACCTCAAGGTTGCCACTACCAAAAGATTCGAACGACAGATGCCGCCGTGATCGATTGAAGTACACGTAGTGTGCCTCGTTGCTCGCTGTCGAAGAGGCCAATGATCCCAGTGCAAAGACGATGTTGAGCAGTGCTAACCAGGGTGAATCTCTTCTGTCTCCTAGTAAATACGTCGACCAGAATTTCCGTTCTTCGATCATGGGAAAGAAGGGATGGACACACTCAAAGTAGCTCTCAATCAAGGCCTGCCCTTGAGGAGGTGGAGGCAAGGCGTCTGGTCTGTTATCAGCTAGTTCCGGCGCTGGAGAATTTGCCCGGCTCGGCAGAACTGTCTCGTTGTTGCTCTGGGCAATGAGAGGTCGCGCCTGGGGAGCACATCGCACAATGACTTTGAGCGCTGCTGTGATGGACGATATGCCAACGTAAGAGGAGAGTCGGTCAACTGACAACGAAAGACCATTTACGTCGTCAGACACGCCTTGCACGCGGAGCTGGTGTTTGCGAGCTTCGTCCCAAAAAGGGTCTTGGGGAGGAGCCTGTTCAAGTGCCTCGAGGCTTTCAGCGCCTCCTGAGCCGTGGCTGAGGTCTGATATCGAGTGGCTTTCTACAGTAGGTGATGGTGTCGTTTGCGCAGGACCCGAAGTTGACAATGCCAGCTCCAGCAGCTCTTCGCGCTGCATTGAGACCAGAGACTCAATCTCATCCAAAGACTTGGAAGGGTACAGCTTGGCTATGATGGTTTTGTACTGCTCGATATTGGTCGATAGCTTATCAACCAGTCTGACTCGTTTAGTCTGAGATGTCAATGTTCACGAGCCACTTACTTCCGGCTGGGGACTACCCTCTGTGCGGGCTTCGAATACCCGCATGCCTCGGGATGCTGGTACCACTGACACTGACCGCATGGCTGGGAGCCATCACAGCGAATTTTTCGACGTCTGCACTCGACACAGGCGTTGCTCGTTGATATCCGACGTGAAGCTGCAGTCCGGGTGGGTTTGCCCGTCACGCCGTCGTCTGCGACAGGTGAGCGTAGGGCGGTAGACGACTGGAAGGTGTGGAACATGTCGCCTCATAAGTCTTCGGATGGGTGATGGACAAGGGGACCGGCCAAGGATGAGATGTGTGGCTCGGCAGACATAGGCTCTGGCGATGCGGAGGGGAGGATGAGCAATGGATGGTGGCTCTCGTGCGAACAGCGAGAGCAGGGCAAGGCGGAGATGTAGAAGGGGCCAAATGGGAAGGGTGGTCGTTGCGAGACGGCTGCAGGCAGCTATGTATAGTGTACGGGAGGGAGAGCAGTGTATGCGTCCGGGCTGCTGTCGGTTGCCATGGCTCGACCGACTTCGTCTGCGCCTGTCGAGCGTGCGATGCTAAAGTAGTCGAGGAATTAGCCCCCGCATTATAGGCCTGCGGCTGCCAGGACCTGGGGCAGAGAGCCGCCGCGACGGGTGGCGTCCAGGCAGGCCAACGTCGAGAAAGCCGCATTCGGCGCAACGGCAAGCGAGGTTTCGGTGGGTACGTGATGCGCTTCGAGAAGGCTTCTACCTCGCAGCTGGCCGTGCGCGCTACTGCCCGCCGGTCGCACACGGCGGATCGTCCCTTCCCCATGCCCGCGACATGGCATGACGGAAGGCGCGCCCGTCGCGCCTGCCCGGCACCCAGGCGGGCGCGGGAAGGGGCCATCGTAGGGCAGTTGGCATTGCGCGCGCCGGCAGTCGATTCATTAGGGTTTCCAGAGGCCGGGTACAACTATGCGCCGTCTGCCCACTTCCACCACACATCACGCACGCCCACCCTCTATCAGCACACGTTAATATGCACCCACTCAGGCGCCGTCTCGCGCTGGCCTCTCATACGACCCTCTCATTTCCTTGCCTGCCCACCTCACTGACACCCTATACTAGCCTCACATATACCCCCGTCCAATATCCTTTGGCAAAACTGCCCGACATCATCCCCTGTCTTACAGCGCAATCCGCAAGCCATCCGCCAACGACAGGCCTGCTCCCGGCTCACATCACCGTTGCGGCGACCACCATCCCGTCTCTCCACCCTCGTCTACTGTTTGCTAAACTTTGTCTGCGGTTGCATTGCCGCGACGTGCACGCGCCGCGTCACCCGTTGGCCAACCTGCAGTCTCTCCACCTCAACTATTCCTGCTCCCCCAGACCAGGCAGCGATGCCGCAATGCCTTTGAGTGTCTGCTGAGACTGCATCAAGTGCGACCCAGATATGTCCACTTCAGATGCCTGTCGCCCTTCGCAAGCCCCCTCACCTTGATCATCTGTTCGTCTCCCGGCACCACATCGACGGCACTGTCATGCACCAACACACCTGCCCTCTCTTCGAACACTAGTCCCTTTGTGGGCTTCGATGCTTTGACCAGGATCGTGTCGCCCTGAGGCCTGACTTCAACGCCCCGGTCTTCCAAGTCGAGGTACTTGAGCGGCTGCGGCCAGTCGACGTCGCGCGATACGATGTCGCCGTTGACCCAGATCCTGGCGGCCAGAACATGAGGCTCTTCCGTCACGTTGTCGATGGACCCGGATAGCACGTCGGTGGTCCCGTTCGCCACCAGCTTGATGTCCTGCTTGACCAACTTTTCCTTAATTTCCTTGCCTGTCGCAATCGACACGAAGCGAAGCTCAACAGTTGCAGTTAGTTCAGCTGGCTGATTGCTCGCCACCCACACCTCGTAATCGCTGGTCTTCGGTACGCGAGCATGAACCACGCTCCAGTCAAAGTGTGCCCGCTTGACGGCCACTGCAACCGGTGCCAAGGCCCGTCTCATGGCGTAGTATGCAGGCTTCTTTCGCTGGAAGTAATCGATAATCGACCATGATGTAACAGGCCAGCAGTCATTCAGCTGCCAGACCAATGCACCGCCGCAGTAGCGCTGCTGACCCCACTGCTTTCGCCAACCACGGTATCCGAACATCAAGGCCTCGGCTTGGGATAGTTGCGTCAGATGGATAAATGACTACCATGCCCTTAGTCTTAATACCCATATTATTATTAACAACTTCGCGAATATCAACACTTACTTCTAAATCAGTCTGTGTTCTGAAATTCTCCACCAAGTACGTTGCAATCCTTCGTTCGTGGCCATCGGCTTTGTTGTGGAAATCCAGCATATGCGACTGAGGATAGAGTTGCTTCGGGTCCGTGCAATAGTACTTGATAGTATCAATATGAGGAAATGCTTCCATGCCAAATTCGCTGTTGAACCGTCCGCCGAGCGTGTCGAAAATTTGGTATTTTTCTTGGGTACCGTGCCATACTGATGTAATCGTCAGCGCACTCTTCCGCATTCCTGGTGAAAGGTAGTTTTCCTCACCGTTCCATTGGTGCATGTCACCGACCGTGTTGTTTGAGGTACGCAAACCATCTCCCCAGGGACTACCAGGGTGGTATGGTACATGCGGACTTTCGGCAGCAACAACGTCGGGCAGGAGCTGCCCGAACCTTCGTCAGAAGTCTGGACGCATATTGAGGGGGCGCGCGCTTACCTTCTCATATATATATCTCGCAGGGAAATCGGTCTTGAGCCAGCTCTCTGGATCTTTGTCTTCATATTTGTATGTTAGGCCGAATGACTCTTGCACCTGGTAGTCTTCGTTGTTGCCAGCGTATATGACAATAGAAGGGTGGTGACGCAGTCGGGCAACGTTAGCCACACACTCGATTTCGATCGATCGAAGGATGGCCGGGAATGCTGGATAGTTGCCACAACCGAACATGAAGTCTTGCCAAATCAGAATACCTAGTTCATCACAAAGCTCGTAAAAAAACATCTTCCTCCCATATGCCTCCGCCCCAAATACTGGCACCGTATTAGTCGAATGTAGGTATTGCGCTCTAAACGCAACGTCATGAATCGAGTGTACGTACCGTATCATGACCTGATAGCCATCGACCATCGTTTCGAGCCATCTGCGATACCTCCCTTTTGAGATACGGGGCGTGAACGAGTCAGCCGGTATCCAATCCGATCCACCACAGAAGATGTCGACGCCGTTGATCCTGAAAAAGAAGGTTTTCCCCACAGAGTCTGGCTCTTGAATCAATTCTCCTTTGCGGAAGCCGGTCCGACGGGTCGCTTGATGCAAAGTGACACCGTCAGCTGACACAGTCGCAGTGACCGTGTACAGCGGTTGATCTCCATACCCATGAGGGTACCAAAGCCGAACATCGCCCACTCTAAATTCAACCTGGGCGACACCACCGTAGATGTCCGCGGAGATCTGGGAAACCAAGTCTTCTCCACAGCGCATTTCAAATGACACACTCTGGCCCGATGACCCCTCTATTCTAGCCTCTAGGGACCCAGTAGCAGTTTTGAGACTCTCATCTAGAGCATATTCAATACGAAGATCCGTGACTCTCGAATGATAAGTTTCCAGTCGGATAGGTCGCCATGGGCCGCAAGTGTTGAGCATAGGTCCCCAATCCCAGCCCCAGTGGTACTGCGCTTTTCGCACTGCCAGCCGAGACATGTCGCCGTTGAAGCCAACCCACGTGTGTTCTGGGTGAGCTTCCCGAATCTTGATGGCTTCCAATCTTGCAGAGGCGAAGTCGACTTCGAGACTGTTGGCCGAACCCTGCGCCACCCGTTTTGTGATGTCCACACGATGAGGGATAAACATATTGTCGCTTTCGAGGATGACTTCGCCATTGAGCTTGACAGTCGCAAAGGTGTCGAGGCCATCGAAGGCCAGGACCGTAACAGAGCCATCTTGCGGGACCTTCATATCTGGCAGCTGCACTTTGTACGTCCAGGTTTTATCTGCTACCCACTCGGCCTCAAGCTCGTTAAAGCCCAGAAAGGGGTCAGGTATCCTATGCAGAGACGCGTTTTAGTCAATGCCTTGGAGTAAACTTCCAAATACTAGGGCACGTGATGACATACTTGGCATTATCGATGAGGTCCAGATGAACATTGGTCGGGACTCTCTTGACCGGCAGCCATGCATTTTCCGAGGTGTCGTCGGCCTGCTTGAAAGTCCAACCGTCCGTCAATTCGTGTACGCTTGTCGTCGGAGCCATGATGCTATTCGCCCTCTACGTAGATATCCAGGCCTCAAGATGGTGCTGCAAGAAGAGCCTCGGACTACTTTAGGCCAGAGTGTGTAGGAATGTACTACAGGCGCTGGAGAGCAGTTCGTCTCCCTCTACATATAGCGCAATGACCATTGTCGCCGACGCGGCACAGGAACGCACTCGTCAGACCTCCGCCGGTCCATTTCAGAGTCGCTGGTTGCTCCAAACAGACATTTTGTACCACTGTGGAGTAGCTGCTGCGCGACTTTACCCAATGTAAGCTGTCGCAGATAACAGGTCCGTGTCTGATCAGGTATAGCGACTAGGCGAATGCAGCGTGGTCGGAAAATTATAAACAGGCCAGCCGCGTGAGGTGGGATTGCCCGCCGCGGTAGCCGTTCGATGGGGTAGTGGAATGCCTTACAGAGGACGGGGTGAGTTTCTCCGTGACGTTTGCAGTCGTGGAGGTGAAGTGTGCGGCTGTCGAGCCAGCTTGGTGGGTCGATATGGGATGTGTCGATCTTTGGGCGGAGGCAAGCACGATGCGGGCGTGTCGGCAGCAGCTCCCCGATGCTGGGGTCTACCAAACGCATCAAACACAGACGAACTTCTCGTGAATCGCCACCAATTGCAGCGCCTCTTTCGTCCAGATATATGGAGTCCTGCGTGTCTTGGTAGCGGTCAGCGTACGAGCATCATCTCCCTTCCAGAGGCGCACGCACGTTGCTGAGCCCCCCCACGCGGGATGTGTATCAGGGCAAATTCCTGCAACTGCACCAACACCGGCATTCGAATAAGAGGTGGCTTGAGATTACAAGATATCATGACGATACCCCCACCGCTAGTGTGTAGCATCTTACAGCCACACCATTCGCCCAGAGGTTCGCTCTGCAACGCGGCATTGCTGTACTTTGAACGAACGTGAAGCAGGAACGTATTGCATGATGCACGTGTACGCATGCATGCTGCAGCGTTCGGCTCTCCTCGCTGTCCGCTGTCTCACAGACGACGATGATTAGCATCCCTGGAACGTAGCACTCCGTGCTGAGGAGATGCGGCTCAATTAGGGTGAATGGGAGTACGCTGTATTTGAGGCAAAAAGGGTATCTCGAGCTATCCAACAGCGCGCAATAGTACATTAGCCTACGTCTCAGCTCGTGGAAATAACCGTGAGCGAGACATTTCGCTCTCAACAAAACGCCGCATATGCAAGAACACTTGCAGCCAACACAAAATTAACCATTGGGACGGTGTTGTCCAACGGGATGATCCGCTCCGCTCCGCTCCGTTTGAGGAGTGTATTGATCCTTTGGCGATGCATCAATTGATCCCTCTTGTCTTTCGATACATGTCCTTGCTGTGCAAGCTGAAGCATCTTGTCAGACTCCGTCGCCAGGATGTTGGTGGAACGCGCACCGGGGCAGAAAACGACTTCGAAACCAGCTCCGGATGGGATGATGAAAGTTGAGGTCTGGTCGTCGAAGGCTGCACAACCGACTTAGTACAATGTCCGTGTATAGAAGGCTGCGCAACTCACCATAACTGTAGGCATCCGGACAGATGGCTTTCACGTTCTTGGAATAGTCGCTCGGCTTGCAAGCGCTCGGCGAGTTGTACTTTCCTGTACAACAGTCTTCTGGCTTATTGTTTTTCGCACATGCAGAATAGCAAGGATTGAATGCCGGTCTTTCAATGTTGTCATCCGGGTACGGGTACACCCCGTCTCCGGGCTTCTCGGGAGGGCTCTGTTGCAAATCCCAAGGGCACCATCTCGATACTTGCTTGTCATTAACCTTCTGCTCAAAAGGAAGCGGGTAGGAGCTATTGGTTCGGAGGAAGTCGGGATGGTCGCCATAGGGATCGTAGCTTTGCTGTGCCAACAGGCCTACTGTGCCTTGACATGAAGGGTTCGTGAGGTTTGGAGGAATATCATCCAAGCTGACGTTCTGAAGCGGCTGTAGCACTATCGCCATCGGGATGTTGTATCCATCGACGAGTGATATGTCGTAGTACGTATGCCCATCGCCAGCATCGAGCGTAAACTCCGCGAGAGAAACTGGCACATCACCCTGTAGATTGTCAATCTGTGTCACAGCATAGTGTGACTCACTCCAGTATACGGTAGCGGAATATGGGCGGTTTGGAAGAGCTTACCCCGACCCTGCAATTCACTACTCCATTACAGTCGCCCGAACCGCACGCCTTCGGTCCTCCATCACCCGGTTTTGTACCATCATCATTAAAGGAGCAATTGGTCCTCCCCCAGACGCGACCCTGCCAATCTTCTGAGACGGTCTGATTGTGCGAGTCTCCCGGTTCAAGCTTGAAACCATTCTGCATTGGGCCTTCTCCAGATTGCGTCGATATGCCAGGATAGATGACTTCAGGGCAGTTGTTTGTAACCAACAATGGCGTCATAGGCTCTTTGCGGCGATCAAGCTTACGCGGAGCCTTTCGATTCATATGATGCACTCCATCTGCGATAGGTATTGACGAAAGGGCGAGGAAAGCTGTATATATGCGAAGGACAGAGAGGAAAGTAGAGGGTGGAGCATGCGCCCGGTCTTTGAAGAGGAACATCGTCCTGGCCGCTGGTGGGAATGTATTGTCAACGATAAGGCGGGTTCACGGTGTGAATGCGGCGAGAGGAAAGAATAGCAGCCAGTACAGATGTGAGATTGCGGCTATAGAGTGAGCGTTGAGGCGAGCGATACGAAGGGTCTAGGGCTGACCGGGCGAGAGGTGAGGGTGGAAGTAAAACAGGAGATGCCGAGCAGCGAATCCGACGAAAGAAACAAGGAATCTACATTGCTGCGCCTGGCGCATTGTGCCGATCTGAACAGGGCGAGGAAGTCGTGATCCTGGATTGTGGTATGGAGTGACGCAATACTGTACCTGCCAAGCGCGGCAACGCCAGGGTCCGACGGCCGCGCTCCACCAATCACTGCCATTGACTGCCATTCACTGTAGAAACGTCGGCTGTAACTTGGTGTCGCAAGTTGGTTGCTTGGGCATGAGCGTGAGAGTCAATCTAAAAGAATTTGATTCGTTATACAATTATCGTCTATCTTGTGACGGCCTATACTGCACCGCCACATGTTTTAGACATTCAAGAGGTGAGTAAGAATATGTAGAAACGCCCCTTAGCCACTGAGGGCGTCCGTAACTAAAGCCAGCTCAGTCCAACAACAAAATGGTATCACAGACATGCGTCGTCGTCCCCGCGATGTTTTCCATCGGAATCAAGAGGCCATCTTTACAATAGCAGGACAGCTGCAACAGCTCCCAAGGTGAGACCGAAGAGTGATTGTGAGCCGAATGTGTTGGATGCAGCGTTGGTGGTTTGCTGAGCCGGTGCGCTGGAATCGGTGCTGGAAGCTCCCGTGCCTGCGCCGCCGGCACCGTTGGCACCGTCCGCAGCAGCCGAGGACTGAGCAGTGTTGCCGCCGGTGTTAGTGCCAGTTCCAGCACCTGCTTGGGTTCCAGAGCCAGGAGCTTGTCCGGGGCTGAGGTTCTCAGTTGCGCCGGCAGCGAGGGCCTTAAACGCGGTCATGGTCTTGTTCCCGGTCTCAGCACTATCAGAACGTCAGCTTGTTAGCACCTAGTATGTAGACAGAGGGTACTTACGCGTTGATAGCGCCAACCATTCCACTTTGGCAGTGCTTTGCTTGCGAGCAGTAGAACCATACGGGCTTGGTGTCCATGACACGGATTGTGTAAGTGAGAACCTGGGAAGTCGCACCGACGGAAGCGTTGGTTGGCATGAAACCAGAGAAGAAGGCGGTCGTCATGTTAGGCATTACGTTTTGGATCGGTGTGCAGGGCTGGTCGAACGTGGACTGGACTACGGAGTGGTTCTGCGCGAAGTTAGGGCTACAATCTCATTGTGGAAACGTGCTGAACATACCTTGGGGTGGAACTGGAACTGTACAAGATCACCAACTGCCGCCTTCACGTTCTCAGGCGAGAAGGTCAATGATCCATTCGTTCCTCCGACTTGGATGACATGAGTGGCGATGTCTCCTGCCGATGCGCCGCCTGTTGCTGCCGCCGATGCGGTGCCGCTGGAAGCTGCGGATGCTGTTGATTCAGCCTGGCTAGATGCGAGTGTCTCCGACGCCGCAATAGCTGTACCAGCTGCGCCAGCTGAGGTTGAAGAGGTTGCCAATCCTCCTGAAGCTGCTTCTCCCATGTGCGTAGTGGAGGCTGCAAGTCCTAGAAGGGCAGATGCGATGAAACTCTTGGAGAAATACATTGTTGCTGTACTGGGCACGATGTCAAAGAGTGACCTTGATTACTAGAGTCGTATGGCTTGAAGAGAACGGTGTGATGGCGACTAGCGCTCAAAGCTGGACTGGCCAGGAATTACGAAGTGAATGAAGAGAAAGACGAAAGGAAAGGCGGTAACAGAGTATGAAGCAGATGGGTCCAGAATGCAGCCTGAGAAGGCTACATACTGCTCTTAAGGCATGAAGACGACTCTCGGAACGCGGGTTAGTGCGTTTTGCTCAGCTACCTTCATGGCGGTTAGGATGCTTCCGACACATGACAAGCGCCTCTGCGACATGTCAGAATCTGTTCGTGCTTCAGCCACTTTTTCGGCTGTTACATGTCTCAACCCCTACCTGGGAGTTAAGCAGCGCGCCGCCCAATAAATTTACTATGTCAGCCCGAGCAGAAGCGTAGGCCAGCACTTAAACTCGACAGAAATTAAATCGCAAGACAATAAATGTGCTGTTGTATTCATGGTATTGACTGTGTTGTGGTGGTGTACGAATCGCGGGTTCGTGTTCTGTACAGGCCACGATGGGGTTGGTTACGAAGCACTCCCTGTTCGAGAAGCGTTTGAGGTTGCTTCAGCCGCGAACTCGTCGCATATCGCCCAGACCGGAATTCAAGTATTCCCGGAACGCTCATTCGCAGGATTGGCCTAGCCCTGGTATTCTGCAGTAGTTCATGCCATGCGCAAATTTCAAGGCTACTTTTGCAGCCTCAAATTTGTTTCCAAACGGTTAGCTACCCGTGCCGCAAACACTCAAGAACTAGGCAGAACTTCAATCTCCCCAGGTATGTTTCGTCAGGCAAGAGTTGTTCCCATATATGGACTGCACCAAACACTAATGAACAAGTATTGCTAACATTTGCGCATACGGTAATTGGCATGGCGGTCCTAGCTACTAATAATGTCACTGCATGCCAAGAGCCCAGCGCCCGTTCATGCTTGTAGCGTGCGTGATCGTTGATCAGTGGATGAGTGGATCACTGCTATGCGCATTGTGCTGTCAGTAAAGACGCTAAGTACAGTCTCGAACGGCTGGTCTCGTACCATGGGTAGGTAACCAGCATGATATCGGCTTCCCGAGTAGTTACTCCAAGCTTTTAGAGCACATCGGGTCCACGCTCCTGTGTGTTCGTTATCCTAGCCGCTTTGGATATATAGTCTTCTCTTCCTTCACATTGATGACGTGGTTGTTGTTATTGTTTTTGCGTACAAGGAACACTGTAAACCTGGTTTGCCTTAGCACCAAGGGACCTGCTCAGAAGTCGAGCAAAAGCTCTGGCGCGAGTTTCTCCAGATCCTCCACCTGCAGGAATCGGCTCCCTGCACCTCCGCCACTTCTACCCGCTCTTTCGCGCTCATCCTTGGCTCTCGCAATGGCTTCGCGAACAAATATGCTCATGTAGCTTCCAAACAAGTTCATGGCACCCTTCTGGATTTGCGTATTCTCATTCTGGAAGTTGTGATGAAGCAGCCTCACCAGGAGAGGAGCCGGTATTGGTGGTGTGGACAGATCGAGCGCTACGGGCTGCGGCGGCGTGGGTTCCTCATCGAGGGCATCCTCCATGAGCGCGTCGATGTCTGAGGGGAGGTCGTCGAATTCAGCATCTTGCTCTTCATCGGATGAGACGATGGTCGTTACAGGGTGGAAGCCTGAACGCGCAGCTGAGGGTTTTGCAGGTGCAGGTCGCGGCGCGGTAGCATTCGGGGCGCGTTTAGCTGCGGCAGTAGAAGCGGCCGGCTTGACAGGACGTGGAGGTTTGAACGAAGGGCCTTTGCGGCGTGCAGCTGGCGCTGCTTTGGGCGGCATTTCGGGTGTTTGTAAGAGCTGAGCAGTGTGGTGTTGCGGTGCGGGGCCTGTTGACGCGTGCTTTTGCGTATCGGCGAACGAGTTTATGCAGGCGCACCCTCCAGGGCTCCAGCTGACACGAAGTCACATGATATGTGTTACGTCACTATACCAGACGACAACATGCTTCATGTTCGTTGAGGTCGGCGATTGTGAGCTAATTGAACCATTTCCTCCGCGAAGTCATTGCATCAAGGAAGCAAAGTAATCGCGCGGCGTGGCGCGGATCCCAATTCGCAAAGGACGACTAGGCTTTGTCCTATCAGCCCAATCATTCGCGAAGAAAAGGACGCAGCAACGCACTGCGAGGTCCGTGTATCTTTCATATGAGGCGCTCTCAAGGTGCTTCCATGCGAGCGTGCCACTGCAGGACTTCACTTTCACCTTGTCCACTGTGAATCCTTCATGTCGTTGGGCATACCGCTCAATTTACGCCGGCATGGACCACAATCGCAGGTCCAACAATCACCAGGCCGACTCTTGTAGCACTGACGAAACGGCTGGTGTCGTCCTACAGCAACACTCTCGAGGCCGCGCCCACAGGCGGAGGCGGTTTCATTTAAACAAAGAGGCTTAGGTTCCAGCGGGACCAGCAAAGGTATCTACAGCCAACCATTCGGAAGGCTCTTCTGTGCGGCGCTGGTCACGGTACTGTGTGTGGTTGCACAGCGTTGCCGAACAATTGAGACTTTGGAAGAAGCCTGACGTGCATATCCGGCTTTCCCACGGTCGTACGCGCGCAAGGTTTGACATGGCACCAGCAGGGTGCAGTGCAGTTGCGAGATTGCTTGGGATGCACGATCGCCTAGTGAACGGGTGTGCTCGTTGGCGACGTAGCTAGTCCTGCAGCGTAAATGAAGTCGTGACAGAACAATGGAAAGGTATATTTAGTACGATGTTCATTGAAGGATTGACAGGCTAGGCTGGGTTGCGCGACTTGGACCGGTGCTCTGCTGGAAGCAGCCGAGCGGCAGCGTTGCCTAGGGGTATCGCGGGCGTCGTTGAAGGAGAGCACGAGCGAGACTCAGGCCACACGGACGGTGAAGTAGATGCGTTGATGACCACCGGCTCGAAGCCGAACGTTTGCCGTGCGACATTGCAACCGCTGCACACGGTGCGGCGATGTTGCGAGCATGGCCGATGGGCTAGTGGGCGGTGCGACGGCGGTGATATGACGAGAAAGGAAGCGTGTGTGTAAATTCGTAAATTGAGAGAGCAGATGAGTACGAACGAGCTGGCAGGCAGTCCAGACCTGTGGAGGAGACGCCCTGTGGAGCATGGCGCCGCAAGCAACGGCTTAGCAGCCGGGCTAGAGACAGCTCTAAACACACAGCTGGGTTGACCGAGCAGACAGCGCACGCGCCGAAGCCTAGCTGCTGGGGTTGTGAAAAGCCAGCGAAGGAGAAGCGCTCGCGTATCGCGAAGCTGCTTGAGAAAGCCGACCAGCATACAGTGTAGCATAGTAGAAGGCCTGGCGCCATGGAGCCCAAAGCAGAAACCCCCAGTCAGCCACCATCTGCACGCTATTCCGATGCGGGCGTCGAGGTAGACACGGGCAGGAGGGTCGAGCCAGCGTCGGCGACACTCGTGTACCGCGCCAAACCCATGCTGCCGGGCAATGCAGCCTGCCACGGTCCGGACAATATAATATACCTATAGCCCGCCCAGTTTGGCACCCCCCAGTCCATCTTGCACTGTGCGTCACCACAGCCCATTCGTGTCGCTGTTTCCCGGGCTTGCTCTGTCATATACCGCCAGCTGCAACCGCTCCCAACACCAGTTGACCTTCGAGCCTCGTTCGCTGCGGCCACGCCAGCCTCTGCTGTCCACGCCCGTATCAAGTCGAATGATCTCGGCTGCAGGGTTCCATCACACGACACGCCGCACAGACTGACCCTTATCCATATCAAGGAAGCGATCCTGTGCCACTGAGGAATTCACGGCTCCCCGCGACAAACAAACACCTCCTTCTGCGCCCTCACACCTGACCGCCACATCTACTCCCGCCTACCTACACACTCCGGCATGCCGCACTCGGTAAACAACTCCACCTCCTCCAATATGTCGCGGCCGTCGACCACATCAAGCCATTCGGTCAACGCCTTCCCACGGCCGGCAGGCGTTAATCTGTTAGCGCCTGAGCCGGTTGTGGACCAGCATCTCTCACCCTCGCGATCCACCTTCTCGTTTGAGTCGTCGCCCAAGTCGAACCTCGATGTACACCACGTTTCCAATTTTGAAGAGAAGAGGCCTTCGAGTCGGGGCGCGCAGACTTCCAATCGAGTACAACCAAACGGATCACGCCGACGGGCGCAATTCTATGAAGAGCAATTCGCATACAAGGACGGATCCACCACGCTTGCCCGCGACCGCGTGATTAGAGATGCGCCCATTATTGCTGAGCTGCGCACCAATGTTATCGTATGTTCATACATTCACACAATATCCAATCCTGCTAATACAGCTTTAGATCAAAGATGAGTACACACTGGTTACAGATCTTTCTCACCATCTTTCCACGCGGTATCAGCGGCCCGAGTCGTCCATCATGATCACCGTCAACCACTCTGCATGCCTCCTACTAGCCGGATCATTCGAACCCACCTACCTCATGACCATCACTGCCCTTCCCGTGCAACTACAGCAGACCACCAACAAGCGCAATGCTGCCCTCATTCAGAACTTCATGTCCGAATCCCTCGGCGTGCCTTTAGATCGAGGAATTGTCAGATTTGTGCCCATCCAGGATGACTGCATTGCGACAAATGGCATGACCATCTTGGGCGAAATCGAGAACCTGGAGCGCCAGATAGGCGAGGAGAATGGTGGATTGAAGCGGGGCCTCACAAAGAGCTCGAAGCGCTCTGCCGTAACCAAGGCAAAGAGTAGCTTTCAGCTCGCCCGCAACATTTCCAAGGCTGACCATGGCGCAAGAGCAGTTGTCACCCCTCCGCTTCCTAGCCCTAGCCCGCTCGACTCAGGAGTTGAAGTCGACCGAGAAGAGTCCGACGTATTACGCCCGATCGACAGCAAATTCACCAACAAATCCTCGATGAACCGCAAAGCGTCCAAGTCACTCGGTGAGAAGTCGTCAAATGTCGATTTCAAGTTGGCTCCGGCCCCGCCGCCAGTACCAGCAAGTACTCCTGTACCGAAGATGGGCAAGCGGAAAAGCATGATGAACATCTTCAAGCGATGAACAAACGATGCCCCCACCTTGTATGGTTATCTTACCTACATATTACTTCGGGAAGATCGCGCTCGAATTTCGTTTCCCGGCATATAACACGGGATTCATAAGCAGCATACCAAAACACGATGCATCAGGCGAACACGGTTACATGGCATAGCAGTCTGGCGTTTTGATGAGCATGGGGCGCATCACATCACTCACATGATATACGGCACTTGCCTCTCGCAAATTGGCGTCTGTTTTTCTTCGATTCCTTTGCAAGCGGGAAAGTATACCCTTACTGGCATTATTCATTTGTCTCAAAAAAAGCATGGGGAGATAGGATTACCCTAACATTTCTAATACCATCGCGCTGAGCTGAAGACGGCGAACAACAGACAAACCTCATCATGTTCCAGCATCGATCAAAGCGTCATCGCTTCGCTTCCAAGCATCTGTGGCATCGTGTGGCGCTCGTGTAGTAATTCTTAGTCTACAACGCATTGCGCGTCTATACTGTGGAGCCTCGCTCACTACGATCAAGCACGCCCTTAGCGACCCACTGTCTTACCAGTAAAGTATACTCTACTCAAAAATTAAGCCTTAAGACAAGATCATCAAGACAACCCCCGTGCCCATATACATACCAACGAAGCGTTATCGAAATCCTACGCCACGACTCGCTAGCTCTGGCGTGCCCGTGGCGTCGAGCAAGCGAGAGTTCAGCTGGAAGCCAGCGGGCCTAGCCAGCGCCACACGACGGCCCTGTAGTGCTGGTCACGATGTGTGCGAGTCCTTTTGGGTACGCGGAGAACGTGGTGTGAGTGCGGTGAGACGTTGGGAATTGGCGATAAAAATTCTTCATTCTAGGCGAAGTCGCGGGCAGTGTTCGCGAATTCGGACCTGGATCTCTTCTGTGACGATCGCTGAAGAGATAATTTGATCGTAAATGTTTATGCTTCTTTGGCTTGTCCACTTTGAGATGAGGCGCCGTGGGCTGACGTCCAACAAGGCAAAGTTGGGCTCGTTCGGTTTTGCGGTGCAGTGGTGACTGGCCGCTTTAGGTCACATGCGCTGACTTCGAATCATCGACCTTTTTGGGATAGCCTTGCATGCATTGAGAAGGTTATCTGTCCATGGAAGCGTTTAGCAAGCAATAGAGGTGGCGAGACATACTTAGGATTCACCTTCTTGGTAGAGATCTTAAGACTTCTGCGTAGAGGAACAAAAATTGAGATGTAACAAGAACAGATTGCATTTGATGGCCTACCATACTTTTTTTCTACCCCTTTCCATAGCATGTCGCGTCATTTCTGGCCTCATCACTACCCTACCTACGGCTGAAATCATTCTCACAGGCATGCGATTCTACTATCTTTCACAGACACATACAACAAAACCAGCATAGTAACAGCACTACTCCCCCCATCAAACTCCACTCCACCCTCGCTGCACCTCCCTCAACCGGCACCAGCGCCGTCTTATTCCCCACCCTCGTCGCCGTCGCCTCTCCTGTCCCCGTCTCCCTCACAGCCCCATCCCCCGTACTCGTCGCCGACCCGATATCAAGAACAGTCACAAACACCGTCGGCGGTCCACTGTCCCACCCACTTGTACTCGTTGGCCCCTCCTGCTCTGTGACCAACGTCCCCACGTTGCCCGCCTTCGCAAACGCAAAATTCTGGCTGTAACTCAACACAGGGTCTGTGTTACCAATCTCGGCGTGCACGTAGTCCTCCACGTACATCTTGATCCAGTAGGCGCGCTCCCCACGTGGGAAGCCGAAGCCCGAGGAGCCATTCTGAGGGTTGGGCACCAACCATTCGAAGGAGCCGGTGTTGGGTGCGGAGACGGCGATGGTGCCGCAGAAAGGGTTGCGCGCCCAGGGGTGGCAGGGGGAGAGGAGGTCGCGGGCAAAGCCCCAGGAGGTCTTGTCCCAGAGTTGGAAAGTGACGTTCTTGAAAATGGTGTTGGCTTCCCAGCGGATGGTGAAGATGCTGCCCGGGAGGAGGACGTCACCGCGGATAGGATGGATAAAGTGTTGTGTGAGGGCTGAAGTTGCTTTTGAGGTCGGGAGCTGTGCGGTGCCGGGGCGAATGAGGTTGGAAAAAATGAGGAGGAGGTAGGAGAGCCGCATGGTTACCACTTGGTGGCGAGACCTTTAGAGCCGTCGCACTCGATATCCTACTTGAAGTGCTGCTGCCGTAAACCTTGCCATTTATCGCACGATGGTGGAGCTTAAGTTAGTTAAGCATCTTGAGGTAGTTCTCCAAGCACAATTCGGTCGCTAACATTGCGGCGTTGCTGGCTATGCATGAGGAGAGAAACCTGCTCAAACAAGTGAGCAGAGAGCAAATTTGGGTGCCGAGTTCGGATTTGCCATATTGACTGCGCCATATGTGCTCCAACCGTGCCTCCGCACACATCGATCGCATCATTTGCAAATTATTACCCCAGTAGCAATTGCCTCGATCACGAACTCCACTACATTGTCAATTGACCAATGGCTACTTCTTTTCGTGAAAGCTGCCTTGCATGATTGGTCCGGTACGGAAGCCCTAGAATAATATATATGACTTGGCACATGCATTAGTAGATTATCGAAAGCTTGAACTTTCGCCCGAATTAGGGTGAATGAGGCTGGGAAATCTAGACTCATCTGGGGTTCGATTTGCAATAGTGCAAAGGTGGAGTGGTTGCAGAAGGCAGAAAGCCAGCTGTCATCGGTGCTTTGCAAGCAAATAGAGAAAGAGGAGATGCGTCCTCCTTCGGTCGACGAAAATATGGATTGGACCTCACTCAGTAAGGGCGGGCCATCTGGAGATTTGTTGATCGAAAGCAGACTTCCCCACATGTTGATGTCACATCAACTTAGTATCCCACGTGTTTCTAGTATTATCCGCAATGGCTTTGTCATCCAGCGCCCTCAGACTAGGCACGCAACTTCCATGACGATAACGATTTAGACGGTCTGATCGAGAACATGAGCTCGTGCCGTCGCTCAATTGATCTCTGTAAAGACCCTGCCTGAATAACGTCAGGACTCTGACGTTCCAGCGTGTGTGATGTTTCAAGACAGCCGCCTACCATCCGACAGAAGGTCGTCCGTACACGCATCAACGCTGTTGTTAAACATTCTAGACTAGACGACTTGCTTCGTTTATGAAGGTTGCTAGCATTGTGCTTCGAAGTATCACAGAGAAACAGATTGATTGAGTCTTAGTCGAAAGTATGACTAGTGTCATCATAGACGACTAGTATGCTATAGTACCAATATCAATACTCTTCCCGAAGCCCATCTTGTCCATAGCAATGAGAAATTCGCGATACTCAAATGACTGCTCCGGTCCGGTCGATGGACAATGTTCTGTTATAAGATCGATAGCTCTTGGATTGAAACACACGTTCGAACCGGCTATGATGCGGTGGAAGCGGTGGTCAGTAGAGCCCTCATTATTCGCTTTGGCCTCAGCCTCAGAGGTCGACTGAAACGTGCACTTGATCAAGGCTGTAGACGCTGGATTGCCGCAGTCATTGCCTAATGTGACAGTTGAGCCGCGCTTGAAGAAGATATCGATGGATGGCACTCTGACTTCTCTGCAATTGGCAGCACATAGCTTGGTGTCGTACGACTCTAGGGTGATATGGCCTACGTAATCGTCTCCTATGCTCGGAGCGTGTAGATTTGGACGGCTTGTGTGTAGCTGGATGGCGTTCGTGCCCTTTGCATCCGAATACATGTCCTTGAACTTGAGGAATACTGAAATGGCGTCATAGGTACGGGTATAGGCCTTTGCCTAGAGGGAGCGGAGTGCAATTGTCATTACGTTTTGTTCAAGAGGCGCAAGCTTCTAGGCAGCTTATTGCGCTGACGAAAAGGCAAAGCCATGCGAAACGCATTGTGAGGATGAATACTATTGAGGGTTGCGAGGACGTGAGATTCGGGGCCGCTCAATAGAAATACTGCTTGCGTTGATATGTGGTCGAGTGTAAGTTTGTTAGGAAGTTGTGCTTGGTCACTGGTATTAAGCTGTTAACTGGCAGCCAGGATCCGGTATTTGAAGTGGGATTGATGATGTCGATGGGCCGGCGACGTCGTTCCGAGAGAGCCAGGTAGATTACGTTTGCCACTGAAAGAGGGAGCTGAGCGGGCGCACTCCTTTCTTAATCATTCTTGTCATGAGAGCTGTAGAGGCAAGTACCGGCGTGACTAAAGTCTCAGATAGGAAGGAATTATTGCTGCTGTACTGGAAGGAACATGGCGCTCTCGCCAGTTCATTGTTAATCCATCGACTTCAGCGTTGGGCACAGTCTAGACATGTGGCCGCCATGCTAGAGTACATCAGACATTTCTTTATGATCAGGTGCGAGATGCATGTCTATGAACGTGTGAAAAATAGGCAAAGATCGCATGCGAGCCATGAGCGGAAGAGGGATGGAGGAAGGAAACCGCCGGCCCGTGCGTAGAGCGGGCCGGTCCGAGATGAGACGATGCCACCTCAGCTCTGCCACCGTCTGTTCATCGCTCAGCTCACATCAAGACTCGCAATGGTCTCGACTCTAGAGGGTCATAATCCGGATCATATGTATATGATGGTATCAGTTTTTGCAAAAACCGTCAGCGGCTAGAATGCCTGTTGGGTATCCCCGCGAGCGTTCACAATATCAATGCGGCGCACCGGACGATCCACTGGCATTACACAGAGTGAACTCTTCTTGTTGAAGTTAAAAAATCATCAGCTGACGAACTTATGACCATACGACGGCTCAAAATCAGGTTTTGAAGCTGGCTACAATGCTACGACCTTCTCTCCAACCAGTCCTTTACGCTTTCATAAAAGCACCATCAATCAGAAAGACACGGTACCTTCGTAACATGATCGATAACATCCTAGATAACGCACAAATTATTGTCTACCTGGTAGTCATGGAATCTACCCTCCACTCAGATGTAGTTGGCATCCCTATTTCCTACTGAAGCTTGTGCACGGGCTTAATTCGCTCACATTCTCAGGCAAATACACGTCACACCGGGTATAATTGCTGCCTCAACGGTGCCTATGGCCTGGCCATCACGTCAGTGGGTAAAGCGTCCCCACATTGGCCAGCGAATAATCCAGGCACCCAAGATGGTGGTCGTGGAACAGGTCACCATGGGCGCTGCGCACGGTCAGGCAGCAAAGGATTGTCGCACAGAGGCTTCGTCTGGATAGTCAAAGCTTGGTCGTCGAAGCACTTCTTTCTGTAGATATCTCTTCAGTCTCTCTATCTCTCTTCTATCCAGCAAGCTTTCTGCTGCGGATTCATCTACAACACTTTCATACACAATATCCCTCCTCAAGAACAACGAATGATGCCTTCTTCCGACGTTACCTCGCTAAGTCAGCACCTTCTCGAGGCTACCAGACTCAACCAGATACTCCTGAAGCGCATTCAGGAGCTGGAGGTTGAGCTTGCTCAGGTGAAGCAGACAGGTGCTCGGCATATACGCGCAGCCGGTGCTGTGTATGCTCAGGACACCCTGAAGGCTCTTCATTCTGCACCATCATACATCCCTGTGGCCAGACAGGCTGGAGCGCGCCACAGGCGCACCGAAACACCACAGCAGCTCTTCCTCAAGGACATCACCGATGTCAAGGTATATACCACGGGCATAGAGCCTCAAGATGACCGCGGCCTCCTCCATGACTTCTTTGAAGATATCCGCAAATGGGCCATCCATCATACCAATGACCTGGACGCTCGAGAAATTGCTCCCTGCTCATCGGTAAAGGACATCGCAGATATGATGGGCGGCAAGTCAGACATCCAGCATCTGCTCTCTGATCGGGAATTGCGTCAAGACGTCGTTTCGGCCCTCATCATTCGAGACATTGTCTTTCACGCCATCGGAGAAGGTTCTATGCTCAACTCTGAGCATCACAATGGCGAGCAATGCCGCCAAATCGTTTCTGGTTTCGCTATGCTCCCCCATGAAGATTACCCCGCCAAACACCGGCTTTGTCTTCGACAAGAAGCCCTGTATCAGGGTATGTACACAGAGCACCATCATCACGAATGGCGCAGCAAAAAGGCGGATGAGCGTACGAAAGCGCTTCTGAACGCGCTTTCATCCTTTCTCCACATGGGCATCGATGCTGATCGTGAGCATTCGCTCAACGAGCTCTATGTGAAAGGGTACCGCATTGGTTTTCGCTTGCGGTCAAAGGCAGTTAAATGGCAGGTTATCTTTCCTGTTGCTGGCATGAACCTTGACCTAAAACACATGGTCAATCGGACGCTCAATCTGGTGGGCGACCCGATGACGACGTGGAAGGAGCTTGTACAGAACCGGGAGAAGTATTGTGTGAGATTCGCTATCACGCCCACCATGACGAAATCGGACTTTGCTACGGGTAAGGAAGTCAAGGAGGTTGTGCATTCGGCTTTGGTACATGTTTGGTGGAGGAATGGGTTCGATCTGAATAAGTCTAGGTCTTTCAAGCACGATCGGAAAAGCTAGGGTTCCAAGGTTGTCTTCACTTACACCATTAACTGTATGGTAGGGTGACGGCACTCGGTGGCGTATACATGATAACACCCAAGATTTTCGAGGCATACGTACAATTGTGTAATTCTACAATGGTCATGATTGCTCAAATTGATTGTGCCTCTGGCTTGAACGTGAACATTGGTCACACAACATCGTTTCCGAAGTTCGGAGAATCATCCTAGCTCGACTTACCCTAGGAAAACCATCCAATACCATATTTTTGAGCACTATGTTCAGCAAGCTCGCAGTGTCTATCGTGACTTTGATGGTTGCTTGATGTGTGAGGCTAAGCGACTTGCGCCGAGGAGGCGAGGCGAGCAAGGGTCCGCGATTGCTGGATGGGCCAGCGCGACAACCGAGCATTCATGTACCTCCCCGCTCCCCACTTCTTCTGCTGAACCCACCGGGCCGTGGGAAGCTGCAGACACCTCTTGCGGTGCTTGATCGGAAGAATTGGAAGCTCACCTTCACGAAAGCATTCCGATTGCGCAGCAAACCCAGGAATTGTTTACCCAGCCCATGGCGGCCTTGACGTAACCCTCTCCGAGCTGGCAACGCCATGCATCCCACGCAGTCAGGCACAGCATGTGGAAACCGTCATTACACCTTCATAGAGCCAGGTCTCGGCCTCTCATCGCTCGCTCCTTCTGCAATCGCTACGCGCGCCATCGCATTCGCTGCGTCGCGTTAGAATGCCCCGCCCAGCTTCAGCGCCGTTGCTTCCACGAGTACTTTATTACCCACCTGCCGTCGACTTCGCTACATCCCGACTCACGAATATCCGGCGGCCCGCATCACAAGCTACCGCGAGACAAGAGCACGCCTCACGAGCCGCGAGGCACGCACCGCTCGCCCGCGGCGGCTCCTCCCATGGTGGGAGCGTCGCGGGAGATGACCGTGGTGAGGATACCGCTGAGGAGCGCGAAGCACCATTTCGGGGTATCTGTGTCGCGAGGAACGCGACCCTATAATGAAGACTCGTTCCAGGCCGGGACAGTCGAGGTGCCCGCTTTCGCAAAGAGGCGTCCCATGTCTTTGCAGCGCAGCGCAAGCGGCGGCATGACGAGCGAGCTCACACCAGCCGGCAGTGCAAGCGGTGACCCCCAGGTCTTCTACTTTGGTGTGTTCGATGGACACGGCGGGAGTGACTGTGCCGATTTTCTACGGGAGGAGCTGCACAACTACGTCGAGGATGCGATGAAGCTGTTTGAGCTGGAGAGCAGCCTCGCAAGGAAGGGCACCATCAAAGGCTGGCCGAACAGCACGGGGACTTCGGATGATAGACCTCCGGAAAAAGCATCAGAGGCTTCCGGAAAGGAGAGTTTGAACGCGATCGAGACACACAAACCGCCCGGTTTGGAACCGCTCAAGCCACCGGAACCAGGCACACAAGCGCCAGCAAATGGCGCAAATGGCAAAGAAGAGCTCATCGACAGTGCTCCACCCGTGAAGCAATCGAACAGCGTCTCAAGAGCAGAAGAATTGGAACGGACCCTGGTCAAAGACTGGAAAGAGCTGGTTGGAGGATACTTTCGGCGATTCAAGCCGGAGTACTTCTCAAGAGCGGCCGGTGGACAAGGACATCAGACAGAGAAAGATGTCCTTGCAAAACGGAACAGTTTCGGAGACATCCCGGACAAAGTCAGGGATGGATTAGGTATCGAGACTGTGCTGGAATATGCATTTCTCAAGGCCGATTACGATTTCGTGTCGGCACAAGTTAGCAAGCAAGACGAAGACCCCGTTCGAGCTGACAAGGCTATCAACGACAATGATATTTTGGGGCACCCGTCGCGGACAGACAAGAGCATCGGCGGTCCGAAGCGTTTCAAGGGCGGAAGCACCTGTAGCATCGTACTCATCTCGACGCCTACACCCTCACCGTTCTGGCACCCTTCGTCTCCGTCTTCCCTAATCACGGCACATGTGGGCGACACTAGGATCCTACTCTGTGACACTGCAACCGGCCAGGCTGTCCCGCTCACATCCAACCACCATCCGTCTCTCCCCGAAGAAGCCACCCGACTCCGTCGCTACGCTGCAACCTTTGTGACCGACTCCTTCGGCGAAGAACGCATGTCCGGTCTCGCGAACACGCGTGCCTTTGGCGACATGGCGTCCAAGCGTATGGGTGTGTCAGCTGAACCTGAGATCCGCCGCGTCGAGCTGTCGCCTGCAGAATACTCATTCCTGGTCCTCTGCTCGGACGGCATATCAGGACATCTAAGCGATCAGGAGATTGTAGACATTGTCAAGGAGGCGAAGACACCGGAGCAGGCAGCTAGGGATGTCACCAACTTTGCGACCGAGGTCAAGAGCGACAGTGACAATGCGACTACGTTGGTTGTCAGACTAGGCGGTTGGGAGAGGAGGAGTGAAGGGGGCTTGGGCAGTTTGGGAACGAAGGAGATGCGGGACTGGAGGAGACGCGAGAGCATGGATCCTAGGAGGGGCAGGACGTAGTGTGTACAGGCCTATTTGGAGGAAAGGCTATCCTGGATGCTACGGAAGATATCTTGGGCTTTGGCTACTGCATTTCATGGCGTTGTGGAGTGGTGGACGTGTATATAGAGGTGGGGGTCAGGACAGGATGATTCGAACCTGTGCTGGTACATATGCTCCATCGAGCTGCGCCTAGCTCATTCGACCGATTTCGGATGCTGCGTGGGCACGTTGCAACCGTACATAGACTGCACCGTTTCGCTTAATTATTTTCCAGAACAATCGTGGGTGGATCCAGCGATTGTTGCTGTTGACGACGCCTCTACGTATCCATGGATGCGGCGTCTGCACCTGACTCGCCGCAGCCGCGACAGTTTCTCCAGCAAGCAAGCTCAGCAAGCAAGCTGTGGTAGTTGTGACGGCGTTCTCACAAGAAGGTGATTAGCAGTTTCATGGTACAGATGCGTCGGCGCAGGGCTGAATGAACCTGGGGAAGCGAGCCAATGCGCTGTCGTCGCAGCGGGAGCTTGCGGCTCCCAGCTGGTGCCAGCGAATGAAGCGGGCAAGGGAAGGGGAGGCGTGTACCTGCAGACGGAAACCCCCAAGTTTCTTTGCACGCAGATCTGCGAGGTGCGAGACGGAGCGGAGGGAGAGCAGCTCAAGGCGGAGCTGGGGGCTTGGGGTCGTCGCCGCCGTGCTTGCGCCCGGGCCGGGCCTTCCTGCAGCAGAAGGGTCAACAACGCGGGCAGGAGCTACGAAATTGTGATGCGCCGCTGCGGTGCGTGCCCTCTGCAGGTTCAGCATTTGCGAGCCTCTCGGTGCCCTTCGTTGGCTGTTTGCACGCGCACAGTCCCCCGTCTTCAATAAAAGGAGCCCCTCCAGCAACAGGCGTGGTGGGGCAGAAAAACAGTCCACCCTAGAGTTCACGTGTTTTGGCCCTGCCTACGCTGAACCTCGTTCGCTTCAAAATCCTCCCTACACCACCCGCCCACCGCTACTTCTGCCTGGCTGCCTGCCTCTAATTTCTAAATAACCACTCGCCCTTCAACCGCCATTCCTTCACCCAGATACCCCCTTTGACCCTCACACGCTCCCTCCGCAATCATGGACATCAACCAGGTGTTGGAGGGGACGCTTTCGCCTGGTATGCGCCTCCGATCAAACTCTACCGCGCCCGGCCTCTTGACTGACTCTCGTACAGACGCCAACATCCGAAAGGCCGCCGAAGAACAGCTCAACTCGGCTGCCGAGTCCGACTTTGTGAGTGCCCCTCTCCGCGAGAGCAGGCTGTAGCCCACACGGCCTCCCACCCCGACCCGCACACTGACGCCTCGCAGCCCCAATACCTTACTATCCTCGCCGGCGAGCTCGCCAACGAGCAGTCACAGCCGCACATTAGGACCGCCGCCGGTCTTGCCCTCAAGAATGCCTTCACCGCACGCGAGTACGCACGGTTACGTCAGGTTCAGGAGCGATGGCAAGCTCTTGACCCCCAGATCAAGAGCAACGTGAAGCAGCTTGCTCTGAACACACTATCTTCGTCAGACGCCCGCGCCGGACAGTCTGCCGCCCAGTTCATCGCCTCCGTCGCCGCTATCGAAATACCTCAGAACCAATGGCCGGAGCTGATGCAGACGCTTGTGCAAAATGTGGGCGAGGGTCCACCCCACCAGAAGATGGCCTCGCTGACCACCATCGGCTTCATCTGCGACACAGATGACTTGGACCTGCGAGAGGCTCTTCAACACCACTCAAATGCCATCCTCACCGCCGTTGTTCAGGGCGCCCGCAAAGAGGAACCCAACAACGACGTACGACACGCGGCCATCGCAGCCCTCGGCGACTCGATTGAGTTCGTTCGGTCCAACTTCGAAAACGAGGGAGAGCGAAATTACATCATGCAGGTTATCTGCGAGGCAACACAGGCGGAAGACAACCGCATTCAGCAGGGTGCATACGGCTGCCTGAACAGGATAATGGGCCTCTACTATGACAAGATGCGGTTCTACATGGAGAAGGCGCTTTTCGGCCTGACCATTCAGGGCATGAAGAGCGACGAGGAAGATGTCGCTAAGCTCGCTATTGAGTTTTGGTGCACCGTGTGCGAGGAGGAGATCTCCATCGAAGATGACAACCAGCAAGCTCAAGCCGAGGGCTCAACGGAGCTGCGGGACTACTTCAACTTTGCCCGCGTGGCTACCCAGGAGGTCGTTCCGGTCCTACTCGAGCTTTTGGCGAAGCAGGACGAAGACGCCGATGACAATGAATACAACGTTTCTCGTGCTGCATACCAGTGTCTGCAGCTCTGGGCAAGCTGCGTAGGCAGCGGCGTTGTACCTCCTGTCCTTCAATTCGTCGAAAAGAACCTTCGCTCCGATGACTGGCATTACCGAGACGCAGCCGTTTCGGCTTTCGGTGCCATTGTGGAGGGTCCTGAAGAGAACGTCTTGGAGCCGCTTGTCAAGCAGGCTCTTCCGGTCTTGATCTCTATGATGGATGATCAGGTGATACACGTGAAGGACTCCGCTGCGTATGCTCTGGGTCGCATTTGTGAGGGTGCACCAAGCGCTGTCGATGAACAGCAGCACCTTCCCCCGCTCATCAGCGCGCTTTTCAATGGTCTCTCGAGCCACACCAAGATGGCGTCTTCGTGCTGCTGGGCTCTGATGAATCTTGCGGATCGTTTCGCCGGCGAGCCCGGATGCGATTCGAACCCGCTTTCCGCCCACTTCCAGCAGAGCATCCAGCACATTCTACAGGTCACCGAGCGAGGCGATGCTGACAACCAGCTCCGAACAGCGGCTTATGAGGTGCTCAACTCTTTCGTCAACAATGCTGCCAACGACAGCATCGGACTCGTTGCCACGCTTTCAAACGTCATCTTGGAGCGATTGGAGAAGTCTATCCAGCTCCAGCAACAGGTCGTCAGTGTTGAGGACAAGCTTACACTTGAGGAGATGCAGACGAGCTTGGCTAGTGTCGTCATGGCTATCGTTCAGCGGTTAGAGACCGACATCAAGCCGCAGGCAGACCGCATTATGCAGATTCTGCTCACGCTTCTTTCCAGCCTCCCACCCAAGTCCAGCGTCCCGGACGCCGTCTTCGCTGCCATTGGCTCTATCGCAACGGCTTTGGAGGAGGATTTCCTCAAGTACATGGATGCATTCTCCAAATTTCTTTACAATGCGCTTGGCAATCAGGAAGAACCTAGTCTCTGCTCCATGGCGATCGGTCTTGTTAGCGACATCACTCGAGCACTCGGCGAGAAGGTTCAGCCATACTGCGATGCTTTCATGAACTACCTGCTCAACAACCTGCGCAGTGTTCAATTGGGTAACCAGTTCAAGCCGGCCATTCTGCAGTGCTTCGGTGATATCGCTCACGCGATCCTTGGCGCCTTTGAGACATACCTACCTGTCGTAGCGCAAGTGCTCCAGCAGGCTTCGTCTGTCTCCATGACCACCGAGGGCAACTTTGAGATGATGGACTACATCACTTCGCTCCGCGAGGGTATCATGGACGCCTGGGACGGCATCATTGTCGCTATGAAGTCGAGTGGCAAGACCCAGTTGCTTGTACAATATCTGGATTCTATCTTTGAGCTGCTTCGCATCGTCCAGCTCGACAGTAACCGCACCGAGGCGCTACTACGTTCGTCTTGTGGCGTGATCGGCGACATAGCTGAGGCCTTCCCCAACGGTGACATCAAGGAATACTTCCGTCATGACTTCCTGACTGCGATGACCAGGGAAACGCGCGCCAACCAGGACTTTACCAACCGCACACGTGACACCGCTCGGTGGGCACGCGAACAGATCAAGCGTCAAATTGGTGAGTCCTTCACGAACGTCTCTTTCGCCTAAGCTACGTTTCCATGGCTGCGATCGAGACAGCTCCTATAATATCATTATACTGATCCCCTATAAGGCGGCGCCCAAGGTGTCATGGCCTGATTGCCCTGAACTTCTCCCTGCCCGCATCATCTGAAAACTAGCTCCCATGTTGATGTCACGCTGGATACCCTTTTAGGGTTTGAACTGGCTGTTGACTAAACTGAGCTTAGAACGTGCGGAGATGCAAGACGGACAGCTTCACGAACGGGAAAGGCAGCGTCGGCTGCCATGCGAATCTGAGTCGTTTCACTTATCTGGAATGACGGTCATGGCGGCCATGGGCCAGGAGGACATCATGATGTACAACTTCATCACCGAACCTTAGGCCTCTCGAGGCAACACTTCGAGCCGCTGACCGATCGAGTCCACGATAGCCGTACCCATACGCCAATTGTCCCGCCCTTCATACCCCCGGACCCCGTTCCCGGCATCAATCCCGACCACAGCACAACACCCGCAACCGCACCACGCACCAAATCACCCCGTCTATGCGCACCCACGCCACACCCACGCCCCAACCCGAATGAGCACACTCCACAACGTCATGTAGCACGAAAGTTTTGTAAGACGAACCGCAAAAGGTTTCGTCAGAGAGAAATAGATATACGTCACGGCACCACGCAGCATTGTCCTTTTGTTTGTCTTCGATTGGTTTGTTTTCTGTCCATGGATACCAGAGGTACCTGTCTTGAGCCTCTTTTTTCTTTTTTCTTTTCTTTTCTCGATTGGAGGTGAAGCAGTAGGGAGGGAGACAGGGGAGTACAAAATCTTGTAGTGTGTCAATTATATGGGTTTTGCCATGTGCTGTCGCGTGTGGAGAGTGTGAACGTGCCTATCTTGTGAGGACGAATAAGGATGGATGGTAATGTGAGGCTGAGTGCAAGCCATGTGCGTAGCGCTGAATGGATGCGCTGCACGGTGATGTTCAAACAATCACAGTGAAGCTCCTGTAATCAAAGTGTAACCCCGAACTCTTAGGTTTCACAATGTATACCGTTGAAATTTTACTATTATACTATGTCGCCCAACCTCTAACGTGGGCGTGGAGCGGTTTAGTGCCTGTCCTTTGGTTACTTATGTGGTTTACTGTGCGCTTCTTGAATAGCGGAGGTCAGTAAATCGAGGACTAATAAATTGTGCTGTGCGCTGAAGTATGGTTGTGGAAAATGCACTGCGGTGAGAGTAAGTGATTTGGGCTAAAAGGCCTGGGAAGGGTGTGAGGAATCGTTGGGGTCAAAATTGAGTCGACGTGAATTCACAGAAGTTGTGACTCATCGGGATGAGGTAGAAAAGGTATTTTGAAGATACATTGTATGGGAGAGTAAGCTATAAGAGAAGAGATTATCCCCACGTAAAAGGTTTGCTGTAAGGCGAGAGAAGATAACCTTGCCTGCTTGCTTATCCCGCCGAGACTATAGGGTTGGGCTAGGGTGCTAGAAGATCCTGAACTAAGATAGTCTATAGTGTACAGAAGGAGCTTCTCTACGTCTCTATTAGCTTAGCCCTATAGAGAGGAAGTAACTGGTCTTACCTAGACAGATCAGTATGCTGGCCTTGTGGTGCCAAAGTTGTCCCAAATGTCGGCCGAAAAAGCCCAGCACGCTGCAAGCATTTGTAGCTCTTAGGACATCTATATAATAATAACGTTAGCCTAGTAGAGGTAAGAGAAAGGTGTAAGGGTATATACAGCCTAGGTATGCGCGTTGCACTGCAAATCGCGCTTAAGCTTCAGGCGATAGTGCACTGCCAAGCTTCTCATTATGGTCGCTCGCAGTTGCAAGAAGATCTTTGGTCATCGTCGCTTTCCACTCTGGCCATGGAAGCGTCGTTTTGTTTTCAGAAAGCTCATCGATGTAAGCGATAATACTCGCGATAACTACGTCTGCATCTTCTATCGCGAGCGTCTGAACAATACTAAACCTCACGCCATCGGTGCCTTGGATGCGCCAGGTAAAGTCGCGGCTGAATTTGATCTCCTCTTCGAAGTCGACGTGAGTGCGTACGTGCAAATGCTCATTCATCTTTTTTAGCGCGTACTGCGCCACTATGGATACTGAATGCCGAAGACGATAGAGCCGCTGTACACGTGTTAGATTGTACACTCTAGATTAGGTATACCATAGTTTTATCTTACCTGCTGCTCAGATAGGTTCTCTACTGGTGAGGGCGCGCAGCTTCTTCGATGACGAGAAGGTACACGCTGTTGCCTACTCAAATCGTGTTGTAGGGGCTGGTCACGGAAGATAGCACACGGCGTGTCTTCTATGGACGCTAAGACCATTCTGTGGATTGAGAACGTGGTGGTGAGTTCGATCGTTGAAGTTATTTGCGTGGTGCGAGCCGAAAGGGAAGAGAGAGGATTAAGAGGTAGAGGAAGGTTTGTAACTACCCTTAGCAATAAGGGAAAAGGCAACAGGGTACAGCCTTGCAGCTTGACTGATGAGTGAGAAGATAATGCTCTAGGCGATTAGGCGGCAAGCTTCACCTGCAAACGTCTCTCATTCTAATGCTCACCGCCTGTAGTAGCGCAAATTCTATATATTATGCCCTATTCTTCCCAACAATGTGTTTAATGAAATCTTTTTCCTACTAGTGGCCCTAGTCAAACGACAGCAATCCAACATTTGCCCTAGGTTCTGCGTTTGCATTTGTCCTTGTCCCGCTCCTTCCTGGCTCTGGTCTTCTTTATTGAGGCCCAAAAAGATTGTCCAATTCTGGATATGGCGTAGCTACTGAATAATAACTCCAACTAATTGTAGTATGTACTTCCTATTGGTACGAGCGACAGCAGCGAAGCGCCCAGTCATCAGTCGTTGGGGAACGAAGTATTGGTGTCGAGGCGGGACTACGGAAGCACTCTGAGATATCTTTGTGGTGCTAAAGCATCGACTCGTTCGCGGCGAACACATGACCTCACCTGTCGTTGAACAAGAATCTTGGCACTAATCGCGAAAGAGCAGGTGTCCCGATGGAAGAAGTTGCCAGTACTGGCAGAAATCACCACGAGCTGGTCAGGTAGAACGTCAGCATGATTTGCAAAGGTGCAGAATATAAGTCTGTTCGCATTTTGCATACGCACGATTGATAAGCATAGTGATCTCGAGGAGCTGTTATCTCCAGAAGTGTTCTTGATAGACGAGCAAAAAAGAGCACACTAATAAGAAATCATGCTAAACGTCTAGTGCACTCTCTTTATCATACAATGTTCGCTATGTACGAGACGGAAGCCTTGGGTACGCTTGTTAATCGAACACTCGTTCTTCTCCCGGAGAGCTGCTTTTCGACGACACCATGCCCCAAGACTTTATTGGTGAGACACAAGAAGCTCAAAATAACTCCAAAACTTATAGTTTGACGAAGTCCTCCACGTGGGAAACCCCCCTATCCAATAGATCTTCAAGTACGCCCAAAAGTGTCCCCGTTCGAACACCACCAGGAAAAGTAAGACCGTTTGTGTCTATCAGAGGGGCAGATGAATTTGGTGCTTCATGAGCTTTTCTGCATTGCGCCTGGGGTCTGGGGCCATAGTTTCTTGTTTCTTCCTCTGAACGACCTTGCACTGGAGTAGCGCCGGCCGCGACGTCTCCGGCGATCTGTGAGACAGCAGAAGCTACGATGTGTACAACGACTGCGCTATACCAGTGCTCTATACGGTCGAACCGAACTATGGCAGTGCTCAATACGGTGCAAACGGCTCTCATAGTACTTCCAATAGCAAGGTCCTGCACAGAATAGTCATTCCGGTAGTAAAGCTCGTCAAAATTTGCAACTCTTTCGAGCCTGATCCTGAGTTCTCGTTGGACGCGGCAGAAATTGGCCACCGACACAGCTAACTGCCATATATTAATTGCAGCAGCTGCAGCGAAAGGAGGATAAACTACTGAAAGGGAAAAGATAGTGGTGATGCCGATAATGTTTGAGACAAGAGAGCGGCGGGTCGCGCCATTATTCTGGAGGAGGATCTCGTCGCTCTTGGTTGATAGAATCTGTATTGTTGAGTTGCTTTTCAGGTTGCTGATTTCGGAGAGCTTGCTGGTCCAGTGCAAGACTTTACCCGCGATGATGAAAATAGAGCTTTCGATCCCCATTTCGACTGTGGTCGGTGATAGATTGGCACTATATGAAGTTGACGATCTGATGATGAGTTTGTCCTTTTTTTTTTCTTCCAGGAAAAGAACTTGGCGGGGAATTGTTTGCTCGGGGGAAATCAAATCCAGGGATGAGGCCTACACAAGGTCTCGTGTGAATGCATTGTCAATTTCTGGAATTTATCTTCAGATATAGCTTTCAAGTGACCTAAAATCGTGTCGTTGCACTGCTGTGCTATGCTGTGACACTATGGTTTTGTTCTCATATCGTCACATTTAGGTGACGTGGAGCCAACATGCATGGGGAATATATCACCTGGAGATCTGGAAATGAGTATTTAACATCGCTTGAGAGATTTTCAGATACTGGAAATGTGTTACTGGCGAGCCGGAGAGGCTAACATAGACTGCGGGCACGAAATTTGTCGGGTCACGAGAGAAGGTATCACATGCGACATTCAACCTGTTGATGAGCTATACATCTTTCCCGGTATATAGGTAACTTGACGATGTGTGTTGCTTATGAAACCTCTGTTATTACTTTTCCGCATGGAAATTGACGCGTCAACAAACGAGCATGTACCAATTCGAAGGGAACATCGACTTCTCCAAACTTTGATCAGCGATCCAAACACTCGCTCCAAGCGAATACTCCAAAATTCCAAATAACCAGCCCAACTATGCCTACTTAAAAAACCCCCCCCCGGGTCTTGCGCCCATTTTGACCCAGCAGTCTCGCCGTGCCCCGTAGGCTGGGATCCTTGCCCACGCAGGATAGTCCGATTCGCCTGCTCCTCTAATTGTACAACAAACATATTCTTCTCCAAAAACCGCGAGTAGACATACACATTCCACTCCTTTCCCACGGTTTGACCAAAACATCCGCAGATACCGGCTCATCCACCTCCACCTACACCGCCTTATCCCATACCGCCAGCAAGATAGGGTCCGACATCTCTCGTGGCTCGTTTCCTCCCCTTAACATATCTCGCATCGCCGACCACGCCTCGTCAGGCACAAGCGCACGCCTATCTCAGATCCCACCTTCCGACCCCTTCGAGAGGGTATACGGACATGGCGCATCGTACGATTCCCAGACATTGTGTCATTTAGGCCACTGGAACTGCTGACGACGCTGACGCCGGTAAGAGTGCACATTGTCAAAGCGGCCAAGAACTTGATCGGCTGTCGGTGCCGCTTTTTCTGTTATTCATGCTGTGTCCTCATCCTTCCAGACATCGACCAATCCGCTAGATATCCACGCCTCATCGAAGGCTGGCTTGACGATCTCTGTATGCCATACGCGCCAGAACGGTTCATCGACAGGACGTCGCAGGTGCGGGAACACCACGTACAGGTGCGGTTGTTGGGTATTATAATTGGTTTGTCGAAGGAAAATATTAACGTTTCGAGATGGTTTTCGAACTAGCATTCAGAGTTACGTCTTTTGCTACAAACCCCACAACAACGGCATAAGCAACTACGAGCACATGGACCGGGTCACTTGAGTATGTAGTCCTTAGGGTTGGTTGCGTACTTGGTTGTAGACTTCCCGAATGCCTCGCCTCGCGCATAATCAGATATATGAGCTTTTTGCTTCATGTAGTGATTTCAACGGCTTAGATGGAAAAGGTATCAGCTCCTCCTTTCATATAGCAAGAGAAGAAAGTGTGAATACTTTCTGTTGTCCTAGAATTTGCAATCCAGTGGCCGACTGTTCAGCTTGCACTGCTTGCCATTAGTTGTTGCACAAGTACCTTCTAGGTAGCTTTCGCATATAGCCTTCATCTTGTCCATATCTCTATCACTTCTATATCACTGGAAAAATGCTTCGGCAACTGTCGCACAGTCCTTACCGACGGTCTGAAAAGCCTATCGCATGGCCTTCCTAGACGCCAACCGCCTTATGCGCAACTGCCCAATCCCAAATCGGATCCCATTTCCTGCAAACATGCATGCTCTTCGCGTTCGGCAGCGCCATCCTCATTTTTTCGTCCCATCGCCAAGTCACGGGACTGATGTCAGCCTGACACATTAGCGATTGTCGGATCAGATCGAGACAGTGACCGTCGTGTACGGTTGTCTCTGCTTCTGAAAGGTTGCCATAAGACGAGCTATACCGCTCGGGGTGTCTGATCATGTTAATGGGTAAAATTGGTCGTGTTGTAAGAGAGTTCGGTCATAACTTACAGAAGTCGGCGTATGCGTGAAAGACAATGTAGTTGATGAAAAACGGACAAGCCAACTAAGAAGAGGTTCGGATCCTGGGGTGATGATGCGGTCGATTGATTGAGTCGTTGAGCAAGAGAAGAGTCGATGGCAGACGTGGCATATGCTACGGTGAGGTAAGTTTCGTATCCAATGATGGGAGTCGTGCATTGGTGCGCACTTTCTGTGAGCAGATTCCATGCAGCATCGCCTTCATCGGTAAGCTCGAGATATACGTTCTTCTCAGCATGTTCCCTAGAAGAGATACATTAGCTTGGCTCCTCTCTGTTCCATGTGGAGGTGGACAGACATATCTGCACGAAGGTTTGTGACAAATTCAATATTTTCGTACTCTACTACGTCCTCCGCTGGTGCTAAAGAATATTCTTAGCTCCTATCCCAATAACTTTTGTGAGAGTGGTGAGCGTACAATATACGCTTTCTGGCCATGGAGTAAACGGAGACTGTATATGAACGGATTTGGCATAAAGGATAAGAATAACAACGATGAGCACGGCATTGAGTATTGCAGAACAAAAGAGTGCAACTCGTGCCATGAGGGAGTGCGACGCCGAGCGGTAACCGTGTTCGAAAGTGTTGGCCACATCATCGTCCAGAAGTTTTTCAGTGGACTCGTCATGCTTTTTGGGACTCATAGTAGGTTCTTTGCACACGTATGACCTTTTCCTTTCAGCAGGGTGCGGAGTGGAATTGTGGGCAAGTCAAACCGCGTTACCAGGAAATGTTCTGGCTTTGTGAAAATAAGGTCCAAGGAATATTAAGTATGAAGCACAGCCGAGCAATATATTTAGGCTACACTAGATGCTGACATAAAAGCCAAGGAAAGATCGACATATACAAGGAAAGCAATCCTGCAGAATCGAAGCGGATCGATATGCTAGGGAAGCACGACACGTTAGGCCACTTCTTCGAACTCTGGAGCCCAGCCAAGTACTACAGCTATGCACGGTATTAGCCCAAAAGGGCAAGCAAAGCTTTTGGTATGCAAATTAAAACGACTAAGGATTAGGACACCACAGGTTTTTTTAGCATCAGCTTAGACTTGACTGTTTGTAACGAGCGTCCTATCAACTGAATCTGAATGATAGCCAGTACGACCTTCCATTCCCGCGAGGGTACTAACCCAGCATAATCCCCGATCAAAGACCCATTGCAAATACTTGGATCCATATCACTGCAACGCCTCCAGTTGCAAGGTTGCATACTGCCTGGGATGCGACTTGTAGCACTTTGATGATATTACTCTAAGCCTTGAGTTTCTGGAGAATGGCACGCTTGGCCGCAGACATCTGCACCTGTTCTTAGCAATCATTTCATTAGCGGTCAATGGAAACGAATCACTTACCTCCATAGGAGTAGCTGCGCGCTTGGCTACGTCGGCTCCTTCGACCTCATCGCCATAGGCGCTGACCAGGAGAAGGATAACCTCAGCTTCGTTAGTGAGGGCTTCCTCAGGGACTGCAGCACGCCTGGCTAGCTCGTGCAATCCACGCTTGTCGGCCGCATCTGGGACCTCGTTGCCGTAGGCAGACACCAAGAGGAGGATGACCTCGGCTTCCTTGTTGAGGGGCTCAGTGGACTCCGTGCGCTTGGTCATCTGATCGGAACCCTCAGCCTCGTCAGAATACGCGGCGATGATCCAAACGATAGCATTCTCCGCGAGGTCACTACCAGTAGAGGGATCCACCGGAGCAGCACGGGTGGAAATGTCCTTGGTGTCGAAATCTGAAATTTGTCAAGGCAGAGTCTCTTGAGGACGGCTGCTATGGCAGGCCACACGTAGGGAGACTTACGGGCGGGAGCGGCGGCAGTGAGAGCGCAGAGCGCGGCGGCAGCGAGGGTTCCGAAAAACTTCATCTTGAATAGCGAGGATCCAAAGTGAGATTATGGCTGGTAGACTGGAGTAATGTCTAGATCTTAATGACAGAAGGCACTGGTAGTGAGTGAACAGTGACGTCCAAATTTCGCTTTATATACTTTGGTGATCCAAAAAGCCGACGGAAACCCCTGTGTATCATGTGCGGAATCGTGATTGTCCAGGATTAACAGCTCGAGCTGTTTTGGACGGTGCGGTGAGAATCATGCTCGTCGATGCAGGCTTCACCTGCATGCAGTGGGATTGATTGGTGTCATCCGATAGAGCTTGGTGAGATGGTATACCTCAAAGTGCTAGCGGCATCAATGGTCTAACACTGTTGGATGTGACCCTCTAAGATCCAAGTAACACCTTCCCCGAAGGACTAAGCGTGGGATTTTGTACATTGAGAATCTCATGTTCGTGATAGTTGTACAATGATCGACACGAACCTACAGACGCACAAGCACTTGTGGGATCCAACACATCTGTTGATTGACTTAGCTTCCTCTTATGGGTAGTTTGATGAGTGTCTCCCTCTCGTCATACAGCCACTACCCCACCTCGGGAGCGTAGCATGTGGTCGGCTTTTGTGGGCCTCATGCCAAGGTATGCAATAGCCAGCGTGGACAAGTTTTATACAGAATACGTTGTTACTAAGCCTAAAATCCTTCCCATCTTGATCCAACACTAGGCCTCCGAACTAGGAGAAGGACTTCCAACCTTTCCCGAATATAAGCCGAAGCACTGCCTTGTCACGGCGATCTCAACGGAGGTCTCTCTTTATCCGTCGGGACACATTTTACAAGGAATCCCTCACGAGATGGCACGCTAACAATGTAACGAGAACAATTTATCACTATACCCTCGATTCTGCCATTCTTCTACACCTTATCATTTCACTATCCTGACCTGGCCATTGAAAAGTAACACGCTGATAATGTCTACATCTTCAGAGAACGACCAAGAAGGGGCACCGTTCCTTCATTCCGGTTATTCCAAGTCTGTACCCCACCAAAGCTGGTGGAATTTGACCAGAGTTCAGACATTCGTTGTCTTTCAGACTGCCTTGTTGATTTTCTTTATTTCGATCGGAATACTGGTGGCTGCTGCAACAAGACATGTATGGGGTCCAGCAACCGACAAATATTGCTATGAGAAGTTCAACATTCCTTGTGAGTCCTTGTACTCTTTGATGTTATTCATGTGTTCGCTACTAACATGATAAAGCTCCAGCATATGAAGGGATCGAGTACTACGAGACTGACTTTGCTAATGCGTTCACCCAAGAGAGCGAGTACAGAGGTCGACCAACGCCGGAGCTAGAAGATCACTGGACAAGGCTCTGGCGTATTGGGGGAATCAGTGTACCTGCTAGCGACCTGCCCGCACTTAACCGCTCCACAAAGGGCTATGCACAAACTTCCCCTGGAATGTATGGCGCCTTTTTGGAGGTTCATCATCAGATTCACTGCCTGGTAAGCACAATAGGATAGATCTCTTGCCCTGCTAATACTGAAATGACGACTTAGAATTTAATCAGACAGTACACCTGGCTCGACGAATTTAATACATCGTACTTTGGGCTGGAAGACGGCCCAAAGCTCAACCGAATGCATGTCGATCATTGCATCGAAACGTTGCGGCTGGCGTTGATGTGTCGAGCCGATACGACACCGTTGTTGGTCCGACTCGGCGGAGAACATGGAACTAAAGCCGATTTTGATTCTCATCACAAATGCGTCAAGTGGGATCATTTCATGGGATGGGTGAATGACCACGTTACTTGGTCTTAAAGCTTGCTAGTCTCTTGTTAACAAATCAATGGGTGGTAGAAACATATTTCTGTTCAGAATGATTCCTTCCATGTCTAACCACATCGTTTAAGCCTCATATAGACAAATACGCTATTGACGTATGATGACAGTACTAATGCTTAGATAGGCAGCTGTGTTGGTCCAATGCAAGTTTTCCACCATAACTATTTGGCCCTTCTGTGCCCGAGGAATGATACCCATGTTCCCATTGCACATCACTAGCCAAAGGCCTCCAGAGTGTTATAGAGTGACCAAGTGACCCCTGCCAGTCCGTGGCCCGCATGCACAAGCATTCTAGTTCAGTTTCACTGATATTATGGCTTACAACATCAGGTATATCGGAGAGGTGTTAATGCGAAGCTATTTACGCGGTCATTGAAAGAGTGGGCACAGCATGTCTGGATGCCGCACCTGAGCAATTGCTCAGAGCTCTCATCAAGTCCATTTCCGAGCGTATGCAGGCTGTGATTGGCGCCAAAGGCATGCGAATTGAGTATTGAAGCACAGGCTTTTCGGATGTTGCGGGGGCCTACCCTACGCGGCAATTTCCCGATCATACATTCTACAACTGAAGGATTGGTGAGTTCACCGCCCAGCAACACCTCTTACCCCTGCTCCGGATGTGGCGATTTCATACCTATGGTACCTAGGTGCTATGTACGGCTGCAACTACAATACACAACTTTGTTCTAGATGTACCACACGGCCGCACTTCCCTACCGTCTATTGAAGGATTCAGGAGCCTGGAATCTCTTCTAACTAGGCACTTCGGCGTGCCGATCAACGTAGGTCCTGTACATTAGATAGAGGTCCTTGAGTACACAGACTCAGATCATCTATGCGTAAAGTTTAGTATGAGATGCTGCGTTGAAAGAAGTAATGCATGGACGATCTTTAGACGAGCGAACTCGGAATGAAGATAAGAAAACAGGCGCGCAAGTTGATCTTGAGCTAGTCTGATGTAGGAAGCGGGTAAAGAGCCTCTTTGAGGCTCGTAAAGGCTATTTCACCCAATTAAAAGCTGAAGGATTGCGCTAGCCTTCCGAAACGCCTAGATCAGCTATCTATCGGCATGTATGCGTAGTGACGAAGACAATGTATGCATTGCAAGGATAATTCGTCGTTGATTCAAGCATTTCCTAGTGGATTACGCCTGATCCTTTGAAGGATGCGGAAGTATCCTCCCGCGATAGCTTGCGTGTGGCCCCCGAGTACATACATGTAGCTAGTTTCGGTCCTTCTCTCGTACTTGCCTATAACTAGAGAACGCACCATTTACCGTATTCGTTATTGTAGTGAGACTGTTATTGGATCTGTTCCTCGCTTGCGATTTGCTATCTGTGCTCTACAAGCCTCTGCATGTACGAAGTCTTAGCGCCACAGGGTATCACAGAAGTATTTCGAGGTATCACTCTGCGAGATGGAAGGATTCATGTCACTGATTTAGTCAAGTCATGGAAGGTGTCATCACGAGGAAGGTTGATCTGCAGTATTCGGTTGATCGCCTTTTTTTCATATGCATCACTTTCGCGACTAGGGTATATTGCTATCAGCATATGGCCTAGCTAGAGTAGATGTACATTGACGGCCACTTGAGAGCAATCTTTCGGTATCTCGCCTCATGCCCCTCGAATCACATACTATTCGCTTCACCACCGTCTAGACTTTACTATCTCCTCGTACTTCAATTCGCCTCACTCGTCTATAATGGCGTTCAAAGCAGTCCTCAACAAGATGAAGCCTTCGGACACGAACAGTGACTTCTCACCTGTGTATTCGAGGCTCTCAAATGAGAGCATTCGGACGTCTTTACCACAGGAACAGTCGCAAATTGACAATGACAACTCCTACACGGTGCGGCCGAAGCGTATCAGCTGGCTAACTATGGGCAATATAACCCTTTTTGTAGTATCCACAGCGCTACTCGCACTCGCGTATTCGCGCCCTATTTCGGATGCATCCTGCACGCGCCAGCTCTTCAGCTATTCGCCTGCTCTCGAAGCCGTCGAATACCACGAAGAGGACTACAAAGGCGTATTCCATCAAGCTTCCATATATCGTGGTACGCCTACCGATGAGATCGACGAAAACTGGCGAGAGTTGTGGGATTGTAAGTCGTCGTTTCTACTCGACTTGTGCATGGCTTCCTTTCAAGGAAGTGCTGACCGTCGCACGCAGATGGCGGTTTCAATGTGCCATACGACAAACTCTACCTCCTCAACCGCAGTACTGAAACACCCTGGCAGCGTACACCGGAAGAGTTCGGAGGCGGTGCAACAGCCATGCTATGGGGCTTCCATCAATTGCATTGCCTGGATCTTGTGCGCCAGGGCGTGTATCGCCATGTATATCAGGAGAAAGGGAAGGTCATCCCCGCGTTCGACGGACCGGAGTACCTTGTAATGATGCACATAGGTAAGAACCTCTTGTCGCTGCATGGTCATGTCACTGATCGCTTGCTAATAGATCATTGCATCGAGCTGATGCGCATTCATATGCAATGCCACGTCGACACCACGCCGTACCTCGTTAAAATTGATGATTCTGTACCAATTGGCTACAAGGCCGAGTTTAGCTCCCACCATAAGTGTCGAGATTATGAAAAAATTCGGGACTGGGTTGTTGATAACACTGCTATTCCTTAGGCAATGTATGCCGACGTTGAAGAGAATGAGTAGTTTAAAAGTCGTTGCAATGTTAGTAGACAATTACAAGACTTCAATAAATACTGAGACTCAACCTGTGCTCCATGTCTCTCTGTTGAGTAGCTCTTGATGAGGGCGTTGCACCAAACTAGGCAGGGGATTCGACATAGAATCCGAAAAACATACAGAGTCGCAAAAGCACTTGGCACATCAAAAAAGACAGTCCTCGCTCCACACTCGTACGTTTGCTAATTTGGAATCAAAACAAACTATTGCTGAACACCAAATGCTAGATCGGGCAAACTTACGAAGTAGTGTAGCGGTCTCGCTAAACGCTCGGCTTCCCGTAAGACGGAATCATATGTCAGATGGAATCGTACGTGGACATCAAACCCCCGTCACTCTACTATTTAATGAAGAACTATCTTTCTCTTCTTGGACTCTGTTCTCTTCCAATTGGAGTAAGCATTGAACAAACCAGCCATGGTTATTCCCACCATCGCCATCATACAAGGCATGTTGGATTGCTAGATCACCAGACATCAGCAATCATAGGCAAACATCTGCTCCTCGCCTACATGAATGACTCAGGATGCCTTCTTGTGTTCTCTATCGACTAGATCCAACAAGGCGCCCTCACCACAGCCTCGCACTACGCCGCCCTCGTCCAAGACCTCGAAGCCGCAGGCTACCCAACCATCTCCCTCGACCCACCAAGCATTACCTACCCCGACGCTACAACCGTCATCGCAGACACCGACATTGCCTTCGTCCGCGCCTTCGTTCTCGTCCCCCTCCTAGCCGAAGGGAAAGACGTCGGCCTACTGTGCCATTCCTACGGTGGAACCCACGGCGCAGGCGCAGTGCAAGGGCTGAGTAAGGAAGACAGTGCTGTGAGGGGCCAGCAAGGTGGTATTGTGGGAATTGTCTACATTGCATCTTTTCCTCGCCCGGAGATTCTGCTCTGCAAACGCTGAGGATAGGCACTGAGATACCCACTTGGGATGGCCCAGGGGTACGTCCGCATCTTTATTTCGACCCTATCATATAGTCTTATACTAGATCTCGATGTAGGAAAAACCAGGAACGTTGGTATTCACCGATGCGTCTCAGCTCTGGCCTTCTCTCCCTGTCACAAGCACCGGAGCTCTGCAGAATAATGGGTATCTATTCTGTGTAGTATGAGGGAAGGTGCTAGGTGGGCATGGACCGCTAGGCTAAGTACATGCCATCCCGACGCTCCTGCCATACTCCCTGCCGTCGAGGCCAAAGGCTGGCTTGAGAAGATGAAGCCGGTTGCTGTGGCTGCTGTGAGGACTCCTGTGTCTTACGCCCCGTTCAAAGACCCGAATTGCGATGGCGCCATTGCGTATATCTGGGCGGAGGACGACAGCATCGTCACGCCTGAATTGCGCCAATCATATCTGGACAAGAGCGGTATCACACTGACCAGGAGCGTCAAGGGGGGTCATGGTATTGATCTGGAGGCTAGGGAAGACGTCGTGAAGAATGTCGTTGAGCTTGTCGAGCACTTCGAATCTATCTAAAGAAACACAACGCAGCAAGTCATTGATGCGTGTCGAGATAGTCGAAAAGGATCCGCCACAACGTTCACACCTCCACGCCGACCGTACTACTCCGAGTTGCCCTTGCTCTCCGCTTCATAAACCCTAGATTCTTCGTCTAAATTAGTATCCAGCAGAAAATATTCATTAGTCCTACAATCAGACTCGTCCCAATCTTGGTCTTCTAACTCGGTCGGATCTAACCACCACTCCAGGTAATTTTCTCGGTTTCCTTCAAGCGAGAAGGATGAGGCTGAGCATATCATGGTTGGGCTTGATAGATATGGATTCTGCCGCTCCCGAATAATGTGCTCTAGGGACATTTAACGATTGCGTCGTCGGTCACCGGACTTGGCATATAGCGGCGAAGAAGATGTCGTGAATTGAACTTGAATTTGAGGGAAGAACGGCAGTAGCGACGCCGTGGTAATAATCACATGTCGTAGCATTTAATTCACGCAGCATACTATCATGCGACTTGGAGCAACACTGCTGGAAAATGCACGTCTTGGTCCATTAGCGGTCACATACCCCTCTCTTCATGTTCATGGCTTGCCTTCCCACAATCTCAATGCGCGCTCCGCAAAAGCTGGATCTCGCCTTCAAGATTCTTTAGCTCCACATGGAACCTGATCAATAAAAACACCAGAATCCCTCATCTAGCCTGACAGTCTAACGGATGTATCCATGCTGCACCTACCTAAACACCTCTTGCCAACCGAGACCTCCTACTGCCGCTGCATATCATGTTGTACTATCTATCCCTTCGATCGTAGGCCTCATGCACCGGAAAAGGTGGATCTCACACGCATTTGCGAGAGTGGCTGGTGCAGACCAAGCCTAGTGCAGGGCATGATCATCTCTAGTTTATCGACAGAATGAGTGTTTTGGCAGGGTGGTGATGTGGAAGGGGTTCCCGAGGTGGTGACGTGGGAGAGGAAAAGGAGAGATAGACAGAGGAGAGGGATAGGGAAACTTAAACCAAGGAGGTGGGTAAACGGCAGTTTTCTCTAGGGCATTGCGTACTTATAACCCTCACGCAGCGCACAACTCTATCAGAATATAATTTTCTTGAACAGTATCTTATCTTCCTTTCTCCGGGAGACATAACAACACCCTGGGTATAAAGTCGCTCCGCCTTCGAAACCAACGACGTCAACCACCGTAATGTACATACACATGATCATGACAAATTGAAGATTGCCCCAACTCGCCCGCTAATGTCGCAGGAGAAACCCGAAATCCCAAAGGAATGATGCAGCAAAAGAATGAGGGAAAACATAATGTAAAAGGAAATGCCATCATATCATGAACCATCCAATACCGTATTTCAGGGCAGGAGTAAGGTGTCGAAGCGCATGGGAAAGCTCTGGCTAACAGAGTGCCGAGGTGTTTCCACCGAGAAGAGCTCACATGCTGCCCTGATAATCCGGTACCAGCATCGTGATGCACTTGCTCAACAAATTGCACGCCTCATGCAACAATTCCCACCTCGTCTTCTTGAACATATCGCGCATCAAGAGCAGCAGTCCCAGACACGCGTTTCTATCCGGCATCTTGGCCAGGTCGTCCGGAGCGCGTACGCCGCCCACACGTTGCAAGAAGCGAATCATGTCCGTCTCCTTGTCTTCGTACGTGTCCAAAATGTATTGTTGTTTCACTGGTCCGTCGAGCGCGTATCCGTACGACCATACGATGAGCGTGGCGAAATAGAGGACCCACGGCCGGTTGAGTAGGAAGTCGTTGCGGGCGGAGTAGTTGAAGCGCGCTACGGGTGGTTGCCCAGTTGCACCGGGTCCCTCGCTGATCATGACGGCCGACAAGAAGCGCAGAGCGTAGAAGGTCGCATCTCGTGCTCGAGCCGTTGGTGCCCAGTGCTCTTGCATCCGCTTCCTGGCACCGTTGGAGTCGATGTTCGTGATGGAACGTCCGAGCAATCGATTAGCACCGGCATATATCTGGCAATCCACGATATCCACATGCATCGCCATATGCGCTAGATGATGCAGCACGGTACGTGACTCGAAGATATTGTCGTCGGCTGCACTGTTGGAATAAGAGTGCGCACTGGGCGTGGCGGATTCATCGGGGTTCGTAAGTGACTTGTCAAAGTCTTGTTTCCAGAAGTCGAAGGCCCGTGTCAGTGAGCCTCGCCATTTGTCTCGACCACCGAGAACTGTCGACACGCCCAATGAGCTTACTTGTAGGTCCCGCTGGTTCATGTGCCACGATACGCTGAGCAGGCCTGCCATGAGGATCGTTCTGCCAAATGAATTGGTCCTCACTGTCTGACCATTGAGAGTCTTTTTCAACCCGTCAAGGAACGTGGTGTGTTTGAAACCAGAGGAATGCAGGTTCGCCTCCACTCGCCCGACTTCCGAGCTGCTTGTTGCTGACCAAAGAGCCTCGTCGCAAGGTAAAGGAAGGCGCATCTCGTGAGCCACCATCACTGCACTGTGACCGAACATCGTAGCATGGATGCTGTCCATGACAAAAGCTGCGAAGGCAGCCCTCCTGGTGGCTTCGTTGGTGATCCAATGATTCCACCACTCGTCAGGGGTGTTAACGTGGCTACCTTTACTGCTTGAGCCGCTCTGACTTGGAGGAGAGTCCATCGCAGATCTGCCAATGAGCGAACTACCTCGCCTCATCAACGTAAGCGTGGTTGCATGGTGAATGTGCGCTCGCTCGTGGAGAGGACGCGTAGAGTACATTTTCTCGAAAATTTCAAGGAGCAACAAGGCCTGAAATACCCAAAGTTTTGCTGGTGGGCGGAAATCGGCGTCCATGAAGATCTCCCAACGCAAATGCCAGGCCAAGAAATTGGATAGCTGTGCGCACGATTGTGTTGCTTCTTCACCCACTTGGCTCTTGTCCAAGCATGAAGCGCCCAGACACATGACACACAGTAGCAAGAGATCTGGACATGTCGATGCGTTGAAAGTTGGCTTGTGCAAGATCGGGAGTTGCGGGTGGAAGTGCAACCAATAGGCACCGATGTACTGTTGCATCATGTGTAGACTTAGGACGTGATCATTCCGCTCCTTGTCGCCTTCGAGCAAGTCTTCCTTTTGCTTCTTGACTGGTGCATGGTCCGTCTCATTGAAACGGCATATGATCAGGTCAAGCAAGTCTTTCCGCTTGTCTTCTGACAAGGCCGTTTCTGGAAGCGAGGTATCGAGAATGCTTTTGACAGCCATAGGGTGAACCGGTGGCGGTTGGTTGTAGGAGATGTTAGTTACCAGTGGGTCATAGTTGAAGTACGGTGCTTGTAGGCCGATCTGTGACGATAAGCCGACGTTCGAGTTCGAACCACCTGGACCAGTCATGGGCGAGGCGCCGGGACCGAATTGCGAGTCGTTGAACAGCCAAGCCGCGAAGTCGTCTGCCATGGCAAATGGAGATCGACTGTAACCTTCACCGCCAAACATGGGTATGGCATACGAAGGCGTTTGTTCCATAATAGCTTCCGACACACCGTTCATCCTAGTGTCCGTCGCTTCAACACCGTTCATGGGGGTCTGCCCCGACGTGCCGTTGTAGTATTGGTTATCCTCGGTTTTCGGAGCAGGGGTCGTGTCCGACTGATGGGGATACTCGGGAGGAGGGAGTGTTTGAAATGGCGGGAAGTTCGATTGTTGCTGGTAGCCGCTTGCAGAATTGGGTGGATAAGAGTTCGAGGCAGCCGAGGGTGGGTACGATTGGGTGGGGTTGCAGCCGAAGTGTACGGCGACGACGAGCCGTACGACGACAGGTTGGATGTCTGGGCGCGCAACTCGGGCCGTTGATAGTGTCCGTTCCCCATGTGGGGAGAATTGTGGTGCGACGTCTGCCCGCTCCCGAAGTTTCCAAACTGGGAGGGGCGCGGTGGGGGTGCAAAGCTCCCAGCACCCCGGGTCTGCAAGTCATAGGGCTGAGGCTTGACATCAGAGTTGCTGCGATACGATTCGTCACTCCCTGCCCGATGCAGAGAGTTTTGTCGTCCCATGTTCGATCCCGGCGAGTGGTAGTTGGGCGGCGACATTTGCGTTGCTGCCGTGGGACCTCCCACGGAAGACCCAGGCGATTGCAGTCCATACCTTTCCTGACCTCCCTGGGGCACCTGTACCGAATCAGCGAGTTCGTAGCGAAGGCACAGCTATCTGAACGTACCGTAGGAGAGTTCTTTATAGGCCCAAGCTTGTTCGTTTCGTTCTTGTTCGCCATAGCTGCCGTCACGATGGGATTGAGATTCTGCATGAATGTGTCCTTGCGCAGCAATTGCGAGCCCCGCGCTGTATGTCTCTCTTTGTGCCGCGCGCATAGATCTTGTCGTACGAAGGAACGGTGGCAGTCGGGAAAGTCGCAGTGGTAGATCTGTTTGGGGTTGTCTGCGCTGGTCAGCAACCACACCTGTGCAACGAGCCAGGAGATAGAACGAAAGCCAGCAACCAACTCAGCACAGCCGGTTTAGATGATGAGAAGTGAAGACATACGGTTCAGCTGGTGCCTGTAAAGATGCTCTGCGCGCGAATAGCTCTTGCCGCAGCCTGAGTGCGGGCATTCGAACTTCTTGTCGAGCCCTTTCCTGCTCCGCCGCCTCTTTCGCGACCCGCCTGTTCCCTCTGCGGCATCGTTGCCGTCGCCAATGTCGCCGTCAGTGTCGTCTCTGTCGCGCCGGCGGCCTCTGTCCTCGTCGCGATCCGGGGAAGCGGGGTTGTCGACGGCGCCACTGCTGGTGTCCATCTTCTGGGGGAAGTTCTGGAGCTTTCCAAAGTCGGAGCCTTGCCCTGCATGCATTGGTAGGATTTGCGCAGTCATCGAGGGCAGGATGGATGTCTGCAGAGGCAGAGAGACGTGCTGGGCGTCTCCGGGCGATGGTGGGTACTAGGGCCGTCTGTGTCGCGTCGGCGGTCCTCGACGTCGCGTGGGCGGCTGAGTATGGCTGGGGTTAGTTGCGACACTGAGGCTGCGGTTGCACGAGGGCTCAGCAAAAGCAGCGTGTGGTGGGCGATCACGGGACCGAGAACCGGTGGTGCTTTGGGGGTCAGGTTGTCGCGGGTCGGCTAAGGTGGGCTGGCTGGCTAGGCTAGTGCTTGGTTGGCGATAGGGTGCGCGGTGCCTCGGGCACGAATGAGGTCGGGCTGGTTGATGAGCTGCAGGTCAGTCGGGCTGGTTGGGAGGCGCTCTGGCTGCGGATGCGCCCGTGGAGCGGAGCCGGCGGAGCGTGTCGAGGTGTGGTCGCGGCGTGCGATGGCACCAAATTAGGAAGACGTGGGGAAGAGACAGAGGGGTGCGGGAGCAGAATGGGGGTGGATATCTCAGCGCGAAGCTACTCCCGGCCGCTATGTAAGCGGCGTGAGGAGGAATGCTGCGCTGCGTGCCGGGAAGCCTGGCTCCAGATGCAAAGCCGGCGCCGTCGCCCGTGAGCCGTGTGCCCTTGAGTGATGTTCCGCAGTAGCCGCGATAAAGACCCCTGGCGCCCGGCCTGAGGCAGCAGACTCCCGATCGCTGAGAGCGCGCGGAAGAGGGGTAGCCGTCGAGCGTGGCCGCCTGGCTGTCCGACTGACAGCAGCGGAGGCGACGCAGGACTCGAGCGTCGAGGCTCGCTGCAGGCGGGCCGCCAGCTTTCGAGCACCTGCAGTCCAAAGTGTGGAGTAGCGAAGCCCTGGGCAGACGCGGCGTGGGATGAGCGACGGCGCCGTGGGGGGTGCGCGGGATATAATCCAGCGACTCCTTGTCCAGACGGCTCCAGGCAACCTCGCTGGCATCCTCTCCTCTGCGCCTGTGGAGACTGGAATCGCAGCGTGAGCGAAGGCACGGCAGCAGCTGCAGTCGGGTCTCGCCGCCAACATGCGTATGCTCCACTACCAACCAACCCAGCCGCGTCGTATCCACCACCCTCCAACTCCAACGTCGACGTCACGCGTCTCCCTACCACACCCAACCTGTCCCATCCCGACGACGCTAGTGGGCGCGACGTCAGCGAAGCGTGTTGCATCTCACCTGTGCCTTCTTCCTCGACGCCTTTGCTGGCCCGCTGGCTCTATCCACGCAGCTCTACAACTAATGGCATCGTCTCATCGCACGTCCCTTCAGTTCCCGAGCCCGTCTCATTGGTTACGCGCCGTCCCCTTCGGCCCCCTCCTCCTCACGCCGCACATCGATCCGTGCCGCACGCTCGCCAATCAGACTGGCCTACCCCAGATCATGGCGTCCATCACGTACAGCACGCCAAGCCAAATCTTCGACACCCGAAACCTGTGTCCATGCACAACAAAGCAACTCTGCTTTTGCTTGTCCACATTTTCGCACTGTTGCCCGCTCGACCCTGCCAAACGTGCTTGGGAAGGAAGCCCCGAAGCTATTGTGTACAGATAGTGGTCTCACACTACCGTGGTCGCACAAAAGCCGTTCGCGTGCTACGTGTCCCGCAAGCACGCCGACCGACATCCAACGACGTCTGTCACACCGATCACCTCCGGCCCTTCTGTGGCGCACACTCCTCGCTTTCGGGTCTAAGCCTCGACTTCTGTCGGCTTCCCGAATCCGTTCGACTGTACGTCAAGCCGACTTCCGCATCGTCATTGCCGTTGTTGTTACACGTTCCCGGCCTATACGCCCTTCACAAACATGCATCACGCCACCAAGTGGTAGCTGAATACCATCTCTGAAACACAAGCCAGAGCCATCGACCTTACAAGGCCCTACGATTACATAATGCTAACAAGAATGCCCACTCGACGAAGCAAACGCTGGATATCTCTGCACCTCTTAAACAACCCCAAACCTGCGTCTTCGGAGACGATTCGTGTCCTCTGTTTTCTTCCCGTCGTAAGTGCTATGATTACATGCCAGAACTCCTGGGTTCGTTAAGGTTTCAATAGCGCATCTTGTTGCATGCTGCTACTCGCTTGCGGTAGCCTTATCCTTATCCGCAGCCGCCCCTTCCTTCTCGTCCATCTCCGCTTTCTCCGCTTCCCTCTGCTCTGGTGTCGCGTGCGCTTCTGCCGTAACTTTGTCCTGCATCTCCTCGTCATTTTCTGCAGGTGCTGCAGGACCACTTTCGTCACCAGCAGTAGCCTCAGGTTCCGCCGTCGTTTCCTTGGCTTGCGGCTCGTCATCTTCCTCGCTGTTGTCTTGCCTTTCCGGCTCTTCAGTAGCGTGAGACTCATCGGCAGCTGGAGCCTCGGGTTCCTCTGTCGCTTCCGATTCGCCTCCCGCCTCTCCGTCCTTTGCTGGCTCCACGGCGCCTTCAGCAGGTAGCTTCTCTAAGACTGTCGCAGCAACGGCGTCAGCACTGTTTTCATCTTGTGCCGCCAATCCCTGCTTCTGTTCTGGCTCCTCCTCTTCGTTCTCCTCTAATACTGTTGACACCGAGGTTGCGCTCACCGATGGCGAATGGCGGTGGCGCTTCGTCGTGCCAGCAGTAGATAGCGTGTGCTCCCCAGCTTCTATCACGGAAGTATTCTCCGAGTCCAAGAGACCGGGTCCTGATGGTTCCCGCTTTAGTATCATTGGCGGAGCTTTCGATGGCTCCTCGGAAACGTCCAAGCCCTCGGCTTCTGGTGGTATAGTGTAATTGTCCTCTGGTATCAGGCCGTACGCGTCGCACACCGTCTTGAAAAATATGTACAGCCCAGTCCTTCCTTCCACTTTCCAGAACATGTCACGATGTTGGAACCAAGCGTGTGCAAAGATCCTATATACACGTCTGAAAATATTAGTAAGATTTCTTTGCTGTTGGTGTTGTGTAGTCTGATCGGTGCCCATGGCGAGTCGTGAAGGGAAGTTCTTGGGCGAAGTCAGGGTGTTTGCGGCCCAGTCCAAAGTGTGACAGCAGTAGTCAATGGCGCAGCAACTCTTAGGTGGATCGTGAACTGCGCAGAGGTACTGCCATTCAGAAGCTCGCATTTCGGGGCAAGTAGTCGACGAACATGGTGGGCTGTCCGAGAATAGGGCGATAATAATGGCATTCACTTTCTGTGTGAGGAAGCGGCAGAGCTCGTAGAGCCACAGTGTCTTGTCCACATTGTCCGGCGGCGTTGCTAGCTTTTGTGCTGTTTCTCTGTCAACCGCTGTTGTGGTGTCCGCCCCGATGGGATGTGTGAGGAAGTTGTGTAGCGCTTTCAGATGCTCTGTTAATTGGAATGCGGAGTCGATCTGCGCATTCGTCAGCCTGATGTTGCGATCTCTCTGCGTTGCGCTCTGCCCGGCAGCATACCTCTGACAGCTCTACTAGCGGTGGGCCCTCTGTCATGTCCTCAGCCTTTTTACCTGGCCGTATCCGCCTTGACGCGCCATTGTCTAGAGAGCTGAAGAGCTTCTGTTGCTCTTCGGTCGCGGGGAGCGGAGAGAGCTGATCTTCCGCAATCGGTGGCGGGCTGGGGAGTCGCGGAGAGCTCGAGGGCGAAGGGGCAGAAGCCATTGTAGGCGCAGCAGGGCGAGTAAGGGTGGAGCAGCGAATAGCGCGCGAGGAAATGCTGTTTGTTGTCGGCCGTCACAGTTGCCAATGCGGAATCGAAGTCGCAAGCTCCAAGCGCGCTCACAGTGAGCTAGTGCAAGATCGGGAAGGCGCGTTTTTAGCCCACTTCTATCATCAACGGAAAGGACCACCAGCACGCAACGTAAAGCAAACCACAAGAGAATACTACTGTAGAAAAGCACTCAGGTGTAAGTACGGCCTCTGCACCGAAATACGCTGTCCAGTACACGTTCTGCAATGCGTCTTGGGGACAACGTAAGGGACATCCGGAATCGAGCTTTCACTCTTTCAGTTTATTGTTCGTTTCCCTCTCTGTGCAAAACTCTTCCTATTGTTTCCCCCTAGGATAAGTCGTTCATTCCTAGGCCAGGACTAACTTATTACAGTGTTTCACCTACCCCCAAAAAAGCTTCATCCTTAATCCCGAGGTCTAAACAAGGTCACGAGCTCACCCATTCACCATGAGTAGCGACGCCTCCGATGACGAGATACCTAATCTCATAGAGCCTCCAACCAACGATAGTGACGAGCCCCCTTCTTTAGTCTCAGCAGATGAACAGCCAACAACGAAAAGAAAAGTCCCCATAACAATAATAACCGGCTATCTTGGCGCGGGAAAAACCACGCTCTTGAACTACATCCTCACCGCCTACCACGGCCATAAAATAGCCGTTATCCTCAACGAGTTCGGCGACTCCATCGACATCGAGAAGCAACTTACAGTTTCGGACTCCAACTCAACTTCTGCGGAGAAAGTGCCGTTTGTACCGCTGGCGAATGGTTGTATTTGTTGTAGTGTAAAAGACATCGGCGTCGCCGCAATCGAGAACCTCGTCAACTCCACTAACGACTTCGACTACATCCTTCTGGAAACCACCGGCCTCGCTGATCCCGGAAACATCGCGCCCTTATTCTGGCTGGACGAGGGGCTAGGCAGCTCGATATTCCTGGACGGAATTGTGACGCTCGTGGATGCGAAGAATTTACTGAAGAGTCTAGACGAGGGATATGGCGATGACGCCGAGGCGCTAGAAACGAGAAAGAAGGAAGAGGGGGACATGCATGGACACAAAGGTCCGCTGTTGACGACTGCGCATTTGCAGATTTCGCACGCCGACGTCGTCATAATCAACAAATCCGACCTTGTCTCGCCAGAGCATTTGAAGAAGGTGGAAGAAAGAGTGCGTTCCATCAACGCCCTCGTCAAACTGAGCATCACAACGAAAGCTCAGGTGCCCATGCTGGAAGGTTTTATTCTTGACCTCCACGCCTACGACGCCGTCTCCGTATCTGATCTCTCGTTCGCGAAAAAAGGACATTCCCATCTCGACCCTTCAATCTCTACTTCTACCATTATCTTCCCTGCTTTAATGCCTTCCCAAGTAGAGAAATTTGACAAGTGGCTCAGGACTGTGTTGTGGGAAGATAAACTTCCTGAAGGCCACGCGCATGAGAATTTTGAGGTGCATAGGTTGAAGGGGAGGATTCCAGTTAGGGAGGGGAAGGTGTTGTTGGTGCAGGGTGTGCGAAATGTGTATGATGTTAATGAGGGCGCGGACATGACGGCAGAAGATAGCAGTGCGAAGCTGGTGCTAATTGGGAAGGGTGTTGGGCAGAAAAGGTTTGAGGAGAGTCTGCTGGACATGTTGGGGTCAACAGAGGGTTAAGAACAGAGAAGAACGACTTCCAAAGTGTGGTTATTTGTCGAACCTTCCTCGAACTTACCTGGAGGAAGTAGGGTGCTTCAGAAGGGGAACGTCCCATTCGGAAAGATTTTGAGCAATCTTACACGCACTAAGCTTTGCTCAACTGACTACCTGACCACGCTATGCTTTACTTCCGTCTTCCCCTCAGAACGTACAAATCCCTACCTAAATGTACATCAGATGCACACCCACCCCAAACGCCATGCCCTCCCCAATCTCATTCCATTCAAACGCCGCGCGCTGGAAAACAATTCTCTTCACCACAAAGCAAGTCATATTACAAGATTACCAATATCACCTCTTCCTCACCTCACGATTTCATCCGCCTTTTCCCGGATAATCCTCAGCCTCTCCACCCACTGTGCATCATCCGCTCCGCTCCCCGCCGGCACGAAGTCTCCGCTTTCCATGACCACCCGTAGCAGATCTGACAATCCGAGCGCGTTCTCTGTGCTGCCAAAGGGTTCCCCGGATCGCCTGCTGTTCTCCCACCACCTCTCAACCACGCAGACGAGCCATTTGGCTAGCAACTTTCGTCCGTTGCGGCTGTTGAATGGATGGTCCCGTGCGTACCACATAGCCTCTAGTACGCTGACAAGGTTCTCGAAGGGTGCGTGCAGCTTGACGAATATGTCGATGGGCCATGCAGGTGGGTGGGCGTTGTCGGCGTCGATGTTTCCGGAGGGGCCCTGGCGGTACTTATCGACGTCGTATTGGAGGAGGAGTTGGAAGACGTCGGAAACGGGGAAGATGTTTTGATTGGTGCCGACGCGGCGACCAAGGGTCTCTGTTTCAATGGCAACAGATTCCCAGGGTGAGGCTTTACCTTCGGCGACGGCTTCGTTATGGGTCTGCTCGATAAAGAGTTGCCAAGTGTTTCGGATTGTGGAGAGGTCACGGAAGTCGGCTTGGTGGAAAAGCAGGAGACTGATGTTGTAGTAGCCAGCTTGGTCTGCGTAGTCATTGAAGAGCTGAAAAGGTGTTAGCCGCTGCTCTAGAAGCTGTAGCGTTAGTTGCATACCTCGTTTACAGATTTCACGGCACCATTGAGGTCTGCGAGCACTTCTTCCCTACGTGCGCCTTGAAGTCGCTTGTCGCTCTTGATCTTTTGAAGAAGGTCGTCTTGAATGTTTCCAACATCGAGATGGTCGCTGATATTCCGTAGTAATTCTTGCCGTGACTGTCTAGTCCGTGTGCCGCTGTCAGAGAATCCAGCTATACGGGTTGATGCGTTCGCCTTTGCGCGAGAGAGATACTCTATACGTTGCTCAAGCGTCAACTTAAAGGTTGGGCTTTTGGCAAGCTGAAATTGCACCTCCGCAGCACCAAGGTAGTCATTGTAATGTGCGTAGTACTTCCACAGAAGATCTGCATGGGCGGGATTAGTTTCGGAGCTCCGCTTCAGGTATTCCACCACATAAGGGCTGCTGATCTCCAGAAGGCGCTCTGCCCAGCTTTTCTCCATGTACCAGTCATAGAGGAAATTTTGGAAGACTTCGTCTTCCGAGTTGTTAATTTGGTCGTAAGCCTCTTGCCTACGACGGCCGGTTTGTGACATCACACCATCCTGCTCGGCGTTGGCTTGAGCACCAGAAACTTGATCCACTGCTTCAATAACCTTGAAGACTAGCTTGTAGCAGTTTGTGCGTTGTGTGTACGGAAGTTGTCGTGCGTCGCCGCTGGGTTGGCCATCCTTGATCCAAGAAAGAGCCCGATTACCGCGATCGCGCTCCTCGGCGACCTTGAGCGCAAGACGAATGGCCCCTGGTTATTGGTCAGTCACTTTCAAAACCAGACAGCGTACTTCTTACCTGCATAGAATTCGAGCTCGATATACTTGTCCACCGCTGCAGACAAGTGCTCCATAGTCAGGCTCTTGGCAACCTGCTCAAACAGCCTCAGACTATCGTTCAATTGAATGCGTCCGCGTTCAGCATTTGCTCCCAAATCAGCCGCCTTCTTCAGGTTTTCAGAGGCCTTGAAGATGACCACATCGTCGGAGCTACAGAAACTACCACACTTTCTCCGCAAAGCTTCCGCAACAGTCTCGACGTTCGATCCCTTGACAATGTTGTGGTTGACGATGGCCTTGACCAGTTCCTTAGCCAGTTCCTTGCCCTCGCTGGACGCGAAGAGCGCATGGTATGTGAGTTTCCGCGTTTCCAAGCGCACTTCTGGGGCTAGTAGGAGCAGAATCTCCTCTAACCGCTCCTCGAAAAGCACTAGACTGAAAGCGATACCTTCTACGATATTATTGATCATTTGCAAAAGATTTGTCAAAGCCCGGTTCTCGCCCTGAAGTTCCACCTCTTCCCGCCTGGAACTGACCCGACCTAGAGCTTCTGGGCCAGCTAGTCCATCGATGAAGGTCTTATTGTCGTCAAGGAACTGCTGTAGTCGAATGAGGGAGCGCTGTATGTCCTGGAGCTTGGTAACCTTATGATTGGGTGCCAGTACCGGACCAGTGGGTGTTACTGTTTCTCTAATGATAGGTGTATCCCATATGGAGCGAACCAGTCGAGCGACGTAGAGAGCAATACCATCGTGGCGGGGTGAAGGTTGGACGTTGTCTACGCTCAGTCCTTCCACGGCAGCAGACTCGGTAATCTGAGGCTTTCCGCCGTATTCTATGAAAGCTTTCCGTGCCACTTCGGTGACTTCTGGGTCAGTGATTAGAATAACTCGGGAGTCTGCACCAACGTCCGTGCCTTGTCCACATGCTACTGCCAAAGCCGTTGAAGCGGTCTCTGTGAGCCCATAATGTCTCGCAAACCGGCGCACATCCGCTTCAACACCCTCTGCGCCTCCTCCGTACCGGATGATAGCCGCAAAGGTATCTACCAGTCTCCGTCGGCGCACAGTCTCCACCCCATAATGAGTCATGACGGCGAACTCTGCAGCAGGGGCATCAAACTGCACAGCGTATTCACTACCAAAATGGCCAGCCGAGAATGGAGGGGTGACCAGGCCAGCGTCCTGTAGCTTGCCTCTGAGTGTGATGGTTTGACCGGATTCTGTGAAGCGGGCGTCGCGTTCACTAAGCAATTGCCCGGTGTGCGCGGAGGATATGAAGAGCTCATGGTTAGGGTTGGTCGGATTTTTCTCGACTGCACACAGGAATGTCCCAGGCGCGTATCGGAAGGTAGCCACTGTCTGCGTCAATATCCTGGAATCGAATCCAATAGGGGTGCCGCCTTGATATGGTTGCATTTGAGTACTCGTAGCATTGGGTGGAGGGGCTGTCTGCGCATCATGGGATACCGGAGGAAAGCGAACGTGCATGACTGCCATGTTGCTCGGTGCGCCTGTAGAATCCCAAGTACCAGAAGTAGCACTCATGTATAGCCGGACTCCCGTAGAGGAAGTGAGCATGAGTGATACGGAATCAGCTTCAGAAACCGCGATTGGGTCCATGCCTACTATCCTGAGATTGTCCAAAGCTGGCACTTGACGGATTAAGTGGCTGACCTGGCCCCTTATTGTGCCGAGATCGCGTTTGATGACATTCTCGAGCGCCGTGAATGTGCGCATATGAAAGACCTTGACGGTACTGTTCGTAGAGAGCGTATAGAGGAGGTTTCGGCTGTCGTCAACGATCATTTGCGACAGACCCACGGGCGCAGCACGCTTTCCAAAAGATATGCTCGGCAGTGGAATTGCAACAGACGACGTGACATGATTCTTCTTGCTGCAGCGATTCGAAAACCACTTCTCCTCTTGTTGGTAATTGAGTTCCCAGACATCTTCGGTTGCACTTTCGCCAAAGAAAATGCGCCCCGTCTTGGCTGAGCTTGCAATAGCAGTGACGTTTATCCCGCGGACTGATACCGACATGCCTGTACGGTAAAGGTTTACGCCATATACGCCTTCAGGTCCAGATTGACACTCCACCGCGATGAGGTGGATTTCCGCAGTGGTTGCAATGACCAACAACCACGAAATGCTGTCAACAAACACCTTCGCGCGCGGTTTTACCAGCTTTACGCAGGTGATGTTGTCTTTCAACTCTTCGAAGCCGATCAATTCTGGGTTGCGCGCCGTGTAGTCCCACAGGTATAGTTGGTTGTCGACGGCAACGTAGGCGTGATTGATCTCCGCGAATAGCCCCATGTCCACGCTCATCTGCATCTCGTTGACCTGATCGTACATGCCCTCGGGGTGTTCGTATGAACGTAGCTTCTGAAAAGGCGCCCATGCCTGGCCTGTGGGTAGTTCGTATTCGCCGGAGACGCCCGCTGTATAGTGTCAGCATTTACTCAGGCCCTGTTTGTGCGCATTGTGACCTACGTTTCGAGTATGCCTCGAGTGGTGGATATCGATTATCATTGTCGAGCATGCGATTAATGGCTTTGGCAGCGAGCTGTATTTGGGACGGGGATGGGCGTGGGCGCCTGTTGCTGCTGCACAGAGCCCAACGAAAAGGGTGGCGGCCTGGCGGGGGTCTGGGGAAATGTTCCGGGGCCCTGTCGCTGGGGAGTTGCGGGCGGCATGTTAAGAGCCATCGCGAGCGGTGGGGGGAGCTCCGCGACAGTCGGCGTGGTCGAGGTGTAGGCGGAGGACGAGGTTAGGCGCCGCGGGTCATAAACATTAGCTCAGCGCGAAACTAGCCGACGCGTGTGGTTGAAAGAAATGCGCGCCGACCTCGAAAGAAATAAAGCGCGGCAAGGAACAATTGCGGCCGTGAAAGAGCTCTGGGCGAGCTTGGTGTATTCAAGAAAACATTAAGGCCACGCACGGACGCAAGCAACAGCTCGCTCCAGTAGCGCGGTCTCGACTTGGCAACCTAAAAAGTTACCTGCATCGTCGCATTGTTGTTGCGCAATGAATAGATACATCCGCAAGCTTTAATTTCAGCGTAAGAGTTACCCTTCCAGTTTTTTTCGTTTGGCAATTGCGACAGTCGCTCTTCTTGATTGCACAAGAGCAATTCGAGACCATTATTGCGACACCCTCGAGCAGTCCAAGACCATCTACAACAACACCTTCAAAACCGCGCAACATGTCTTTCTTGTGCCTCGCCCGCCCTACCCAGGGTCTTCTCCGCCAACCCCTCCTCCACCGCACCTTCCTCACCACGCGTCCCCTCTTCAACCAAGCCTCCATCCTTTCGACCCTAAAACCTGAACTCATGACCGCCATGCGCTCCAAAGACAAGCCCCGGCTAACCGTCCTCCGCGCCCTCCTTGCCGAGATCACAAACGCCTCGAAGACCTCCAAACCCATCAGCTCAGATGCCACCCTTTTCTCCCTTCTCTCAAAACAAATTAAAGCGTCTCAAGCGGCGGTGGACGAGTTTGCGAACGCGAAGAGGGAGGATTTGGTAGAGAAGGAGAGGGAGCAGTTGCTGGTGCTGGAGGGGTACTTGAATCAGATTGAGGTTGTTGGGGAGGATGAGGTCAGAAATGTGGCGGAAGAGGTTGCGGGAGGTTTGGGCGCGGGAGCAAAGGTGGGGCCGGTAATGGGCAAGGTTATGGGCAAGTTTGGTGGTAGACCCGTTGATTCAGATCTTGTGAAGAGGGTGGTAGAAGAGGTCGTTGTGCAAAAATTGTGAGAGGGATAAGGGAGTGAAGTGAAGAGGAAGGAGCGGGCAAAACTGTAGCAACACCACAACCGGGATACACATCTTGTAAAACATGTAATACCGCGAATGTAAGATATCTGTCTACATGAAAGATACCCACCAGAGATAAGAAGGGAACTCAACCAGACCGTTACGTTGAAGAGCACATCTCTAAATACTCTTCCCATAATGCCAAACTTTCACACATTCAATATCAGGCGCCCTGGACACTAGCAAATTACTACGTCCAAAGCATTACCGCAACCTTTCAACTTGTAATCCTGGCCTCGAAATGCAATCACGCCGCGACCCTCGTCATGTCACCCTCCCTCGGATAAGCCTCCAATGAACTCGGAAGACCAGGACAGTTCTTCGGCGGGAAAGAACTCATCTTTGCGAACATCTCAGCAGAAATAAACCTGTTCTACAACCATCCTCTACGGTCATTCGGAAAGCGATAAGGACGGGTTGAAGGCGCTTGGTTATCATCCACGATAAGCGGTGGTATCTGGTGTCTTTGCTCTCGTCACAAGGTATGAATGATGTAAGACGTCGTCTGCATCATATTCAGGTACAATCAAGTCTTCAAACGGCGCGTTGAAGAAGTGCGGGTAGTCTTCGAGCCCTGGAGCGTCTGTCGGCTCAGGCATATCGCGCTCAGCGACCGGAGTAGTCCGGATTTCGAGTAGCTTGTCAAACGGCGTTTTGAAGAAATTCGGGAAGTCCTGGAGCTCTGGAGCTTTCGTAGGCTCTGCAATGTCGCGCTCAGCTAGCGGAGCTGTTACTATTGCATGTTTCACCACAGTCTCAGTGACGCTTGCGTGCGGAGACAAGCCCCTGAGCAGGGCTAAGGGGCTAGGCAGGTCCGGGAACCGGATAATCGACACATGAGCCTTGATGCGGCCTGGACTTACGGTGGCGTATGTGGTGGTGTAGGCCGTAGTGGTCGTGGTGCAAGATGAAGGTTTGCTGGTGTAATAGCCATTCGTGTTAAGCTTGATGGTAGGCCAACCCGGGTTCGAAGGAGCTACAGTGGGCTGATGAGTGCTTGAGCTGCTGTAGGGAGGTACTAAGATCTCTGGTTGCGTACTTTCAGCAGGACGAGTGGGGATAAGCGCATAGTCCGGACTATGAGGATCTGGAGTCGTAGCTGTAGAAGTTGTCGAGGCAATGATCTTGGTAACGGGAACAATTGTTCCGACAGCGGAGACAGCAGACGTTGGACATCGGTTCAAAGGGCCCGAGGTACCGAAAGGAAGAGCCGTCATTATGGCAGTGACAGTGTGCACTGGATGATCACGTCTCCAGCAACTGCCAGAGCATGTCAGCATCCAACGCCAATAAGGACGGGTATTTCAGAGAAGCGCGATCATGATTTGACCAGCATGGATGAGGGGACCGCACACGACGTACTCTGAGGGCTGTGCCTGGTTCTCCACCCCCGAAGGTGAAGGGATAGCAATAGCGGCGACCCCTAAGCTGAAGGCCGCCACGGAAAGGAAAGTTCTCATCCTGTGAAGTAAAGGTCGTCCACGAAGATATTCGAATCGTATCAATGGCTAGGTTAGACGCGCAGTACATTGGAAAGATATTTCGTCGAGGTGGTGGTGAATATTCACACTCATCTTGCAAGTGTTGGGAGAGCGAGACATGGTAAGCCTACGGCATCTTACGCGCTTCATTCAACAACATATGTAGCTATGCTTGGAGTTGGGGTAAGCGCCGGTCTAACCAGCAAAGTGTAGATGTGTGTTTCACCGACCAAGCTCTGTCTACATGGAAGTGTCTTCAGACCCTGACAGAGCTCACTGGCGCGATACTGGGGAGTTGATGAATGCATTCGGCGATGGTGTTGAGGCGGTATGTGTGGTAGCGAAGCGGCTTGTGGATCCACGCCGCCATACCTAGCATATATGCATCCGAAGCATAAGATTGCACGTGCCGCAGCTGTTGAACAACAGAAAGTGCACTTGTGGTACAGTCCATCGGAACGTGCAAGCGTAACAGTGGTGGTGTTGTGAACACTGAGTGAGCTTGCCAAAGGTGAAGCAACGCGGTGTCACACGGCGCTTGACCCGAACAGCTCTGTCCAAGCGCACTTGCAGCCACCGACGTCATCTTCGCAGCATGTGCGTCCGCTCGGTCTGGCTGGAGGGGTGTCCCAGCGGCCGAACGGGCACCACCGAGGATCCCCATGTCGTTGTAGGGCGCCGCCGGCACTGCCTCGTCCGAACAGGCGGCTGTCAGTGCCCGACCATGGCAGCAGAAGTGAACGCTTTCCTGCCCGAATGGATGCCCAAGGGCAGCCCTTCGGTCTGAAGACTTTAGATGCAAGTCTGCGACAGGATGGCCCACTGGGCCGGGATTGAGACAGCGTCCACCAGTCATGGCCGAATTCGAGGCTAGGGCCGGCGATGACGAAGCCCAGTAGCAGGTGCACGAAAGTTGGCGGTAACTGCATGCACACACCACACAGGGCGCTCTTAAGGACGCAGCCCGATCACACTGCGCTTGCACTCGCTTGCTTCTATCCTTCAGCTTTCACTTCACCTTCTCGCGCCCTTCATCTGTCCGCTCGCTGCTCTTCCAGCGTTGTACTGCGCCTGAATAGCGTGCCGGTGCCCCGCAGCTGTCCGACTCACTGACACCAACACCGCGTTCCACGCTGCACCACACGGCAAAATGTATCGCTCCTCGACCGGTGCCTTGGACCATTACGACGACCCGCCTCATGGCGGCGAGCGATGGGATCGCGACAGGTTTGAGCGCATGGCCCGGCGCGGCGGACCTCCTCGCGACGTGAAGGACGACTTCCACTTCCACGAGCGCGACCGGTTCCCTGGTGGCCGTCGTGACATAGATCTTCACGACGACTATGAGCGCCGCGGCCCTCGCGTCATGGAGCGCGAGACGTTCCGCGAAGACGACCGCTTCGACCGACGCCGCCGCCATGAGCTCTTCGAAGAGCCCACGCCTTCCGAGGTTGCCAATCGAGCACTTGCCCCGTACCGACGCAAGTCTGTTGTAGAACGGGATATTGACATCGATATTGAGAGGGAGAGGCCGAGAAGACCTGCTCGTCCTCAATACATTCGTCGACAGTCTTCCCTGGATACCTTCGATCGCCGCCCGCTTCCGCGCTATGGTGACATGGAGAGGGACGAATGGCGACCTCCAGCAAATGTCCCGATTCCTCTGCCCATCCGAGAGCGCCGGCGCTCGCCTCCACGGTACCGGGAGGAAGAATTCGAGGAAGAACGCTTCGTCGAGAGGGATCGTCCCGGGAGGAAAGACAGAGTCGAGGAATACCGTGAAGTCGAGGTCCACCGAGCGAAGAGCAGGCGCCGACCCAGTCCTTCGCGCAGTATTGCACGATCCGTCGCACGTAGCTCTTCCACTTCCAGCTTCGAGGAGATCAAGCTTGCCAGAGCAGATTGGGGAAAGAAGGGCAAAACTCGGCTTCCAAAGCGTTTGTGCAAAGTTCAGGCTGTGACCGAGCTCGGCTACCCTTACGAGGAAGAGGCAAGTACCATTATGGATTTATGAGTGAAGCCGACTAACAACATGTAGGAGGACTTCATCGTTATCACCCGAGCGTTGGAGAAGGAGCACATTGACGAGATTATCAGCATAAGCGAGAAATACAAAGAGAGTAAGTGTTCACTCCAGACAATGTGATATCTTTCTAACGCTTTGTCAGCCAAAACAACATATGTATACGAAGACCAGAGGTCGGTCGTAGAGCAACCTCCGGGCGTCTTCGCTCCTCCTCCACCTCCATCCGTCCATCTCCCACCTCCATCTGTCCATCTCCCACCTCCGCCGCCGCCGCCGCCGCCACCGCCAATGTCCGTCCATGGCGATACAGTCATCTACGAGAAGTCAGTTCGGGGTATGTCACCTCCGCGCCATCACCACGAACACTTCGAAGAGAGAATCGAGGAGTCTAATCACATCGGTGGGCCTTTGACTGTGCTTGTGCCCGAGGAGCGACGAGTCGTCCGCCGAGAGCGAGATATTCGCTCGGAGAGAGAGATCAGAGATGAGATCCGCGCGCTTGAGGACGAGCGACGAATGCTCAAGTACGAGCGTGACGGCGACTACGAAATTGTCGAGCGACGTGAGCGTCCCCGAGAAGTCATCCGCATTGAAAAGGATCGGAAAGGTAGGATGGCCCTTGTCCGCTCGGCTCATTAGGATGGCATTGATTCTGGATAGGCCGTCGGGAGCCGAAGCCCAAGCTCGTCGCTGCGATGATGGCTACCCTCACCTAGAGGCGTTTTGAGCCTCTTGAGGAATATTGGCAATTTCTTGGGAACATTATGATCTTCGGTTACGAGCTCAGCTTCTTTCGGCTTTCTATTGAAATGCATGGATATAACGGTTGGATTTGCGTTGCTTCCATTTTCAGCGTGCCCTCTGCGAGTATTACTGGTGGGTCTGGCGCAGTCCTACACGGATGTCATTTCTTTCCTCTTTTCTATCTTTTCTTTACGTTTTGTAAAATACCATTTTCGAAACGATATAATGAATAATGATTTTGGACAAATGCATGCTGTGTTCTCCAAGGTGCCTCGGTCTTAAAAGGGCTGAACCTGAATAAACTCCGTTTACGTTCTACCTGGGTGCCTGGCCACCACAACACAACTGGCGCGTGCCCAAACGATTCTTACCCAGGGTGTAGACGCCATGCCTATCTGCATTGAATGCCGTGCCCCCGTCAAAACGCTATATACCTCATACAGCAAAGCAGATGACCGCGCGCTCGGCAAGGGTGTCCGCCTTACACAATGCCCTCGGTGCAAACGCTTCGCAGACAAGTACATTGAACATGACTTCGTCGTCATATTCATCGACTTAGTCCTCATAAAGCCGCAGGTATGTACATGATATGCAACACCGTCTGATGCTAATAGCATAACCATAGGTGTACCGACATCTACTCTTCAATGAGCTTGGGCGAGAAGACGACCGCTTCGACGTAAGCTGAGACCCCTATGAAGAGAGTTGGAGTTCCTACTGACGCGTAGGCTATTTCAGCGATCTATTTTCCGCCTCGGTACCCTCCTCCTTCTCTTCGACGTCTACCTAACCTGGGCCCGCATCGAAAAAGCTTCCTTCTCTCTCACCGGTCCCCTAGCCCGTCCTTGCAACCCAACCATCCCTCGTCCCTGCACCCACTCACCCCCTTCCACTCTTCCCTCTCAACCCCTCATTCTTCAATACCTCTTCTACCTCCTTCTTGTCGCCCTCTCCACCCTGGCCTTCCACATCCCCATCCGCGTTCTGTGCTCCGTACCGCCTACCCGCCTTCCTGTCTTCCTGCGCCCCATCCTTCCGTATTTCCCGCAGGGAAACGCGCTGAGCACGGCGTTGTTGGTGTCGAGTTGCACAAAGCTCTTCCCAATACTACTAATTATATGGGACTACGATCTGAAGAGCAGCGCGGCGGCCGTAGGATGGGCGGTGGGGGTTAATAATGTGGCTGCGGTGGAGATTTTGGTGGGGTGTGGGTATTTGAAGGCGATGGCGCTGGTTGGGATTGGGGCGGCATCTAGGGGTGGGTTAGTGGTGCGATATTGAGAGCTGTGGGGCTCACTGATGGGATGGGGTTGTTGATTTATGTGAAGGAGGCGATTGTACAGGGGAGGGAGTTGTTGGGGTTGTGAGATTGGATTTATGGGAGATATGAGCTGACAACGGCGTCTATGTCATCTATCAAAGGACAAGGGGTTTCAAATGGTCCCCCTTAACACGGCTCATGCAAATCACCCATGTGCATGATACTATGATGGTAGTTGGCACGATGACAGTATATGCGAATGATGCTTGATCAATTGTATCTGTACAGCGCCGTTCAATATATGCTTAACACCCAAGTATTCATAGACAATACAAATCGATGCTCACGGAAGTCGATACCTTTCGTCCTCTCCCGATCCTTCTCCGCCGTTCGTAGTTTCAAATCGTCCTTTAGCCTGGCATGATATGCATAGTCCGCTTCTTGCCTTCCCTAATCCTCGTCTGAATTGTAGTCCTGTCCATTCTGCCCTCATCGTGCAGCGTCTGCTCTCGTCGCCTAGCGGTGCAAATCCTCCGGACCTCGCAGGTCTTGTCGCACAGGGGTGATGAGCGGGTTCAATTGTGCGAGGAACGTTATCGCCCACATGATGTACATAGCCGAGGCCGAAAGGACAAGAGTCGATCTCCAGATACTGTATCTTCATCAGCCGTCGCCCCGTAGTATGTCCACCCCGCCACACTCTTCGAGCCGTCTCCGGGAAGTAAACCTAGCATTATGACCTGACCATTGCAGAATCATGATCGTAGACTATAGTAGAAGCCTTGGAGTGCGAGGAGAAGAAGGGTGACCCGGGCGAGCTTGACGTACGTTTGTTCCTCGCCTTTTGGGGACAGGAACCACGCGGCTCCGCAGAATATCGCGACAACCACGAGGCCAATGAAGGGCGCCCATCTGTATGTTTTAATTTCATGTTCGCAAATCTCGGTGAGGTGGTCCTACCCGTTCGCCATGGTGCTTTAAGCTGGGTCGTCGCTAGGCGGCGACACGCGCTATCGTACGCCTGGTGGGTGGCGATGGGTTCGCTGATATTCAAACGCGGGGCGTTGCAAGCTGGCGCGAACGTTGAGAAGCGATGGGAGCGTCGAGCGGCGATGGCAGGGCGTGGATGTGTGAATGCCGAGCTTGGAGAAGCTCCGGACACGATGATGCGCCTTCCTCGGCATGTTGAGCTAGTGCTCATTTGAGCTAGCGCGGCATTGAGCCCGGGCCACCCGCACCGGTCATACAAATGTAGGAAGTTCTCAATCTCTATTCCAACATCTATCTTGATGATTTTATATGAAGACAATTTTGCGCCCAAATCTGCTTGTCAAATACTGTGGGAGTTATTTTCTATCCAGAGATACTCAAATACGACCTATACGCTCGTACTTTCGCAACGAAGAAAATCCTTGAAGTGCAACCCTCCATCGCCTCACTTTACGAAGACCCTGATGGTGATCGTATCCTATCTCGTACTCTTTTCGTACACTTACAATCGCTGATCAGAACAATGGCCTAGAATAAGCAAAAGATCCCTGTTGAACAGTTGCGATACCATATCGTCTCCCTTTATACTCCGCTCAAATGACAGTCTCCACCCCGCCGCCTCATCTTCACTGTCCAATGACAAGACTTCTGTAAGAGATGATGATTCGACATGGTCACCGATCTACTTTGCCGCAGAGGGGGTTGCTTCGGCGCTTCACTGTGTTACGAACGTGGCCGGGATTAACTGCTCAGCAAATCAATTTCTCGGCAAACGATCATATCCGTCCTTTCCGGACCTGAACTCGAAGACAAATTGATGACAAGCTCAATCCGGCTTTCATCTTTCCTTAGTTCATGACTCAGGACGATCATACCGGATTGATTCAGCCTCGCGCTCGCTTGGATACTGGAACATGCACCTGAAAGCACATCCATCACCACCAGAATACGATTGTGAAAGTGTTGAAGAAACCATTATACATTTCTTCGCACCAGGATTTCACAGTCTGATGTGGCTGACAATTATTGAGCGCACAATTGGCTGCTTTGTGGATGCAGCCATCTCATGCATGGCACACCGCCCAATTGACAACCTTCGTGTTGACAGCGTGAGTCGCTGTGGATTTTCACAGCGAACCTACAATCTTGAAAGTACCTCTGGGGCCAGCAGCACAATCAAGAATATTGACAAGCTTCTCGTTGTCGATGAAGGCTGTCAGACTGGACTAGACTGCTGCGTCCGCTTCGTACTCGTCGTCTTTAACCGTAGAGGCCCATTATGGTACCTAGACTGTGCTCGATCACAATCCGGTTCTCTTTCTCACTGCCGACGCAGCCTGGCCAAGCAGTTTTCCGGGCTGAAGTATGAACGGCGTGATCCCCGTCACCGAGCTGGCTGGTCCCTGTAGGTTTAATCCTCACCGGTGTCCCCCCCTTTCCGTCACCAAAGCCTCTGCCCTGAAATCATCATCTTTTGATAAGGACTGAGCCGCTGTCCAAAGTCCTCATCTCACCGGACGTAGCGATGGTTGTTTCCCTCGGAGTTGACCGCATGATGGTCAGTCGTCCTTCGTCGAGCGACGTGCCGGCACGTAGTGAGGCTTCGCCTGTTTAGCCACTATTGAAAAGCCTGCTTTATCTCATTAATCATTATATACATACCCGAGACCTTGTTTGCTAGGATTCCCCAGGCTCTTGGCCCCCAATCATAGGCTGCTCTCAGAGCTCCATCGACCCTTGACCAGGGACTTCCTCTATTGCCTTGACTATATCGACTATGACTGAGCTGGTTTGTATCGATGATAATATGTCCTACGTTACACCGAAGACCCTTCAGACTGATACGTTACCAGACCAGGCCTTCAGCAGCGCGCAACACTCTGACTCTCGCAACACCTCAGCTACGGGGAAGACAAGCACAATGAGGCGACTTAATCAGCTAGGTCATACGTATGTTGGCAACGCCACGACCGAATTCACGGTTTCTCGAATTGGCTAGGCTTCCAACCACTCAACATGCTGGCGACGTAATACTCCTTCCATAGAGCAGGGCCTCGGGTCATCCACGTCAATGGGTACACGTAGCTCTGCTTTCTCCGTTGGCGCGCTGTACGGTTAGGTGGCACTGCCAACCACTGGTGTGATTCATACCGATCGATAGCCCCAAAAACCATCCGCGTAACAGTGCAGATGACTTGCAGTCTTAGCTTGTGCTCTCGAATGGGCGTCACAGCTTGATTTACCGATTGTCGTACTACAGGATGCAAATCTTATCAACAAGCAGCTCGTCAGCACCTGACGGGCCTCACTTTGCTCAGCTGTACAGGATAACGGCTTCCGTCTTTACGCCTAGGGACTGCAGCCTTGCTACGTAAACAACTGTGAGAGGCTGGCTGTTTTCTTGGGCAAGCGAACACTATATCTGGGTCTTCTTCTGCGAAGGAAGCTCGACCTTTGTGTGCACTGACTGTAGTGCTACCAACTCCAGCACCTTGTTTACTTTGCCTCTCTTGAACCGACAACACAAACCAGCACAACTATACAAACCCTTTACAATGGCTTCAGATGATCTAGTTTTCATTGAAAGCGGACCGTCAATGCAGTTGATTCCTTCATCTTCAGTCGAGTCCTTAGAAGGAGCGACCGCTTCTAGTCTAAAAGAGTTTCCGCATACCTATTCACCAACTTCACCAGCCGTTACTGGTCCAGCGCTGGGATGTAATCCGTGTGGACTAGCTTTCAGATCAAAACCTGGATACTCTCCTTGTCCGACAATACCTAGAAGCTCAGCAGATCTTCAGTATTGCTGTCGTGGGAGCTGTCAACAGATTGACAGGTTGGCGCAGGTGGATGAACCTTCCAAATTCCCTCCCACAATCAATCTACCACTGCCGCCTGTTTACAACGGATCAACATCGGGATGGGTGACACCGGGAGCCCGCGCAAAGCTCAAGAAGAAGACTCAAACTCCACCACCACCTTCTCCTTACAATGTAGGTTAACTGCTCTTTATTAAATTCAGGACTGACCTTTCAAAGCCACCAATGCCAGTACCTCCGGTAAAATCTAGACGTTAGAGCTTTCAAGAAGATCAATTGACTTGATTAGCCACCCCCACCACTTCCAGCAATGACTTTACCTCCTCCGCCACCACTTGCGCCAGTGGTGATGGCTCCACCTCCTTTCCCGCTACCACGCATGGCGGCTCCAGTGAGTTGATATCGAATCCTTCCTTAGCGTCACACCAGTTCATGTGAGAAAGGTACCTCCTCCAATGCCCATGGCTCCGCCCCCTCCTCCTTCTCCGCCATATAAGCCGACCAGATCTCGCGATCTACGTATCCCGGACGACGAGTACAAGGAGGCTTCAGCACCAGCAGATCTGATACCCGTCCGATACTCTGGAGAGTCACTGCTCGACACCGGCCGTGTCGTCCGCATCACGCCCTTCAAACGGAACGTGCTCGTGACCACCCACCGCGCCCAGATCGCCGACTTTGAAGAGGCCAAGTGGATGATTCAGCATGGCGCCACTGACGTCTGGTACCAGAAGCCCAAGCGTTCATGGCTACGTCAACAGGAAACACTTGAAGCGTCGGGGCAGGACACCGAAGAGCTTCAAGCCCTGGACAATGCAAGACCTGTCAGCCTTGAGACTCCACGTATATGGGCCTCCTCTGCGCTTGTCACACCGACGGACGACGACATCTTTGATTGCACTGCGGGACACACCATCGATGATGCCTTCTCGGGCGCCTGCCCAATCTGCACGGATGAGAAGAGCGAAGCGTTGGACGGAACTCCGTTGATCTATTATGTTGTCCTCTCTACTTGTCAAGCTAGCGAGCCGTTCATCCATGGCGCTCACTTCAACGGCAGACAGATCTACAGATTGATCCGATGTGGTAGTCGAGATGCTGCGGTGGCCGAAGCCTTCTATGCATCGGGCGTCAATGGGTGGAGTGCTGCATTCAGCTGTGTCATGCGGGCCGATAATGAGCTTGAGGGAAGTGAGGAAAAGATCAAGAGAGTTGATGAGCTATGGATGCTAGGTGAAGAGGATGAAGAGGATGATTGCACGAGAGTGTTCTTCTAAGCGCTCAGATTGTTGAGACTATGCTACTGCTCTGACACTCTCCGTGGATTGCGCCCTCGGTTGGTTTCCTCTTTCGACACATTCCCTTCTCGACTCTTACTTCCGGGTCCATTAAACGGCACTATCCAACCAAGATACGTCAACATCGTCTGAACATCCAGAAAGGAGAAGACCGCTCGTCCACCCAATCACAACGCTACTCTCCCTGCAGCCATGTTCCCGACCAATACTTTTGTGTTGTACAGCAGCACCTTTCCGTTGGCACGTGCATGAAAACACATACAAACGTCGCACCGTTCACTGCGTATGCACGCTCCTTCAGTTACTTGAATCTCCTTTCTTCCTGTTTCCCCGTGAACCCCACATAGCTCGCCTCTATACTACGTTTGAGGCGCGGGCGAATCAAAGGGCCAATCGTAAGGGGCCACGACACTTCGGTAGTGGCTTGCATGGTCTCCGTATCTGTGGTTAAGCTGGTCAGAATCTTGGGCTTTTCATGTTTCTTTGGGTATTGGAGGAACGAGATGATTGAAGGGTCATGGCACGAGTGCGTTGGGCTCTCATGCGTGAGGGGTAGATGATGAGACTGATCAAGAGGTGGTCAAGGTTACTCGAACAGGACACCTAAGTTGCATTCCTACTTTCGTACTTTATATCATGAAAGTCTCAACACGAAGTCGTGAGGTATCTAAAGATAGGACACAGTATATAGGCTCCTCCTGCCCAACGAAGCCTTGCATAGTCCTCCGAGGTATGGCTTGCAGCTTTGTGCTCCCAATGTTTTGGGGGACGCACCAACCCGAGAACCTGCAGCCAATCTGCAGGTATATCGAACGATTGCGCTGCCACCACTGCGCAGTGCGTGCCTATCCTTTAGTACAATCCGCATGTGCCTTTCTCCCGCTCAAGAAGCCCATGTGATATCACTACGACCATCAGAGTCTAGCGAAGCCCCAACCTTTGTTTTAAACCTAACTCTTACACTTGCTTGTATACTCATCCTACAGTCATCTCCTTACAGCCTCGACCACTCTCTCCCCGCGCTCTTCAACCCCTCCTCGCCATCCACGAGCACGCACCATCCTTCCCCTCCATTCCCTCCATTGCCCCCAATCGTAGCCTTGAACTCCCGCCTCGCATACTCTATGACCTCATTATCGAACGTCCCCGGCTGCAGCCACACCGCTGAAATGCCCACCTCCTTGGCTTCCTTGAGCAGCTGCTTCGTCACAGCCGGCGGTGTGATTACAGACAACGAGTATGAAGACGGGTCTTGCAGCTGCGAGGGCGAAGCGATTGTGGTGTAGGACTGGGAGAGGACGTCTACGGTGGGAGATCTTGGGTTTAACGGCGTTGCCGGGAGGGAGTGACGGAGGTACCAGGCGAATACTGCACAAACATTAGCTATGTGTGTTTAAAGTGAGGCCGAGGCATAGGCACCTTTGTGGCCAAACTTGGAGGGGTCTGAGGAAGCGCCTGCGACGGCGAAGCGTGGCGAGGAGAAGAAAATCTTTAGGGCGGCTTCCATATCTGCATCGCGTTTTTGACCGCGCGTTCGGGGCATTGGCTTCGCTATGTATGTGTGTAACCTCACTCTGTGGGAGTGTTGCGTTGTCGTATAGCTGGACGCTGAGAGCACTGGCGGGGTGTAATTGTTTACCAGCGAAGCCGAGGCACACGGTACGTCATCTCGCGTGCGATTTCTCATTCCTAATCCTCCTACTACATGTGGTCTCATCGCCGCGAAGCAATCTACATGATTTGAATTACCCATTACCACGGAATCTGCCCCCCATCAAACCGAAAAAACTTGCCACTATCCTCCTTCTTCAGCCCAAAGACAACTTCCAGCATACCCGATATGCTAACCTCTGGCTCCACCATCGCACCCTTCCCACCCATCCTCGTCTTCACCCACCCTGGATCCATGCATATTACTGTCGCATGACTCCGCTTCAGGTCCTTGGCTTGATGGAGGGAGAGCATGTTTTGCGCCGCTTTACTCATCGAATACGTGCAGCACTTGGATACATCCCTCGCAACCGTCAAGCTCGCCAGCCCCGTGCTCAAATTCATCACCACCGCGCCCCTCGCTAGGTACTTTCTCAGCGTCTCCACTATCTTCGCGGGCCCCAGCACATTGACGTCCATATGTCTTTGCAAGGATGCAGGATCTATTGATAAAGATGTGTCGGATGAGCTCGCGTTGATGCCCGCGACGTTGAAGAGGTAGTTTAGATTCTCGCCTGTTTTAGAGAGGATCTCTGCGACGCGGAATTCCAGGCTGGCTATTGAGTCGGTGGAGGAGACGTCGCATTCGATGATGTGGACGTTGGGCTTATAGAAGGCGAGTCTCTTGAGCTCAGCAAGGTCGCTTTTCCGCGAGCGCACGGCAGCGATGATGTTGTTGCCTGGGGAGGCGGAGAGTTGGCGCACGAATTCGAAGCCGATGCCACGGTTTGCGCCGGTTAGGAAGTATGTCGGCATGTTGTATTCTGTTCAGGATTGACCTAGCAGGGAATCGTCTTGGAATTCGTTTCGTTTCAACCGCTGCCTGTCACCTTCCCGTCTCTTACTTGCGCCGGGAAATGTCGCGCAGCGTCCGCCGAACGGTTGTCGCGCTCCTTGAGTATCGTGATATTGCTTTATCCATGTTGACTGGAGGTTCATTATATGCGAATGCTCATGGGCGATGAAACCGGTTAAACCGGCGAAGAAGGGGCTGCAGATCAAGCTCGCGTGCTCTCACATCGGTATGGCATGTTATGCGATGGTGCGCAGTGTTACTCAGAGGGTACGCCAGCATTATGCGCGTCATGTCCGAAGTTTCGAGCATGCGGATGATGATATGCTGAGTTGCTTGAGAGCTTGGAATGTGGTTCGTGTCGCGCGATGAGAGGTTCGTGGCAGGTGTCAAGGAGTCTTGATGTTTCAAGTCGTGGTCTCATGAGGGGGTGGATTACAATTCCATGACTCGTAGGGCTGACTCCTGCCTCCGTACGAGGTAGCAATCCAAACGCTTCCTTGTTAACGCGGGATATTGGGCGTGGTGCACCTTCCGGTGTTGGGACCTGGCTAATAGCGTCACTTCTTCCTCCTGCTACAGCAGAAACTCCAGTCGAGATAGAAGACCATCGGTTTACCTGCGTCTCGAGAAGTTTGAGTGTACTTGCTGAGCTATGCCTCGTAAAATGTGTACAAAGACCACAACTGAAAGCTACAGTGGGACGCACTACAGGCAAATGTGGAAATTTTAACCGTTCGGGGCGTCTCGGCGAAATACACTGTTGAAAAGACAGTGTTCTCAACAGCAGTTACATCTCAACCGCCATCAATCTCCCTCGTGCACAATCCTACAAGAAGAAAAGCGGAAAGACTTTTTTGATCTCACGAGAGGAAGAGTCAGAATCTTCCAGTCTTCAGAAACAACAACCCACCACCATGGCCTCACCTTCCAACTTCAAGCCATTAGGCGAAGCACCACGCGATATCGGGAAGATTATTGAACAAGAACGCGCATCTGAACTGCCAAAATTCAATGCGGCGGTTGCCTACCGCCTCGGCACCGCCCTCCACTCCCGCCTCCTTACCTTCCCTTCCCCAGCCTGCATCCATATCTCCACTGTCTCCACCCCAGCACACGTCCTCTACCACGCCATCACGCACGACGGCACGGCGCTTGACAACGATTACTGGATCGCGCGCAAGCGCAACTCGGTCATTCGTTTTGGCGCCAGCACGTGGCGGCTGCATGTGAAATACGATGGTGACGAGCAGGCTTTTGCAAGCAAGGTTGGCGGGGAGGCGAAGGCTGGGGAGTATGCGATTCATGGAGGCGGAGTGCCGATCTATGTGAAAGGGGTGGAGTGGCCGGTTGGCGTGGTGGTAGTCAGTGGGTTGAAGCAGTGGGATGATCATATGGTTGTTGTTGAGACGCTGGCCGAGGTTTGCACGGCCGTGTTGAAGGAAAGTAAGTAGGGAAGTAGAATGAATTCGAAGTCGAACGTATGGAGTCATCAGTTCCTACGGCGGCGTCGGAGGTCGTCCTTGTCGGACTGTACATTATGGCGAATGTTGAGATGATAACACAGGTTCTTTCGATCAGAAATCTGAAGGGGTCAAACTGCAAGATATCGGCTTCATGATAGACAGCGCTGGGCTATAGGCGGTATCGAAATGCCCCTTGCAGTTAGCGCCTAATCCCCGCTTTCTGACCTCCAGCTTATCGCCATACACGCTCGGCTTGGACCATGAACCATCGTATAAGAGCATTGCGATGTTACAAAGTTCGCAAGTACAAACCCCTGTGCGATGGTAAGAGCATGAGAGCTCGAGAAATCCCCCCACGCTCACCCCTCGCAGGCATTACAAGGATTCGATATAGTCGAAGCGAGCATCGCTCAACACAAAGAAGCTCTTTCCACAGGCCAGATCACCAGCGTCGATTTGGTGATTAGCTATCTCAATCGCATCGCTACCTACGATATCCTCGACTGTTTCAATGCTTTTACCGTCTTTAACATAAATGTCTTCGACGAAGCAGCTGCATCAGATGCGCGTCGTGCAGCAGGGGTCCCAGCACGTCCCCTGGAAGGGATTCCCTATACCATCAAAGACAGCTACAAAGTCGCTGGTCTCACAGTCACAAATGGCTCGCCCGCTCTAAAAGGTCTGTTGTCTAACCAAGACTCCAGCCTCGCGAAGCAGTTGAGGGATGCAGGCGCTATATTAATTGGAAAAACCAGCATGCCTCCAATGGCTGCAGGAGGTATGCAGCGCGGTCTGTATGGACGTCCGGAGAGCCCTTACAATCGGAAGTACCTTCCAGCAGCTTTCTCATCAGGCTCTTCGAGCGGAGCGGCAGTCTCAATAGCGTCAAGTATGGGCGTATTTGGGTTGGGATCAGAAACCGTGTCTTCTGGACGTTCACCGGCGAGCAACAATGGGCTAGTGGTCTATACGCCTAGCAAAGGCGTACTGTCATGTTGCGGCTTGTGGCCGCTATACATCACTTGCGGTACGTTTTCGACCCCTCGGTTAGTTCTTGATTAAGCCAAGCTAATTGTTACAGATGTCCCGGTTCCGCTCGCAAGATCAGTGGAGGACATGCTTGCCATACTAGACGTTATCGGAACCCCACAAGAAGAAAAGAAAGGAGATTTTTGGAGGGAGCAGACGATTGTAAATCTACCTATACCGCAGAAACTGGATTACCAGACCCTGGCACAACCCAATGCCCTGCGAGGCAAACGAATCGGTGTCCCTAAGATGTACATTGGTAAACAAGATTGCGACCCCCATGCCAAACCCGCCGTGGTCAGCACGGAAGTTATCTCCTTGTGGAAGATGGCAGCAGCACATCTCTCGGACTTAGGCGCCGAGATCATTTACACCGACTTCCCCGTTGTCACGAATTATGAGAACGACTCCAAATCCGGCGAGAACAACAATGTTTTGGGCGTTCCATCGGACTGGCATCTCGTGGAGCGCACTACACTAATAGCCAAAGCCTGGTCTGATTTTTTGGCTCAGAACCAAGATCCGAACATCAAGAGCCTGGCAGACGTCGATGCACTTTTGTTGTTTCCGAAGCCAGAAGACTATCTGCCGGATACGTGGCTGGAAGTGCGTAACTGGGTACACTACTCGGCACTTCCATCCTTGGAAGCTGAAGTCAAGGACGTTCCCATGATGAAGTTCCCTGGTCTAAAGCAGGTGCTTCCCGCACTTGAAGCGCAACGGAAACGCGACCTCGAGGACTGGATGGACGATCTGAAGCTGGACTGCGTGGCTTTTCCTTCGCAAGGCGACGTCGGGCTGGCGGATCTAGAATTCAGTCTCGAAAGTGCACGACACAGTCTACAAAACGGCGTGAAGTATTCCAACGGTAACCGCGCATTCAGGCATCTTGGTGTACCGACTGTGGGCGTACCAATGGGTGTCATGGAGGGGAAGCGGATGCCTGTGAATCTGACGTTTGCTGGGAAAGCGTATGAAGATGGGAAGCTGTTGACGTATGCGTATGCGTATGAGCAACGGAGTCAGGCGCGCATCCCGCCGCCATTAACGCCGCCGCTGGAGAGTGACATGGTAATGGGAGCTTGGACAAGACCATGGAAGGAAAGCATGGCAGTGTTGCAGCTGACAGCGTCGGTGGAAAAGATGTCGGGCGATGGAGATGGCGGTATACAAGTGCAAGTAGCACTACAAGCAAGTGGAGCGACGGTGGGACCAGTAATGCTCGAGGTGTGGGTGAACGGTACCAAATGCTGGGGCCAAACAATGAGTCAGCTTGGACAGTGGCTGCTGGACATTGAGGGCAAGAGCCTCCCAACACATGGCAAACAGGAGGTTCTGGGATGGGATTTGCAGCCTCTAGAACCACGGCCTACCATGGTCATTGTCATTGCAAGGGCACCCGGCGCTTTGACCAAAGCCAATCTACTGTGGTTGGAGTAAGCGGGTTGAGAACATTGTCTCGCATTCCAAGGCATCGCCAAATACCAACCGCCCCGGAGCGTGCTTCGCAAACGGCAATCGCACGCAAACGGAAAGAGCGAGGCCTGTTACACAAGATCAAGGGCCGCATTCTACACATGGTTTTCTTTCTGCGCGTGCGGCTACAATCATCTGCATCTGCTCGCAGGCAGCCGATGGCGTCTCCGGAATCGTGCGCTCCACACGGACTGGTAGCAAATATGAACCGCCAAACGCTTCTTGCATTCGCATCAAACCTTTGCTCGTGTCGCCCGAGACCAAGTCAGTTTTTCCGTTCTCCCCAGGTGCTCGCCGCTTTGGTTGGCCCGAAGCTCTGACCTGCCTTCACTCGGGCTCCAACTCGTGTGCAGGGCTCGGCCTGACGCACGAGACGCTGAAGTCTTTACCTTCGGCGCATGTGTTGATCTCCGCAGATAGCGCCCTCAACACTTCACCTGCGAATCTCTAAACTGGCATGGCTTGGATACCTGTTGTGGCTGCAATTGCAGCTTTCGGTGCGCACCTTCTCGTGTGTAGCATACCATGCGCTGACCTCCGACAGCATCGACTACACTTGCCGCCGCCTCGACCAAATGCCCGGTTCCAGATCTCTGCTTCAGCCTCGAGATTCCGCATTCGACCCTTGCTGCTGCGACTGGCGACATCTTTCTCTCCATCACCGGTCCGACGACATACGCGAGCATCACCCTCACTCACACCAACTGGTCGACCCGTGAGCAGGACTACTTTCGCGTCACTTCGAACACAGAGTACCCGGCCGTTGAGATTACTCGATCTTTCGTGAACCATGTCCGAAGCGACTACAGCGCCGCAATGGAGAGACTGCCTGGCTGCGGTTCGAGCAATGGCAAGACGAACGCAAATATTCGATGTTGGAGCAGATTCGCCATTACTGTGCGCGCTCGCGCTGACATGAGACAGGCTCAACGTGCGATCGGAGGAGCGGCGGATCCATGGAATTCACCACTCCCATTGAGACTTGGAACTGGACCTATCGCGCGGTCAATCACTCGGGACATGAGCTTGCGCTTGGTACGATTTCTTTCGACTCTTTCCCTGGTAGTCTGTGGACTCGGCTCAAATCGCTCCGCGTCCCGTTAGCCAGGCGCTGGGCACCGGCTGTTGGCCACAGCGCTTCTCGGGGTCCTCCAGCGCGAATCGTACGCATGGCTATGGCGCATGGCATCCTAGCCTGCGCAGCCTGGGCTTGCATCTTCCCACTCGGTGGCATCTTGATCCGGTCATGTTCCTTCCGCAAGGTCCTCGTGGTGCATGCATTTCTTCAAATCTTCGGTCTCTGCTTGTACACAGTCGCTGTCGGGCTAGGCATTGAACTCGGTCTTAGTCCCTACCACTCGTGGATCAGGAACAAGCATGCCATCATTGGTCTGGCTATCTACGGCCTTTTTCTCATCCAGGCTGCGAGTGGCTACATCCACCATCTGATGTTCAAGAAGTATATCTCGAGGACAACGTGGAGTTATATTCATTTGTGGACGGGAAGATTGTGCATTACTTTAGCCATGATCAACGCAGGCTTTGGGTTTCAGCTCCGGAACCAAGGGTATGGAAGTTGGAAGGTAATTGCGTACACGATCTGTGCCGTGTTGATGTGGATCGCGTACGTTACCAGCAGCGTTGTTGGGGAGTGGCGGCGCCGCAAGAGGCAAATGAAGGAAGCTACTTCGGCGCCAGAGTCAGGGGAACCTGCAGAGGATACCAGTGTGCATGTGCCGGTGATAACAGAGATTCCAAAGCAGGGTTGAAAGGAGGTCTGAAGGAGAATAATTTCCTCAAGATCGTTGGGATTGGCTGAGGTAGAACCGTGAGATATGTCTTTCCCTGGCTACAGGTTGTATATGGTATATCATACAGTTTGGCTGCTGCAGTAGTATATTTTGTAAAGTCTTTTCGATTGGGCATATGGTACTACTGTGATTTGTTCGGTGTTGTCTAATAGTACTCAACATGGTTCAAGATAGCATATAACAAGCGCAGAGCAGGTTTACGAGATAATTTGCTCATGTTCTACGAGCGTAGCTGTGCCAACCGCTTATTGGCAATCTGATCGTCTGGGTGTGTTTCTCGGACGCTTCGTCCTAGGTCAGGTCCTCGCAATATGGAACATCGTCCGGATCGAATGTGTCGTGCTGAATCTCGCATCTGATTCCTTGATCTTCGCAAGCTTGCTCCAATGATCTTCTCTGCGCAGAGCGACGGAGAACACCATGCTCTATCCACCCACGTTTCTTGAAATCCAGGACAAATCCCGAAAGTTGGGGTGTAGCTCTTCTCCATTCAGGCTCCGTGATCGTGACCCAGCTCACATTCGTGTTTCCGCATGCGTCACCAGGCCATCCATCAGCCAACGTCTGCCCTATCAAGAAGCATCTTAAAATTGAGAGCACCATGAGTTCGTTCCAAGGAAAGGTCGATGAGGCTGCCCAAAGATCATCGTTGATGACCAGCCGTTGCAGGTTTGGAGGTAACAATCCCGCAAGAGGATGGAGGTGAGGATCGACCACTTGACCATAGAGTACAGCAAGCGAGGTTTCGAGCGAGACCAGAGCAGCGAAGTCGCGAAGCTGCCCCAGAGCGTTGACGCAGACCATGCTCACCTCGTCAGATGAAATGAGCATACCGCCGAAACCATTATCGGTGTCACCAAACAGCTCGACTTGTATCACCAGAATTTTAAGAGTTCGATGTACGTGATCCAAAGCCTGCCTGAGTGTCGTCAAACACACCGGGGCTTTGTCTGTTGGAATAAACAAATCGTATTCCAGTGTGCTTAGACTTGGAGTCCCGGCGAGAAGAAGTCCGAGTGTGTCTGGGAGTGCTGGCGAGCGCCGTAGTCGCAGGGTCGTCAGTTGGAAAGCCGTTGGTGCTTGTGGAAATGGCCACACCGTGTGTCTTGACGTGTCTTTTTGAATACCTTTTGGAAAACTAACATCCGGGAAGAACGAAACGTCCAGCGTTCTCAAATTCGGTAGATAGAATAGATGGAGGAATGTTTGCGTGGGTACCGGCAGACTCTCAGCGTACTTTTGTTGGTATTTACCATGATGAGGGGGCCCTTGATAAGCATCAGTGTGGGAAATCGTTACTTGATTCAATTTCTCGAACCAGGACAGTTTTCCCCAGGGGCCAAGTGACCGGTACAGTGTGCTTCTTAGCATTGCTGGAAGCCGATAGTTGTGCATCAATAATTCGATATCGATGCTTAGTGACTCCACTCGTGTACAGCACGAGATCAACACACCAATCCCGGCGTTCAAATTCCCCTCCCGTGTTGTCGGGTCATCGCATTCGCCCTTCTCTTCGCACGGACAAGTCTCCAGTGCCTTTTCGAACATCTCCCAATCAGATGCTGGAATGCGATGTGTGTGCGACGGGAGAAGGATGTCGCCGTTAAAACCAGGAGCTTGGAAGCCACGATAGTTGACAGCTTGCAGATTCAACTCTTTGATGTTCTTTCCAAGTTCGGGATTTTTGAGGATGGTTCGAAGAAGTGCAGTAATAGGCGGACCATGAGTAACGTCAGAGTCCCACTGATAATCGATTCTGCGGAACATCGCTCGCAAGGCAATTGTGCGGATTCTCTTACATGTCTTGGAAAGACTGCTTAAGTCGCGAAGAGGAGTTTCGAGTATAATAGCCTCCGTGAGTTCGACCGGCAGGTTCTCGAAAGACGCCATCCCCAGGAAAGATGCTGATGCAGATCACGTTGGTGTCTGATAGGCCGTGGCTGAATGAACCAATAAGACTCGTATGGTATGCAGCCCTAGTTTCCGCACGAGGAACGTCGAAGGATGTCTGCCTCATCGGAGGAGGAGTGTCGGGGAATATCATCGGGAAGTATGAACAGGCTGGAGTACTTGCTGACTCATTTCTAGGCTTGCAAGCCTATATTGATTTGGGCAACATTGCGTAAGAGAAAAGACGTCGTTGTACTCCACAAGCGCTCCGGAACCTGCTGTTCAGATAATCCAGCGATTCCCTCGCGCTCCGGGCAGACCAAAGTGTCGGCGTCGACGGCTGCATTATTCGTATCGAGCAACGTATGAATGAGGTCACTAGTTTCGGAACGGAATCGTTCTGATGGCACGCTTCAGCTCTTCCAGATAGATGGGGGTTGTGGTTCTGATAAGTGGTGTTCGCGCAGGGTTACGGCACCTCTGTCTTGGAGATTGAAACAAGACGAAGTAGACCAAGATCTACCAGATACTTGGTGTCCTGGCCAACACTGGACATTGTGACGATGAGGAAGTAATAAATTGACGCCTCCCTCGAGGATGGCAACGAAGCAGCACCCAAGCCGGGGCGACAAGACTATATCTAGAGACAACCAGCTTAACCGAACGATGAGCTTATCGATAAGGCACGAGAATCCATTGCACCTTCATTTTCTTCTATTTCGCAACCTCAAGTTACCCTTCTACTGGTCCACCGCCTTCTCACAGTCAACAATCCCATACTGATGCGTAAATGTCATCGTAGTCGCCGAGAGACAACTCTTCGTATCCGGCCGCCTTTGTGAGCGTGCCTACCACAATCTTCTTCATCAGGGTAGTTCGAAATGGCAAGGGCCTCCCCTCAGCTGACCGATTCTGCGGATGCTCTAAACGCAATCTCAATCTATCGCCACAATTGTCACAATCCCTGTGATTACCGCGATTTGTTCGATGGCATGCGTTGCTACATGCAAGCTGGCCCTCTCAAACGAAGCTTTACATTGAGGCAATCGATGGCATTGGCCGATGCGGGATGGTTGAGCCCTCGGACATGCCCAGGTGGGGAAGAATTGAGACTATGGGGAGCCTTCCATTGTATGTCGGATTCGCCATGACCCTGTTTGGTAGGACCACTTGAGCACGCCGGAATCTACCTAGGTATGTATTACACCAAAAGGCACAGGGAGTGTTGGTCGAGTATTGCAAGATGCTTTCGTCGATCAGATACTGGTACTTTCTACAGGCGGAGGGACGTATTTAACTCTTGGTTACGCCTGTGTCTATGACACACTGGGCCTCGTTAATGGTACAGACGATTCAAGAGGAGAGAAAGATAGAATCGATTATGGTCAACGGACTCTGAACTTGCGGAGCCGTTTTGAGTCGCCTTTCACAGCCAAGGATGACATCAACAATTGGGGAGCTCCATACGATCCTTACGAAGGCAATTACGCACACAGTAGTGATCGGAGGCAGGATGCAGGACACACATACGTCCCTCTTGTGAACAATTTCACTTCGGGTGTCTTCCCGCTTCAACAGTTTGCACCGCAGATTAATTCATCGGTGGCATTTGCATGTATCACCGAAGCTGAATTTAAGGATAATTGCCGCAATGAAATCAATGATGGCGGCTTCTACGCCCGGTACTACTACGTTGAGGCAAGTATCATACAAGACGATACCTATTACGGTCCTGATGTGGATTTTGAGGTGTGCATGAAAAACGACTTGCGCGTCCCTCCCTGGAACAATAAGTGTCCCATTCATACAAAATACTCAGGCGTTGACACGCACTGACTACGTGTCTACAAAAACAGTGACTCGAGATCGTCAGGACCTAATTGAGGAATTATACTACAAAACGCTAAGCACCTCCCCGAGCAATGCGACTTACTGGAAGATTACATCAGCTACCTCTCTAGGGTATTTTGAGAATCCTAGCGGTCAGTACTCTTTCTTCGGAGCTAGAATGTCCAATCCTTCGGCATTTGTTCTGGCTCCTGACACTGTCTCGGATATTGGAAGACTCATAGGCGACAGCAACTGTGTTTACAGGAGGCCTCTAGCCAGCTGGACGGCTAATTCTGCAGCGGACTGCTTCGAGCACTACGACTCGACGGATGAACACATGGTTATTCGGCAAGTCACTCAAACATTATACTTTTGGACTGGAAGTTATCTAGACGATACCCCAGAAGCGCTATCCCATGCCCTCTTCATGGCGAATGAGCTCTGGCTGAACCAGCCGACAGCTGGTTATCATACGGAAAACCAATTGAGAATATATTATGATGCTAGAATCCCAACCACGAAGCCTAAGATCAGTAACACGGGCATCATCGTCGGATCTCTGTTTCGGGCCCTGCACCTACTGGGACTGCTGCTGTTGACGCTTTACATCGTTGTAATGAAGCCATGGTCGGGAAGGATAGGCTCAGAATTAATACTCAAGATGGGAATGATTTACTCTGACGAGTTAGCGAGGTCCGCGACGGAACATCAATGCAAAAAAATCGTGGCCAGGCTGTCTGGATATATATAGGAGACGAAAGACCAGAGGAAGTGGTCGGCCGGCTGAGGTTACGTGCGGCGGCTGGTCTGAGCAGAAAGAAGGACAGGAAGTTTGCTATCGTGAGATAGGTACGGTAACGTTGCCTGCGAGGATGGTAGTTGTGCTTGTTGCTGTCAATTGGATGTTACCTCCCCACCATGTAGTGTACTTTGCTACTTGTCTTACACCGTAATCGAAGCTCTAGAGGGAGGGGAAACTAACGATTTCCTACAAAATAGACTTGAACCTAATCAGCATTATGATTCATTCCTATCTGAGCGCTCTAAACCACCGGTTAAGGGCATGAAGGTGTGCTTCGTTCGTTCGCCTGCCTCTGCTGCGTCAACACTGCTGGTGGGAAGCGCTACCTTCTGACGAGCAAATGCCTTGTCTACTGAGATGTTTTGGAAGGGTACGGGCTCGAAGGTGAGGATATTTAATGCACATCTTTGATTCGAAAAGGATGACACGGTTGGGTGGGACCGAATGCACGTTAGCGATCAGCGGCGGGACCGCCACCCCTTGTAAGCGAACGTCAGCCCACACAGACAAAGACAACTTTTGGTACAATAAGACATCGGAACCCAGAGCGATACTTTTGATCCCAATTATTTTCATTTTGGCCAGTTATATAAGTATTATGATTCGATAGTCTCTACCAAAAATCACAACAACATCCGATATGGTCTAGTGGCTAGGATACATCGCTCTCATTCACAGCGCCGATGTGGCCCGGGTGCGTCACAGCACTTCCATCAACATACAACTCATCTAATTCCCGCTTAGGTTCGATTCCCGGTGTCGGAATTTAATTATTTTTTTCGAGCATGTAGCATGAGCATCTTGACGATGATAAAGATTCAAGTTTCTGGTGTTGTTCTGGGACATCCCCAGACCCCATCTAACGGGAAATTGGTGGGTGACGTCGGTGCGCCTGCCAAAGTTTTGGTGTTGTTCTGGGGGCTTACCCCAGACCCCAATTGCTTCGCGAGGGAAGGAGCGGCTTTCTGACCAAAGGAAGGCTCAAGCGGATCACAACGTTAATACAATATTTAGATCCTATTTGCAAAGGGTTCCGCTGTTATGTGGGCTCTACATGGTAGTTCGTGAGACCGTCACCATCACGTATAATTCGAAATCGTAGTAGTATGAATGACTTCCGAACACGTCCGTAAATCTCACCTACACTCAGGACATAGACATGAACACCTTGACAATCGACGTTGTTGCCACTTCAATACTACGAAACATCTCGTAACAGAACACGTTCTTTTGGCGCTCACCAAGCCTGAACACCGGCGGCATTGACGACCTTTCCAGCGTCTGTATCTCTCTTTCCCTCGACCACATCTTTGATCAAAGCTCCACCCAAACTTGGATCTCCAGCCCCCATCTCCCTCAACTTTTCTGGACCCATACCACCAAGGTTCGTCGCCAGAAACCCAGGGCTGATGCAGAATACCTTGACACCGTCTTCTTTCAGAAATCTCTGCCACTCCAACATCACCATGTTCAAGCCCGTCTTCGAGCTACGGTACGCTATCTGAGAGAGAACAGGCGGCTTTGGCCTACACGGTCCGTCAGTTAGGCTGCAACCGATGATGTCATAGACGAGATACTTACCAGCCAGCGGGAACGCTGGCAAGGCCCTTTTTATGAGTAGGAGAGATGGAGCTGCCGCCAGAGCAAGCATCAAGAGACGACATTCCGGACGTCACAAAAAGAATCCGGGGATGCGAAGATTTGAGAATGAGTGGGATGAGGGTGTGCGTCAAGACCTGCGTGGAGGTCACGTTGAGCGAGTATGTGTGGTCAAAAGCCTCGCGGATGCCGGCGGCCTTGGGGTTTCCGCGCATGGCGGCGTCGTGAGACCCTCCTATCATAGGTTTAGTTACATATTAATCAGTAAAAGCATTCACGGGTCTGTGACTATTGATCTCATGCTACTTACCGGCATTATTAACAAGAGCGTCCAGCCTGCCGTACGTAGACCCTATGAATTTGTTTAATCTTTCAATGGAAGCGTCGTCCTCAATGTCGATTTGGATTGGAACCAACTCCGAATTGGAATCAGTCACTTCGGATTGCAGTGTCTTGATAGCGGTGTGGGCCTTGTCGAGCGAACGGCTGCCCATGAGAACGACATGCGCATCTGACGATGCGTAGAGGGCCTTGACAGTCTCATAACCGATGCCCGTGTTTCCGCCTGTAACAAGGACAATGCTATTTTCCGCCATTATGTGTACAAGATGTAGCAGTGTTTTGCGGCTTCGTCGGAGTGAATGGGGTTGTTGAGGGGGCAAAGATCTGTCTATACCTATGGTATTTGTTTCTCCTCCGTAAGCATCATCGAGTATTTATACAAATCCCACCGCCGCATACATCGGTAGCACCGTAGCCCGTGGACGGAAAAGGATCTGGCCCTGAGCGGGGCGCTAATAAACATGTTTCATGATAGTCCCTCCGCTAAATCGGCCACGAGTGCATGAACCCAGGGACTATACTACTATAGGTACTCGCCTAGGCCTTGTCAAGCTTCCGCGCAGTCTTTGCCAGGGCCTGATCCATTCTATTGCTGCGTAGTACGGCGTTACCGGGATTATGTGGGGTCGGGCGCGGCGGCCGCCTGGCTTAAGCCTAACTCCGGACGATAGGACCCGGGATTCAGTCGTACTAAACCTCTCTTTTGGATCAGAGCGAGGTATCCGGCCGGAAAAGTGAATTGTGGGAGACCACGGGGGGTCTATAGGATACCTGGGATGCGAAACAGCGTATGTGTCGTGAGAGGGTATGCCGCCATTCGTCCGTTGTGTGTGTCGAACGCATGACGAAGTTCCAATGAGCCTGGCATTGCTCTCTCTCTGCTATATTAGTTGCATTGATGGGTTTAATAGTAAGGAATTAACGAACTGCCTAGATAAATAGTGAGAACGAATGTTAAACAATCTTGAAATGGTGAAACTTCCTAACGACGTAAGGATTCTGTTCCCTTGTGAACATGGTGGAAGCTACTATATAAGCTGTGGACTCATTTGATAGAAAATTCATATCTAAAAGAAAACCTATCAGAATACATATGCACGATAATATAACCCTTTGATGGTTAACAGATTGTGCTTTCTACTCCCAGAAATGCAAGACTTCCAGCATGTGGGTTTTGTTCCCATACTCCCCTAAAGTATAGAGCCTGTCAACTTAAAGTCTCGGTACCTCCACGATATCACTTACAGCCCTATAAGACCATGCCTTCTGTATGCCCATAACTAAGTACTGCGTCGCATGGCAGTGCACCATTCACAGTCTAGGATCTTCTACACGAATCCGCTAGGCGCTCTACCTACTTTTCACACCCGAATGCGTCGTTCTATTATACTGATGCGACCTCGATGTTTAAAATAAGACTCGCTGAGTCCCCTCAGCCTGTTCTTCTATGATCCTGGGTGACCAAGCACTAGACCACCACCGAGCTCGTCATAATGGCCTCCATGGGCATGCCTGTTGTAACATTTTCTATCACCTCTCCGATTCTAGTACAAAGTTTGAGTTAAGGGCAGGTAGTCTGGTTTTTTGCATCGCGAGACCAGATATGGCTCAACGGGCGTGGTAATTGGGCGAGCGGGTACGGCTTCTGACCATGATACAATCGCGTTGCACCAGCCGAAGAAGCCATCTTCGATGATGTGATTATGGAATATGATCCAGCAAGTAACTTCAGATGCGTTAGTGAACTTGATAGGCTCGAGGGGCTGCAGGTGGTAATCGAGAGAGAAAGCCATTGATCGTAGGCGGGAGATTGATGGATTTCGTTGCAGGATAAGAAATTGTAGGCAAGCGCCGTGTTGAGCTCTCGAATATGTTGCATGTGTTTCTGTAACGCAGTAGCGCAATTGGAGTCATTACGGCAGGTCGCTCCCAAGACTCGATCTGGAAGTAATAATCAGATCTCCCGCTTTCCTGGAGTTCATTGCACGTCTTTTTCTTGGAGATACGCTGAGCAGCTCTCCATCGTGGACTGGTCCCATAGAGACTCAGTCGTCATTGCAAAACAGATGAAAGACAGTAGAACGAAGATCGTGATGCAGAAATTAGCTTGAAGAACGATTAGCTATGGTAATCCCCTGGAATATCTTCTTATTGTGAAGTAAGTACGGACTAGATATATATATGAGAAGACTCTCCTCCATCTTCACCACGAGAGAAGACGGAGATGCATGCCCGAACATGTTGATGGCGAAGGTACTACGGTAACAAACGATAGTGCTTGCGGATGCTGCCCCATCTGTCTCGCACAAAGAAAAACTTCAGTAACCAACAAAGAGAGCGATGTGCATTGTTAGGACCGAGGGCTATAGACTTGACAGGTTACGGAGTTCACCAGGGTTCGAGCATAGCTCGTGCGCAATGCTTTGGACAACAGTCCTGTAAACCGAGGCCAGTCACTAATTACCCTATAGACCAAAGGATGTCTATTATAGTATATAATCTAGCTCAAATAGCTGTTTCAATATAGGAACATAGTAGAGATAGAGATTCTATACTAATTCAGTCATCGTATTGATAGATCAATAATAGATAGACGAGAAACCTATACTAATTCAGTCATAGTATTGATAGATCTATAATAGATAGACGAGAAACCTATACTATTCAAGTATAGTAAAGGTCTCTATTACATAATATAGTTGTGGTAAAGGTCCTTACCTGTCTGATATTCTGAAAGTGTAAGCTTAGAACATTTCTACGTGTGCATACATTTCCAACCATCCGGGGACAGACTTTGGCCGAAAGAACCTTCCTTCTTCATCCGAGCTATCTTCTTTCGTGATGATGCGTATCTCAATGATCCGACAGAGGTCTTATCACGATAGCGTTGTTGGTATCGTGAGGGTTTTGTAGCATGCCCAAATCCATTAAAGACTGATATAGAACATCTTGTTGTGCAATCGGCAGAGGCCGAGAAGACATTCATACATGTAGTATACGAAGCGTCTTATTGCTTTATCTATAATGCGACACTATGCTTTCCAGTGACCGGGGAGTGGAGGCTAAGTAACAATTCGAAAAAGGAATGTAAGCTAATGGAAAGCAACAACCCCAGATGTTGCGCCCCTATCTTCGTCTTGACCAAAGAAGGCCTAGGCTTTGGCAATGCTCTGAACAAGATACGCCTGAACAATGACTAAGGTGCGGTTGGTGTTCGGACTGACTGTTGCCAGTATGAATTCGTTATTAAGGTCACCATATCGAGACCCTCCCACGTTCAGTTCCTGTGTTGATGAATATCAGTTTCACAGAACACTAATGGACCAAGTCATCTACTTACAAGGCGCGTCATTTGAGCGTCCGGGGTGCCAACGCCAACTTCATGGATATGAAATGGAGATCCATCCTCTGTGGCGCCGTACAAATCAATGACCGGTTCTTGCAATGTTTGATGCAGATAGACTCGGGGAGCTGCAAGTCCAGAGGCAATGGTTGCGTTCAAAGAAGGCCCCTTCACTGTTCCGCCGATAATGGCTTCTGTAACGATTGATCCACCCGGAATTGGGACAGGGTTCGGTGTTCCAAGTTCGACATTGGCAGTGAACAGATAGCAGGTTTTGAAAGGAAGAACCTCTCTGGAGGCGACAGGGTTCGGCTGGGCAGTGGTTGTAGATATGTAAGCTAAGAGCGCGATGGCCTGGCAGATCCAGGAAAATGTAGGCATTGTTGAAAAATAGACTTATTGGGTTGAGCAGCAAAATGCGAGGGTCAAGTAAGATGGAATGATGAACTGGATGGTATCTCATATTTGCAATGCGTACCGCTTGATATTTAAGTTAAGGGACCAGAATTGATATGACCATCTATCATACATTGATCTACGCCTGTTTACGTGCGCTAACGCACATATGGTTGTCTTAAGTCACAAAATACTTCTTCGCACGTAAGCGCTAAGATCCCAAAAAGGTTGAATGCGCGACCCTCGGCACCTTGAGTTCTTCACCAATCATGAGATTCTGGTTCCGATGTCATGTGTACATCAACCGAAAAAGTAACACGGGAACCTCATGGGCGGTAGTATGGGCTCATGACTCAAGCGTGTGAACGTTTGTACACGCATAGACTATGATACAGCGTAGGTGAACCCACGCAAAATTCATTTGTGCATGTTCTGGCGAAGAGCGTGATAAGAGGATCAGAGAAAGACAGTATGCATAGCAAGAGGCTACGATAGAGTCATCATCTTCGCGAGATGTTGGTACTGTTTCTTTCTTATCAATGCTCCGAAACCTGGATGTCAAGTGCAAAATTTCACGATAAGGGAGGCCCGTTGTCAAACTTCTCGATTCCATCAATAGCAGTATAGTAGCTGTGAGCAATAAACCACAAGTAAAGCCCTATACTTTTGATTCGCAACTACGTCTCAGTCGATGGACGCTGTGTAATAGTTCTATGCACGCCAAACATGTATCTTCTTGTCATTTCTAGCAGACAATAGATCCCTCTACGAGATGTCTCATATGTGGGTCGCAACTACGCTGCTCCGTGTATTCATGTAGAGTAAATTCAACTCAAAGGTGGAATTTGTCTACTGCTATATAAAAGATAAGGTAGAACTTCCAACAGACCCGAAGAAAACCGTCTCGTAGGCATCATGGAGCCATCTCTGGTGTCGGTGATACTATCTAGGCCGACTGTGAGATTCCCGCAAGTCCGTAAGGCTAAGGTTTCAGTCTATTTGGGATTCAAATGACGCTACATGAGTTCCTCCGCTTACGGCCGGCCGTACGCGTGTATGTAGGAACTTTATCATGATCACGGCAACTGTTCAAAGATCTTCCATGTGCTGTTCATACCCTCTTAGCTCTTCTCAATGATGTCTGCCACCAACATGCGCAGGAGGCAATGGTATGTCATGAAGTGCTTCTCGATCAATCTTCTATACGTGCTGAGATGGTACGGTTGGAGAACCGAGATGCTGCGGACTATAATCTGTGCTCTATAGAATGCCCAAGGCGCGAACCAGCGGGCTTATTGTGAAATGGCATGCCTGCATTCGTTAGACTTCGAGCTCCGAAACCATGGTGAGCAAGTGATACTGAGCTATTCGGTCCTGAGCGTTCGTTCTTGGACTGCTTTATTGTCGCCTATCATCATACATTGCTACAGGATGTGCGACGTATAACTCGTCATGGAAATTGGGAGGTAAATATTCGTCCCTTCGAGTCATCTCTGGTCCATGGACGAAGAAAAATCCCTGCGAGCATATTTTCGCTCACGGCTGTCTACAAACTGTTGAGCGACTCAGCTCCAGGACACTCAGCTGCGTCGAGCAGAAAGGTTCGATTGCTTGAACAGTGAAGCTGCTGAACACGATTCGGTTCGTCACGTGCGCGTGACAAATCAAAGCTTTACAAACGTGTTGCACCCTTTGGCGAGGTCCCTATTGCATGTTCAATCTGCGTTCATGCGTGAATGAAAGACAAGCTTAGCGATTGTGAACATCAAATGTATCTAACGAGGAAGGAACAAACAGCAATGAAGTAGCAAGGAGAAGAAGGTCATTTTGGCATCGTGCACCGGTCGTACCTGAGTCAAAACGAAGGTGCTCGTGTTGGCGTGGGGCAGAAACGATCGTGCAGTTCGTGCTTACCCAAAACAGTAAAGTGGTAGTTCCTAGAGTGCGTTCGCGCACCGGACCTGTTCACCGACACACCTCGTCGTCAATCGCTGATGCCTAGCACCTCTCTTAAAACTCTACATGATAGCTGCCTTTAATTCAAGCCTTTTACTGCTGGCGCTCAGGTGGAAGGAGGTCTTGTCGCGATAACACAAGCGCCGCCACAGGTCGCAATGGCGTCCGCTCATATCCCGACGTCGCTGAACATTGGGAATTTCAGCCAGGACATTCCGCCATTGGCTCGGTGTCACAAGCTCTGGGTAGGCACGAATTCTATCCTGGTAATGCCATGAATACCACTGAATTCGCGAAGGATAATCGAACAGCCCGTTTCACGCCTTGTGCGCTGCCATATGTCGCCACTTTCCCGGCCATTATTGGCGCCATGGTTCTGTTGACTTATTCATTACGAATATTCAGCGCATACCAGCCGGAATGGACAAAGCCGTTCGTCAAAGAAGAGAAAGAAAGTTCAAACGAGATGAGCCCTACTTTCTGGAGTCGGCCGCTGTCTGCAACCTTCGGATTACTGATGGTTTCAATGATCGGACTCACGATGCAGCTGTTGGCCAGCTTTCTCCCCATCTTCTCTCATGACGGCATTTATCCTTCAGTTGCTTGGGTCATCATCATCAGTATCATTGTTATCGAACGCCCAAGGGCGGCCTCGCTATCGCTTATCGTTCTGTATATCGGCCTGTTCCTCGAAAGACTTGTTATGCTTTCTCATGGTCGGTTTCCATTAGCACCACGCGATGCGCCTGTTATTTTAGCGGCAGCAACAGCATTGATTGGCATTTTTATCGTCCTGAATATGCCTCTGCGCGATCCAGCTCTGCCGCGGGATGGTATTAGTCCCGTTTCCACTGCGCCTACCGTCGACTTGCGGACACCAGAAGACAATTTGACGCCTTTCCAATACATGACTGTGTCGTGGATGCGACCTCTGATCAAGAAAGGGAAGACCAGAGACATGAACGATGAAGATGTTTGGGATTTGGGCTATGAGTTTAAGCATGAGAGACTCCACAGCGCCTTTCGCGTGCTCCAAGGATCAGTGACAAGAAGGATATTCTTTGCCAATGGCATGGATTTGGTCATTACAACATTGCTTGCACTTTTTCAACTTGCTTTAACATTGGCAATCCCTGTCCTCTTACAGCAACTGCTTGCGACCATGCAAGATCCGAACTCTAGCGGGAACGCCACCATCACTTACGCTTGTATTGCGCTTTTCTTCCGGCTGATCAATGCTCAAAGTCAAGTATTTGCCATATGGCATCAAAGAAGGGCTTATGAGCGATCACGCGGTGAGATGATCACGATGCTTTACGAGAAAACCCTCAATAGAAAGATACTGGGCGCGAAGCAAAAGTCGGAAGAAGAGCGATTACACGGTCACTCCAACGGCGAAGTCAATGGAAATGCCAATGGTCACGCCAACGGAGAGACCGACAAAAAGCGGACATGGCCCCGTCACTTTCAGTGGGCTTTCGTGGGTCCGCTTTTCTCTATTCGGAATCTGTTCAAGAAGAAACCAGCTGAGCCCGAAAAGAAGGACGACGCAGCTGCCTCTATGGGCAAGATCTTGAACCTCATGCGGAACGATGTATATGAGGTGTCACAACGCTTCTACGAATTTTCTGACATCATCTCTAAACCAGCAGGAGTCATTTTCGCAACACTCCTTATCTGGAGGATGCTTGGCTGGTCCTGCTTGCTGGGTGTTCTGGCATTATTTATCACGCAATCGCTGAACGTCGTCATTGCTCGCTACAAAGTGTATTTCGAGAAGAAGCGCAGAGTTGCTACAGACGAAAAGTTGCAGCGAATCAATCAATTTATCGAATCAATCAGACATTTGCGATGGTACGGATGGCAAGACTCCTGGTTGAACGGCATCCTGGAATCGCGTCAGAAGGAATTGCATCTTCGTGTCATCTTGATAGTCTTCGAGACGACCCTGGCTTTCGTAGTCAAATTCGGTGTCGGATTATTCCCATTGGTCGCATTCTACGCATACACGAAATTGTCTGGCAAATCGCTCCGCGTAGACCTCATCTTCCCGGCTATCGACCTGTTCAACCTACTAGACTCTTATCTCCGCGAATTACCCAGAATGATCACCACACTGCTAAACGCCTATGTCGCGATGGGTCGAATCGAGTCATTCATGCAAGAACCCGATAAAGAACAAAACGATGTCGTTCCAGAAGGAACTGCTGAATTGAGTCTGCAGAACGCATCTTTCGCTTGGCCTGGCGTAGAGCAGAACGTCTTGAGCGATATCACCCTAGCATTTCCGCATGGACTTACTGTCATCTACGGAGAAGTGGCTTCAGGAAAAACAGCTCTTCTCCAAGCACTGCTGGGAGAGCTCGACAAGACCGCCGGCGAGTTCGTGCAACCGGACCAGGTTATTGGCTATTGCGCTCAGACGCCATGGCTACAAAGCATGAGCATCCGAGACAACATCCTCTTCTCGTACCCATACGAGGAAGCACGCTACAAGCAAGTCCTGGACGCATGCGGACTTCTTCCTGACATGGCTGACTTCAAACACGGCGACTTGTCTAACATCGGCGAGAATGGTATCGGACTCTCAGGTGGGCAGAAAGCTCGAGTAGCGCTTGCACGCGCAGTGTACAGTAAGGCGGATGTAATCATGCTCGACGACCCACTCTCAGCGCTCGACCACCAAACTGCAGAGTTCATTGTCCGTAAGCTATTGGCCGGACCACTGCTCGCTGACCGCACCACCATCTTGGTCACGCATCGTACGGAGCTCTGTCACGGCATTTCAAAGCAGTGGGTGGAGCTCAATCACGGCAAAGCTACAATTCATGAGCCTGCCCCTGAAGAAGAGAACGCACTCAAGCGCCAAGAGACACAAGAATCAATCTCGGAAGAGGAAGCCAAGAAACGGGAGGAAGCACAGGCGGCGGCTGTTCCAGACAAGTTTATCGAAGATGAGCACCGTGCAACAGGAACCGTGAAGCTCCAGGTCTACTGGCGTTACATTAAGGCTGGAACATTCCTCTGGTGGTCCGTGGCGATCTTCGTCATGATCCTCTTCCGTGTCATAGATGTTGGCCAAGGATGGTATGTCAAAGCGTGGGGTGAAGGATACGATTACGATCACCCACGAGGCACATTCGACTTCCTCCCTCCTCCCGCGCAAGATGTGGTCCCGTGGCTAGTTGGATTCTTCGTCTTCGTTGTGATCACCTCCGTTACGTTCTGGTGGGTCTACATTGTCATGTACGGCGTCGGATATCAAGCAGCGAAAACTATCTTTCGAGAAGCCGTCGACAAAGTTGCGCATGCCACATTCCGCTTCTACGACGTTACGCCTGTAGGAAGATTGATGAACCGTCTTACGTCGGATATGAACACCATCGATGGACATCTGAGTTTCATCTTCACAATCGTCATTTGGCAGGCTGTCGGCTTCGTCAGCTCCATAGTAATCATCTTGACTGCGGCGCCAGCATTTCTAGCGTTCGGAGTCGTGCTCAGTGCATGCTATGTATACTACTTCAGGCTTTTCTTGCCCACTTCTCAGACACTTCGTCGTCTCGAGGTAAGCAGCCCTTCTACCTTTCCACTCACAATCCTAACACTCAATAGATGGTCTCATTATCGCCTCTGATGTCCAATTTCGGCGCCCTCGTCGAAGGCCTCACCACCGTCCGCGCCTTCTCCGCTCAACCCCGCTTCCAATCCAACGTCATCACCGTAGTGGACAGCTTCCAGGCAAAAGACCACTTTTATTGGTCCCTACAAGCCTGGCTTGGTCTCCGCTTCTCCACGCTGTCTGCCTCCTCAACCCTTGCCATGGCCATCATCGCAGTCTACACGGGCATCTCCCCCGGTCTAACCGCCTTCGTCCTCATCACCGCAAGCAAATTCGTCATCCAGACCGAGCAACTCTGCAAAATCTACGGTCAGCTGGAGATGGACTTCACCAGCGTGGAGCGCGTCGTTGAGCTTCTTGATCTTGAGACGGAGGATCCTGGCTTTGTGAACCCGCCTGCCCACTGGCCTACGTATACCGGCGACATCGTTTTCGAAAACGTAACCATCCGGTACGCGCCAAATCTCGACCCCGCGCTGCAGGACATCAGTCTGCGGATCCCAGCTGGCTCGAACACCGCTGTCATAGGGCGCACCGGCAGTGGAAAATCTACGCTCGCACTCTCACTACTTGCTACCATCGCGCCCGAGGCAGGCCAGATATACGTCGACGGCGTGGATATTGGGACAGTAAACAAGCAGGCGCTGCGCAACCGCGTGACTTTCCTCGCGCAGGAACCCGTGCTCTTCCCAGGCACCATGCGGAAGAATCTTGATCCCCTGGACGAACACAGTGACGCTGCTTGCGAAGCTGTGCTCTCCAAAATCGCGGGGAACCACGCGTGGACACTGCAAACCAGCATCGAAGGCGGCGGAAAGGGCCTTTCACAGGGACAGCGCCAGCTCGTTGGCCTGGCACGCGCGATGTTGCGAAGGAGCCCTGTGTTGATCATGGATGAAGCCACTGCTTCGATAGACTTTGAGACTGCGCAGAGGATACAAAGTGTACTAAGGGAGGAGATGAGGGAGAGCACCGTGATTACGATTGCGCATCGGCTGGAGGCGGTGCAGAATGCTGATTACTGCATAGTGTTGGGCAAGGGCAAATTGGTGAAGAGCGGGAAGGCGAAGGACATGCTGAGGAAGGGGGGTGAATTTACGGGAATGTTGGCCTAGTGAGGATGATATGATGTGAGCGAAGAATTAGATTGCATGAAGGCGTTTGAGCGGAGAAAATGCTTCTTCTTATGCGGCTGTGTACTCGTCCACGATATACGTAGCTGAAGTCCACTGTCATTCACGACCTTTTACATTTGCATTTGAACGTAAATACAACAAAGTGCGAGAAAGACGTAGTAGATGTACAACCTTGTACGCTGATCTAGAGATGCGAATGCAGGTTCAAGTGTGTATGCAAATGCGCACAAAGTCAAATGCTGGACCCCGTGGGCCAGACAAACAACTCTAAATGTGCCCCATCTACATCCAACGACAATCATGCCCAGACAGAATGCAAAAACAAGCGAAAAGAAGCTTGAAGGACGTGCCCACGAATCCCAGCAGGGCCTAGACTGCGGACACCCCGGATTAGACCAGTCCCCACAGCGGACGTGGCAGCGGTCCACCAACAATCTTCCTACCTGTTCGCATCTTGAAATCTTTCAGCCCGACATATGCCTCCCTCCTTGCAGGATCCCCCACCGTAACCGACCATGTCTTCAAGCCGTAGTACACACCAATATGGTGTACCAGCCACCGCCCAAAGTTGCCGCCCTGGTCGTCCTCCGGTGTCTCGAACAGCATGAGTTCGCGCTTGATCCGAGTCTCCTCAATCGGGCTTCTGAGATCGCTCATCTTGCCGTTCCGCCCAACGAAGACGATCTCATCGTCCGAACTATCAGGATCAGCCGGCAGTCCGTCGTCTGCAGCCCTGCGCTCTTTAATCTCCCACTCCTCCACAAACTTGCGCACCTCAGCCTCGAGGTCCATAAGCAGGCCCTTTGCGCCGCGAGAGCGCTTCATCTTCTCGCGCAGCTCCTTGGGGATCACGCCAGGCGTGGTAGGCTTGTGTGCTACAGTTCTGGTCGATGCCTTGGCTTTCGCGGCAGTGTTCTTGCGCTCGGTTTCTTGGCGGGAGAGACCGGCGTCCCAGAGAGGGGCGAGGTAGTATGGGACATTATGAACGGGGTGGGTGGGGTGGACTTCCCAATCTTTGGGCTGAGGGGGCTCGGCGTAGGGGTTGTTCAGGAGACGGTCTGATAGACAGGTGAGTTAGATACGGTATTTGGCAGATGGAAAGTGGTATGCGGTGCGCATGGAACCAGTGGAGGAGCACTTGGGTCACGTAGGTGGCATACCGTTCTCCCATCTCAACCTTCTGCGGCTGCCCTCCTTCCCTTTGAGTAGGGCCTCACGCCTCTTCAAGCTGTCGCGGCGGATAGGTTCCTTGCGCTTGTAGTAGCCGCCCTCCTTTGCTGCCGCGGTAGAGGTCGGGCGTTCCCCAGAGGAAGCTGAAGTCGAGACGTCATCGAGTGGGATCTGGAGGTTCACAGTAGCGCCTGGGATATCGCCAGGGGTGGTGATGGTGACCTGGCTGATAGCTGCAGTTGCAGTCTCAACAGTCCAAGCTTCGATGTCGATGGGCTGAGGCTGAGGAGGCTGATCGGTGGTCAAGATGGCCATTGTCGCGAGTGGCAACGCGGCTGCGATGGCGCGAGGTGCGATAGCGGCGCGGGGACGAAGGGACACCTGCGCGGCACTGCGCGGCAGGGACAAGGAGCTCTATATAAGGCGAGTAGGAATTCAGAGGAAGAAGAGCAATTCTATGCAAGCGTCCAGGCAGCGGGGTGGAAGCAAGATAATGCTCCGCGAAGGGAAGTGTAGTGGTTCTGAGCTAGCTTCGTAAGCCAATCACCGGCCAACGTGCATGGCCTGCGAGGCGGTGCGAGTCACACGTCGGTGACCGCATCAGGTGTTCTCCGCGGTCTCGGGGAAGCTGGGCCGCAGCCGTGATCCTCGTGGGACTTGAAACAATGTATTGCTATCGATACCAACGCCAATTCCCAACATGCCTGTGACGCGTAATTGCCCTTGTATCCATACAGCTCAGGTATCTACAAAGTGTCCTCTTGCCTAGGATTCGAACTTGTGCAGCGCCAGCTCGTAGGCCAGCGCCAGCGTCAACTTAGCATGCTGCAGCATGTGGTCGAAAGAGAGAATGTCAATCGTGTCTTCGGTGGTATGGATTCGATTGTCGGAGTATTTGAAGTCTGCCTCGATCACAAATGCCGCCGGGTATCCAGCCTTGCTGGCGCTGGCATGGTCGGAACAAGCGTAGCCGCACTTCGTGAGCACATAGGGAATGTCGCAGTACTGTTTGATGATTTCTTTGATAAACTCGGTCAGGCCAGGGTCGACAAAATCAGTGACCACGCCGACAGATTCAGGTTCGCCCGCGTCGATGGTCTTCTGGACGTAGCCGGTCATGTCCTGTTGGAGCATGGCCTTGATATCACGGCCTTCTTTTTCGTACGACTGGAAGATTGCCTGGGAGCCGAGCAGCCCGCCCTCTTCTGCTGAGTAGAAATGGAACTCCAGCTGATTAGGAAAATCGCCCTTGACAATATCCTCAGATTTTAGGAGCACGCGCAGAGCTTCAAGGATGGTAACGGTGCCGCTTCCATCGTCGTCAGCTCCAGGGGCTGCGAGAATGGAAGGGAGGAACAGGTTGATGCTGTCCTGGTGGGCCCCGATGACAACGGTCTTGTTGCTCTTTCCAGGGATCGTTGCGATGATGGAAGACTGGCCCCAAGGATGGGAGAAAGCCTTTACCGATGCGCCGTGATCAAAGGCTCCACTCTTCGCGATTGTGTCGTTGACTTGCTGGAGCAGCCATGCAGAAGACTGTGCCCCCGTTCTCGACTTGAAGTACCGCGTGTGGAAGGACGTAAAGACCTCTAGGTGCTTGCGCATGTTGTTCTTCTCGAGCTGCTTGAGGAGCGGCGCAACGGTCTTGTTCTGAGCAATCTTTTCGGGGAACTTGACGCTTCGTGCCCCGTACTTGCTGTTTAGGGCGCCGAGCTCTGCGTTGTCCGTAATGTCCATGAAGTTGATGCCTTTCTAAATGCCATGAGCGATGTTGTCCATCCGTGACAAAATGGCCATTTACATACGCGACGCAAAGCCCATTTCTCGTCTTCCGTGACCCACTGAGTATCTCCCGGTGCCAGCTCGACAAGGTACTTCTCGGTCTCGGCCATGGGCGCCTGCGAGTTCCCCAACACGACCTGCGGAGGGTAGACGGCAGCGACCAGCGCTGCGGTGCATAACGGTAGCAAAAGCGAGGACTTCATGTGGGCTATCGATGACTGGGGATGGATGCGCTGCTCCACGGTGTGTGAGACGTGGGAGCTGGGAGCTAGGAGCTGGAGCTGGGGCGGGCATGCGGGTTGGCACAGTGATGATGATGGCGTCGGCAGACACTGGGCTTATCGATAGGCTGGTTGAAACAGAAGGCAACGCTTGCGCGTCAAGCTCCTGCTGTCCCTGTCTCGTCCAGCTCGCGGCTTACGGGACATATCGGTCGACAGCCTCAATTGGATGACAGTAATCATAATCAGAGAATTCCGATCGTCGCGTGGGAAGCTTCGAACTCATCTATGGTTTCTATCCGCAGAGCTACCCTGCCCTACATAGCTATGTATAGTAGTAGAAGAACTGGCTTATTCTCGGAGCCTTGGGAACAAACGCTACACACACCTTCGAGTTCTTGTGAAGAATGGGTGAGATCGCGAAATAGAAAGCGAGCTTCCTCTCTTGTTCTGGGGTTGAACTGTTTCGTCAATGTCATCGAAACTTGTGAGTTGCTGTTCACTACATGTACGATGCAATCGACACATACCTCTCCCCAGCATCTTACCAATCTAATACCAACGCCAAAACGCTCAAAATGCCATGTAATCAGTGGTCATTGCCACCAGAGCAGAGTTATGCCAGTGCCAGTATCCAGCCCATATACAAGACTTCCAATATAGTAGTCTTCAAATGCGTCCTCTCTTCCAAGAAACCCCAGTGGTTGCCCATCTACTCCAGCTTCTCCATGAACCCTCTCCGTACCTTTGTGTTAACCACGCCACCCACCCCAAACGCAGGAATGATTCGTCCCATCCGCGCCAACGAGGCCTTTGCCCAGTCCCGTAGTACTCTTGACGCTCTCCCGTCTACGCCGCCCACACTCACGCCAGGTCTGTTGTAAAGATCCAGTCCCAGCAAATGCAGCGGCGTGCTGAAGACCTGCACCGCCGCCGGCGTCACGAATTGCGCGACACTCGCCGCCCCAACATACTTCTGCACTTCCGCTCCCATATGCTCTGACACCTTCGGCGCAAGCAATGGCGGGAGATTAAATGAGGCGAAAATGGTGAGGCAGTCGCGGACGGTGAAGAGGGCGAATGTGGGGAGTGGGACTGCGCGGGAAGGGCCCGTGGAGCCGAAGAGCTGTGTGAAGCGGTTGTCTTTGTAGAGGCAGAGGGCGAGGTTTGCGGTGCTTGTGGCGACAAATTTGGGGGTGCCGGCGGTGGTTTCGGACACGGGGCGGGATTTGAGGGTCGAGGTTGCGGTGTCGATTGTGTTTGCGGTGAAATAGGTACCGAAATATAAACTCTGTTTCTATTAGCATGTGCAATTTCTTGGGTGTATTGGGAGGAAGTGTGGCTGTAGCAGATAGCGTGGACTGAACGCAGCGTAAGGATGGATTGAGGCAGAACATACAAAGATCAGCACAAAAGGCTTGCTTCCCAAAAACCGATGCGGCTTCAACAATAACTCCCATGCACTGTTCTTCAAGCTCTCCCCCAAAGTATTCCTCCCACTAGCATTCTCGATAATGCCCTTATCTATCATCGTGATGATGGGCGCAACCAACACACCGGCCGCACCAGCAGAGAGCGCATCTACACCCACCCTCGACCCCAGCTTCTGCGTATTCCATGGCCTCGCAGGCTCCTCTTCTATCGCGATCTTCGCCGTGATCGAGGGAGAGGGCAGCGGAGGACCAGGGAGCGAGCTGGGCATCTTGGGCTTGGGGAAGGCGCGCGCGTCCCAGGGGATTTCGGATGGTACTGCGACGCTTTGAATGGCGGTGTGCGGTGCGGATCCGTCGGCGGGAGCTGAGGCTTTGCTCAGGGAGTGCTGTGTGACGCTCTTCTCCCCCATTGCAGCCTCCTCCTGTGGTTGACAAACTCGTTTCTCCTGCGCTCCTGCATGTACCTCTTTTCTCTACTCTCGCAGAACTCGTTCGTCTATTCTAGTATTTCTCGTCTTATTCCTTCCCAGAGCAATATAGGAACGAGCGGATCCCAAGACGGGGATTAGTACGGTTAGATATGGGGCTGAAGAAAGAAGTAATCTACTTCGCAATCGCATGTTAGCTTCCCCAAATCTCCATGGCTCCAGCTTAGCAAGCTTAGCGTCGGTTTTTGCACCGCGTCCTCAGGCGCCGAAGTCGGAGCAAAGCGCACCGAGTCCACCCAATCGCGTTTCATTGGCGCGTGGCCGCTGACCGACCCGATCGGCTCCTGGTTCCGTCAGAGCCATGGTCTGGGGAAGCCGCGGGAGGGTAGCATCGGATGAGCGATATAAACATCGAGACGGTGAGGGCTTTGGCGTGTCGAGGTCAGTTAGAGCTCCCTAGCTTGCTACATGCACGTCTTGGGTGTAATGCAGGTGAGCGAATGGCGTCAACTGCGTGTGAGCGCTTAGCTCCGGCATTGTTCGACACCCTGTTGTCCCTGGACTAACAGTGCACATCAGACGATGCGGGTTCAAACAAAACGCCCACCAAACCACCCACGAGCGTGCGTGCAAATAGACACGAATCACCTTTTGTGGCAAGGCCAAGCACGATGTGGTGGTGCGAATGCTCACGGACACTCAATCAGCAGAGACATTGAAGGGGCAAATAGTTGAATGACTCCGTCAATGAGCCTCCCACCAGTGACCAAGCAGCCCGTCGCACCTGATACCCGACTTGAATACCCTTCCTCCGCCGTATAAGCAACAGCATCCACTCAGTACTCCCAAAATGAGCATGTAAATCCACAACTATCCGGGGTAATAAGAGGGGTGCACTGTCGCTTCGCCATGATGCTCCTGGTACGCCAAACTCGGATTCGATCCTCTCCCATTTTGCAACGCCGTGAAGTCGTAAGTGCCGAGGAACCGTGAAGTCGAAAAAGTGAAAAGGTGGTGAAAAGAATCGAAGAGTCGTGTGTGCCAGATCCGAAGTCGTCCCATATTCCCTTCATTCCAGCCCATCCAGTTGTGCTCCATCTGCCCCCATCCAGCATAATTCAAAGCCCAGCATTTGCTCATCACATAGCCAAAAGTCCAAACGATGCAAACCCCCCGACCATTCGCTTCCCAGAAAACAAAAGCACCTGGCAGACCGGATGCTCGCTGAATAACACAAATGCTTACCTTTGGGTAAAAACCGACAATGAAAGCTTAGGATTTCTCTCCACCGCAATCTGCAGATCCTCGTCGTTCTCAATGGGATAGTACTGGCCCTCCATTTCGTCCCTATACTCCACACTCAGCTCTTGGTCCCTCTCTTCAGGATGCTCGACTGCTCTTCGTTCCTTCAGCTTGGTGTATAGATCAGCAAATTTCAGAGATAGCGGCATACGAATGACAACACAGTTGTCTTCTCCGAACCACACTTTGATCTTCAAGGCTGATCCAACGCCGGTGCTCGTAGACGTAGATGTTCCCGAAACCCCAGAATGCTGATGTTGCAGTGGTGGTGGGTTCAATCCGCCCTGGGTGCTGCCCATTGACATGCCTCGCTGGTGGTTCGGGAAGTTGGATCCTGTCGAGTATGGAGTCTGTGGTGTGGTGGCCTGCAGTTGATCTGCTGACGATTGTCGCGATGCGCCCTGCGAAGGGTTCGATGACTGACCCGATGTCTGCGATAGGCGGTACTCTTCTTGCGCTAAAATTTCTGGGTCGATTTCGTAGTCTCCTTGCCTAGGTGCAAAGAAGCCTTTGACTAGCAACCCCCGAGTTATGTGCGGTCCTAACCTTAAGAGATTCTTGATATACTCATCCAAATTAGCACGACGTCCATTGGAGATATTATCGGTGACATAAGTCACTGGACCGGGCATAAACGGTAGTGTGCGCTCGCCTCCAGTGGTTCCAGCTTCTTGGGGATATGTGGCGATGAGCTGGATCTGCAAGTCGTAGAAATCCTGGTACAGTCTCTGCAGTTCCCAATGGCGACCATCTTCCATCTGACATTCGATAATGAACCAGAAAATGTCGTCGGCGAAACAGTATCGGGGTACGCATGCTTTTACCGGCGCGAGGAGATTCGAGCCTGATGCACGCTGGTCTTGGCGAGGTTGCTGTGCGAGAGAGCCACTGCGCGAGTGAGAGGAGACCTGCGGTAATCTTAGTTAGACAAATGGGGAAGCTGCAGTATGCTCATTAGGCAAAACTCACCGAACCAGCTTGACCATAACCTCCATTTGCTGCCCCGCCCGCCTGACTCTTGCCGCTCAGGCTCATTCGCTCCATACCTTGCTGCAGCGTCTGCTGCGAATTAGTTTCGAGCTTTCCTAGCGGTATGCTTCCGTTCTTGTAGTCTGCGGCCATCTTTTTCCACTCTTCGACTTTTGGCACGCCCGCCCGCCGCACTGCTTCGTGCGGATCAGTCACAGCCTGTCCGGTAGTCATGTCCCTAATCTCAATAAAAGATACCGGTATCAGACCTGGGCCACCGAGTCGCGTGATCGGTTTTGCAACGAACCACTCTGGGTTTGACTGTGCGATGACGATGATGGCCTCTCCTTCTTTTGCTTCCAATTCGTCCGGACGCTCCGCCTTGAAATCGTACATAACTATCCCATAAACCATGGCGCCCGTTCCTTTGCCCAGACCCATCATAGCGGCCATACCACCCATGCCACCCATGCCACCCATGCCGCCCATGCCGCCCATTCCACCCATTCCCCGTGACATCCTTCCACTATTGATATCGGTACTGTTCGGGCTGGTTATACTGCGCTCTTGGTAACCCGAATCGTGAGGTGCGTTGGGCTGGTTCGCAGGTGTAGATTTTGTAGAGCCGGCGCTGTCGCGCACTGTTTTGCCCACTTCGTCGAAGTACGCAACGGGCACCAGACCGCGGGCGCCGTGTAGCGGATTGCAGGCTTCGTACCACTCCTTGTCGTTTTCGCGGCCGATGACGTGCAAGAAATCGCCCGTAGAGAAACTAAGAAAGCCCGCGTTGGGCGCGGCGTCGGGCGGGCCGCTGTAGTCGTAAAGTGCTTTTATGACCTGCGTTGCGGCGCTGTTAGCGGAGGATGCGCGCATACGAGAGCCTGCGCCAGGCAGCGGGCAACCGTGGGCAGCTCGAGGACAAGCGGCGACTCACTTTCTTTGGAGGGACAATAGCGATAGCGTCCTTGGGCGGGATGGAGATGTGGTGCGGCCGCGTATCTTTCTCCCCCTTCACCGATCTTCGAACGAACTGGGAGCACGTTAGCGCTGGTGACGGCATGACTCGGCGGTGAGGGCGGGCGCGTATGTACCTTCATGGTGGGCAGTCACGGCGGTTGCTATCGCGACGGCAGCAGGCTCGAGTGAAGACGGGATGTGGTGAAGGTGTGCGTGCGAAGTTGCGCTTGAACGAAGGACAGCGCCCAAGATGGAAACCGGCAGGCTGGCCTGTGTGCTTGGGCCGCGTGGGGAGAGAACCTTGAGGAAATGAGCAGCGGCTCGCCAGGGGCCGTGCGTTGTGATGCGCACTCGTCGCAGCAGTGAATGTAGGGCTGCAGGCGCTCGGTGGAGTCGTCGTTCTTAGCACGTCGTCGTGTAGGTGCCAACGTCGGGTTGTAGGAAGCGACAGTAACGAGGGCGAGTGTGCACGTTATGCGTGTGCCACCACAGTACGCAATTACAAGTGCTGCCTCTCCGCCGAAAGGCGTGGCTGATGCAGCAGCAATCGGACAAGGGCCCGGCGGCGCAGCTGGCGGACAGGGTGAATTGTCTTTGTCGTGGCGGGATTCCGAGGCTGCGTGACGACACCGGCCAGACAATGAAAGTCCAAGGAGGGAAAACTTGCAACCCCCGGCGCGAACGGTGGAGACTTCCACGAGACCCGCGCCTCCACTCGACGCCTTGTCGGAGCCACCTAGCGGATGCAGGTCCGCTGTCAGGCGTTGTAATCTGCAGCTTTCAACCGTGTGAATCATGCCCTGGGGGCGCCAGTAAACACGCTTAGTTCTCAGAGCATACCGTCTTACATGCTGCCCAATCTGTCGCTCTTTAGGTCTTCAGGATCAATGCATTGTCCTGGCCCTCGGCATGGCCGCGGTGTTTTCTACACTGAGCATTACCCTTTAGGCAGCACAGTACTGTCTCTCGTGCACAACAAAGTCCGTTACATTGGGCATCCTGCTAGGATTCGTGTGTCCGTAACCCCTCAGCCTCGCCCCACATCTCCCGAAGTTGGCATACATGCGACATGTCCGCTACTTCAGCGCGTTAGCTGCGCGCTGTTTGTGAACTTGCAACGTTTGTGAACCAGTGCATTTAATTACTATACTCCCTGCTTACGCCTCCTGCTAAATCAGGAATCGGCGCGCCGTTGCTACAGACTAGCCCAGCGAATCGCGACTCGAAACACCCCATTGGTTTTATCAGCGCCGCCAACGAAAACCACACAGAGCGTCCTCCTCTTGAACGGATCGACTGGTGCACACACCAAGGTGATTTGCCGCCCATCGTGACGCTACTTCCAATCGTCGCTTCGTGCGAGTGTGTCGGGAGCCAATCGGTTCGCGGATGAATACTTGCCTAGTTGGGAAAGTGAATAGCCATGCTGGCGTCTTGTCCGTATCCCACGTGTGAGTCGGACATTTCTTCAGCCGCTGATGCCTGCGACGATGAGACAGTAGACCCGTGGTCTCCGGGAGCCGGAACTGTGACCACATCCCTACTGTTCGTCCCACCATTTTGGACCCCTTCCTTTTTGGCATCCCATCTTCTTCTTGAATAGGCCAATATTACAGACATGACGTACGAAAGGGGTCGAGGTGGCTTCACGTGCGTGCGGAGTAATCCGTAAAGAGAATTCCCCAAACGTCTCGTGCATGAGAAGGCGGGTGCTAAAAGGTTCGTACAGTGTCGCATAAAGCGGCTTCCCCGCGTTCCGGTGGGTTGAGAACAGCAAACGAAGTAAGGGGCTACCGGGTGATCGCTGTCTAGAAAGCTTGCGTCGATTTCTGGGCGACCAGAATGACGACGTAGGAAAGTGGCGCAGGGTACCGTACAAAATATGAGAAGTGTGCAAAATGATTTGAGTAGATGAGCTTCGAGATTACGAATCGCATCGAAATCGATCGGTGAACTCATTTCTGACCTTTGATGTCTACCAAGGCAAACGCAGCCTGACGAAGGCTTTCGAACATAGAGGCAGCCTCCTTCACTTTGACACGGAATTGGGGTTTGCCGTGGTCGTCGATTTTCTTGTCGATAAATTGTGAAGCACCGTGGGACTCAAGAAATTCACGGCATTCATTATCGTCTCCAAATTGGAGTTCGTCCGTGAGGAAACGCAGCCCGACATTCATATATCTGCATCTCGTTAGTAAGGTCTTAATAAGTACGGAGGATCTTACATACGCTCTAGAGATATTAGCGAGAGCATGCAAGCGCTCGCGCTCGATGAACATGTCCATCAAGTACGCGCCCATGTTCGGTGCAATGTTGTACAGTCTAAAGAACTTATGGTAGTTGCCGACGGCCAACGATGAACGGACATCAATTGCATGTTTGATCTCCGGTTTGGTCTTGTCTGCTGGGGTTAATTCTGCCAACAAATCGTTCATGTCGGTCTTGTTGCATGTGTACACAAAGTAGAGGACGCGATACGCGGTGAACTCGTCCGGTCTGCCAGGCAAGTTTTGCGAATACAATGCCTTCAGCTGCGTCTGGCACTGATTATACTCACCCATATCCCCCTGTTCCAATGCAATCCTGGCGTGACTCTCGTAGACCTTTACGGTAAAGTCATTCTTGATATGCTGCACGGTAAGGTCCTGGCGTAACGACTTGAACTGGTTGCACATGTACCCGTAGTTCTTTTCGGCCTTCCATTTCTTTCGCAGCATCGTGAGGGTCTTTTCGAGCACGTGTTGAGGTCGCACGGTCTCCGGTTTAGGGGGTGCTGTCAGACGGAAATAGCTTTTCTCGAGACTCATGTTGGTACCAACACATGGGGCATTGTCCATATCTGCATCGGAATCAGGCTTAGGAGAGTTCCATGGCGGTGTCGAAGAAATGCCGGTTTTGCCAAGCTGGAAACGCTGCTTGCGCTTTTCCAGGTCAGCCTGATCGAACTTACTAGAGACATCCCCGGACAGCGCATTCTTCTTGTGACGCTTATCGTTGTGGCCATTGCTGTATGTGATGCGAGATTCTAGGTTAGTTCGGCGCCAAGGCGGGACAGACATGTCTGCGGGTTCCGACAGGTCGGTCTTGTCTTGCGACTTGCGCTTCTTAGATTGGGGGTTGTCAAACGCGGAATTAGCGAGGCCGTTAGGAGAAGAGAGGAGAGGGTTGTTCTGGGTCTGAACCCACGCGGCCGCGCGCTCGTCCCGAAGTAGTTCTTGTGGTAAGGGATATGTAGACCAGTCGACACTCTCAAGCTGGCTCCGTTCAGCAAAGAAGCTGATGACGTCCTTCAATTTCTTCGTGGTATCTTCCCTAGAGATACCAGTGATGGCATTATCAGCCTCGAATGCACGTCCGACGTACTCGCGGACCTCCGGTGTCCACTCCACCTTCTGCGGCTTCTCGGACGGGGCGGCTACTGGCTGCGACGAAGCGTCAAAAGCGGGGTCGCGCATTGGAGTGTCGCTGTGACCTACCTGCGCAGGCGGAGGTCTCGCCAGGGTCGTTCGCGCGGCAACGGAGTTGTAGGCAGGTGGTTGCAGCGGGTTCGACCACGCCACGGTGGAGGTGGAAGTGGAGGTTGGCAACGCCATTTCGCGGCCAAGGAAAACACGAAGGGAACAACGGCTATGGATCAAGTGAGTAGCTTATGAGTGAGCGTGAGGATGAAGGTGAGGACAAGTCGCGTGCGGGCGGTTATGGAGCGGGATCGATGGTCAACGAAGAGCGGGAGATGTGCGGTGAGACGGGTTGTGCAGATTCGAAGCCAAGAGCGCTCTTGCCTAATCGGGACGCGCCAATGACGAGGAGGGGCTGATGAATCAGTGAAGGAGGTCGCATGCCGCGCTTCGTGCCTCGAAGCTCATCTGTGTTCGTAGCTTCAAGCGCCACTTTCCCAATGCATAGACTGAATGTTTCTGCATCAGCTCGACCTTACGACGGCATTGCGCCCATCTTTGCTGCCGGAAGAGACACTCTTATTTGTACAGGATGCTGTTGGCTTGTATGAGGGGTACGTGATTGCCCGCATGCCTGCTTGCTCCATACTATATTGACCGCAACGGCATAGCAAATACAAGATCCCGCAATATCAGAATGGGCAGGCGTACTTGACTTCGCATCGTGCATGCTATGTAGATCACAACGAGCCACGACAAAACTCCGTAGCCATCTATCTGAAAGATGTAGAGCGACACGAGTTCTATGTAAGCTATGTACATCTAACTCAGCAGACATGTGCGCGCATAACTCACTAGTCTTAGGCTGGCTTTCTCAAATCATCTCCCAAGATCACACTCTACCCTAAGCCATCTAAGCAACTTTCGAGGGCTCCAGGCGCCACAAGTCATGCAGGCACCACGTCGGAGAGACGAGGGAGTCCTGCATCTGCAGCTGCAACACCTGTCAGCGCAACATGGGTCTGCCCAATATGCTCCTTCTCGAACCCAGTTCCGTCGAACTTCGATCCTGCTACCGCGAACGCTCGAACACCATTGCCACCATGTCTTGCATGTGGCATAAAGCCTCCACTGGTGCATGTGGTCAAGGCTGCGATATCTGCGATGTCGAACCGGCAAACAATAGGTCCACCCCCTAGCTACAACGACGGAGCTCTGAACATTTCGGCTCCTAACAGTGGAAGTCTTACTTTCTCGGGTTCTGGCGCGCTTCCGTGCCCACGCTGTACCTTCCAGAATCACCCTTCATTGAAATCTTGTGAAATGTGTGGAGGCCCAATCGGATCCGCAATAGACAAAAGGCTGGATGTGCCTCATGAAATTGGGCGAGCCGAGTCTCCAGGTCCCTCTCTTCGTGGTCCTCTGAAAGATGAGGCTATTCAATCCATCAAGTTCTCGTTTCGTGGTGGCGGCGACAAGATATTCCATGAGCGTCTGAAGAACGCGCTCGTGCAGCGGAAATGGCTCCTTCAAAGCGCACCACCGATCCCAAAACCGCGCCCAGCATTAGGCTCGTTCGATGACGCCTACTCAAGCAATGCAGATGCTCCAGTAGTCGATCTCGCACGTAACAAAGTCGTCGGAATAGCGGGTCTAGAACGAAGAGGTCTTGAGCAGAAGCGGAACAACGAAGCTGTTATTGGAGGCGCTTTCGAGGACCTTGAGGCTTTGATGACGTCCGCTAAAGAGATCATTGCGCTTGCTGAACAGTTCTCCTCTCAAGCAAATCTAGGCGGTAATGGAAGTTCTGATGCGAACGCCCTGGCATCGCAATCTGCTTCTGCTTTAGGGCTCGTAACAACGAAAGATATGCTTGGATCAGGATCAGGTTCGGAATCACTCTACGTCTCAGAGCTGTCCAGAAACCTCGCGGAATGGCTGACGGATGACACGCGCGGCATATTACGGCGAGAAGGCGGCATCGTGACACTAGTCGATCTATGGGCTGTGTTCAACCGTGCCAGAGGCGGCGTAGAACTGGTGAGTCCAGCCGACTTCGAGAAGGCGGCGAGGTTGTGGGATAAACTTAAGCTACCCGTCCGCCTTCGACAATTTAAGAGTGGACTTCTCGTGGTGCAAGGCCGCGACCGAACAGACGAGAAGACCATCGCAAGTCTCCTCGCATGGCTCAAAGAGCTACACAACGAGTCGGTTACAGATGTTTCATGGGATGTACAGGCATTCGGAAGAGGAGTTACCGCACAGGAAACCGCGGAACGATTTGGTTGGAGCGTCGGAGTGGCTACCGAAGAGCTCGAGATGGCTGAAGAAGCGGGCGCTTTATCTCGGGAACAGGGACTCGAAGGAATAAGATTCTGGGAGAACTGGCTGGTCAAGATGCCTAACCATACGGCGGACACGTAGCAGACTCCGGATGCCAAACACATGCACAATCCACCATTGACTTTCGAACTTGTCAGCAAGCTTCTGAGAAAGCCGAAAAGAATAGGGGTAGTGATACTAAAGCAGCTGAAGAACCCACCTTGTTCAAGGGCTATAGCCTTCCAGGTGTTCTTCACCATTCAATGAGTTTCCGACTTTTCCACAGCATGCAAGTGTCGTAAGTCCGCATTCGCTCAATCCTACGGGGCAGCTTAGTACCGTCGTGTACACTACCGACCGTAACACGACTCGCTTATGTTAACGTCGACATTTATGCTACAGTAGCTCCTGCAGAATATAGTCTCTCTGGGCTGAGCTCTTCAGCATGCTCCTGCTAACCTGCTACTGAACCAACCTCACACACCAACTCATACTTAGCTAGCCAAAAACGTAGCTTGCGCGCACTGCGAAGCTAGACTCGCTTATGCCGGTGTATCGGTTTTCCAAAATGTCTGCGCAGCCAGTGGAAGAAGGGCCCGTGGCTTGTAACTTCGTGAACCCTGCCTACGTACGGCAACGGGCTCTCACGAAGTGGCCGTCTAATAGCATAGAGTCCACCGCTTTCCACCTCTCAATGATCAGCTCCCCTTTCTTTGCACAGATCGAACGGCAATCGCTTCGAAACTCAACGTCTTGGATGACAGCGTCCGCCAGAAGATTCAAGACCTTCGTGCAAAGCACAAGTGAGGCCTCGTAGTCGGGTTGAAGGATATTTCGGGCGTTCAGCCGCTTTTGGACATCGATGTGCTGATCAAACCTCATTTGATAGTCTTCAATCTGTTTGTAATCGCGCTGAAAGCCCTCAAAGAGACTAGCAAAAATGATTTCAAAGGATACTATCAACTTCCAGGTTGGTGTTGACGCTCCTCTGGACAAATTGTCCTCGACAGCATATGCTATTTTAAAATAAAATTGAAGGTAAGAGTATGGGTATTGGGAATGACTTCAAATACTGCGCACATGCAACGACTACTTTCCCTACGTGGCATAGACCTTGTCTAGCCATGTTCGAGGTGAGCATTCGCAAATGTCGCGGGTAATTTAGCCTTTGCTTAACCTGAGCTGTCTGTAGCAAACACTGTTCCTGCATATATACGATATTTCAAGACCGTAAAGATGTTCGAAGATTATTGGAAGATAAATCTGCCGTACTCTTTTTTCTACTGCAGTATTGGGGCTACCACAGACCTCGTGACAGCTCAGTGAAATTTCCTAGTAGCATTGATCACGGCGTCAATATGTCCTTCATGTACGATTACAAGGCTCCCAATGTCTTCACAGAAATTGGACATGCTTCGCCTCCCTCCAGATAATGACTTCAGAAGTGGCACTTACGTGCGTTTTCAATAATGTTACTGGAACATTGGAGGAGGATGACTGGGACTTGATTGACATGCGGTAGTCTAAAGACCCCGAGCAATTCTGTAACCGCGACCAGACGACCAGACGCCCGTGGAATCCATCCGATACTTTAGAAAAGGGCAAGGCAGTGAGCGTTCGAATAAATCAAGCCGGACCAACTTGAAATGTACCTCGATGAGCTACGGATGGACGCTAGTCGATGTACGCTCGATAAGCTCGTACAACCGGACTGCAAGAAGTATGACATATATATGCAGTCAAGGGAATCCTCAAATCACACCCCATGACCTCGAGCTTCCTGGAGCTGGTCGTGATACTCAGGGACTTCCCGGCTCGTTAGACGTTCCCCATGACATGTACCACAATTTCTCAGGTGGTCTCGTCTGGGTGGACGTATGTGTCGAGTGGCTGTAGATGCTTTCGACTCAATGTTCTGGTTCCACTATTGGTAACAAAACGCATCAAATACGACCGAATTGATCTGACTGATCTTGATGCCATAGCCAAATTAGCGACTGTTCACCATTTGGCAGAAAATCAATGAGCAGTCTCCAGAAAAGTGATTCAATGGTAACCCAGCCGGTGTTGATAAACCTCTATACCCTTTCGTGAGACCTGGTGGAGCGAAGGGCGAGTTTTAGAGCTCCAACACTGCCAAGGGCACGGAAGTGTTCAGCTATAACTTCACAGACATAAACGATGCTGCAGACAATGCACGCACGAGCTTCGATGAGTTTTGTTTGGTCCAACCTTGAAATAATTTCCCACAACATTGGTAAGCCTCCTGAGGAAATGGATCGTTGAGGAATTAGAGTTCTTCCAGCACGTACCGCCAGCTCCACTTACCTTTTAAGCATCGGCCAGGGCCCTCACCAACCATGCCCAGCAACCCACCGCAGAGAAAGACTTTTCTATGATCAGGACCTCTATAAAAAGTACATTGACGATCAGGCTGAGCGGTATCGATAAGTTAACTGACATTCGTCAGACATGCTCGGACTGATCAAACATCTAGGATGACTTCAAACAGTGCCCTGATCCTCTTGTTTTCTATCAACTTCGAGCCTGGCAAGAGCTTCCACAGTCAGGGTATCGAGGTGGCGACTACGCTCGCTGGCGTCTCACATGTATTCGCTGCCCCGAAACAAGGCTGCGATAGTTGTGGTCAACAAGCCGAGCAGGCAGTTATTGTTGGAGACACCCTTGGCCGCAACTATTGGACCATTTCATTGTCGGCCAGCTGGTAAGTATGCGACCAGAGCATGTGACGCCGATCTTGGTCGACACACTGCGCTGGCGAATCTACACGGTAAGTTGACGCGACAACGCGTCAGTGGAATTTCGTTTTCAGTACGAGGCTAAAGAATCGTGCAAGGTGAACGGAGAAAACATCGGTCCCCGCGAAATCGCTTGGAACCATACCGCTTGTGGTTGGTGTCAATATGAAGAGGACTCCTCCAGGTACCAATGTGCCAGAGTTCACAAAGTATGACGATGTCATCGATGCGATGATTGGCAAATGCTTCCACGGTCGCTTAGTGAGCTTGTCCTCTTGATAGCTTGCAGCTCGTGAAGTTCTTTGGACTGTCAATTCTCAGCCCCGAGCTAGTCCTAGGTCAAGAAGGACCACCTCACAGCCTTCAAAAACGGCTCGTGAATCACCTTCCTGAATAGAGTTGGTTTCACCCTCCCTTCCAAAAACCACCGATGCGTCTCGATCCAAACCTCGTTCCCCTTATTCCCAATTACATCTCCATGGCACGGGATGATCCTCTCAAAATCCCACTCCGCGACTCTCTTAACATCGCTCCGCATCTGCACATAATCCACACTCGCAATATAATACATAAGCCGCTTGAACCAGAGAGAACCCGGGCGTGCTCTCGTGGAAAATGCTTGAGACAGAATGCCCTGATCTGCAGAGGAAGGGGTGTATTGCTGCTCTGGGATCAGTATACTGCACCTTACGATGCCAGGAAGGGGGAGATACCTCCGTAGCCGGTAAGTTCATCAGCAAATCAGACACTATCAGCGTCCCGCTCGATTTATGCATCCACGCCGAAGCCCTTGTGATAAATCCCCAAAACAACACACTTTCCACATCGCCCTCCCAGCCAAACACCTCCTCCGGCCTCTTCCCCAATTCCCCCTCTCCTCCGTAGATGAAGTCCCACCTCACATCCCTCCTCTTCTTCTCTAACCCTGGCACCCCGATGGTCTTAGCATCTGGCCACACTTTCGTATAGTCATAAACAGAGATGTGGTGTCCGAGATCGGCAGCGATGTAGTGTACGCCGCCTAGTTCGTCCAGCTTTTCTCGAACGGAGGGGGAAAGGGGGACAGGATTTAGGAGGAGAATTCTTCCCGAGGAGAGGTGAATGGCTGTTGCGCGATTGCCGACTGCGACGAATTTGCGGTAGCCGAGGGGCGCAAAGCGGTTGAAGGGGATGGAGAAGGTTGTCAGGGTGGGTGTAATATCACAAATCACTGTTTTGGGTGCGTCCGACATGGTAATTTGGTGTCAGAAGGGGCACTCGAACGGATTAGCTTCGCGGTTGTCAACATTCAGGTACTTTGGTGATGCTTTGGTGAGTGAGTATTGATGTCGTCATGACTACAGCTGTAAGATGGATCGTGTGGAGAGCTAGGAATGCGATGCTGGATTGCGATTCTTCCTTGGAACGGTCAATCATATACTCAAATTCGCGCTGAGAGGGCGTCTTAGCGGAGGTTAATTAGTGTTCGTGCTTCGGGAGAGCCTACTAAGCTTCCTGCACAAATTAAATCTGATAAACGCATGCTCCACGACAAGTGAACTTCGCTCAACTCAAGTTTTTTTTAGTACCTTGCTATTTTTATAGAGTGTTCAGATCCGAGAGTGAGGATTACAAGTCCAGATGGTATACCAACGCCGTCGCTATGCACATAATCAAGACCCACTGTTCTTCCTATTTTACAGATGTTCACGTATGCACGTATTCTGGCCCTGAACAATTACCGGTATATCTCGTCGAAAGGTCTCGTATCGTTGAAACAGCTATCCCACACCTCGTTCACGATTTTAGCGGCGTGGACGTCGTCTTTTACGCCGGGGCGGGCCATCATAGACAACGTTGCGCGGCGCCGCACGCAATTTTGCAATTGTTCTGTTATGCGCCATTGGTTCTTAGTGAAGAATTCGCGGGTGAAGCGGCATTCACCAGAGAGGGTGGAGGCGCGGATCTGGAGAAGATCAGTGTTGGATACTTCAAAGGGAAGAGGGCATTGCAGGAGATAAAGATTGTGTAGCACTAATTTTCCCATGCGTAGTCTGGTCTGATGGGCAGGTTTCGCGAATGGGAACACATAATGCTGTTGATTTTCCTGGGCTTTGTATCCCATATCCCATGGGCAGGAGACAAGAGGTATTAGAGAGCCAGAGGGAAGAACATGGTGAAATACATGATTTTACGTACCTCCAAGCATGCCTGATGTCTCAGATTGTTGTCCTCAACCTTAAACTTCAGATGATCCCATGCGTGTACCATCTCATGCGCCATTGTATCCTCCTGGTGTCCGCGATTCCGAAACTTGTTCGCACACAGCATAATGCCATGGTCGACGTGGAAACCTCCGCTCTGCTCCGCCGTGCACATCCTGCAATGTATATTTTGCCCATTGAGATCGCCGCCCAGCTTTGCCACCTCGTCCTTCATAAACTTTACGATGGGCGAGTATTGTAGGAGGTAGTCGCGGCTGGTTTCGCAGCGCTTGCAGTACGATTCTGCTTTTGTCGCATCCATCTCCTCAAAGTATTTGCGCTCCAGGGGAACATCGCGGTTGCCGGTCACATAGCGACCCATCAGAATAGAAAAGGTGCTGCTCCATGTGTAGTATACAGGGTCGAGTTTGGGCGCCTCTGGCCTCGGGGACGGTTTCGCGCTCGCAGAATTGGGTACACCATCCGGCGCATCTTCTTGCTTCGACATGTCTGGGATGCTGTGCCGGTCTGCCGTCGGAGAGAGCTGTGCGTGACGGAAAGCCTATAGGGCGTGAATGTTACGACGGGCAAAGGGCGCTGCTTTCCCGCAAAAAGATGGTATGCGGCGATGATCGGCAGTTCTGATTGGGCGCGCGCACAGGCGGTGGGGAAGCCATTTATTGCCCTCATGCAGTCATAGCAGCCAACAAAGAAGCGCGATTAACACGCCCATATACCGCGCATACTTATACACCTGGGACCCCGCGTGGAGAAGAGAGGCTCAGCATGGCATTCCACATGAAGAAGCATCCGGGACAACTCACTATCGTCATCAAACTCGGTAAACTTCCTGTACACTCTACCCCACATTCACAGAGCTTAGAATAACTTACCAATGCGACACAGGCACCTCGTCGATTGTCGACGAGAAGACACATGAGCCGTTACTATCCATCCTCAGTGTGATCGTCGAGACCGCCGTAAAACTCCATAAAGCTGGCCACCGTGTGGTCCTCGTCTCCTCGGGCGCCATTGGCGTTGGCCTCCGCAGAATGGACCTCGATAGACGACCGAAGCACCTCCCACAAGTGCAGGCGCTCGCTGCTATTGGCCAAAGCAGGCTCATGAGCCTCTGGGATCAGCTTTTTGGGCACATGCGGCAACCAATTGCACAAATACTGCTTACGCGAAACGACATCGCGGATCGGACACAATACCAGAATGCGCAGAACACTTTCTTTGAGCTGCTACACATGGGCGTCATACCGATTGTGAATGAAAACGACACGCTGGCAGTTACGGAAATCAAATTTGGCGACAACGATACGTTGAGCGCCATCACAGCTGGCATGGTGCAAGCCGACTATCTCTTCCTAATGACAGACGTCGATTGTCTGTACGATACAAATCCGCGCAAGAATCCGAGCGCGAAGCCTATAGAAGTGGTCGAGGATATCGCAGACCTAGAAGTGGACGTCAGCAGTGCCGGCTCATCGTTAGGGACGGGAGGCATGAGCACAAAGATTGTTGCAGCACGGTTAGCCACGAGTGCGGGCGTTACAACTATCATCACCAAGTCAAGTAAACCTGGGAACATCGTGGCAATAATCAAGCATGCCGAAGCACAGAGGCCAACACGCATATCGAGTCGCAACAGCATGACGAACTTCCAAGACGATGGCATACCGCTTTCGCAAACGGCCAACCTCAACCTGCACAATTCTACCCATGACGTCTCTTCTCCGACCCAAGCTACGCCTGCGCGATCACCATCCCCACAGCTCGACACCGAACATGTCCCCCTCCACACCCGCTTCCTCCCCATCGCCCATCCCATCCGCGACCGCTACTTTTGGATCTTGCACGGCCTCGCTCCCCACGGAACGATATATATCGACAACGGCGCATGGAAAGCGCTCTCCGACAAAGCCGGCCTCCTCCCCGTCGGCATCGTCGACGTAGACGGCCACTTCGCCCAACAAGAAGCCGTCCGCATCGTTGTCGTGAAGCGCCTTCCAGCCGCCAGCCCTAAAGTCACACCCAAAACCACCGCACCCATCGCTCCCGTCCCCTCGCGGACAGCAGCCCACCCCGTCCTCAACTCTGGTCACGCGCCTTATACGCATCCCGCTCTCACCCACTCGATGTCCTCGTCCTCAATCATCACGCCGCCGCTGTTCGAGTTGCACGACCCTGCTCCTTTTGAAATCGGGCGTGCAGTGGTGAATTACTCGGCGAGCGAGATTAAGAGGATAAAGGGGTTGCATAGCACGCAGATTCATGATGCGCTGGGCTATGCAGATAGTGAGTATGTGGCGCTGAGGGAAAACATTGCGTTCTTTGGGATTGAGAAGAGTAGGCCGAACACGCCGAGTGCTGGGAGGAGCTCGAATATGGAAGGAGGTGTGGGGGTGGATGTGCATTGAGGGTTTAGCAAGGTTTGAAGGTCTTGCCCAAAAGTCGGGGAAATCTGGGAAAAAGAACACAGGTGAATAGCGACGCTTAGGGACGAGTCGATCTAGACATGGTGAAGGAATCCTTGAAACCTATGAAGATGCAACCAACTTGCATGTTTTCTGAACCTTTCTAAAGTCTCTTTTTCTAGGATTGGTGCTAGATGTTCGGCTCAGACAAGATGCACCGTCGAAATACCTAGATGCCGAGCACCTTGTACTTTTTACCTTTTGCTTTTGAGGGCCCGACGTCCTCTTTCTGTGCTAATTCGGTAATATGTAGACGTGGACCAGAAACACTTGCATTGCTTCGCGACTCTCAACACCCTACTCCACCATTCCCATTTCGCTCCACATTCCCACAACCTCGGATCATTCCTCATACTCTGTTCACGAACCTGGTTATCAACCCCGATCAGGAGAAACCTTGTTTCTTTCCCTCTCACGTGTTCGGGTGTTTCGCTTACTCTGTCCTGCATTAGGAGGGCTGCGAAGTCCGACGTTTCAAACCACGGAGTACCGATAGCAAGCAAGGGTTGGATGATCGGGACTTAAGATGATTAGGGTAGCTTATCGCTATCGATAAAGGGGTTGGAGCGGAGTAATGTTGGCGCTTGGGGGTGGGAGTGGTACCTAGGTAATAGGAGTGGAACGATGCGAAGTTTAATTATAAAGCTAGGATACGGGAATTTCTAGTCGAAGAGAAATATTTAGCGAGAAAGTCTTCAGTTGGCTTGGATTGAAGTAGAAACCTGGGTCGTCGGTGCTTGGTGCATGCGACGTGTTTTTGAAATGACTTGATGGATGAGACAGGGAAAGAACATTTCTATAGCTTCCTCGAGTGTTCGTCCGTCATCGAGGACGTTCTGGCCAACACGTTCGTTCGGAACATTGTTATAGGTAACCAAGCCTATGCGTGTGCTGCAGATTCTCGATTCGCGGGACAGCGGTCATATAAGACGTACAGTGTTCTACAAACCGTAAATGCAGCAATGGAGGGAAAGAAGCACATAAGTAGGAAGAGAGGGCAATTAAGAACTCCTTGGTTTACACAAGCAGAATTTCGGATCTTTTCCGCTAAGAGTACATGTGTTCCGAAAAATCGCCCATCAAGCAGTAACATACCTCTAGAAACTTACTCAAAGACTCGGGTACTTTATCTTTGTTCCAGCCTGAAGGTGAACTATCATGGCCGAAGAGTGTGCCACTTCAAAGATAGTTTGCAAATTATACCAAGCTAGAAGTGACTTCTACAGAACAATCCTGCCCTGGAACATTACACTAGCTTCTTCCTGAATCATTAATCTAAGAATTGTCGTAAGAAATGCGTTGAGGCCTGACCGTTATGGACAAGACACGGTTCCACAAATATGTGAACTTCGGAAATCTGCCCCTGAGCTCTTCCGCGAAAATCAAGGGTTCCATCTTCACAGAGACAAATATAACAAACCTTGCTCGCACAACGCGGAGTACATAATGACTTCAAAGTGTACTCCAGCTCGTACTATGTATCACCACAGACATCCTTGAATTCGCAGTGAGAGCATCAAGATAAGGAAACACAGTAGACGTGATCGTGATGTCTCTATAAGATAGGTTGTTCTCGCCACAGTTGAATATGAGCTTTCTGCAGTCCAACGCGTAATTCGAAGTCTTTGTAAAGGGAGAGAGAGTTTCGAGGGGAGACTACGCCTGGATCAACACCTGAGTACACTATATTTCAAGTCACTAGCACACTGATGGAAGCCTCAATCGAAACAGTATCATTCTTGTAGGCAGCTAAGGTATATAGCCAGATGCGTAGCTGTAGTCGTCACGTGACTTGTGATTGCCTTGTCCACAGAACATATCGTGTGATGCATCCCAACCAACAGTACACGGATATGAGACTGCTAATCACTGCACCTGCGTATGTCTGCTTTGAATCGCATTTGTACTGCACCCATTTAAAGATACACGCACGCTGCTGGACGTGTAATCGTACAGTCTACTACACCAACATACAATCGGACAGCGACGTCCACACCCCCCCACTCACATCCCTAATCCAATATTGTTCCTTAGTCTGCACCTGCAAGCGAAGTACTTCCACGCATGTACGTCCTGCGTAAGAACCTGCATCAATCCTCCTCATAATGCCGCTCACCGGCACCTACATGCGCAACCGTCTCACCTCATCGCCATGGCATTCTACACCACCGCCTGCACATGTACCATACCGCTTATCGCCTAGACACCCCCCGGCCCGGCGAAAAGCAGCACTGGGTTCGACAAGATCCGAGATTCGCAGACTATCTCCCTCGTGAGTAGGGCTGTTGGTGGAAGAGGCACAGCGCGAAACAACGCTTCCCAATGCGTGAGAGCTTTCAATACTCGATGGACGAATGCAGATAGGGGTCTCTCGATGGGGAAGCGTAATATTGGAATCTGAGGCGTAGCCTTGTGAGCTAGGCCCATCCAGAGTTCAACCCAACCACCAACATTGAAGATCTTATGCGCTGTTTATCCAAGATGAACGTTCTCATTTTCTCGAGATGAGAGAGACAGAGAATGCGCTGGGTTTCCACGCTAACACTGCAGTCCCATGCGCGCGTGGTAATTGACATTTGGCTGCTCACGTCATCGCTCATAGTCGGATGCTCTCCCGTGGTTGAGCTCGGGATGCTAAGGCAGAAACCGCGTGGTTCGCATGGGGCGCGCGGGGCCTGCAGGCGCGCCGTCGCGGCTATGCTGCGAATGCCACTAAATATACACGCGCCAGCCGCAATGGGTATCGCTGGCGCGGACGCTGGATTACTGGCTTTTGTAGAGGTGGGAATACTGGCAGTGCATGTTGCATGATGTGGTGTTGTGTACTGTAGGGCAGGGACTGCAAAAATGGTGATGCAATATGGGCTAGTCTCTTGTTGGGCTCGGAAAAGCACATCGGGGCTCTAGCAGTACTTGTACAGTGGGTCGCGTGTTGCCATTTTCTTACACGTCCTTGCATGCTCATTTCGGCAATGTTGCCTTGTGGTCGGCGGCAATTGATGGATTTGACAAGGTTGAGGATGTGTGGCTAATGCGCTCACGTGCGCTCTTGTAATCCATGGATCGCAATGTGACCCACGTGGGAGAAAGCAGAATGTATCGGGTAGTCTCGCTGGCTTGAGTGCGATTGCCGCTTTTGCACAGGGCCAGGAAAGGATCAACTATGTGTGAATCTTGATGATCGTAAGAGTAGACGGTGAGGCGATTTGGATAGTTCGTAAGGATGGACCTGATCGTCTGAACGCGCAAGCTTCACCCCACAACCCCTTATTCATGCGAGGATCATACCATAATATATACTGGAAGGCGGCGAACTGCTGAAGCGGCATGAACCTTTAAAGTGGATATCGACGAGGACGAGTTTATGCGGCTGTTGATCGCTAACGGCTCAACAGTGCGCCGCTGTTCATGCGTCTGCGTCTGGGCGAAACCAAACGGTGAATATAGGGCTGATGGGTATAGATAGGGATGCGGGGGAGGTACTCATAGCCAAGGCTGATATATGCTTTGAACAGAAAGGACATATGGTCTCGAAACCAGGTATAAGATGTCAAATGCCGCTCGGTAGCATGGTGACAGCGTATGATGGATTGTCATGTTTCGAAACGTTCATGCGCTATAAGCATTTTGTTTCAAGAACAGACGACATGCCATGCTGAGCTCAGTCGCAAAGAGAGATGGCAGTAGAAAAAGATGGGCGAACAGCTGGTGTAGACGTGCCCGGGAATGAGTTATAGGAACCACCATAAAGTTGTCCGTGGTGGTTTCGTATTATACGTTTACTCGTCATAGGTAGCGATGCCTGTTGTCGCTGTGTCATGCTGAGAACATACTGCTGGACCACGGAGTTGTCGAACACCGACTTGCCGCGAGCAAACCCATGTTGGTACTGGTACCGTCTGGCGGTTCTGGTGACCGGTACACGCTAACTGCAAACATTGGATGGGGAGCCGACGCGTTGCGAACGCTCAAACCTTGGAATGACAAAACCCACGTGCAATAGATGCCTCGCCCATGTTATAAATTGGCTGACTCATGAACATAATTTCAGGAGGATCGAAAGCGTTCTGTCGACCGAGATGGGGAGTGTATTTCGATGAATCATGAAACCGGAGATAATGATACCTGCGTCAACAGACGTCAATGTGGCTAGCCGATTCATAGTGTACCGTCGTTGTTCTTTGGTTCTCGAGTATAGTCATCAAACTTAGATTCAACTTCATGAAACTTGAATTCCAGTCGTGCTTGAGTGAAGGTAGTCGACCAGACTAACGTGACGACGAAGATCGGACGTGGCGCAGATGGGCAGCAAGACGAACCTGAAACGAGCATTTGTCGAAGGGAAGAGACGGTCAGGCCCGCGGGGTCTTAGGTTCGGCCTGTGTAACCTCTTATGGTTTCGTTCTCGCCCTGCCATCGAAAGCCGGCAACGAAACGAGAGGACGCGGATGGGAGAATAGATGGTGAAACGGAACCGGCGTTGAGTGTAGTCAGGACAGGAAATGAAAGAGGTGGAGCTCAGCTGCCACAAGTACACAACAAACCACCAGCACCTGGCCAAAGTAGCTGCCACAAGGTGGGCTCAAACGGGCGTTCGTGGTCGCACAGGCAAAAGAGGGCTCAGTACGGCAAAGGCTGGTTTCAGATCATCGGTAGTCGTGGTGTCCGTCGCTCTCCCGCAAGCTAGGATGCAAAGCAATAGAGTATAAACGCGCGAGTTGGTGGGCGTGAGCATGACAGAAATCGATATATCGAAGGCTCCCGAGTTGAGGCTGCCAGTAGACGGCGTTGTTAGCAGCGCGTTGGTCGCATGCGGGCACAGGTCGCAGCTGCAGATTGGGCGAGGCATGGGCTGGCTGCATGTCGATATCAACATGTCAGGCGGGGAGAAGCGTGCAGCAGGCGCACGAATTGCGCGGCGGCTGAAGGACGCAGGTCAATCAAAAGATAGATGGAGGTGCATCGTGGATGGCGGATGGCAAGCAGCCGTCGCGGCGAGCGACGGAGGGCGGGTTGGTGGGAGCACGAGGGGGCAGTGGCGCTTTCCCGAAATGAAGCAGGGGCGACCGGCCTCACGATGCGGAGCTAGCGGCATCTGGCACCTGCAGACGTGGAGCTCGACGGGAGACGCTCACCACGGCGAGCACGCAAACCGGCAGCGAGCAGGCAGGCCTGGCGTGCGGCAGAGGCACTGCTGAGAGTTGCGGCGTCGAGGCTCGCGCTGCAGGTGCGCTGCCGGCGATATTGAAGCACGCAGGGGATCCTTGCGTGGTTTTGCGTGGGTGTTTGGACACAGCCTGCTCCCGCGAAACACGCTGGCGGCGCACACTGCGACCAGGTGGAAATCACCTGCACCCGCACCGAGCACAGGACGGGCGCCCGCCCATACAAGGCCATGTGTCCGCTGCCTGCCCGCCGCCGTGACTCCTGTGATAGCGAAGGCAGCACTGGCGGCATCTCTGTTCTGTGTTGTGTCTTCTGAAGGCGAAGCGCCGCCCGCTCTCTATTTTTGCGCTATCGAAAAGCGGCGCCCCGAATTTCCCGCTCTGAGGGCGTGGCCGAGCCTAGGGTGCCCGTTTGGAGCACGACTCCGCAAGGCACCGCTGCTAGCGACTCGCTGTTCTGGTGGCCCCCTGCTCAAGCTCATTTGGCGAAACTCTGTCCGCGAGGCCTGGGCGCGCTGCTCGCCGTTGTGCTAGTCTCACTCTCCTCTCCCTTCCTTACCACCGCCTTGCCGACCCACCACCCTCTCCTCACCTCTCGACAATCCTCGACCGGCCTGCACTACAGCACTCGTCGCCGTGCTGTGTGCGCCTCTTCCGCCGTCGCACTCTCCCGTCCCTCTCCCGCCCCTCGCCTCTCCCTCCTTACGAACCGCTGCTTACGACTGCCCTCGGGCTCACGCTCTCTTCGTCCCTCGCGCTGCAATTCGACCTCCTTCGTGCTTCAGCCATCCAGCACTCCGCCGCCGCTCCTTCACCGCAAATTGCTTCCATACAGCCTTCTCCCGGACGCTTCGCAACAGGCACGCAGCCCGTCCATCAGGAACAAACGCGCGAAGCCCACTGTTCTTTGTGTCCGACGATACCCAGACCAAGCCACGTTGATCTCGCCAAGGAATTGCTGCGCCCAAGTCCTTGTTGCTCATTGACAGCCCGACGTCTGCCATCCCCTTGTTGAGACGACGCTATAGTCCACTGCCGTGGCACTGGCAGTTGCCCTCGCGAAACTAGGAATCGCTCGTCCAAACATGACGGCATAGGCCGACTCGACGATTGTTTTACTCGCGTCGACCCGGCATCTGCGCTGTTCAGGGCATCGTCGTCATTCTAGCTGCACTGCCAGCTTAGTGAGTCTCTCCAGGCGTATTGCTGCAGCAACGGCGCAGTCACCTAACCCGCGCGCAGGTCCACTCATTACATTTTTTACCCTTGATTCGTCAAGTCCACTCGTTTGAATAGCGTCCTACAGTATGTACTACGATGCATTGTTGAAGCTCGTCTGACATGACTAGACTCGGTTTCGGAACTTAGATATCCTAAGGATACAATACATATTAAGCCTTAGTGATTGAAGATAATTGTAAATATGCCACGATCTACCACAACATGGGCCCTGGCGCTGCTCGTTTCCAGCATGGCTGGTCCGATGGTGGCCACGGCGGACGCTCTGCCAGCAGATCCACAACAGACAAACATGCGCCCACGGTACTACTTCCCGCGCCATGTCAAGCGACAGTTTGCGAACACGACCGAACCGGCAGCATCATCAGAATCAACGTCCGATTTGGTTTTGCCGCCTAGTTCAACACCCAGTCCCGACCAGTCGCAATCACGGGACGTATCAGACATATTCGAATCGCTATGGCATCTGCGCCCTTCATCTCCAGAAAGCACTGAGACCGTCGTAGTCTCGCCTTCACCAATCACTAGCCCCGGGGATTCTGCATCGGAACCAGCTTCTACCACGCCCTCCGTGGAGATACCCTCGCAACAATCATCGAACACCGAAGTTGGCTCGACCCAACCCGTACCTGCCGATCCTGTTCTGCCCACATCATCTTCTACTTCGTCAGAAGAATCAGTGCCGCCAGTATCGAGCGTTGGCTCCACTGGAGGGTTCTCAGTACCCGTTCTCACGCCAACTCCCTCGCCTACACCGAGTTCCATCGAGACCACTGTGCAGGAACCTGCTACTCCTGTCGGCTCTACCGATGGAGTACCTGCGTCTCCTGTACTTCCCACGACAACTGCGCCTAGGCCGATCGAACCTTCAAGCTCGAGCGAAGTGGTACCATCGAGCTCTAGCAAAGTAATCCCTCCCTTTGTTGAATCTGTTGGCGGCGATCCCTCTTCAGTTGTGACACCCACGACTTCTGCAACGGAGGTCGTTGCCTCGACAGGTGGCATTCCATCCTCCGTTCTCCAGCCTACATCTTCCTCGGAGAATGTTTCAAGCGAGCCTGTTCAGTCCAGCGTTGCTTCAACCGGTGGTATCCCATCGTCTGTCCTTGAGCCTACGACGACCTCGGCAACTCCTATTGCGAACGAGCCTGTCCAATCTAGCGTTGCCTCTACTGGTGGTATTCCGTCCTCGGTGGTTCTGCCCACCACTTCTGACAGCGCGCCTGTTCAATCCAGCCTTGGCTCGGCAGATGGAGTTTCCTCATCAATCGTAACCTCTACCCCTGTTGAGTCTGTCGCTTCGACTGGAGGAGTTCCTTCTTCTCCGGTCCAGCCTTCGTCTGCCGTGTCTTCTGATACTCCCGTTCAGTCTTCAGCTGCAGGCTCTACTGGCGGTACTCCCGGGACTGTCGTTTCACCAAGCGCATCGCCTATCTCGCAAGAGCCTAACTCAGCTACACCGACTACGATTCTGGGGCCGTTCATCATTCCAGGCTCGACTGGTGGGATCCCATCTTCGGAGCCACAGCCGACCCAGTCGCCCACTGTGCCAACCAGTTTGGATGGTACCTTTGGCCCAACTGGCGTTTTGCCGACCGGTATTTTGCCCACTAGTATCTTGCCATCGGAGAGTGCTACCACGCCTGATCTCACAGGCGAGTCGCCTCTGCCGACCGGCGTTCTGCCAACAGGGGGCTTGACTAGCCTCACTGGTGATTCGCCTGTGCCCACTGGTTCTTCACCTTCCGACAACATGCTGTCGAGTATCCTGTCGAGCCTTACTGGCGAGCTTGCTTCTGCTACCGGAATTCTGCCGATCACTTCGCAATCAAGCGTGGACGAGAGCCCCCTCGCGACTGGAACGGCTCCTTCTGCCTCTGCCTCTGCACCTGAGCCCACTGGCTCTGTTGGCGGGGTACCCAGCAGCGTTGCTCTCCCTTCTAGCGACATCAGCTTCACCTCTGATATTCCGCTGTCATTGCCCACTAGTGGAATCGTTGTTGGAATCACCACTGCATTTGGCACGGGTGATATCAGCACGGCTGCGACACCCACAATCAGCAGTGTTGGCGCCATTCCTACTTCAGAGACCCCCAGCGAGACAGAACTCCTTCCCGGTGTTTCCTCGCTCCTCTCCTCGGTGGTGTCTGACGTCACGTCTGTTCTCTCATCGGTCGTATCTGATGTTACCTCGGTCCTCAACCCTACGGAACCGACTTCAAATGGTGTACTACCTACCACTGCTTTTGGAGTCTCTGACTCAACGGTTGGCCCCACTGCTCCTACTGCCACTGTCATGCCCACCTCGGAGCCTACCCTCCTACCCAGCGAGACTCTTTCACTACCAGACGTCTCTAGTGTGATCTCCAGCATCATTTCGGACGTGTCTAGCGTACTCTCGCTCCCCACCGATACGTCTATCCTCCCGACTGGCACTGGTATCATATCGTCTTTGCTCCCAACGGAGACGTCCCTCCTCCCGACTGGCACTGGTTTTCTCTCTTCTTTGCTTCCAACAGAGACGTCCCTCCTCCCAACTGACACTTCCGTTCTCCCGACTGGCACTGGTGTCCCGACGTCTTTGCCCTCCGCGACCACGGACACCATCATTTCGATCCCGACATCCGAGACATCTCTTTCGGGATCTACAGATGTGCCTACGTCTACTCCAACGGGTGTTGCCACTACTTCCGGCATCACTCCTTCGGGATCAGTAAGCGGAACTGGGGCTGAGACTTCTACACCACTGCCCACGGGAACGGAGGTGACTACGTCTTCGGCTCCTGCCGAAACGGGTGTCACCACCTCCGTCTCCTCAGGCACTGGCTCTACAGCTGTAACGAGCAGCCCATTGCCGTCGAGCGAGCCTACCATCCCTACCTCGGAGATCAAGACAACGAGCCCGACGAGTGCTCCACAAGCATCCACCAATACGTCTGCCTCGCAGTTGCCGGAGACCACATCGATCAGTAGCTCTGCCACCCAGAGTAGCGCTCCTGTTATGACTCCGCCTCCCTCGAAGACGCCACCGCCAAATTCCATTGTGCCAACCGCCACCGACGACGCCACCACCTTGGTGGTGCCTTCCAGTATCGTCTTTGAACCCTCTACTCTCAGCACTGCTTCACAGAGCGCAATGCCGAGCGGTGTTGCACCTTGGATCCAGCCTCCCAATGGCATGCCTTCCGAAGTGCCCCAAAACATGTTCTTGGGTCAAATCGCTTTTGATTATGGTCTGAACTACAACTTCGTGGCATCAAGTGGCGGCAGTAATCAGATCTTCACCTACTTGAGGCAAGCTATTGCGCAAGCCGTTGGTGTTAAGGAAGATGATGTCATCAACTACGGTCTCAGAGCTGCCGACACCACCCAATACAAGGGCTGGGTCACTACCCTCGCTGTTTTCATGATCCCCAAGGACAAGAACACCACTCTGGAGGTCCAGCTTGGACAGCCCGCGTCACTCTTCTACCACAATGTAGACGACGTTGGTCAGCCCCGCGACACCGTCAACCAGTTGACGTCTCTCGTGGACCCCACCTGGCCTCTAGCTTATGGCAAGCTTCCAGAAGGCGCTAGCAGCCCTAACACGGATCAGAACAACGCGTCTCCAGGTGCGACCGATGACAGCGGCCACGGTGGTGCCCTCCCTGGTGACACCACCGGCAGTCGCAAGATAAACCCCACGAGCGCTGGTATTGCCACTGGTGCTGTTCTCGCAGCTGTTGCCTATGGTGCTGCCATGTTCTTCGTTGCACGTCGATACAGGAACAAGAAAGCGGCCCATCGTCGATCCAGCTCTGTACCCAGCACAAGCCGCTACACCTACGGCTCTGTAGGTGGCGGCAACTGGATGTCAGGCGCTCGTAATGGACGATTGACCCCCACCGTTCCCGGTAGTCGAGGTAGCCGAGGCAGCAGCAGCAGCAACGGTCGCAGCATCCGAACGCAGCAGATCTCAGCCCCCGTCATGGCAGAAAACTCGCTCGGCTGGAACTGATCCCGTCCATGCGCATCCAACACAAATGAGTTTACGCGCTATTGTATCATATTCAAACGGACAGGTCACGCCTTCACCTGCCATACGACATTAGAGGGTCCCTTCGACCCTCCACGTGTAATTATTTGGCGACCATCTAACTGGCGCGCCTTCCGACCAGGCTAGTCAAAGCTGGCACCGGCCCGCTCCAGGGATATTGTTTGCATTTTACTGTTCGGACACTCTCACTAAGAAACCTACCATTGATATCTCTTTTATTACCTGACAGATCTCGGATCTTTTTCTTACCTAGTACTTTTTTCCGTTCTTAGATACCTGTCTATGCTGGCAAGCTAGATATTTGCTTTTGCTTTCAAGGTGGAGATATTGTTGGATACGTTTGCGGGATCTAGCTGATGTCGAGCATTTCGTAGCATCTGCATGGAGAAGGATCATGAAGTAGGCAGAGCGGCTTGTGGGGATGTTGCACGTAAATATTTCGAAGTATGTGGGGAGAAGAGATGAAAATGAAAAGTCAAATAACATTCTGCGCATGACATACATCTGTGAAATCTACGAAATCGAAGACGGCCTCCGCAACCAAACCATGATAATGTTGTAGAGGGCTTGCTTCTCAGACAGAATGTGTCAGTCTGTATGAACGTGAACGAGTCTTTAGGTGGATCGATTAGCTGCATACATACATACGGACTACTGGTAGAGCTCACTATAGGCAGTCCGTCCGAAGGTCGAGTTCCCCTTCTTAACTCTGTGAAGTGATGGTGGACTGAGCGGTGTAAGGCGAGACTTGCCTTTCGGGGAAGGATCCACCTGGTCCCTCGAAGTCTTGGCAGGCAACACCGATCCCACATGTCCTCTGGGGCTAAGCAACGGAACCGCAACTTGTCAATAGCTTCTCATCCACCAACAGTCCTCTGTTTTGCGACGAATTTGTATTTGCAAGGCGCAATTCTCCAACTGAGTCCTAAACCTCCGATTCTCGCGCCGCGGCGGGCTTTAAGTAGCCACGTCTTTCTAAAAACCACCCCTCCGCTCAAAGCCCACCACAAGCTCTCGCAATGCGTCTAGACGTCAAGGTACGGCACGCTGTTTAGAGGTGCAGAATTTTTAAGGAAGTCAGATCTAACGTGTGTGAAAACACAGAGGCAGCTATTTGCGCGGTCTGAGAGGGTCAAAGGTGAGCTTTCGCATGTGTTGCGCGACTAGATAAAGCTAACACGTCGCAGGGATTGGTATAAATCACACACTCTAGCTTCATCATACTTGCTAAACCCTTCGAAGACTTTCACCCTACCGAGCCATGGATTCTTACGACACTATACAGCGGTACGCATGGGCGGAGTGCTACGATGAACTGGGCGCATACTGACGGGGGCCAGGACATGTTCACATATGGTCCTATGTCTCGCAATCGATCGTCAAGACATTCGAGCTCTGCGATGTACCTGTCCGAGCAGGTCGCTTCATTGCCCGGAAGAACTGGATAGTCGCTGGTGCGTCGCACACACATTATCAAGTTGCAAGTATTGACGATCGCATGCAGGCTCGGACGACTTTAGGCTGCGCGTCTACAATTACAACACTTCCGAGAAGGTTACGGAATTCGAAGCACACCCCGATTACATTCGTGCGATTGCTGTGCACCCCACACAACCCTTTGTCCTTACCGCGAGCGTGGGTAGTCACCTTGGACTAAGTGAGGGACAGTGCTGATATCTTGGCAGGATGATATGACAATCAAGCTGTGGGATTGGGACAAATCATGGAAATGTGCGTCAGTTGATGCAACGCATATTGGCCTCACTAATCTCTTGCAGGTGTACAGGTATTCGAAGGCCACGGACACTATGTTATGGGCATTGCGATCAACCCAAAGGATCCCAACACATTTGCTTCAGCGTGTCTGGACAGAACAGTCAAGATATGGTCGCTGGGTAGCTCAACGCCAAACTTCACGCTCGAGGCGCACGAAGCCAAGGGTGTGAATTTCATCGATTACTACCCTCAATCCGACAAGCCATACCTCCTCACCACATCGGACGACCGAACCGTCAAGGTGTGGGACTACACAACGAAGGCTCTCATCGCCACTTTGGAAGGCCATACCTCAAACGTCAGCTTCGCGGTCTACCACCCGGAACTTCCAGTTATTATCTCCGGATCTGAAGACGGTACCATCAAGATCTGGCATTCATCAACGTACAGATTAGAACAATCGTTGAACTATGGTTTGGAACGCGCATGGTGCGTAGCGTACCAGAGAGGCAAAAACGGCGTGGCGCTGGGGTTTGATGACGGCGCAGTGGTTATCTCCATGGGCCGAGAAGAGCCAGCGGTCAGCATGGACGCTGGAGGAAAGCTACTCTGGGCAAGACACAACGAAATCCTCACCGCTGTGATTAAAGGAAACGAAAGCTTGAAGGACTCTGAACGGCTCACCCTCCCGAACAAGGATCTTGGTTCAACCGAAATATATCCCCAATCGCTCCTTCATTCTCCGAATGGCCGCTTCGTCGCTGTATGCGGTGACGGTGAATACATCATCTATACTGCACTAGCGCTCCGAAATCAAGCCTTCGGCTCAGCATTGGATTTCGTCTGGGCTTCCAAAGAGCACGATAAGGACTACGCTATTCGAGAGTCATCCACTAGTGTCAAGACTTTCCGCAACTTCAAGGAGCGAAGTGTACTCAACGTAGGCTTCTCTGCCGATGGTCTCAGCGGTGGAGTGTTGCTCGGTGTAAAAGGACAGGGTGGCATTGGCTTTTTCGACTGGGACAGCGGCGCTCTGGTACGCAGAATCGAGGTCGAGCCGAAGAGCGTTTACTGGTCGGAGAGTGGCGAATTGGTCACCCTTGCAACAGATGACACTTTCTACGTCCTCCGATACTCCCGAGAGAACTACCTAGAGGCTGTACAGAACGGTGAGGTTGATGAGGACGGCGCAGAGTCAGCTTTCGAAGTTGTGTGCGATATCAATGAGAGGTAAGATCTAATTGATCCCGACAATAGGAGTCTGTTGCTGACCAGATAAGCGTCCGTACCGGTACCTGGGTAGGAGACTGCTTCATCTACACTAACAGTACGAACCGACTGAACTATCTTGTGGGTGACCAGACCTACACTATTTCACACTTCGATGCGCCACACTACGTTCTTGGATACCTTCCCCGTGACTCGAGGATATACATCGCCGATAAAGATGTCAATGTGGTGTCTTTCGCACTTTCTCTTGCTGTGGTTGAGTACCAGACTCTCGTATTGCGTGGCGATCTTGAGGCGGCTGAGGAAGTTCTGCCGTCAGTACCAAAGGACCAGAACAACAAGATTGCGAGGTTCCTCGAGGGTCAAGGCTACAAGGAGCTCGCACTTAAGGTTGCCACAGACCCAGAACACCGCTTCGATCTTGCCCTGTCATTGGGAGACCTTCAGCAGGCCGTAACCATCACCCGCGAGCAGGATACAGAGCACAAGTGGAAGACAGTTGGAGACGCTGCTCTGAGCGCTTGGGATATCACCCTGGCGCAAGAGTGCTTCGTGAAGGCGAAGGATTTCGGTTCATTACTGCTTGTCTACTCCGCTACATCGGACACTGACGGTCTCCGCGAACTCGCTTCCCTTGCTGAAACGGCAACCGCCAACAATGTAGCATTTTCCGCTCTGTGGCAGGTGGGCGATATACAAGGTAGCATCGATCTGCTCGTCAAGACCAACCGGCTGGCCGAAGCTGTCCTCTTCTCGCAAACGTACAAGCCCAGCGCGACGGCTGGGCTAGTCAAGCAGTGGAAGACTAGCTTAGAGAAAGAGGGCAAGAGCAAGGTTGGCCGGTTGCTCGGGCAGCCGCCGAGCGGGGACGAGGGCGACGGGGAGATGTTTCCTGAGTGGGAAGAGTACTTGCGGTTGGAGAAGGAGGGCGGTACAGTAGAGGACCTCCCGGCGGGTGAGGCAGAGGTGGAAGAGGATGCGGATGGCGTTGAGGAGGAGATTGCTGATGACGCGGAGGACGAAGAAGAGGACGAAGAGGATGAGGAGTAGGAATCCAACTCATATCCGACTCTAGAGGACATGGAGTTGGATTCCATGGCACCGGTCTGAGAGCCTCCAATGAGGGAAGTTCACGTAGAAACTCGGTTTGGTGGTTTGGAGAATTCGCGTGGGCCTCTTTTGATGTTGGATGATAATGGTTATGAGCTTCGTCTTTAGTAGTCAGAGCTAAGCCTTGAGGGTGGACAGAGGAGTGAAAATGATTACACTTGTTCTAGAAACAGCGAGTCATTGTTATACTCGGGACGCAAAAGCATGCGCTGTCTAACCCTCTCCTTTCTAGCGGCACGTAACACCGAGGTCCCCGAAGTAGAGAGCAAATACATGCGGTCGTCAAACACGACGCCATTATATACTGTCGATGAGCAGAGTCCCAGCTACGCTCAAATCTGTACAATCAGAAGAAACACTCCCTGGCCATATCTCAGCCGTTGCTGGACTGGCCTCGCTCTACCGCACACGCACACCCTCAGCATCATGGTACGCACTGTCCCTAAACCTCTCCTCCCCGCTTTCCGTCCCCGAGCTACTTGTCGCATCGCTCTCCTCAGTCATATGTATTCTCCTTCCACGCTCCTTCACATTAACAACTTCATCTGCAACATCATCCAGCTCATCTACTTCCCTCAGCCCCCTCCCCCTCCCGAAAAAGTCCTCCGTGCGTAGACCCCGGACATCTCCCGGGTTGACGCCTTGTCGTAACCGCCCTTGAGCCTTCATCTTGCGGATGTACTCGCGCACGGGACCCATGGCCGCGTCGCGACACGCTTCTTTGATGTCAGAGCCGGACATGCCCGCAGAGACGCGCACGACGTAGTCGAGGTCGAAGTTGGGGGCATCGATTTGCGTGCCGCGCAGGATGAGGTTAAAGATTTTGTGGCGCTGGGACGCGTTGGGTAGCGCGACGGGGAACTTTTTGGGCATGCGACGCAGGATGGCTTCGTCGATATCCTGGATGCGGTTTGTGGCGCCGAGAATGCATATGCGTTGGGGATCGCCGCTGCCGGAGCGTGTGGCGCTGGTGAGGCCGTCCCACTGTGTCATGAACTCTGCTTTGACCATGCCCGAGGCTTCATGCTCGCCGCTCCGCCTCTGCCCGAGAACAGCGTCGATTTCGTCAATGAAGACGATCGAGGGTTGCAACTTTCGTGCGAGAGAGAAGACGGCAGACACGAGCTTGTTAGAGTCGCCGTACCACTTCTCGGTTATGGTACTGATGTGCAGGTTTATGAAGCAGGCGCCGGATTCATGGGCGAGGGCTTTGGCGAGCATGGTCTTGCCGCAGCCGGGGGGACCGTAGAGGAGGACACCTGAGGGCGCGGACAGAAGGGATGAGGAGTGTGAGTAGAGGTGCGGGAGGGTGAGAGGGTAGATGACGGATTCTTTGAGCTCTTCGATTATGGGGTCGAGACCACCGATGTCTGGGTACACTCAATCAGTTCATGTTCAATGACAGTCCCTCATCCATGCATGCTGGGTGTAATGTAGGGGATTTATAATACCGTCAAACGACACGGGAATCTCCTCGGGCGCGACAACCTCCATCGCAATCGTCTGCTCATACGCCGTCAAATTGAGATCTTCTATCCTCGGCCTATCGCCTCTCCTTCTCCGCTCATACTCCTCGTCGCTGTCGCTGTCGTACCCATCGCGTGCTTTGTTCGAGAGGATCGCGCCGAGCTTGCGGTTCGCGGCAGATGCTTTGCGCTTTGCTTCTTCCTTCTGTTGAGCTTCTGGATCGAGCCGAGCGAGGAGGTTTCGGATGACGAAGTAGGCTATTAACGGCTACACGTTTCTATCAGAAGATGTTACGGCCTAATTGTAGGCATGTGCTGCACGCGAGAAGCATGCACGGGGCAAAGTACGTACGGCGGCGGCAGCCATAAGGATGTCTGGTAGGTAGCCTGTGAGGCTACTCTTCTTGTTGGAGCTCATTGTGTATTATCCACACTTCCGGCCCTTGGTATGTGGGGTAAAAAGAATGCAAAGGGAGGTCCGCGAGCGAAGGAAGGCGAATGCGTTGCAACCATGTCGTTGTTCCACTCCCGCACGCGATCGGGGAGCGCCACACGTGGCGCGCGCGGCCTCGCTCCGCTTTGAGCTTCCCTCGTGTGCTCCACCATCTGAACTCTTTGCGACGAAAGTTCAGATCCACCAAGCACCATGGCGGCGATATATAAACCTACGGAAGCGATACAGCTTCTTCGACCAGTCACTAAACGACCAATTAGCTTTCAGCGAAGACGGGCGGCGCGCGTAGCATTCTCTACTTCCCGGCCCACACAATCAACACAAACGAGCAAAGGTCCTCTGGAACCCAAGAGAAGAGCAGTCACAATCGCCAATGACACGGGTGCAGTACGCTGGAGCGAACTCTCGCCCGGGGAGAAGGCATCGCGGACGGTCCAGCAGTCAATGAACCTCTCTATAGTCGTGGCCGGCATTGTCATGACAGTAGGCATTCTTTACATCCCTTCCATTATCTTGACTTACACAATCAAGTGCGGCGTAGGCTACTTCCTCTTCTCCGACGTTTTCAGCCCCGACTCCAAAACCGCGCACTTCAACCGCGCAACAACCGCCATCCGCACCTCTCCCGAATGCCAGCGCCTGCTCGGCCCCGGCAGTGAAATCGCCGCTCACGGCGAAGCCTCCTGGAGCCGCTGGGCGCGCAACCGCTACATCACCTCCAGCACGGAAACAGATAAGTGGGGCACCGAGCACTTACGGTTTAGATTTTACGTGGAGGGACCGCTGGGACAGGGTGTGGTCCATGTACATCTGACGAAGAGGCCCAGTCAGAACGAGTACGAGTATCACACATTGGCGGTGGATGTGAAGGGGCATCAGAGGGTGTATTTGGAGAATGCGGATGAAAAGACAGGGGGGAAGGTTGCGCCGAAGATTTTTGGGGCGCGGTGGTGGTGAGTGAAGTCAGGTGGAGCTGTGCCAATGTGATGTACGAAAGAGCAAGCTTCTCAAGAGACGCGCATTAGGCGGTGTAGAGATCTGCCAGAAGCGCATCGCTTAGAAGGGCTTCAAAGCGTCTTCCCATCTACCGGACTCTATGTTCAGAGTTGGTTTATCAATGGCAGCTAGGTTAATATCTCGATCCAGGCTTTCTGGAACAAAAGCACACGGGACAACGTTGGGTATTAGGCGCGCCATTATTGCGTTTCCACAGATTGATCACACTTCTTAGCAATGCATCTAAGCGATCCGAAGATACCTAGGTTGCTCTCCCGTCGTCGTGTTTCCATGTTGAATAGTCTATGCTGGGGTGGCTTGGCCTTTCTATCACTCATCAATCTACGCGCGTGCAACGGGCTAGCTAAAAGTGTAAATCAGTGAGGAGTCAGTAAAGCCCACAAGAAACCAGTATAAACAATTGCACTTGCATTATCATCAAGACATCGCTATGCTACGCAATGCTATGTGCTGGCCGCATAGGACGAAGCTAATACCTGAACTCCAAGTGATGGACCCCCTAAGGAACCCGCCTTTTATGCCCATTCCGGTAGATTACGCCGTACATCGAACATTTCAACGCCGAAGAGACATGTCAGTCACAAGGTTTTCCCCGTTGTGAGAGAACTCAGCTCTCTCGCTCCGAGCTGCTGCGGAACTTGCCGCCTGAGGCACGGTCGTACGCCCGCTCGCTACCCTTGCAGTGCTTGACGATCCAGGGGTGCCTCTCGACGTCTTCGAGGGCGATACGCTTCTCTGGATCTAGGACCAGTAGCTAATCACAACGATCAGCGTTTGCTTCTTTAGCGTATACAACAAACTTTGCTTACCTTCTTGATCAGATCTCTTGCTTCAGGGCTCACAAAATTAGGCACAGTGTACTCCCCCCGTACAATCTTCCTCTGCGTCATAACCTGCGTATCCTCAAACGGCGCCTCTCCCACCAAAAACTCATATGTCAGCACACCCAAACTCCACAGATCAACCTTTTCAGAGTAGAAGTTATCTTTGCCCCTTCCCGTCAGCATCTCTGGTGGGAGATAGTCGAGCGTGCCGCACATGGTGTTTCTCCTGTTGTTAGGCGCGTGGACCGACCAACCAAAGTCGGATATCTTAATTTCGCCGTGGATACCTACGAGGATGTTCTCCGGCTTGATGTCCCGGTGCATGACGTGCTTCTTGTGGAGGTACTTGAGGGCGGCGGCCATTTGCGCGATGTACTGTGCGGCTTTTGGCTCGGGGAAGCGCTGCTCGCGGCGCAGATGCTTGTAGAGCTCACCTTTACCGGCGAACTCGAGAATGAGGAAGATACGTTTAGCGTCATGAAAGTGGCCGAAAAGTCGGAGGATGTTGGGGTGTGCGAGGTGAGATTGGATTTCGATCTCGCGGCGCACTTGCTTTTCGACCTTGCCTTGCTGTAGCTCGTTCTTGTGCAGGACTTTGAGCGCGCAGACGAAGCCTGACGAGCGCTCCTTGGCTAGGTAGACACGCCCGAACTTGCCCTTTCCAAGAGGCTTTCCGATCTCGAACATGCCCAAGTGCCATTGCTTAGTAGTAGTGGACTGAGAGTAAAGTGCAGATTCCGTGAGTGTGCGGCGGTGTCCTGGGTTCCCGCCGGGTTGTGTTGATGAGGCTGTTACTGTGACCTTTGCAATGTTCCCGTTGACTATCTTTGCTGAATTCGATGCAGCGAGTTTCTGTAGTGGCATTTTCATTCGGTTTGCGGCTGATTGTGAGGCGGAGAGACCAGTTAACGATACGGTGGCGACAGAAGCCTTGGATACCGTTAGGGATGGTTCAACAGAGGGTAGGGCAAGAAGATCGTCCTCACCTTTGCTTTGTGATAAGTAGCATGGTCGTCGTTCTCGTCATTGACAGTAATGCGCTCGAAAGCGGCCTCGAGGTTGGTAACGTCCATTGTGTCTGCTGAAATACGAAAGGATGCAAGGCGGCTGGAAGGCAAGGCGTTGAGTAGAACAGAAGGAAAGCGCAGATTGGAACTGCGATTGAATGCAGACAACTGTACTGCGTCGGCCTGGCGATGTGTGAGTGGGCTTGAGGGCAAAGCGGCCGGGCTGGGATGGATGTGTTAGAACCAGTACACAAGCGCCGTTGCTAGAGCGACACAAGCGATGCCCGCTCTGGGGCTTGGAGCTTTCCGAACCCCACCCCCCGCAGCTCAAGCTGAGACACTTTTCTTGCGCAACCTGCAATCTCCACTGGTTCACGCTGGATCATTTGTCGAACTGCTACCTTCGAATCTGTGCGAAGATGTCGGCGCTCAACGGCGCACCGCCCGACACGACTGCCCCGGGTCACGCAGATACATCCGTCACCAAGGATGGCTTCAAGATCACCACGCGTAAGCTTCCAATCTTGAAAGCCGGACCGATCGACGAGATGACGAAGAAGTTGGGAATTGCGCCGCCAGAGATGATATTCGGGGACAACTTCATGCGCATCGAGCATACGCCCAGCGGCTGGCGCATAGATTTCAACGCCTTCGATGCGCTGGATCGCGTCGACAAGACGGGAGACTCTATGCTGAAGGTGTCCTACTCGAAGGAGTGGCAGCAGAATAGGTGAGTATTCTGACGTCTAGGCAAAGCCGATGCGCATACACCTCCGGGGAAGTCCTGACATCGCCAGACAAAAGCAATTCGAGGACATCAAGGAGGTCGTCAAGCCCTTCGATTGGTCCTATAGCACCGACTACAAAGGCTCAACCCCAGAAACACCTGCCCTCCAACCCACCGATGCCCCGATACCGCTCGCTCTGCTCAAGCGCCCCGACCCGATCCAATTCTTCGACGACGTCATGCTCTATGAGGACGAGCTCGCGGACAATGGTATCGCCATGTTCTCTTGCAAGGTTCGCGTCATGCCTGCAAGGCTTCTGCTCCTAGCTCGTTTCTTCATGCGGTTAGATGATGTGGTCTTTCGAATACGAGACACCAGGGTTTTCGTCGAGTTTGCGACCGGGGAAGTGATAAGAGAATATACTGCAAGAGAGGAGAAATATGAGACGGTGCGTAAGACACTTGCAGGTACTAGGGAGGATGTGCTCGCTATCATGAGAGACCCAAATCGCTTGGCCGAGTTCATACCCGTGATTGAGAAGTCTTCGGATAGCATTGTTTTGAAATGAGCGAACAGTCCGCCGGACCGCAAACCACATCGGCACACATGTACCAAATAATACGCGTTTACCTGGAGAGAAGTACTGCTCTGTCAGGTCGAAACGCCCTGGAAGTTGCCGATGCACAAGGCGTATTCGATATATCAGACAGCCTCAGCAAGGTGTACGGAGATCGCCTAGCCTCTTGGGGTGGCAGACCAACTTGACAATCTTCATAAAGGAAGACTATAGAGCACGAGGGACGACAAATCAAAGAAGGCACACTCCACACAAGACAGTGTTCAGTATCGATGGTTTACCCACGAGATATTGAGTATAACAGCTGTCATTCATCAGGCATGTGCTTGGAGGCGTCCTACTCTCAAAGGAGAACGCTCCAGAAAAGCTGAGAGGTCTGAAAAGAACTGTGGGCGTAACAATAGAAATGGTACGGGGTGTCAAGGCCGAATGCTAGCTCCTCCTAACAGCTATTTAGAACAAACGGCGAAATATAGAGAAGTATCTATAGGTTCTACATCCGCTCTCGGCAGTAACATAGTACAAAATGCAAATCTATGGGGAAGAACACGAGGCATCGAACACGTATGCCCTGAGTGCTTCCCCTCGTACCAACCCTGCTTCTTCCAATGCCAACGCAGCAAAGCAATCCGCCCTGCTGCCTCTGCCTAGGCATCTACCATGCACTTCACTCTATGTGCAACGCCCCTTCCAAGCTTCCCACAACGTCAGGTGGCCTGCGTCATAGCTAGCGTGCGGTTGCCCCACCAATCCAAACCCCGCCAGTCCAACGCCTCTGCCCCTCGTCTCCAACAGCTTCCCTTCCTACATTGCTTGCCTACTCTTCTACCTGCCCATCTACCATTCTACGCCGTCTTCTACACGCTCGAGAATGCCTTCCGCAAAGTTCAACGAGGTCTACCAGAAGACCCGCGAGATCAAGAGCGGACCTAGCAACGATGATTTGCTGAACGTACGTTCCCATCTCTCGATCCTTTCCTAGACACAACGAAATATGCTTTCCCCGCCTTCCATACCGAACTTCGAGAGTCCTGGGAAGATGCTGACAGTGACAGTTGTACGCCTACGCCAAGATCGCGCAGGGCGAGAACATCGAGAAGGCGCCCAAGCCGGGCATGATGGACTTCACCGTACGTGCCTTCCAAACCCTTTCCGCTCTACGCTCGTCTGTTCACATGACTACTTCGTAAAACTAGAGCTTGGAGTAGAGCTGTTTTGGGATGAACGGAACTGACTGACAGTTAAAAGGGCAAGGCCAAGCGCAAGAGGTGGCAGGAGGTCGTTGATGCCGGTACCTCGCAGGCCGACGCGGAGAAGAAGTACATCGAGCTTGGCGAGTCGCTGATCAAGACGCACTTGAAGTGAATGCATATAGATGCCTGCCGTGAGCGGGTGGAATGAAGACATGGCTGCAGAAAGACACTTGTAGGACGACAAATGACACGACCTCGAACCCATGCGTTCATGTGCTGCGACTTGTTTTCGATTTTGAGCTACATACTCCGTTTTTACACGAATTGAACTGCTCGAATTCGTATTCATATCTCGCCGTTCTATGATTGTGATGGCCCTAAGGGCAATGGCGTACGCTTTGGTCTTTGGGGGGGCTCTGTGGAGAGACTAATATCCTTTCCACACCCTTCCCATCCAGTCCTCTTCGCTATCCGGCATCGTCGCGCACCAAGGAACCTCGCCTGCTTTATACGGACTCATCGGCAGATCATACGGCATGCGAAACCCAATCACTGTTTTCCCCTTCCCCTTTCTCCCACCATTCTCTCTCTCGTCCCCCTCCACCAGTCCAGACACATCTCCAGCCTGCAGCATATCCCTCCCAAACACAGGCACCATAACGGCGTCCTCATCTACACTGAACAGTGCAGGCCAAACCACAACCCCAGTCTCATGACTCTGAATCCATACCTCCTCCTTCTTATTCTCCACCTCACCCCACGCCTGCTTACTCAGGTTCGCGCTCGTGACCATCGCCCAATCTATAGTTTGTTTCTCCACATCAGCAAAGCGAACATAAGTCTTGATATGCGGGGCCGCAGGACCGCGGTGAGCTTCGCGCCTCTCCCTTGCGTGGATGGTATAAGTAGAAGCAGAGTCTGGAAGAAGGTCCTGATACTTCCAGTGGCAGAACAGAGGACGTAGGTACTCGAGTTGTTTCTGCTGCGCAGGTGATTGGATTTTCGTGTGAATCGAGGCGCCGGAGGTATAGCCGTCGAGGGAAGTGCGGATTTCGGGGGCGGTGGGGAAGATGATGTTCAGCTCTGGCTCTGGCTTCTTTTTGGAGTTGAACGAGGCTTTGGTGAAGAAGGAGGATGCTGGCGAGGAATGGTTTGCAGATGCTGTGCGGTTGAGCACAGAGTGGAAATGGTTGAGCCAGGCTGGACTCGCGCCCAGTGTGGCTATTGACGAGATTTGAACGACGATGCTGGGAGGAAGCGGGGTTGCTGTCTTCCTTACTGGGATGGTTGACAGTATCTCCTTGAGGCCAAGCCAGCCGAACGATGTCTGTACGGATGGCCTCGCGGCATTAGGTGTCTGACGCGAAGGTGCACTTGCTATAAAAGCAGCTTGGATAGCTCTGAAATCGTACTTGGTGAGCTGCTCCGTCAGTCCATTTAGTCGCTTGCCGTATGCATTGAGATAGCAGAGAAGATCTTTCTTGAAGCGACCGCCACTGCCTATAGGTAGCGTAACTTCATCGGCTAGGGAGACCGAGGTAATGGACTGAAGAGGCACGAGTGGTGATCGCCATACAGCTTGCGTCATGTTGGTCCAGTCTCGTTGGATCATGTTTGCGGTATGAATGACTACCTGAGCGCTGTCATCGTGCCGAAGTAGAATGAGCATCTTTGAGTGGTGCGTGCCAAAGGGGTCTGGCATGTAGGCTGATATGAGTTGGATATTTGGGTAGCGCTTTGCTTGTTCCTACAGAAGTCAGATATCAGAACACGAACGTGTGTAGAAGATTGATGTATGTACCAGTAATGCAATCCTCTTCTCGTCTTCGTTCTTCCAGAATCCATGCACGATTTTCACATTGACTGTTTTTTTCACGTCCGTATCAAATTGATCCCTAACTTGGTCAGCCCCAGCCCTGAATCCGTCAAGCACTAAATCATATTCAGTGTGCTTCTACAAAGCCTGCCTCTGCCTCTGCATCTCAAATCAACGTATCGCATAAAGACCGCCAACTACAGCCTCTCTAATAACAGTACTCACATGACGAAATCCAGATCAAACAGGTAGTTGAAATTCCAGCATTCCTTGATCAAAGGATCTCCCAGGATGTCCTTCGGTGCCACCGTATCTATATTTTGCCATGGCGCTAGATCTCTGATTTTCGTGAGCTGGAATGGCGACGGGTAGAACTTCGTCTCTTCGTGGTCTATCTCTTCCTCAGCCGTGCGCGTTTGTGGGGTCTGCCCGTTTGTTTGTTCGGTCACGTGCGCTTTGGTCTCCGCATACGGTATTTGCGGTGTCAAGGACCACGGCAAACGCTTCCTTCTGCGGGCGACTGGAGGACTGATAGGTCTTTGTAAGCTCGCAGAAGTACCCTCGCCCGCAATGTCTTCTTCTGCTGTTGAGGGCGGCGGCGTGGCGTCTGTGGTGATGTCAGTTTCTAGCTTTCGCCTCTTGCTTGGACGGCCGTTGAGATCGTGCTCCGCATTCATTGTAGCTAGATATGAGGTTCTGGTAGCTCAGGTGAAGTGGAAGTGGAAGGTTCCTGTGCGTAGAGTAGGGTTGACGATGGGCTCAGGTGCAAGATGACGCTTCCGGATTAGGCGAGCACAAGCAAGGCACCAACGACCTCGAGGTTCGCAGTGCAGTCAACCCACGATAAGTGCGTCATGGCGAGTTTACATCGACATAGCTGGTCAATTCAAGACCGCTTACTTCTTACTTAGGCTGTCCAGACTGCGGGTTTTGCCATCCTGTGTATTGTGACGAGGTCAGCGGCGAGGCTGAACGTCAAGAATGTGTGTTCATTAGCCTATAAAATCACATTGTGCAGAGGAAGATCGTTCATGTCATGAATGGTCAGGGTTGTGCGATCTATACTGAAAGTAAGGCTGGGTCTGCCTAGCCAACTTTTGGGCACTGAAGCCACTGCCATTACAAATCGGACCCGTATGCCGTCTAATCGTGGAGAGGGTTCGAAAGCCCAAGCGAATGATTGAAAAAAAGAAAGGGAAACATTGCTACGCCGATACTAGGTGTAGACATCCCAACGCCGAGTCGCTTATGATGTGAGTCGAAATAGATTATCTAAAAACACGCTTACGCCGCGCTTGCGCTGACGATAGGCTGGTGAACCTTTGTGGCCTGGTTACCAGCCCGGATGATCGGGTTGCCAGCCTCGTCCTTGGCGATCTGGACGTCCTTGTTCTCCTTCTGAGCGCGCTTCCAGATCTCAACCTCACAGCCACCACGGATAACACCAACCCTCATGGTGGAGAGGAGGTTGTGGGCGGCATTGGAGTGTAGATAAACACCACCGTTGAACATGGCGGTAGCGTCTTTGCCAATACCACTGCTGATGAGCGCCTTGCCGCCAGGGTGTTCGGCAATGAAGTCGGTTACATCGTGAACGATACCAGCAACAGCGACGAGGCCACGGCCGTTCTTAGCCTGCTCAACGTAGTCGTCCCACTCGATAACAGGGAGCTGTTCGAGAGGAACACCCCAGTCGAGCTTAGATCGCTTCTGATCGAGCTTCTTCTGTAGCTGTTGAACGCGACCCTTCTCAATTTCATTCGAGCGGAACTGTTTGAGGTCGTAGGCGAGGCCGAGCTTGCTCCAGAGCCAAATGCTCCACTTGGTGGGATCATACTGGTGCCACTCGATGGCATTGCGGTAGTCAGAGGGAAACTCGTGGTGGAAGTTGTGGTACCCTTCGCCGAGAGTGACAATAGCAGTAATGACGTGATCCCTGGGACTGTTACGGTCGTCGAAGGGCTGGTCGCCGAGCCAGTGAGCGAGGGAATTGACGCAGAATGTGGCCTGCTGTACGAAGAAGATGCGGAGGATACCAGCGTAGATGAAACCACCAAGCCAGTCACCCCAGCCAAGTCCAGCGACAATGGTCGGGAATATCAAACCCATGAAGAAAACGACCTTGAGGTAGTTCTTGTGTTGCCAGACAACAACCGGATCTTCGTTCAAGTCGGTGATGTCGGTACGGCCGATACGCTTGGGATTCTGCTTCATGAGCATCCATCCAAAGTGGCTGTACAGAAGGCCCTTGCGAACACTATAGGGATCCTTGTTCGTGTCCGTGTAGCGGTGATGGGCGCGATGGTCACGGCTCCACCAGCGGATGGAGCCCTCGACGGCTCCGCCGCCCACGGCAGCGAGAAAGATCTTCAGCGGAAGAGAAGCGTTGTATGACTTGTGTGCCCAGAGGCGATGGTAGCCGGCAGTAATGCCGAGACCGGTCCAGAAGTAGTAGATGACAGCCCAGAGGGCGGTCTGCCAGCGAAGCGGGGTCCAGAAAGCGTAGGCGCAGCCCATCAAGGGAATGCCAACAATGAGGAAGACCTAGTTGCCGGGTCAGGGATGATCAATCATGTCGGTCGAGTGTGTTTTGAGCTTACATTGAGCCAATTGACGTGCTTGTACCAGTTGCCCCTCGTAATGGGAAGATCTGTTATGTGCGGCTTCTTGGGGTCGTACTTGGGGTTGCGGTTCGGCTCGGCTGTGCTAGCCATGGCGGATGGCTGCGAGACAAACTGAGGGTCGATGGCCATCTCGCCTGCGACAGGCTGGTGGGAAGGCATGGTTGTCGTGTGCGGCGGTTGGGGGCGAAGAGTTCTGTAGGGTGGGAGAATTTTCGCTACAGGAAGACGCGCCGGTCGCCTGTCAAGGTGTCAAGTCCACGCAGGGACTGTTTGCCACGCACGAGGCAATGGTCTCGGAGGGAGGGAGTTGGGAGAGAGGGAAAGAGGGGTGAGGATGGAGGGAAGGTGGAAGGCAAGCGAGGCCGACAATAAAAGGCGGTGGAATGTCGACGCTTGGTGGAAACAACCGGGGTGAGGGTCGGAAATGTTGAACCCCCAACGCTGCACTCGTGCCCGTGCCCCAAGCGAATGGACCGGGACCTTGCATCCAGCACTTTCGAGACCCCGAGCGCTCGGCCTGGCGCATCTTGCCATTCGCTCGCTCAGGGTCGGCTTGGGCGAGTTAACCGCGTGCAGAGAATTCTGCCCTTCCGCCGTGCGCACCCCGCCGATCGCAGCATCGAGAAGCGTCGATGCGTGGCAAAAGTCAGTGCGTGAATCGCCTGTCCGCTTTTCTCTCCAGAGCATGGCATCAAGACATGACGGTAACGGAATTGCCAGGCAGATGGCTTCGATCCAGCAGTGCTAGCTAGCTCTGATGCCCGCCTCCACGTCTCACGCCACGCTGCATCTTCAGGGTGGTGATGCAATCGAACGCGCGGTAAATCGGCAGTGGTAAGCATCGAGAAGCGAACGCAAGACGCAGCAGTGCTTCTCGCGCTCCACGCTCAACCCATCCGGGATCAAGCATCGCCAACCGGCCACGGGTACACGTTTGATCCACTGCATCTTCCACGGCTCATGCGAACCATGCCGACTTGCCATGGTGTTCGCAGCTTCGTGGTGTCGTCCCGGGGGCCAGGGCCTTCGCAACCGTGACCCGTTTCCGTTAGTCTACAACCGAAGGCTCCCAACACAGGCTCAGCCTTATCGCGTACTGTGTAGCGCTGCCTGTTATCAGCCGTCAACACTTCTACTGCGCGCATATCACAGGCATTTATATGCCTTCTTTGTATGCCTTCTTACCTGCCTCGGTTTCAGATGATGCGTTGTGACGCCGAGGTGCCTCTTGCCTAGCTCAGATGTGAGGGAGCTTCCTTTACCACAGCTCACACACCAAGTTAATCTTCTCAACGCGTGCTTCGAGAGCAAGTTGCTGTCAGCTATCCGTCGCCCGTCTTGTACCGACCGTTGGATTCGTTAGCTCCCTTGCAGCATCCCTCGAATGTCGTGAGTGACCTTACAACTTGCTCTGTAGACACCCAAGTAAGATAATGTTTCCACTGTAGAACGTCATCACTAAATACATTACCTTGGAGTACAAATATCAAGTATGCACATGTGTCAATTGTCAGACTTTCAACACACCTCGTTGCAACGACGAGTGTTCGTAACAATCATTAGCCGTAGCGCAACGAGTCAAGTACTATGCGACAGTTTGCTAGTAGACCATCTGCGGACGCCGTTCCCCGAGTAGGAGAACATGAGGTCTTGTCGGAACCGAGCGGAGACAGCGAAGCTGGATTCGAGATCATCCAGTACTGCAACTACCATAGGTAGATGAGGTCTCCGGCTTCGCTGCGTGGGATTTGTAACCCACACGAGATGTCCTCCACATCGGAGACGCCCGGATCACGTGCCCTACATCCTTTAGCGACGCGGAGTGTGGTGCTTATCAGCCATGTTTGTTAAGCTTTTAGCAACATCCGCATCCAAGACTAGACTTAGCTCCATGTACAACCTTCTCTCGCGGAGAACTCGATGATGCTGGCGGAGGATAGCGATGTTGTCGGCGACCTCCTAAGATCGCCCTGCATCCGGAACGTTGGTCACAGCATACACGACTGTTTCTTGCGATAACAGGAAGCCTATGAATGCCTATGCGTATTGCTTCCTGTTTCTCCCTATGTTCTTGGATATCTAATCTTGCGCGGAAACCCTAACCCCTAGATGAGTCTCCGCAATCGCAAACCAGTCACGATAAAGCCTTGTCGAACAAGAATCTTTAAATAATCAAACTTGCATCATTGTTAGGCTATCATCATCCCGCATCAGCTCTGCAGCTGCCTTTCACACCTCGACACATGCACTTCCTTCAAGCGTAACACCCCGGCATCTATTCGGTATCGAAGGCCAGCCCAACCCACACGCGACCTTTTAATTTCCAGTGGCGCACGACGCATCGATTAACGTTCGCGTTCGCCAACCACATAGTTAGGCAGCCGGTTCAGCCATCGCTTTCGTTGCCTTTGCCGTACGTCTGACCGACCTTTGGGTCCCGTCAAGAATTCGACGATTTTGTCGTTTTGTCGGTAGCGTTAGCCGCATGAGAGGCTAAAATATTCAACAGGTTCCACCAAACCCTACTCAAAAGTGACTGCCACAACTATGGCTATACCAGATCGTATTGGACCAGATCACGGCCCAAAACGGAGCATTGATCAAAAAGCTCGCCGCTTGCTGAAGGCCTTCACCACAAAGTACGCTATTTCCACCTCGTCCACTCCCTGAAACTAACAATGCATTAGGGACGGACTCATTGGGCGTTATGACTATGCATTTCTGTTCAAGCCAAATCTCCCTTTCATGAAAAAGGAACGAAGAGCGGCGCCCTTTTTCGGTCTCCATGATCGCATGCCAGTTCTCCTCGCGCTTCTTCTCGGTTTCCAACATGCCCTTGCCATGTTGGCGGGCATCATCACGCCGCCCATTATCCTTGCCAGCTCAGCAAACCTAACACTGGAGATGCAGCAATACCTAGTCTCGACTTCGTTGATTGTATCCGGAATACTCTCTGCAATTCAAATGTCGCGCTTCCACTTCTACAAGACTAATTATTATCTTGGCACTGGACTCATCTCGGTAGTCGGAACATCCTTTGCGACCATCCCCATCGCCACCGGAGCGCTGGCACAGATGTACCAGACAGGATTCTGTCCGATTGACGCAGATGGGATTAAGCTTCCTTGTCCGGATGGTTATGGAGCTATCCTGGGCACGCAATGTGTCTGCGCTCTGCTCGAAATCCTCATGTCCTTCACTCCGCCCAGGATCCTAAAGCGCATCTTCCCTCCTCTAGTCACCGGTCCCACCGTTATGCTTATCGGCGTCCATCTCATCGAAACCGGTTTCAAGAACTGGGCGGGTGGTTCGAACGATTGCGCTGGCAGACCCGAGACAGGCCTTTTCCGACTATGCCCTAACATCAATGCACCTCACGCGCTTCCGTGGGGAAGTGCCGAATTTGTTGGCCTCGGGTTCAGCGTTTTCATCACCATCATCATCTGCGAGCGCTTTGGTGCGCCTATCATGAAGTCCACAGCTGTCGTCATTGGTCTGCTCGTCGGGTGCATCATCGCTGGTGCGTGTGGATACTTTGACAGGAGCTCCATAGATTCTTCGCCAGCTGCTTCCTTTATCTGGGTGCATACTTTTAAGCTCTCGGTATACGGGCCTATTGTGTTGCCTTTACTTGCCGTCTACATGGTTCTTGCTATGGAAGCTATGGGCGATATTACTGCTACTTGTGATGTCTCGCGTCTGGACGTCGACGGCGAACTCTTCGATTCACGTATCCAGGGTGGCATCCTCGCTGATGGACTCAATGGTACGTCAACTTTCGCTTGGATATTTCAAGAATGTCTGCATCTTCAGCATACATGAGCTCCTTAAAACTCCTACACCCCTCTAACTCCCCCACGCAGGCATCCTCTCCGGCCTCTGCACCATAACCCCCATGTCCGTCTTCGCCCAAAACAACGGTGTCATCGCCCTCACCCGCTGTGCAAACCGTAAAGCTGGTTACGCCGCCTGCTTCTGGCTCATCGTCATGGGCGTCTTCGCAAAGTTCGCCGCCGCGCTCGTCGCCATCCCGTCCGCGGTCCTCGGCGGCATGACGAGCTTTCTCTTCTCCGCTGTCACGGTGTCCGGGATAAGGATTATCAGTACTGTTGAGTTTACGAGGAGGAACCGGTTTATTTTGACGGCGGGGTTGACCGTAGGGTTGGGTGCGACGTTGGTGCCGGAGTACGTTCTTTGTCCTCTCCTATTGCTCTCCTCTCCATACTGACACTTCGTGTAGCTGGTTCTCCTACGTGTTCACCTATTCGGGGCCCAATCATGCGCTCCTGGGTTTCTACAACGCCATCGTGCTCATCCTGGAGACAGGCTTCGCGATTGTAGCCTTCATCAATCTCGTGCTCAACTTGGTGCTGCCAGAGGAGATTGAGAATGAAGAGATGCCGGAGTTGACGGCTAATGAGGCGGATGAGTTGGCTGATAGGGTCGAGTGGGATAGGGTCCAGAAGGGGAACCGGAGCGATGAGGAGGGAGCTATCGAGGCTACGAAGGGTTAGTGTAGATCAGGAATGGGGATGGGATAGTCGGTGGCGGGGATCGGAGATGGTTTGGTAGACTATTGCATAGCATAGCGGAATTTGTAAAGAACGGTTTTCTTTTTTTTCCTAAAAAAAACCCTCCTCGATACCACGCTCAGCATATTCGAGAGGCAGGCACACATTAATAAATAAAGCTGAGGTTGGCCTTCTTTCACAGTCGAGAAGCAGATCCATCTTACAGAACGCTTGTTTGATCCCGATTAGTCTTACCATATCGTGTTGCACACGGGACGATGCGTGAAGGTATGTGACCACGCTCAACCGATACAGAACATGGATTGGGTAGGGGTCTACTTGCATGGTGCCCGTTCAGGTCACGCTCAGTAAAGTGCTTCTACTGATTCTTACACGAGCCTCAAGCGAAACAAGTTCGAGAAAGCGATCAACTCAACACTTGTTAGGGTATTTACATTTAGTGTTCTCTTTAGCGTTTGGAGCTAAGATGAGTTAAGGAGCACTTCGTGCAGTCAAGCGCACTGTAGATCTTAGAGTGACCTGGAGCACAATGCAGCTGTGAGGTTCGGTCCCAGCTGTTTGTCATTTCCATAATTCTCCGGACGGACTTCTGTTGGGTAACAAGAGTTTAGAGAACGGTTCTATCTGTAGGATGTACATAATACGGATGTGACTGGGACCTTACTGTTGCTGACGGATCACCAAGAGGCAAATTGGCGGTAGGGGCGATGAGATTAGTAACCGCGTCAGGCCGTGGGCCCTATGCTCTGCAGAACCTGGGGTTAGCTTTGAGTTCGTCGAATCCAATGAAACATGACACTCAAAGTTTCTCGATCTGTCGTCAGGACGCTCCTGCGCCAAAGCAGATTGAAAACATGAGACAGTCCACTGACTATGTCCACAGAAGATCCTCAAGGGGTAGTACTTTCTAGTCTTCGTGTTGATGGGGTGGACGGATCAAGATACCGTATGTAAGGTGGCACCTCCACTGTACGCATCCGTTCGGTTAGAGCTTCGTCTCGTTGTATACGAGGACCAGTTAAACCTCTGTTGCTTTCGGATCTCTGACCGACAAACGTCCCAGCTAGTGCACCATCCTGGTTAACAAGAAGAAAAGGACCCAGTTTCAAGCAGTGAAAGCTGTATGTAGGGCCGCTTATGTCTGCGTTCTGCATGTAAGCCGACTAATGCAGGGCGCGGATCCGGAAGTCGTGAACCAGCTCCCCGTGTCCTGGGCGTGGGAGTCGCCAATAAGGCAGGCTGAAGGCTATGGAATCTCTGGTGGTCAATGGGGCTGGCTCGGGTTCATGCGTAAGAATCAAGTTGTTGCACACCCTCTCGAAGCCCGACGGCTTTTCGAAGCAGGCTGTTCCTGGCTCTGGCGTCCACGTACAGGACCTCTCGTGGAAGAGGGGTGTGTCTGGGCGGCCTCTAAAGTGGCGCTAGTGGGAAGGAGATCGGCCGATGAGAAGAGGCTGTCGGTGACAAGTGAAACTGTGAGACGCGAGTCGACGGGCAAGCGATGGTGAAGCTGTGGCTCCGGCCCGACTGTTCGCGATCATGTGCGCTAGGAGAGTTTCCCCAGGACTCGCTCGGGATGGTCGCTTGCGCAGTGCGCACAACATGACGAGGGCGCTGGCGGTGATAGCTCGGTGTGGCTGTCGGGGTGGTGAGAGCGCGACACGGGATGCGCCCGACGAGGATCGCCCGCTAAGGCGCGTTGGGAGGCCAAGGCACGTGTGTGGTGGCAGAGAGGGCGGCGCGCCAGACTCTGATTTGCCCGCAGCAGATGACGGCGAGTTCTCAGCAACAAGTGCGGTGGACGACGTCGTCCAGTCTCTGCTGTCGTTGCCCGCGACACGACTGCACATTGCAATGCCATTCACGGGCAAGACACTAGCAGCCGGTGGCGCCTTCCTACCCCACGCTGCACCGTGCCTGCCTTCCGAAGGCGCACCCTCCTGCAGACCAGACCGTGCCATTGCAACAGTTACAAAGTCGGTCCACAACGGCCACAGGGCCAGGATTGCCGCACCCCACGAGTCGCCCGAACCAGCCTGCTGTCCGGCCGTTCTCCACTTTGATGCCGTTGGCACCTGTGCGCTTTCTCGCCCCGTTTCTCCCGAACCTGTTCGCTGACGCCGTGGCGCTTTTTCCTTCCAGCACGCCTTCGGCACCCTCGCACCCTCCGCACTGCGCCTGCGCCTGCTCACCCCGGTCGCTCCTCGCGTCTCGTCTTCGCTCTGCGCCGTTTCTGCAGCATGCGTCTGTGAGCACAGTTGCCGACTGACCGCACTGGGAAGGCTCCATCGACAGATCCTGCGACAGTGGCCTCAGCTTCGCTTCGTTGCAGCTGCTCTGGCTCTGCTCCGCTGACCTAGCACCGGCATTGCCGTCACAACTGCCTGGCCGGGTGTTCCTGTCGTGTCCACGGTGCGCCTCTAGACTCTTTCGGGACCTGACAACAGGCCGTCCAACGTCGCCCCTCCAGCGCCACATCTCTTCCTACTTTGACAGGTATAAGGGACGTGTCTGAGGCACTTCCGGTAGACTCTCGCTTCACCGCCCGTCCCAGCGAATTATTAGATTCGACATAGCCGGACCAAGGCGGGAAGTGACCAAGATACCTATAGTCCAACATCCACTTGCCTTGTAATCATGGACACCACCTTTATCACCATTCATGGTATGTTGTCTCGCAGGAGGATTGTATAGGGTCTAGCTTACAACAACAGACCTCTCAGAGCATGCCCACATCCTCTACTCTTCAGACTCAATTGTCGACATCCTCGGACACACGCCGGACGAGGTCGTCAACAAGTCGGTGTGGGACTTCTTCCACCCAGAGGAGGTTCCTGTAGCAAAGCAGCTCCATGACCGAAGCGTGAGGCTGGACAAGGCTTCGGTCTTGTCATACTGCCGCATCAAGAACCGTCAGGGCGACTGGGTCGGGTGCGAGTGCTGCTTCTCTATCGTCTACGATGTAATGGTCTGTTGCACTTCTATATATCACCAAGGAATGAATAGCCAGAGTAAGCAAACCACGCTACGCAAATTCTGCAGCTCTAATCTGACAACGCAGAACGTGCGGCAGAAGCCCCCATCGTGCGGAAGCTGTTTTCCTCCTCTCCCAAGGATCCACGCTACCATATGCTGTCGCACTTGTCCAGCAAGTTTACGCTTGGCCCAGAGAGCCAGACGCATGAACCGCGGGCTGCGCTCTTCCTCAATCGCTTCACTCGAACCTTGACCGTCATGTATGCCACTAATGGTATCGAGGAGATTCTTGGCATACCGAGCGATGAGATGATAGGACGCAGCTTCTACTTTTGCATCGCCCAGAACTGTCTGAACGACGCAGTCAAATGTTTGGAGTCGGCCAAAGGCAATGACTCGATCGCTTATCTGCGTTTCTTCTTCCGTGACCCTCGTCAAGACGATCCCCCGGACCCGTTGACTTCAGCTTCAGAGAGCGAGGACGACGTAATGACAGACATTACGTCTTCCGAAGACGAGTCTGAGACTTCAACGACCAATAGAGACACGTCCCTATCACGCGGCGAGTCTTCAAACAGCCGCTCGCACGTATCCAATAGTATGGACACCAGCGGTGGCGAGGGCTCCAATTCGCGAGAAGCCTCGGGAAATCTTGCCGACCGCTCGAACGGTTACTCTGAGGCTCGTTCAGCTGGCTCTTCTCTAGCAGCCGGCTCGCCTTACTCGGATGCACGCGACGAACCTATCGAGCTCGAAGCTGTGGTTTCCTGCACCTCCGATGGCCTTGTTGTGTGCCTTCGCCGCGCCCGTCCTGTCCAACCTACTCCTACTGCGCAACCCGCGGTCAACAATGGAGTTTTCGCTGCTCCATGGGCCCATCAACCCATGTTCGCGCCCGCTCTGCCTCAGCTTCCACCATATCCTCTTGGTGCAATACACCCTGCTATGACACAGGCAGCTCCTCCATCGGCGGTGCAAAACACCTTCATGCAAGCCATTCGCGATGTTGCAGTCTTCGCATGGGCCTTGGTCGGGATTAACGGGAGTCTCGCAGAATATGCAGACTCCAGGAGCAAACCTGTTGGTGAAGCTCAACCTCCGGATGGCTTCCCCATTTGGGACCCGAATCCCGGACCAGGAAATAGAGACAAAGATTCTATGGCACCATCGGGCTATGCTTCGGGCTCTGGAAGCTCTTCAAGCAATGATCCCTATGGCTTTGGTGACCCGGGTCTTAAGTGAGCCAGGTTGCCAGTATCACCAGCCTCTACTGGGAATTTGCCCAGGACGCAGCTGGCTCGCCGGGACGCCGCTTCTATCAGTCGTCCCCAATATGTGCATTCTTCTGGGCGAACCAAAAATGCACGTTTCCGTCAACTTGTGAAGCAACGATGTGTGTGAAGCGTTAAGTATGTCTATGATTTATGATCGTTCCCATAAGAGATGGATGTTACGAACCTGATTATCCATGGTTTACGAAACCACGCTGGAACAAGCGACGTTCTCTTCTGATCGAGTCTTTTACAGATAGCCAAAACCGCAACAATGAACCGCGGTATTACAAACCACAAACTTCATCAACCCTAATATTTTTCTCCATTCCACCCCTGGGATCTCTCGTATAGTACCTTCTACCACTAACTAACTTCACCTTCTCCCTACGACAAAAGTACCAACCCCGGGCCTACCACACCTCCCACACACATATTGAACACATGCAGCCCCACCTTCTCGCTCCCCTCCCTTCTCAGCAGCACGTAGCAGTCGCTGGCCCCATTGCACAAAAGACAAGTCACCACGACACCCGCCGCGCGCCTCTGCCCCGTTAGCAGGAGGGTTAGGAGCGCTAGGCCGCAGGTAATGTTGCGGCCGGCGAGGCCAGGGTAGAAGGTTACGGTCTCGGGGGTGGCATTGGGGACGCCGAAGAGGGTTCGGGCGGCTTGATGGATGTGGGTTAGTGAGGGATTGAAGGAGTGAGTGGGGGAGGGAGGAAGGGGACGGACGCACTGTGAAGTGGGTGAAGAAGGCCGGTGATGCCGGAGTAGAAGAGCATGAAGCTGATGAAATAGCCCAGTCCGATGATTATGGTGAGGAGCATGATTGCTGTGTATATGTATGTCGGAACAGGTTCGACGTGCTTTGGCAATGTCTCTCGGTCTTCTTGGTTCGAGCGTCACGATGCAGCATTTTATATCTAGCCAGGATGCATGTGCGGTGACATTCTTGTCTGTGCGCCTGCAGAGGTTAGTCCGCCCTCATCGTCAGTGCAGGAACAGGCTAGTCACGGCCAAGAGTAAGAGCAGAACATTGGACGGAGACAGGGTTGGCACGTCTTGGGGACTCATGCCTCGAGAAACTCGGCTAGATACCGAAACTGTGCAGACTAAGTGCGTTGCGAGAAGGGATCGAAATCAACGCGCAAGTTCGACGATCAGCAGCCCTGCGATGATGACATCGTTTTTGAGATGGTTGCACCCAAGAACACATACCAAAGACATCACTGACAGCGCAAAAGGACACAATCATACATGGGTAATCTCTTTGATACCATTGATCTACTCGCATCCTCCACAGCAACTCAAAGTGCTTGATGATTTAAGCTCACGCCTAGACCCTCATTTTTCGTCAGTGCTCATAATCCATAGCCCAGGCCAGCGCCGCAGTAGCGGGCATGCAAATCCAAAAGATAGGCCGTTGACATCCACACTTTGAAACGCCACTCCAGCCGGTGCACTAGCGAACCGCAACGCCAGTCCCCCATTTCAGAAACAAGCTTAGACTCAAAAGCCTTTCTCGTTAAGGCCACAGAAAACCCATTTCTAGAGTGAGCTCGTAGCGCGGACCACACGCTGGGGAAGAATCGTAAACAGAAGAAAAGGCTGAAAGGAAGGCCGGTGAACACATTATATAATGTACAGTTGAAAGGGCGGAAGCAAAAAAAGGCGCTCAACGCCCACTACCCGAGCGCCTTGCGGTTGTAAAAGACACGGATAGAAGCAAATCGGCAAGCGGAGAACTTTGCGTTCAGGTACTAGTAGAAGAGGTCGTAGTCGCCGTCGTCGCCGTCGTTGCGGTGGGTTTCGTTTCTTCTGCGACCGGAGGTAATACCGGGTCCACGCTTTTAGCTGGAGGAGAAGTGTTGTTCGGCAAGCTCGCGTTCGATAAAGTAGGCGAGCTGGTTGACTGTGTAGGGTTGTGCGGAGGTGTTCCAGATGCGGTTGAAGACTGCTGGGCCAACTTCGCACGCCTGCTCGTATAGTCACTCAGGCTGAGCTTCTTGCGCGCTGGACCAGGTGTGACGGCACTGGTCACTGCTGGGGAGAAAGGCGACAGAGCTGCCCCAACACCACCAGGCGACTGCGCAACAGCGCTGCCAGTGATAGCATTGGGAGCTGCACCGGGAGTAGCGCCAGCGGTAGACGCAGGAATTATCAGTGTAGAGTTCGGCATCTCTAAACGCATCTCGGTAGCCCTGGGCTGTTGCGCGGTAGGGGCAGGATCAGCATCCGCCGACGCGGTAGACGGTGCCCACGGTGGCGCGGGCGGTTGTATAGGAGGATGTGAAGTTATAGGAGACCATTCTGTGCTTGGTGCATCTGGCAATCCCTCCATCTTCGGCGTGGGGGGCTTAGGTGCAGCTATGACCTCTGCATCTCTCATGTCGACATCGACTGAAGGAGCTGGGGTGGGTTCTTCAGCTGTGGTCAGATCTTGCGGCTTGAATTCAGTCGCATTGGCCGTAGATATGTCCATGGCCATAGGCTCCTCTAATGGAACTGAAGGAGCATTAGGCGAAGGCTTGCTCGACGTGACATCCTTCAGAGCTGGCGAATTCATCTCCAACTTTACAGATGCGGACCGTATGCGCTCCCTCTGTACCTTGTCGTCTTGCGCTTGCTGAAGCAGCCTACGTTTGAAAGAGATGAACGGTCTTATGGGCCTTGTGGAACGGGCTGGCGTATCTATCGCGAGCATTTTTTCCTCAGTCTGCGTAGAGCTGTCTACGTACACTGGTTTCGGTTTCGATGGAACACGGCCGTTCGTTCTCGACGAGCCACCCGAGGCTTTCCGTGCGACGCCATTGCTATGTTCGCGAGGATGACGTGAAGACGGCGACGGTTCATTGTGACCGAGCTGCTTCTGCGTAAGATTGTTAGCTTCAAAAAGCGGTGGACGTGGAGGGCGGCTTACAGAAGACGAAAGGCCGGGCGTATTGAGTGCCGACCCAGCGCTATGCCTCTTTCCCCGTTTCCCCTTGTGCTGCTCGTCATAGTCCATTTGCTCGAAAAGACGTTCCTGTTGCTGTAGCTTGCGTCTCTCCCGCTCAGACATCTTTCCATTACTCTCGTCTAACGAGAAATGAGTAGCGGGTGTAATATCGCGACTACTGGACTTGTGCGAGCCTGATGTTGAGCGGCTGTCGCCGTTTTCATCGTCGTGAGCATCGCGATGTATGGCTTCGCTCCCCGCACGGCTATTTGTTGCATGGCCGGTGCTTAACGGGGACACTTGAGTTTTCTTTGTCTTTCGTCCCTTCGCAGCCTTCGAAGGCTGCGCTGGCTCCGCATAAGTAGTAGCCGTGCGCCGAGCGAGCTGCAGCAGACATTCGTGACCAGATCCGTTGTCGCAAGCGCACCCGCCGAAGTTGGCGAGTACGCATGCAATCCAGGGCTGAATCTTCTTGAGTCCCTCTTTTTTGATGTCGCCGTTTGTGACAACCTTGACCAGTTGCTTCATTATCGAATCGTTGATGTTCCACCCGACTGTAAGTTCTTCGCCCGGCTCTATATCTCGTGTTGCGAGGAAACAGAAGTGAGCACCACTCTCGGGGCCTTGCGTTAAAATCTTCATCTCCATGTTTGGGTTGCAGCTCCTCCTAGCATACCGAAGTATTGTGCCTTCGTACCGTGTGTCAATGTATATGGGTAGGTGCGGAGGAAAGAAAACAAACGGTTCTGGGTGTTGCAAGAGTTGCCAACGGTTTGCAGGGTCATTGTAATAGTCATCCTTCCTGCCAATGCGGCCTTTGAGTTCGCCGATGAAGCCTTCTTTAGCGACAGGTGTTTCTACAATGATAAGGTGCCATTGAGGGTGCAAGCCGTAGGCTTTTGTATTGTGGTCTTCTTCGGTCTGCTTGATAACGACCGGTGCGAGAGACTTTTCCATGTCCTCGATCGACTGATCGATCCGCTGGAACACATCGGCCGGGGTTTTGCCTTCCGTCGCCTCAGCGAGTGCATCGCGGTCGTTCAGCCACGACGCAATATCGTTCGTTACTCTGAGATCGGTGAAGGAATTCGTGTCGGTCGAAGGCGGCTCCGCTTGTCGGTAAAGGTTCATGAACTCGAGTGAGAACTCTTCGATGGGGCCTTCTGGGTTGATAGGCGACTTGACAGGGCTATGACCGTTGAGCATCACGGAGCTGCCTCGTTTCCGAGACCCTGGTGCGAGCGCTGGCGCTTGACTGATTATGCTCGTAGAGGGCCGATGACTTGTCTTGGGGCGTTTGGCAGGAGGTGGTAAGTCGCGTGGGCTCCCGCTCTTCCGGTCTGGATTGTAATGAAGATCGTTGTTCGACTGAATGGCCCAGCCGTTGGGCTGCACCGCGCCTAGAGGGTCTTTTTGTCGCTTCTTATGGCTTTTGGTGGTAGTTCTCGGTCGACCCTTGCGCTCACCGAAATTGTGTAGTTCTCGGCGTTGCCGTTGCTTATCGACAGCGCTCTTCCGATCAACCGGCCTGGGGAGACAGTCTACGCACTCATGGACGTCAGGTACATGGCTGGCGCTCTCGTAGTAACACACAATGTGCTGCCACGTATCGCACTTTTCGCACAGAACAGTGTTTCCGTCGTCGTCCGAGAACCCGCAGATGCATTTGATGGTCGAGGACTCTTCTTCCTCGATGGTGCCCTCCAGCGCAGGCGAGCCGTTGGTGAAAGCGGGAGGTGGAGGACCGTAGTGGGCGACGGAAGCCGGCTGATGATCAGCGTGCGCCTTTATCGACGACACGTCTGTCATAATCCGGCCGTCGCACAGGGATAGGGTAGTGTTCGTCTAGTGGGAGGCTCAGGCTCTGGGTGCGTTGGATCGCATGACGCCCGACGCGCGCACGACGAGAGCAAAGCGGACGACGGCTACGCAAGACGAGTCCTACGGCCGATGACAAGGAGCTGGATGTTTATGGCGACAACTCAGGTCGTTATCGGAGCCCGGTGGCCCAGAGGAAGAGGCTTTCGTGGCTGCTCGCGGCACGGGTAACGCTGCAAGGAGGCGTCGACAAGGGCAGTTGAATGTCAAGTAACTAACCGAGGCCGGCTAATAGCACAGGAGAGAGCTATTGAGATCGAGAGAGGCCGTGGTGGTGCAACGCGCGGGTTGTGAGGGTGTGAGAGGGGAGGAATGGACGGAGAGGCGGATCTTGAGGGGCGCTGAGGGACAAGCCCAACAAAGGAGATGACGCGCGCGCGCAACGAGAGGGAACGGCTGTCGACGGCGAAGAGGCGCTGCACGGTTGGCTCGTGTGCGTAGATGGCTAGAAGGGGACCGCGTTAATGTGTTGTGAGAGTCACAGAGGCAGAGGACCTGCACAGAGAGTGAGGGAGAATAGAAGGTAAGCTAAACCATAGTGGACTTAGGGCGGGCGCTAGCGACTTCTTGGAAAGAAAGCATTCGGGGAGCCCTTCGAAATATTAGCGAAGGGCCTGCGCGCTGCCATGTCAAGAGATGCCGGCCAATAGGGCGCGGCGACGCGGGGCGCTGCGGCTGAGTGCTTTTCTGCGTGAGAGGCCCATGGGCGATGGGTTGCGTTGCGAGAGAGATGGAAGACGCGAGATGCAGAGACTCGGTCGGGGCTGAGATGCGTGATGAGACAACGGCGACAGCATCATTCCTTGCAAGCCGCAACCAATCGGCACGTGCGCGCAGTGAGGACCCGACCAAAGCGGCTTATTAGTGAGATAAGATTTGTCGGCGCGTTCCAGCGTTCCAGGAGCGAAGATCAAGTTCGCGGCCAATTTTCAATCAACGGCCGCGCGTCGGTAGTCGACCATTTCGGCCAACGTGGTGACGGGAGCCGCAGAGTGAAAAAGAAGCCGAGACGGAAGGAACGACCTTTGGCCGGCGCCTGCCTAACATGCCCCTCGCAGCTGCCTAACGGTTGTGCTCCGCCCCGACCTCAAGCTCCAGGCCGCTCGGAAACAACGCCGTCTGCTGCAGGCCCCGACCACCATGAAGTCAAGTCGAGCCTTGTTTACCCCTCGCACCGCGCTTCCTGAGACGAGCACGACGTTTATGTTCAATGCTGCGCTGTCGCCCTCGTCCCACGAGTTCGCCACGAACTGCAGATCTAGAGCTACCCCGGAGCCCTGTCGTCCGTGCAGGACAAGACAAGGCCGCTACGTGTCCCGGGCCTTCGCTTGCACTTGCTCCTCCGCGCTGCCTGTACGATCAAACATCACCATTCTGAGAAAACGTGCAGGTAAAGCTATGCGATGCCGGTGCACCATGCAACAATCACCTCCGCACGCTATCCGACGTCGATCTTCAGATTCAGTCCTCGGCCCCACGGCGCGCCAGCCTTGATGCTATTATAGCCGTTCTGCCCCTCATCCATTCAACTGCCGTATACTCTAGAGCCTCTTACATCCGCTATGGCCGGAATATATTGATTGTAGGTAGTCCTGCAATTAGGCGCCATGCGGCAAGATCTTGTTGAACGCTCTCCTTCGAGTATTCGCTATGGCTCCTCTCTTTGGCCTGGCCGGCTGGCTTGTCTTCCTGTCGCTGGCCGGTAATGTTGTTTGCATACCTAGTCCGCAATCGATTCGCAGTGATCTGACTATCCTCACTCATAACGACTTGTATGGTTTGTAGATTGCTCATTGCTCCCATGTCAACGTACCCAAACTGTACTTAAGCTTCTTTGCGACTGACAGATTTTACCAGGCAATTCGAGCATCAGACAGGCGGCGACAATCGTTTTAAGCGCTCGCGCATCCAAGTCGAAAGCCGAGGCCGGGTGTGCAGCACTGCAAGAAACGCTGTGGGACCCGACAGACCATACAGAGCTTGACTTCTTGCGATACCTGGCGTACGAGAAGGCTAGGGACGATGTCGGTCAGTATTGGGTCCAAAGCGGAAAGGACACGGGCTGCAGAGCGATAACAACGTCCGGCAAGATCAGGACCGTACCGTGTGACACAAAATTACCGGCCTTGTGTTCCCAGTCGGCGCCGTTGAGTTCGACATCGAGTAATAATACTGAGCCAAGATGGCAGACGCATGTACGGACCGGGGAGGCGGCAGTCGTAGGATACCGCGACAAGCTTTCTTTCCGCTTCTTGGGCCTGAAATACGCATCCTACCCGTCTCGATTCACCTATTCTGCCTACCAGGTGCCCCGTGGTAATGTCTCAGCCCTTGCTTACGGCCCAGGTTGCATCCAGAGCGGTTGCGGCACCTCGACCTGTAGCGAAGCATGTCTTTACCTGAACATATGGACCCCACACCTTCCCTCCAATGCTAAGTCGCCCAAGAAAGCGGTAATGCTCTGGATCCACGGTGGAGGTTTCACGAGCGGATATGGCTCGGACACCACGTTCGATGGGGGGAACATGGCGTCCAGAGGTGACGTTGTGGTTGTGACCATCAACTACCGCCTCTCTACGCTGGGTTTCCTTACAACGAACAACGCCACCTCGGGCGGCAACTACTGGTTGTCGGACCAAGTAGCAGCGTTGGATTGGGTGCAGAACCATATCGAAGATTTCGGTGGCGACAAGGGGGAGGGTTCTCATATTCGGACAGAGTGCCGGTGGCGCTTCAGTGAGGGCATTGCTTGCGTCGCCACGCGCGAAGGGTAAGTTCTCAAGGGCCATCATGCAATCGTGTCCGGGTGGTGCGGGCTACGCAAATTCATTCTCGAAATATTCGAGCATTGCGGATGCTGCAAACCAGACGAACGCGATATTTGCTGAGAAGGGGTGTACACAGCAGGATGAAGGAGACCGACTTGCATGTTTGCAGACAGTAGATCCCTCCGAGCTCGTTACAGGGACGGTCTACACCTATCCTGTCGTGGATGGCACATTTTTGACTGCTGCGGAGCTTCTGTTAGACGGGTCTGGACCCTCTGTCGACGTTGCGCTCATGACAGGTGTCATGGAGAACGATGGCGACCCTTTCACCTCCTTTTCTAAAAGCTCGAACGTCTCTCAAGCGCTTACGGACCAAGGCTACGATGCCAATGCTATTCTTCGCTCGGGCTTGTTCCCCCTTCCGCAATCAGGGAACGCCACGCTGGACATGTTCAATGTCACCGCTCGCGTTGCAACAGATGCAGAATTCCGCTGCACGACCCAATCTACTGCGTTTTCGGCGGTTTTAAATAGAGTGTTCCCAGTGGTGTACTCATACGAGATCGACCGTGGTTTCCAGCTTGTCGAATGGAGTCCCAATCCACCCACGTGCGAAGCCCCCAAAACCCCAGAGCATCCGCTAGGTGACCCCAGCTTGCCGTACTACAAGTGCCATAGCGGGGAGCTGTATTACGATTTTGGAACGGCGAGGCGTCAAGGCCGCGATCCGCGTGATCAGGATGATATCCCGTTCTCGCAGTATCTGCTCGATACCTGGACGGCGTTTGGCAGGACAAAAAATCCGAATCCTGATCGGAACTTCCTGCATGCAAGAGGGTTTGCGAACACGTCGACTGTTGTGGAAAAGGTGACGCCCTGGAAGCCGACGAGTGCGCGGGAGTTGAAGCTTAGGGTGCTTGATAGTCGACCGAGGGATGAGGGGTTCAGGGAGGTGAAGCAGTGCGAGGTGCTTGAGTTGCCGTTGAATCATTATTTAGACTCCAGTGGACCAGCAGAGTCCTAGAATCGTCGCCTACAATTAGGCATCCGAGATGACAGACAACATACAAGCCGCAGTGCTGTCAAACATCCGATATGTTGATCTCATCGTACTACTCCAATGTGAACAATAAAGCCAGAATTCACTCTCAAAGGTGCGGTCAAGAGCGCATCGGGCACTTGCCAAACCTTGAAGAGAGAATTGAAACTCTTGAGCCAGGCTTCAAACACCTCATGGGAGCGTAGCTGCTGTGCCACGAGGCAAAGCGTTGGTCTATCTTTCCCGTCTAGGGAACGGAGCTTGCATATCTGCGCACATGTGCTGTTCAGTGGCTCGATGAGACTCTCGTTGTAAATACAGTCGCAAGCAATGACGAGGTCGAAACCTGCACCCTCGCCACTCAGACCGAGCTGCGAAGGTAGCGAAGAGACAGAGTTCAGTTCCCAGTCTAGCTCCAGTGTTTCAATGCCGCATACACTCTCTGATATCGAATGAGATGTTTTCTTCTTCGGCTTTGGTTTTCTGGTGTTAATGGTGGGCAAGTTCTCGGCAATGTTCCGCTTCAACAGCCTGATAACGTAGTCTTGATCGGTGGCGATGTACTTCTTAATCTTCGGACCGAGTGTCAAGGCAACGAGCCCGGAGACGCCTGCTCCGAGCTCGATGGCTACGTTATCAGAGCCAAGGAAGCCGTGCTTAGAAAGGAAGTTTGGGGAGGCTATCCATTCAGCGAAGAGGGGCGTTACTTTCCAGACGACTACAGCCAGCATTAGACGACTCAAAAATGATTACAGTGAGACAGTGCAGACCTGCGCCCGTGGTGCCCTCCTTGCGGTCCGAGGTGAGAAGGCCCCGCGACTGGCGGATAGTCAGGTCTCTGCCACCGATGCTGATCTCGATCTCGGCTGCCTGTGAGTCGATGAAGCCCAGAGACTGCTGAGAAGGAACATCATGCGAAAAGACAACGAAGGACTCTGTGGTCAGATATCCATGATCAGTATGTTGAAACGTAGCGAATCGCGTGTGTAGAGAGATACGTTGTGCCGAGGATAATGGTGGATGGAGATTGGTCGAAGTGCTTCTAGTGCTGGCTTACCTTCCTCAGGGTCAGTCACGGGGTCCCCTAGAAGGGTAAACAAGTCACTCATGACGGCGTTGGATTGCTCCAGCAAAGCCAGCCGAGCATGGGGTGGTCTTGGCCGGGCGACGCGTGGTGCAGGCTTGCGTGCACAGCAGCTAGAGGATGGTATAAATTCAGGCTCGGAGGGCTAGGTTTTAAGAGCATCATCTGTGTGGATCCAGCGGGTGGCAGCCGTGGCTAGTAGTCAGCGTAAAGTGCTGCGTCATTGCAGGCGGTACTAGCTCCAAGCTCGCGGACCCTCGCCGTTCACACAAGGCCCAACATAACTACCAATACCTCCAACCTCCTCCCGCACCCACACGCTCCGCTGGCGGCACTCCAGACACGTTTACTACTACTCCTTGTCGTGCTATCCGCCATCCCAGTCTCGATATACCTCGCCGCCTCCACCCTCCCACGCTTCGCCGCCATCATGCCGCGCGATCTCAAGAAGCTCATGCCCCAGGCGCGGTCGGAGGTTAGCAACCCCGTCACGGCTGAAGTGTCCGGCGTCCAGAAGGTCGACGGCGAAACGATACCACGTCGAAATGCGAAGACGGCAGACGCGTTGCGCCTGACGCCCAACGACGACATCAACACGCTCTACGATGTGCTGCGCTATTCATCTGCCAAATTCGGCAACGCGAAGGCTGTCGGCACCCGCAAGATGCTAGACGTACACGAGGAGACCAAGAAAATAAAGAAGATGGTCGATGGCAAGGAGCAGGAGGTGGACAAGAAGTGGCAGTACTTCGAGCTCGGCCCATACGAGTGGAGGAGCTTCGTTGAATTTGAACAGCTGTGCCTCCATGTGGGCGCGGCTATGAAGCAGCTGGGCTTCGTTCCCCACGATCGCATCCACCTGTTCGGTGCAACCAGCATGCAATGGCTCAGTTCCGCACATGGTGAGTGGTTATCCTCTACAATGGCTGTAGCACGCGCGCTAACACTTTTAGGTGCCTTCACGCAGTCTTTGAGCATCGTGACTGCATATGATACGCTTGGCGAGGAAGGTCTTAAGCACTCCATGCTGCAGACCAAGGCCAAGATCATGTTCACTGACCCGCATTTGCTCCCCAGGCTTGTGAACCCCTTCAAGGAGGCTAAGGACATCCAGGTCGTCGTCTACAGCACCAAGGACAAGGCTGAGCTGAAGCACATCGAGGCTCTCACTAATGCCCACCCCCACTTGAAAGTTATCAGCTTTGATGACTTCGTTGCGCTTGGAAAGGAGCACCCCGCGGACCCCATCCCACCAAAGTCGGACGACCTTGCCTGCATTATGTACACTTCTGGGTCCACGGGAACACCAAAGGGTGTCTTGATCAAGCACAGCAACGTTGTCGCTGCCAGTAAGTCCTGATCAGAATAGCTTGGTTGGCCAGCAATAACACGAAACAGTTACTGGTGTCAATGTCATAGTAGGCCAATACATTGGGCCTGGCGACACACTCCTCACATACCTTCCTGCTGCGCACATCCTCGAATTCGTCTTCGAGAACGCTTGTCTCTACTGGGGAGGAAACATGGCCTATGGCACCATCAGGACGCTTTCGGATACCTCTGTAAGGAACTGCAAGGGCGATATCCGCGAAGCGAAGCCTACTATTCTGGTTGGTGTGCCGCAGGTGTGGGAGACCGTGAAGAAGGGAATTGTTACCAAAGTTGAAGCCGGTGGGGCTCTGACTTCTAAGCTATTCTGGGGAGCTATGGCTGCGAAACAGTTCCTCCTGGGATCAGGATTGCCCGGATCTGGCTTCCTCGATACCGTCGTGTTCAACAAGGTTAAAGATGCGACAGGTGGACGTCTGCGCATCTGCATGAATGGTGGCGGTCCAATCGCTAAGGAAACCCAACGTTTCATTTCGTACGCCATTACCCCCATGATCAGCGGTTATGGTCTTACCGAAACCACAGCCATGGGCGCTCTGATGGATCCCCTAGCATGGACCGATCAGGCGCTTGGCGAGATACCTGCGTCCGTTGAGGTCAAGTTGGTCGACTATGCCGATGCCGGTTACTTCTCGACCAACAAGCCACCGCAGGGTGAGATCTGGATTCGTGGAGGAGGCGTCACCGCTGGGTACCTCGATCTTGAGGAGGAGACTAAGGAAGCATTCACCGACGACGGTTGGTTCAAGACTGGCGACATTGGAGAGTTCGACTCAAAGGGCCAGCTCAGAATCATCGACCGAAAAAAGAATTTGGTCAAGACCCTCGCGGGTGAATACATCGCTCTTGAGAAATTGGAGTCCGTATACCGATCTGCTCCTGTCGTTGCAAACATCTGCATCTACGCTGCGGACGATCAGATGAAGCCCGTTGCCATTATTGTCCCTGCTGAGCCCGCGCTCAAGAAACTGGCACACGAGAACGGCATTCAGGGCGATAGTTTAGAGGAGCTCGTGCACAACGACAAGCTGAATGGTGTGGTACTGAAGCAACTACAGTCGCAGGGCCAGAAGGGCGGTCTGGCCGGCTTCGAGATAATCGCTGGTGTGGTCATGGCTGACGAGGAGTGGACGCCGCAAAACGTAAGTTTTGCCTCAAACTATTGCAGTACATGTTTCTGACAGACCCCAGAACTTCACCACGGCGGCGCAAAAGATTAACCGCAAGCTCATTCTGCAAACGTACCAAAAGGAGATCGACAAGGCATACGGCAAATAAGTGGTGCCCTCCTTCCATTATTACACCTCGAAAAACTGGTAAGCGGTCGTGCGTGTTGGCGTTCGTTGGAGTTGCTCTTGTTCCTAGTCGAGACGAAGTGGGAGATGTAGTGTGTTTGCTTCTTCACAAGTGAAGATGGAAATTGACATGTATTGTAGCTATGTAATCATGGATAATCCTTTTCCTCCAGCCGTTATTTGACGTGATCAGTAACCCTTCACTTTGGCGATCGTAGAAACATTTACAAGATCGTAAATACAGCGCAGAAGCTTGCCTTTTCATTATATCTTGGGGGTCTACGCAGACACCATTGAAGATGCAGGAACAAATACGCTCCATCTAGGAAGCCTCCCACCCTATACACTCGTGTCTAGCATCTCAGCAGGATCCTCCCGATCCATGTGTCGCCCGACCAACATTCCTTTCTCATCAATATACCCCTCTCTAAGTTCCGGTGTTCCACTTCCTCATCAGCAACCCGGCCTTCAAGACATGAATATTAGAGAGCAAGTTCACTCACCTCACAACCCTCTGCAGCTCGCTAGGTTGTATCAGGCCTGGGTCCACAGGAATCGTCATATCGCTCGTACGCGTTGGGGGGCTGTACTTGTAGAGGTGGGAGTTTGAGCTTGGGGAATCGTGCGTCAACGTATAGTACCCCGTCATAGGACAGAACTCGAACGTCCCGCCCATGCTGCGGTGGCTGGCGGCACGCGAGACGTGCGAGATTCGGTCGACGTTGACCTCCAAGCCAACATGCTGCGGCGATGTAGATGAGCTGCCGTACTGCGACTCGTAATATGCAGGAGGTACAGCATGGCTAGTCATTGGGCTGTTATTCTCCATGTAGGGGGGCGAAAGCTGCGTTTGTGGGCTTGGCCATGCTTGTGGTGCAGGAGAGTGAGTGAGATACCACGTATTTCTCGGCTTAGTGGATCGCACAACCGTCCTGCCTTTCCTCCTCACCTCTTCTTTCAACCCCTTGGGACGGCCCCAGAAGAATGCTAGCAAAGCGCCGAGACGAACAACGCTAACACAAACAATGGCGATCCCCGTGATGGCGCCGGTGCCAAGTTTCCCTCCTCCGTGACTGGGCGACATTGTTTGTTGTGGTGTCCTGCCATCGGGCAGCGTAGATGACGAGGGCGTCTTTGCCTCGAACGGAAACGGTTCACCCGGCGAGAGCTGGTAGGATGCTTGGAGAGCCAGCTGCCGCTGGGTCTGCAACAATGTGCTAGCATTAGGATTAATGACGCCGACCATGCCTTGTTTCGTACAAGAGTCTGGGGCGGAGCAGTAGTAAAATACCGGATTTGTGTCATTGACTCGAACAGTGTACTTTGGAGGTTGTTTGGGGTTGTCGGTTAGGCAGGGCTGTTTGGGGGTAGAAGGGGGGATTACGTCGTCCAAAACAGCATCTACGGCGTAGAAGCCGGACCAGAAGCCTAACTTGTTTCTGCCGGTCATTTCGTAGGGGATGCAGGGGTGTTGGTATTCTGCTCTCATAACACTGTGATTCACCGGGTAGAAGCGAATTCGACGACTTGTCCCCCCGTTAGCGTGATAATCTCCTTACCTCTCACTAGAACGGCAGCAAGGAAGGTTAAGCCCTATATAATTGCAGCTTAGATCCCCAACGGCGGCTTGTATGACATCTGGTTTAAACTTGTGATCGCCATTGCCCACTTGGACGGTGAAGGTATGCGCAGATTTTGAGCTTGTTATGATAGAAGAAGTGGATAGTAGAGAGAGGGGAACTGTGAATGAAGACTCTGCCGAAGAGGTCGAGAGTATTGAGAAGGAAGTCTCGGTTGTGGATGCTGCCATCGTAGTTGGACGCGTAGGGGTGGGCTTATTCGAGCTGTACGTTGTAGTGCCCGCGGCAGACGCGATGTTACAGAGTGTATTGACGAGGTAGACTGCGCGTCGCAAAGAGAGCATGCTGACACCGTGTCATTGTGCGATTTCTGTGGTCCGGTACATGTGGAGTGTAGCGTTCGATCAGTGGCGCCCAGATCGACAGGCTGCCTCGAAGCATATGGCAGAATACGATAAAGAACAAAGGGCAATATCCCTTGTGCCTGGAACATCCATAGTCTGCTTGGTGGCAAATTGCGAAGTGCCCGAACGCTTGGGATTCTTTCCTCTAGCGGTGATCAATTACTGTGGCTGCGGCGTAATCCATAGCTCTTGATTTGATGTTCTCTACCCCTCAGAAATGTCCATTCAGAGGATGCCTATCGGTATCAAAGAGGTTGGCTTGACATCGCACGGATGATCAAAGCCACGGCGGAAGACGAAACAGACAAAGAGCTGTCAACTGAGTGCCACCCTTTCAACAGTGTACCATGATTACACTTACATTTCTGCGCAATGCTGGGATGGTCAAGTGAGGAGCAGATCGTTGTTTTGCAAATTGGAAGGACTCAGCATTAATCGGCGCTTGAAGTGACTGACCGACGAGATGGAGAACATGGATGGGAGGCCCATGGCTTTTTAAGAAGGAGACTTGTTGAGTGCTGAGCTCTCTTGGGCTAGAGACTTTCGGATGAACTATGTGTCTGTTAATGCTTGTGCGAATTGGAACATGATCTCAATTCAAGGGGTTGGCATACATTCTAACTCGCCCTCATTCCAATATATTGCAAAACAGCATGGTCTTGAGGCATTGAAATAGAATCAGCTAATTTATACACCTTTTCTTTATCTGAACGCCTGTAACATCGACCCCAAACTAGCCCCGTACCAGCTCCTCAGGCGAAACAATGGTTGTCGTATGTGCATCCCCATCGAGATTGACTACACGCTATTCGATGAAGTAGTGCTCTCCTGTCGCCAGTACCTCGACCTTGTCACCCACACTGATAAAACCTTCCTCTAGCGGGGTGACCTGCATGCCCAAGCAAGCAGACTTGCTCCCCTTGTCAATGACCCTATACTTACGCATCGTGGTACCTGGCTCGTTTCGATCTGCTATTCCCGTAAGAGGATCGACGTTAGGGAGCTTGCAACGGGTGGTGCGGCATGAGATATCTAATGTGAGCGAGCCGAAGCGTGCCTGGACGGAAGTAGTCAGCATGTATAGAGGTTTCTTGTAGTCCAGAAGGCTGTTGTGCGGGGGTCATACTGTCTTCCAGCTATCTTCGTTAAAGGCGGGTGGGCCGATGAAGATGATATTAGGGCGGTAGCGGAGGATGTTGAGGGGTCGGAAGCGCGCGGGGACTCTGGAAGAGACGTCGTGAATTGAAGCAAGGTTCTGGATTTGCACTGGATGCTGTCGTAGATCTTAGATGAGTTCCGTGTTGAACACGCATAACGTGCTGTAGACGATGGGGGGAAATACATACAGCATCCTGCATCCCGATCGATGTTTGGAAACCCACATCATCCTTCTTCGGTGCATTATGTAAGACCGATCTAGGAGCGTCGGGATCGATTCGGAAGATGGTCAACGGGTTCGATACGCCGAGGGTGTACTTAAGTTTCGACGTTGTCTCTTCGATGATCTCGCAGCCCATGTTCAACGCTACAGGTACATCATCGAAGATCTTCACCGGCTCTTTCCGGTACCCGCTGGTTGTGATCCTGTCTTTCTTTGGGTTGAACGGTATCCGAAACTCAACCATGGGCTCCGATTTCCCTCCCAACTTCGCAGCCAGAATCCTTCCGTAGTTCCTGATACCGGCGACGCTGAGCTCCGTATCAGGACTGAATGGGAACCGAGCTACAATACAACCATCGCTCTTCACCCATTCGCCGTCCTTGTCATACCCAGGCGCTTCCGGGTCTGGGACCCACAACTCGACTTCTACTCTTGCGAGGCGCGGGAATTGCCTTAGCGTGATGAAGGTCCATTGACTTTTGACTTTGCCTTCTAGGGTGGGTAAGCCTGTCACTTGCTGCGCGAAGGTGAATTGGCGATCGTACTTCAAGCCCCTGTGCCCGACTTCAGCTGTATCGAGCTCCACGCCTGCGCAGCTCTTGAGCGGGTACACCATCAATGCCTTGACTTTCCAGGGATTGGATGCGGATGATTCGGCGCCATTGTCGTACTTCTTGGAGAACTGGTCGGACAGGTTGGAAGGACTGCTTTTGTTGAGTTTGCGGCACCCAGCGGGCGGCGCAGTGGGTTGTTCGCGCTGGGAAAGAGCGAGGAAGTAAAGAGACATGAAAGGAAAGAGAAGAGCGAGCGTGGTGATCAAGAGAGCAAGAGGCGTTGCTCGCAAGCATACAGCATGCCATGTCTTCTGCACTGAGTTCAGGACGTCATCGAGGGCGTTGGTCCTGGCCATCGGTGCGGTTGTGAAGAGTATGGTGTGCTCATGAAATATCTTATGCGCAGCTTTGGCGATGTGATGCTTGATCCGGCAGCAACACTCAACTGCGCAGAAGGTAGAGATTGAACAGATACCTCGGAACCCTAGTGATGATATTATCTTGTGAGGCGTGAGCACTATTACCGCATGTCGAATGAGATCGTGCGGCGGTTGACGGTCACTCGGTGACTCAGAGTCTTCGAGCGGAAGCGGAGTCGAGCCAAGTATACACAGTAATGGAGGACCAATACAAAATCTAGCTCTATGGGGAACCCGTTTCCTTATGTCTCGAGAGCGCAAGGGCGATCGTATTATCATTGAAGCCCGAGTGGAAGCCTGTCTTCTTCTCGAAGGTGCTGCGAGTCATGCGCTTGCCGCCGTGTTGCTGGGCAGCGTCATGGCTCCCAACCAGCGCGAGCGGGCACGACTTCACGATGCTTCAAACACCCGCACCGTTGAGTTGTAATGAGTGTGCAGCACGCGTTGCGCGTCGCATCGCGCTTACGGGACCTACCCAATCACTCTGGTTTCTCCCACTTTTAGCATGCCATCCCCCACTGTGGCCAGCAACAATGTAGACATGCTATCGTCCTCGGCGCCACCGTCGTCTCGTACGTTGAATCGGGGTATTGCTTGCTTTATCATCTAATTCGAGCTGCTACAGATCGACTGCCTACAGTCTCGGCTTTCCAGACTCTCGAGACGCTACACGCCCGGGGCTCCCGCACCGTTTGCACCGGCCTTTCCCAGCTTGACAAGCACCTCGCTCCCCATGGACTGCCAGGCCGAGCCGTCGCTGGCGGTTACATGCGCGGCAAGGTCACCGAGATCTTCGGCCCGCCTGGAGTAGGCAAGACGGCTTTTGGGTAAATCCAGACCTAGTTTCTTGCCTATATTGGGTTGCAGATGCTGATGGAGAGAAGCATTCAGGCAGCGGTGAGCGCATTGCGCGAAGGACAGAAGGTGGTATGGCTTGGTCAGTACTTAGACCCGGAGGAGCTGCACGATGCTACCTGCGCGAAGTGGCGGAGGCTAATTGCATGCAGATGCTGCTTGTGCACCTTTGGTCCCTCAGCGCTTCACCCATGTCCTACTTGCGGACAACGACCCGATACTGCAGGCATCTTCAGCACCACCCAAGGTACCTGGTACGCCCAGGACCTCTCCAGATGAGATGCGAAGCCACTTTCATCACTACGAAATCCAAACGCTCACGCATTTGCTGGCTCTATTCATGCATCCGCCTTCTTCATTTCCACCACCAAACACAAGGCTCATCGTTATCGACTCAATCTCAACCCTGTTTGATAACGCCTATCCCCGCAATCCTGACGACCGCGCGGCCAAGAACCGGAGTGACCAGGCACGCTGGGCTGCGGGTCGTAAATTTGCAGTAATGAACGAGCTGATTTCGACGCTCACTAAATTGGCTGCTATGCACGACATCGCACTGCTCATCACGTCTCAGACCATCACCCGCATTCGCGCCGGTTCGAGGGCTCTTTTGGTTCCTGCGATAACAGGCGCAGATTGGGAGAACGGCATATCCACTCGTCTCGTCTTGTTTAGGGATTGGGTGCCGGGACAAGGGAAGGTTAGCAAGGCACATGCCGCGAGAATGCAGAAAACCCGGTTTGCAGGCGTACTGAAAGCCAACGGTGTAGCTCTGGCCGACGACGGCGGTGTCGGCAGTGTGGTTCCGTTTGCCATTGAGGAGGTGAGTTAATCTAGTACCCGCAGAGCCTACAGTATCAGCAACGCATATGGTTCTCGTGTGGCGATCACCGGCTGACCTATTACAGACAGGCCTTCGGGAAATAGACCTAGCTGCTGTCGATATTACTGCACCCGTACTGTCTTCTGAAGCGAGACCTCCCAAGCGACAGTTTGCGGAGATAGACGAAGGTGGGGGAGAACCCGACTCGGATGAACTATACGACTGGATGGACGACGATGACGAGGCCGCCGCCGAAGGATTCTTGATAGGTGAAACACCCAACATGGCGGATGGCGACCCTGCAATATCTGGTGCGACTGCTCTTGCAGCATCTGTGGATGATGCAGGACCTACAACTGCAAGTCTTGCAGAGCACAACAGCGTGACACGACCGCCGATACCTTGACCGAATTTAGGTAACGAGGGCTTCAAACAGTTTTGGAATGCCCACTGCCGCATGCCAGATATTGATTACCCCAATCTCCGGGTCAGCGTCTTTGCTGTCGAATATCCACGCCGCAACGGGGCTTATCAGCACCTCAAAATAGATATTCGAGCTCACCTGCTCTCACACCACCCAGTATGTTATCTCGTCTGACCAAGCTTGAGAATATATGACCCCTGAGGGTTGTATCAGGGCGCACCACCCAGAGACCCGTCTAGCAGGTAACATCAATTCTGCCGTGTGGGGTTGACAGCCACCAACTGCGGAGACCTTGCATCCAAGCGCAGCACCTCAACCACGTCGAGCCAAGTCGTTCTCACCTCAGCAGCACGGCACATGCAATTTTCTTATCCATAAGCGTGCCCAATGGTCACAATGTACAATGCCTAGACGTAAGATCCTCAATCACCGGCTCAGCTCCTTCTGCCAATGACCCTCGCGTGGGAAGCGATGTTTCAGGAATGGGCAAGATGTCAACCTTCACATTCTTCCGGTGGCAAATGCAAGACGAGTGCTTCAGGGCACAGTACGAGGATCCTACGCCCAGCATCTCCACGATTCTAGAAGCACGCGGGCGTCTGTGGTACGGGGCCAAAAATCTGGGGGCCGTCCGAAGATGGATCCTGATCCCGACATTTCAACCCACGTCTGCAGGCATCGTAAGCACAGGCAGCTGTCGCATGGTTCGGGGAGACACCGGGACCCAGCGTGCCGGGACACGGTTTCTCACCGGCTGAAATGAATCCTTTCTTGGAGTGCCCCGCGTCTGTGGCTGAGGTAGTCCGGGGAGTAGTTGGGATCCCAGATCGCGTGGGGGTTGGCCGAAAGCCGCAGTGCTTCAGGGGCGGTCTGGCAGGACGTAGGAAATCCCATTGGACGGAAAAACATTTGCGCGGCGATCCTCCGTGTACAGAAACAATAGACTTTTAGCAGAATAATAGAATGCATGGTCCAAACGCCTAGTCACAGAGGTGGAACACAGTGTGCAATGGAAAACGGGTCCGACCGACATGATGTTTTCTGCAGCACCACTGGCGGAAATTGGTGCTGCGATGGTGAAAAGAGCAGTCGTCTCTAACCCGCCGCTAAGCGACAGAGCGGAGTCTCTCACCGCATGCAGCGGCATATACGAAAAGGAGAGAAGATAACTCCTCACCGCACTCCTTCACCGTAGTGTATCAGTGCTGCAGCTAAGGCTACGCGAGTTGCGACTCGAAGACACCTTACGTATCGCAGAGGAGCCAGTACCCCACGGATTCTGCTCACGATGTCCGAATACGAAGGTGAGGCCACGCAACGCTGCTATGTCGGCACTTCGGCCAGGCTTTCAGCTGGCTACTGCTGCCCTATCCGCTTCAACGAGGCCTGTACCCCGGTCTTGGTAGAGATAGGGTGAATACAGCGGGCAGGTGACCCTTTTCTGCCGGCACTCGCGGTAGTGGAGCCTCGTGGTCCGCTTGTGTAGATCTCCCTCGCTTGCGCAAAGGTCTCTATTCCCTACCTGGTTGCGACGACTCGACAAGGCCTGGGCGAGAAGAAATGGTGTTGGCCAGCATCGTTGTGCGCGTGCTATGCTATGCTATGCTATGACGTCATCTCAACAAGGAGTCATTCTGTTGGATACGGCGAAGGAGTCGCCAGGCGTGCTGCCAGACACGGGGCAACATGAGTGTCTAGAGGACAGAAAGAGAGTATGGAAGTGTCGGAAAGACAATCAACAGCCTCAGAGATGATCGAGATCGGAGAAGAAAGCAACCGCATGAGACTGTCGAGCTGACGTTCGAGCGCGATGCGATGTTCCGACTGAAAGAGGGAAGGCAACGGTCGATTAACAATTGCGCACATGGTGACTTTGCGATATGCGCCTTGGAAGGAGCTGTCGGAGTTACACAATTTGATTGTATCGTCGAAGTTAGACAATGCAGACGTGTGACCTGTCTACTTCCAATACCTCTTTATCGTTGTACATCGCTTCCCCCTGGTCGAAATCTGATGTGGCTGCGTCGTGGGGGATATGTATTATGCGTTCATTGTTTCTGGACGTGATGCTATGCAGAGGCGATTTGTACCCAGGCGCACGTTTTCGTACCTGCTAGAGACAGAGTATGGTTGCTCTGCTAAGACGTCTTACCGCCGTTATCATAAAAAGCCATCGAGCGCGTCAGCAGGACATTGTGTTGTTGAGATGAAGCGAGCCGTCTTGGGTGCATATACACTTCCGGTACACCTGTCTCAATCTTGTCATCCACAACGTGGAAAATCTCCCTTTTGACAATCACGTGAATCTATAAGACGTAGATTAACAATGTCAGGAGATGCTCGCTCTGCGCGCTCTTCCGAACTCAGGTCTGCGCTGAACGGTTCGGGTGAGCATAGAGGTGTACTGCTACTATGCGCTATTCGTCGTGCTTGTAGACGAGCTCGAAAACGGGGATGCAGATGCGGAGGACTAAGAAGTACATCGGTGCGGGTAGAAGCGAGACGTTCAAGCCTGGATACATGAAGAGGAAGGGGTGAAGAAGGTTTCTAAAGTGCCCCGCGAGCGGGACGACGGGAAGGCGATGCGAACGGTGAGGGGTGTAGGGTTGAGAATGCGAGTATTCGGGCCGGGGAGAATGGGAATGCTTGTGTATAGTGACTTCAGTATAGACATCGACGAGCTGGAAAGACTGTCATGAGGTGAGGAGGCATTAGGAAGGCGAACTTGAGTAAAAACGTCCAACAGCGATTCCCATGATGAAAGAAGATCTGGAACGGTCTTCTTCATGGACACCTTTACCAGCGCACGTATCCTGACCTCGTACCGGTACCAGTTACTCCACATTCCGACCCTGATCGCCTCTCGATCTCCAATCGCACCCATCGCGCCGAACGGCGAATCCTTCGGTCCTGGGGCCTCGGAACCGCCTCAAGGACAGATGGCCGGGGGAGTACCTCGGCGGAAGTACTCAACCGCAGAATTTCGCCGTGAGGGTACCTCGTCCCTCGGTATGCGCTGCACCGAAGCTCTAGAGCGTTCGCATTGCGCACGGGTCGGCTCGATACGAACGGGTCGCGACAAGGGAGGGATACCAATCCTGGACAATGGGCAGGCATGTCGCTATCGATATGCGCAAGAACTACGCGTTCGGGGTTGTAATTTGCACTTGTGGAGAGGATTTTGATACACAGGAAACGCCACAGACTAGACTCACGAGTACGCACCTGCTATCGTGAGATAAGTTCAGTGTTGAGCGGAAAAAATAGGAAGCATGTGAAAGCGACTAGGTACAGTAACAAGTACCTCTCTGCGAATGATACGTAGCGGTGACGCCACGGACATTTTGACTCGCATGATCTTCTCAACAGAAAAGTATCCAGGGACGAACTCCGATGCAGGCTGCAATGGTGCGTCTTACGTGCGTCCAGTTTTCAATCTATTCAACGTGGTTTCTTTGGATGCATGTGTAATGGGCTTTAATTCTACTGAGGCTAAAATCAGTGCGTGCTGTGCGATATATGACTTGTGGGGAGATCACGCATGCAGAGATCGTCGTTCTTAATTGAGGTGCCTGTTGACGCCCTGCTCGTTGGCTGTGCAAAAGTACTCACGTAGTTTACATGTGCGATTAATGAATAACGGTCTCGCAACCGAAAGACGGGAGTTGCTTGAGTTTATTGTGCGGGCGTAGTAACGTACACATTCTAGAATTGTTCAGCGGACTCTGTTCGAGTTTGATCGAAAAAGCGCACCATGCTTACCCCAAGATCTTGAGCCAAAGTTTCATAGTGCTTGTACTGTGTTACGGTATGGTGGGATCGATGCTATGTCCGATCACGTGCACTAAGTGGCACGACAACTGAGTAATCGGACGTATTCAAATCACCCAAGCAACACTTCCAAGGTTCTGAACGACGGACAATCTGATTGACTTCGCCCTTTGCACGAAAATTAATGTATGTGCGATTCTCGTTTCTGCTCACTTTCATGTCAGCAGTCGGTAATACCGAAGCATCTACGGCCTGCACATGCAAGATAAAAGTCTCCACGTGTTAAAGCAGGACACCGGCAGATGAGTATTGCAGTCCGTGAAGATGCGAGAATCTCCGCTGTTGTATGGTTCTACAAAAAAAAGAAGAAGAAGAAAGATTTGTGCGTAGGTCTTGCTGTTTGGGGTCATAGCTACCTCGGTCGATGACCATACATTGTAGTTGACGATGGCACGTGCATCTATATACCCGATGTTGCATGTTTTCGTTGTTTTGTCCTGTTATCAGAAAAATAACTGTGTATGTCTTGATCTTCAGTTTGGCACTTTCATTGCATTCGGCCCTTTGTAGCTTTAGTCAAGGTAGAAGCACGTTAGAAGCCGCCATGTGAAGCCAGGGCATGTTGAATAGCCGTCTTAGGATTTCGTGCACTTCTAAACGGACGCTCACTACAGAGTGACGTTATTTTGGCAGGAACAAAGCTAGGAGATTAGGGCTAATCGACACTAATCTGCCACAATGACGTTCAGACACATTTCAAATGTATCAGGTCAACGGTGCAATCACAATGTTTTGGAAGCACATGTGATTGCATCAGATCCCTCGGGTGAGAAGATGCGCGGCATGCAGATTCATGGAACCTACCGCGCATCGCCCCCGATGTACATAGATGAGTCGCGGCGGTGTGCTTACCCTACCCTACGTACAGGTATTCCAAGTATCAATGTATCTTCTAGATGAAGTTTATATTAACCGCTGCACAAGCGAAACATTGACGTGAGCCACGAAGCGAGTACCAAACACCTGGTATGGTAAAACTTGGTACTTTATTAAGCAGTAGGACGAGATGCTGCACTTGAAGGCGATCAGTCGTCTATGCTGTGTGCATATGCACGTATGTGAATCTCGAAACCTTGGAAGAATTAGTCACTTTGCTCCGTGCCCGGGCCTGCTTGACGTGCCAAATGGTAGGCCACGCACGAAAAGCTGGAGACGGCCCGAGATCTTCGGTTGGATTGTTGTTGGAATGTTGAGCTCAGATGGCGCGGAGATCCGGCCCTGGAGCTCCTATTCGGTTTACGCATAGCTGGCACCGGTTTGTTTGACGCTCATTGCATGATAAGCACCGCTGACGTTGCCTCGTCGGTGTTGGCGTCGATAGCATGTGACGAACACGGCTTTTGGAGAAAGTACGACGGTAGGAAACTGATGTCGTCTACCTTCCGTAATTACCTTCTCACTTCCACTACCAATGACAGGCGCCGGTTGCTTCTCGGTTCCTATCTGATGGTGGTATCTATGATAGATACTGCGCAGCTATCGAAAACGGCTCACTGATAGTGGGGTACGCTGGCTCCTCCGATGGCCACTGTGGAGACCCCACACTCGCACATTGCGGGCTAAGATTTCCTTGTTCTGTCGAGCTAGAACCGCGTCAAGCCGCCAGAACTGGCTGAGCGAGGCTAGAAGCATGTCAGGCCCGCTAGATATGGTTGGCCGCAGGGGTACTTCTGCGCTTGCGATAAGACTTGAGAAGTAGCACAGAGCTATCGTTTGCTATCACATAGCCTCGAGGCGGAGGCGGAAAAGGTGCGGACGGGAAATGAGAGATGTCGCCATCGATAGGCTCTTGTGCTCCGGCCAGCATCCAAGGTTTTTGGGCGCTGGGGCGCTCCACAGGGCGTCAGTGGCCAGCATCGTGAACCGAGCTGGCCGGTTTCGTACTGGACGACCCCCTACACTCGAGACCTTGGTTGTTGTGTGATGGGATGAGATAGGACGTGTTACAAGGGCGTTACGGGCTGACATTGGCTGCGGATGACAGCGCAACAATCCTTACGACGTAACCCCTCGATAAGAATAGCAGCTGTGATCCGGACAAGCTGGGCGTTTTCGTGGGGAGGGTCAGCCATGACTCTGTCGTATCTTGGTTTTTCCGGTCGTCTCGGTAGGGGGCGATCTATCTACGGCGGAGGACACGTCGAGTCCCGCTCTCCGCGCGCTGGCTGCGATAGCGCCGCTCCAAGTGCAGCGGCGCACAAGACGTGTGGCATGCTCCCAGCGTGCGAAACAGAGCCGCAGGGGCGATCATGACCACGCATGAATGCGGAGCGTCGGGTCTGGGGTGCATTCACTTTTCCCAGGCGGCGCACCATGCCTGGCCCCTTTTTAGGTTGCGGCGTCGCGTTTTGGCCTGCGCCGCATCAGAAGAGGACCCACAGCCTCCACCAACTCCCCCGAGGAGCGCCGAGCGCGCGGCGGAGTGAGGCATGGTGCGCAATCAGCCAGGGGTGCGCTGTGGCCGAACTCGGCAGGTGAATTGAGGGCACCCGCGGCGGCCGCGACACCTGTCCACTTCGGGCATGACTGATGATGACACTTGTACCTGCACCAGTGCGGTGAAAAGACCGGGGCGTGCGATTGCGGAGAGAGCAGCTGGGGTGATCGTCGCCTGACCGACCGAGAGACAAGTGTGGTTGCGCAGAGGGTTGGAATGCTGTGTAGCGCGGGTATCGTTCACCGCCCACCCCTTGCTGCATCTCGGGTTGGGGAAACAATGGAAAGGTGCGGAGACGAGTTGCGTCCCGTACGTTGCTCGGAAGACGTCTTTGGGCTCGACCGACGGGGAAATCCGCGGGCTAGAAGCGGAAGAAGATTCGCTGCGAGTCCCGCATTTCAACCGCTGGGCTGGTATTCCTTGCGTGCGACCCTGTTGCTACCTCACTTGGCATCAAAAGCACGTCACTGTTTCCGATTTCGTAATGATAAAGTAAGGGTGAGGTCTTAGGCGGAGAGTCTTGATTACGCGCTGAGCTAGTATTGCGTGAACGCTGCCAATAAGCAGCTGCCCAGGTAGTTGAATGAGAAATAAGCAACGGTAGAAGTGGTGATACAGAACTGCGGTAAATGGGTCCGCGGGTATGATCGGTCCAACGATAAGAAAGTCTATGAGAGAATTTGCAACCCAAAATCATGAGCTCGTTACTGCCTGTAGGCATTACGGCACCGTAATCCGACACCTTTCTATACCCTAACAAAAATTCAACGCTCGCTGGCTCAAGCAGAAAACTCAAACAATGCTGCCGAAACTCCATGCAGTGAGGTGCAGTGCGCGCCAATCATTAGAACCGCTCCGAGAGGTCGTTGCCAGCGACAGATCCCGTCGTGGACGAGTTTCCCGAGGAAAGTCCACTTGGTGCGTTGAGAAGATCCTGTACGGCGACTTTCGGAATCTGCGGTATAGGCAGTTTTCGCTGGGCACCTTCTGGTTTTGAGATGATGTCGCCTATGCGAAGACCGCCCGAAGTTTGAGCGGGGATGTATGGTGCCTCAGTGTTGGTCGAAGGTTCCATAGGTGCAAGTGCTGGCACGTGGTGGAGACTCAGATGCCGGAGATGCGGGAGCTGCACATCATTGAAGCCATGCGGGCGTAACCGCGGAGAATGGGCAGGCGTTGCAAGCGGGGTATGATCCGGCGTTGGTGAGCATGAGTCATGCGAGAATGTGGGTGATGGAGGTGCGGTGGAGAGGGGGGAACCGGGCCGCGATTTCTTTGTCATTCGGTGCGCATATGGGTCATCATCCTCATGTGAATGCGACCTCGACATGGGCTGGGAGTAGGCATACTGCGCGAGTCCCGGGAGTCTATGATTGTTCTGATAGGGATGATAGCCATGACTGGTGACGTGGCGGTTGGAGTAATGATGTCCATGCCTTTGCTCCAATCTCGAAGCAGCGTCAGCGAGGAGGTCGATGTTGCGTGCCAGGCCGTTGGGGCTGCTGCTGTTGCTGCCGCCGTTTCGATACGAAGCAAGATCCGAAGATATGTTAGGCGAGTAGTTGGAGAAAGAGTGCGGAGGAGACACGTTGGGCGATCCAAGCTGTGAGCTAGGTGCGGATCGCGAACCGATGGCCTTGCTGGGCGGGGGCATCATATGAGCCATGGTGTTGGGTTCGATCATGCCGGCAGCGGCGGCGGCGGCGGCGGCAGCGTGCTGCTTGTTGCCCCTTCGAGAGTTGGGATTGTTGTGGATGCGTGAGTGCCTGGTGAGTTCATCGGAACGGCTGAAGCGCTTTGAGCATCCAGGAAAAGTACAGGCGTGTGGCTTCTCGCCAGTGTGTGTGCGAATATGGCGAGTCTGGTGCTCCAACCGGTGAAAGGCCTTCTCACAGAGAGGGCACTTGTAAGGGCGTGGTAGGTCTCCAGAGGGCCTCTGCTCGTCCTGTTGGGCGTTCTGGAGGAGGGGGGCCATTAGGCTCACGGTAGCCGTCGCCATGGGAGCGGCGGCAGTGGTCTGAGGAGTGTTCTGAGATGGGGAAGTGTTCTGTTGCTGTGTCTGGTCGTGATTGAGGACACTAGATAGGTTATAAGAACCTATGGGTTGGTTGGAAGGTTGCATGTGATCGGCGTGGGAGTCGAAAAGTCGGGGTAGGAGGGTGGTGGAAGGTACTTAAGTGGCAGCGGGTGGATTTGGTAGCAGCCACAATCATCCCGCGCCAAAAAGGCCAAGCTGAGCAGCAGCTAGGGTGCAGGGGCTGCCCCAAGTCTTCCCCACTCTGTGTCGGCCTCTTTCGGATGAAGAGAATTCGGCCTAGCGAGCGGGACCCCGGTCGCGCAATGATGAATGCTGCAGGCGGGCAGATGGCGTGCGTCTGGGTTATGGTTGCAGGACATGTACAGCAGTGCGCGAGGTATGTATGCACGCATCTATGTCCAAGGCACCAGTGCGCGGGCTTGCGAGGGTGTGCCTGGAGGTTGCGGGGTGTGCTGGACGCGCTGAGCTGGCGACGGTTGCTGGTTGGGGCGGTTTTGAAGAGTTTGCTGGCCCACCTCACAGGAAATTTCAGTTTTCGCGTCTGGGGAGCAGCGGTGAACGGTGAATAATCGGCGAGGCGTCCTCTCGGAGTGAGATACAGGGACGAGTTGCACAGCCAGTGCAGCGCGGCACGGACGGCGTACACGTGAGCAGAGCGAGCGTGTGAGGGAGTGAATGAGTGCGCTTCGTGTCGAGATGGGAGTATTGGAGCTGGCACGCGGCGCTCCTTCCTCTATCATTCGGCAGGCACGACTGCTCATGTAGCATTCTACCGCGACCCACGCGTAGCCCACCGTCTCCTCTGGAAGCAATGGCGCCCGCTCAGCAATACGAATCGTGCTGATGCTGTGTACAAGTCCAGACCAATCATCCACCCACCACCCCCTCCGTGACTGCCTGGGGAATGTGGGGGTCCGGGGCACACGCGCTGGACACGGGAAAAGCAACGGAAGACAAGGCCTCCTCGATCCTCCTGGTGCGCGCATGCGAGCCAGGCTTGTGTGGCCGGGCGCGCACAGCAGCTGCATCACGGCTTCGGCGCATGGCGTTGAGTCCACCGTATACCCCAGGCTGTGTAGGTCGCGGCTGCCTCTCGGCCCGCGCCCCGGGGATGCGCCGACCGGAAAGCAGACAAGAGTCGGTGAGAAGCCGATGCTTGAACACCTACATGGCCCCCTGACACGGGCGAGCCAGATTGCTCTGCAGCCGCTCGTCCAAGTCCGCAGCCTTGCAGGCAGAGATGCATCTCCGACAGGTGGGTCTGAGCACGGCGGGAGGACGCCCCGATGCGCCTTATGAAGGCCACCTCGTCTGCAGCTGCTTGAGCCATGATGGCCATATCTCACGATGCCCACAAGTCCCTGGCATGTGCTAGCTCGAACCTCTTGAAAATTTTACCATTGTCCGAGATATGCCCTAGCACTTCTCATCCGACGACACGTGCTTCGGAAGAACCCGGGATCGCTCCACAGGCTTGGGGTCCCGCCGCCGACCAACCTCGGAGTGGAAACAGTTCCTATCGCCCTATCAGCCTCATGATGCAGGGGCTGATCTACTCCACATGTCCGCACTTCTCAGGTGAGCCCAAGTGCAATCTGACCTCCTAAAACAATCGGCTTCCCTTTGCCGAGCCCGTCGTCTGACAAAGTTTCACCCTCATGTGCCCGAGTCACTGCCCCATCCCACCCAGGCGTGGGCATCGTGATCGATCCATTGGCCAGAATCCCCGACCATGACGCTCCATGGGCAATTGGCTCCGTATCTGATCGTAGGCCGCTGCGGAACGCTACCAAACCCCGACCCCGCGTTCTGGTGTTCCCCAGAACCCTACTCGGTACTCGTCAACAGCGTACATCCCCGACACAATGCCACCCAGGCTGGGGTTAACATCATCCTCAACCCATCGAAGCCTCCTAGATCGGCGCCTCGTAACGTGGCAGAAAACGTGCGCAACAAGTCCAAGGTAAGATCTACTCAAACCCACTCTTTGCGTGTCTCAGGAAATCCTCCCCTTCAAGCCGAGAGTTTCACGTCCACATGATTCTAGACCAGAAACGTAATTTTTGTGTGCTTTCTACCAATGCCTGATTAGATAGAGGCTACTCTGCGCGTACCAGTACTATAAAGCTATAGCGACTAGGAACAGAATCCCCTAATTACTTGATTAAACTTCTATTCCATACTAAACATGTGCAGAATTTTATTTCTGCTATCTGCATATCAATATAGGTTAGCTTATGAAACCTAGATAAATAGAATTTCGTGCTAGCTCACTAGCAATCGACGATTCACGTTGATCTTTCCCCTTGAATAGCTCCTCGTAGTGTCAAGCATATACCGTCCAAACGCACTCGAGTACTCCAGGGATTCGCTTATAATTAAAGTAGCAATCTCGCCGCATCTCATCTCGCACTACGGTCAGATTAGTCACATACAACTTTTAGGTCTACGTCTAGAGCCTTTCTTGAGATCGCAACATACCGGACATCGACTAGATTACGTCCTAATACTGGACCTGCGCTTTGAGTACATACGGCTTCAGCCGTGAAACTCCCTCACTCGACCTTCGGCGTCCTACTTCGATCTCTACAGGAATACTAAGATGATCGGAAGTTAGATGGTTCTAAGCCTGCAGCATCTCCTAGACCCAAGCAATCTTGAGGCCTCGCCACAGGGAGGATTTTGGCAGAAACCGTCTCACCCAGACAACCCCTTGCCAATATCATCAAGACATCCATGAACGGGATCAGTGTAGAGAGTACCAGGCTTCTCTGGGATGCTCAGCTGCAGAAGAGGCCTTAGGCGCCCCCTTATGACGTCTACCAGGCCCAAAAAGTCAAATTTGACAAAATCTGGCCAATGACCAGCCTCCTCTAGTACATAGATTGGCTAAAATTCTATGAGATAGGTTTTCAAACCATGCAAAGGTGGCCGAGGAACTTTTGCATAGCACAATAGTATCAGAGTGTGTGGATCAAAATCCGCAACGGAGTCTGCGTAGAGTTAAGTACCAACGAAGGCGCCATATTTACAGCGAAGAACCTTTAGTTCCTCCGTCTAGGGAAGGAGATGATCGCCTCCAATCAAGTTTTATATCTAACGATAATCAAGTGAAATTAAAGTTCCAGCTAAATGTTGACTTACAAGCTCGCAATTCTCGTTCTTCAAGACCAAACACCGGAGGGGATGTGCAGTGTCTTACAGGCGCTCTCATGATACCTCTCGGATCGTATTCGTCGCCGACAAGTCCTCACCATGTTGGTATTCCAATGCTTACGGCGCCTTGCAGTTGCTTAAGATGATGCTATTCGCAACCTGCACGCAGTTCAACATTTTGTTCGCTTCTGGCTTCGGTGGATCTGGAATGCCTTGACGACTAGATATCGGAAGTTGCACGTGACCCAGAAACGAAACTCTTAGCTCTTGCTCGACCACCTGCACGGACCCATGATACAGTGTCCTACGTTGGCCCCCGAACACCTGCGCCTTCGCGTGATATGCAACGCTTACGACGACCGTGGTCACTGCGGAGATGGTATTTGGTGGTTGTTGCGCAATGCCACACAGCGCTATGCGGAAAGCCGTGTCCGACCCTCCGAAACAACGTCTCTGGAAGCCAATGACTGCCCTCCTAAGGCGCGGAAGCATAAAGCGCCCGTCGCATAGTGGCACCGTGGTACTTAGCCGCTGTTCGTCCGCCACGCAGTCACATAGAGTACCAAGCCAGGGGACCACGTAATTTCCCTGATCGCAGCGATCAATTCCGGCTCCGATTCACGACTAACATATATAAAACCGCGTGATCAAGCGCTCACTACCATACTCTCCAGGAAACAGCCTCTGCGAACATTCTTTCATGACACAGGGATGATGTATACTACTACTGACTACAATTCTATCTCGTTGTACAGGCTTTTTCGCAATGCTTCGGGGGGACAACTTGCTACCTCTGTGCTTGCTATCGTGAGTTGCTGAGTGGATATTGGGACGTCAGGCATTGACTATGGATAGCTGGTTGGCCATTTTGTGATCAGGGGCATCTATCGACTTTACTTCCATCCATTGAGCAAGTTCCCCGGCCCCAAGTCCGCCGCAGTAAGCCATGTACCAGAAGTGCTCGCGACATGGCAAGGCGAACAGCACAAACGCGTGGCGTTGCTTCACGAGCGGTATGGCAGCGTGGTTCGTATCGCTCCAGACGAGGTCAGTTTTGTTCACGCCGATGCGTGGAAAGACATCTACGGCCATGGTAGTAAGGGCACCTTGGGAGGCATGCCTCATAAACCCTGGCACCGTCATACCAATCCGAACGGAGCTACCTCTCTCATCATCGCACAAGACGCTGATCACACCCGCATGCGCCGCCTTTTCAATCCTGCATTCTCCGAGCGCGCGCTCAAACAGCAAGAACCGCTCTTCATGAAATATGTCAACTTACTTGCAGAAAAGCTACACGAAGGCATAGAAAGAGACCCAAACCACAAATTCGACATGCTCAAGATGTACAACTTCACCACGTTCGACGTCATGGGCGACTTGACCTTCGGAGAGCCTCTTCAGATGTTGTCGAATGCGACATACGACCCATGGGTAACCGCCATCTTCGCTGCGACCAAGACGGGGACACGCCTCGGCCTAATGGTTCATTATCCACTTGTGGAGAAAGCTTTCAAAGCACTCATCCCGCCATCTATCATGACGAAGAAGCGATACGAACATCACAAATTTGCCGAAGAGCGCGTGACCAAAAGACTCGAAAGAGGCCGCGAGCACAAAGGTGTGGATATCTGGGATCTGGTGTTGAACAAGTCGGAAGAGAAAGGCCTTTCGCGCCCCGAGATGGACAACAACGCGGGCCTTTTCATGATCGCTGGTACCGAGACTACGGCGACGCTGGTTTCTGGCTTGACGGCGATGTTGCTGGACCATCCGCGGGCCATGAAGAAACTGACAACCGAGATACGAGGAGCAATCAAAACGCCTGAGGACATGACCATCGAAAGGTGCGCTGCGCTGCCGTATCTGAATGCTTGTATCAAGGAAGCGCTGAGACTCTACCCACCTGTGGCTACTGGGAGGCCCCGAGTGTCGCCGCCGGAAGGCTCGACTGTTTGCGGACACTATGTTCCTCCGGGTGTAAGTTTTCCTTTCGAGCTTCCGGTCCACTCACACAACTAACTAATTCAGTGGATCGTCAGCGCACCGCATCTAGCCATGTATACGTCAGCCAGCAATTTTAAGGACCCGGTCTCTTTTATCCCTGAGCGCTGGCTTGGAGACGCCCGATTCGAAAGCGACAAGCGACACGCCCTGCAGCCCTTCCATGTTGGACCTAGGGATTGCTTAGGCAAAAAGTAAGTGTAAAGCCTCGCTATTGCAAGTCGCGGAGGGCTGATTATATATAGCATGGCTTACCACGAGATGCGCTTGATCATGACGAGAGTGCTTCACACGTTCGATTTGGAGCTTTGCGAGGAGAGCGGAAATTGGAGGGATCAGCATTGTTACGTTCTTTGGGAGAAGAAGCCATTGATGTGTACAGTAAAGGCTGTGATTTAGTCGGGTGACTCGGGCCATTGCAGGAATCTAGTGCAACATCTTCGACCGTAAGATCTGGATGATGACAATCGCAGGTGGTGAAGGGCTTGTCGCTTGTCGAGCATCGTGTCCAAACACTGTGAAGTGAGTGTTCGTGTTGAGGCGGTGGCCTGGCCTAGCCCGTTGGGGCTAGTTGGTTGACTCCACCAAAACGACCACGCCGGTGGGACCCTTGACGTGGAGGTGGATCATGCTTGTTCGCGCGCGGAGAAGAACATCATCTTCATATGTCATGGTTTGCACCATTCTCCGCGCAGGCTGGTCGCATGACATCGCCAGGCACCATGAATCGAGCCAATGGGAGTCATCTGGCACCGAAGATTGTTCAGAGGTTGCTCTGCATGTGTGATGGCCTCCAGGGGGTCGCGTCGAAGTTGAATTTTTCGCATGGCGACGTCCATTTAGGGTAAAAAGAAGATCGCTTAGTGGATGGCAAGTGCGCCTGGATACCTCCGTACACATTCGCGGGCGGAAGATTTATATCTTGGCAGCCGTGCGCAACCCGAAGAGAATTCCGCCTTGCGAGTACAAGGCAGCCGCACCTGTGGTAGTTGACCGCTCCCCAGTAGGCACCAGTCAAGTAGAAGTACCACGCAACCCGCGTCCAAGATGGAGACACTTGCTTTGGCTCTTTCCAATACCAACGACAGCAATATGGCGGCTGCTCCTGCCGAGGTTTCGCCTTTCGACTACGACCCGTGCTTGCAAAAATACAAAGTCACAGAGCGAGAATATTTGCAGCAAAATCCCGAGTTCCAAGCTGTGTGCACGGGGACTGTGGTCTTCAACGAGAAGGGAGAGCTGCTTCTCGTCAAGCGGGCATCGTCCGAATCGGCTTTTCCAGACTTTTGGGTACGTTAACCTAGCATCTCGTGAGGAGGTCGTACAGGTGCCAAGAGGCACATCTTGCGATATCTCGAGGGCTTCAAAGTACTTTCATCTGTGACATGCATTGACCCATTCGTAGGAGATTCCTGGCGGAAAAGTCGATGAGCCCGATGAGTCACTCCTCCATGCTGCGGTGCGCGAATTGAAGGAAGAGACTGGACTCGTAGCAGCACGAATCGTCCGTCAGACGACTCACATGACATTCGAGATCCCTAGGACTCAAGGCAGGATCGAGCGTTGGATGAAGCTAGTTTTCGAGATGGAGGTATGTTAGCAGGATATACTTCGAGCAGTGACTGGTATGCTCATCTCTATGCACAGGTCAAGCAACTAGACATTGACTTGGATCCGAAGGAGCACGATGATTACCTCTTTGCAACAGAAGATGAAATCGTCCACGAGCGGATTGGAGATATCGTGCTAAAGTATATCAGCCCCGACAACAAGCGGGTGAAGCTTGATGCTTTTAAGCGGCGAAGAGGGGTAGCCTCATTATAGGCATCAGCCATGGATCATCACGGAAGAAAAGAATCTGCGCCTGCCCCCATGACGAAACTCAATGCAACAAGCAATCATGATCAAGGTGTTCGAAGCCCTTGCTCGCCCACAGTAGGATATGGGTAGCGCTGGCGGGAGTCGGGTATGTAGACTTGCAATCCTAATTAGGGATACGAGGAAGACACGGAGGACCAAGAGCGGCTCCAAGTTGCTAGCGGTCGGAGACCAGAGCGTCTCAAAAAGGCGCAAGAGGCCCGTTCGGGCGAATCTGAAACATCTAAAAATGAATTGCAAATTATCGACGACTTCAAGCCACCCCTTACCCCTACATGAGACTTTCCGAATCTTCCGCACCACAATATGCACACAGCCATAATAGATAGTTGTCCGTACGAAAATTTCTACTACATTGTGGAAATTGCATGTTCGTAGCGGTGTTCACAACTAGGTAGTGGGTGCTGCGCCTCAACGAAGGCATGATGTAGGCGATCGAGGTGTGGCTGTCCACCAATCACTGGAGAGTCGTTTACACGGAGAGCCCGTGCACGAAATGAGGCGCGGAAATGCCATACCACAGTTACATTTTGCGCAGAATGACCCTCACCAACTGTGTAAGACGTATATAGTAGATGCAATTCGAGCATTGACAGAGCACCAGATTGGGCTATCAGCACTGTAGCCTTCTTCAGATCGACCTCATATTTGCTAATTACAACGGGACGGTACGAATTGCGCAGTTGGGGAATGGAAATTCTGAACAATGAGCATCTCAACCATGACAATGACGAACGCAATGGCAGGAATGTTTGCAGATTTCTACAGACTGGACAAAGAGAAAACAGGTTTCGCGGTTCCTGTTCAGTCGAGCTCTGAATTCTGGGGGGCAGCAGCAGCGGGCACTAACGCTAAACCAAGCTTGGCTTCAAGTCACGCTTCGCGCAACGGCCGTCGTGCAGACAGCCAGCGCACCGCCGAACCCACCACGAACACGCCAGAGACACCGGGAAGCATGTCTTCGGAGCACAGCTTCATGGCGACCTCGGCATCCGCACCGCAGCCCCCACCGCTGGCAGCGCAGCCAGGCGGCATCCCTCCGTACGTTCCCCGCCAGTGCGGGCGCATCCATCTCCAATCGAGCAGTGCTCACCAGCAGCAGGAACGCGGCAGCCCAGCCTCAATCACAGATTCCGGGGCACCCTTCCTTCCGGAGGCAGCGCGCGAGCAGGGCCTGCGAGAGTAAGTCGCATTTCTTTTCCCGCATCCGCGACTCTGGGCTTCAAGCGCGTCGCTGTTCCTGAGCGAGCGAGCGAGCGAGTGAGCACACGAGCCGAGGCCAACGTGGTGCCGAGGCACCGAGCATCGCGATAATCAAAGTGCTAACACACAGCAGCCTGCCATGCCCGGAAAGTGAGTAATCGTCGCGGATGGCGCGACCACTCGTCGCAATGTGAGCTGATGTCTGCAGGTGCGCTGCGACGCCGCGAGCCTCGGTGTGCCATGCACCAACTGCACCGCCTTCTCCATCGAGTGCCGCATCCCCACCCCCAAGCGCAAGAAGACGGCCGCGGTGAAGACGCAGGACTCCCAGAGGTATGAGCTCACTACATTCAGGAAGGCAGCCCCTAACACACCTTTCCAGTGAATTTGGCGAAGACGATCGCTCCCCCGCACCGAGCAGTGCCACTCCTGGCGAGCAGCAGCGCGACAAGACGACCGTGTACAACTCGCCTGACGGCACCCCCTCGACGACCGTCTCCCCAGCCTATGCCGCCCAGCAGGCCACTCACAATGGCACGTACGTGCAGTTTATGAAGCCCAAATTTGCGCGTGCGCCCATCAAAGAAGCCGGCCGTGTCGCATACCTGGGCGAGTCCTCCAACCTCTCCCTGCTGGTCCATGACCGCTATGGCACCACCGACACCGTACACTACCCGCTGCCTGAAAACGTCCGAGGAGCAAAGGCACGCGTGAACGAGCTGGACAACATGGAAATCGAGATCCTCCACCAGCGAGGCGCATTTCTGCTTCCCCCACGAGCGTTGTGCGACGAATTGGTCGAGGCTTTCTTCAAATGGGTAGCTCCCGTGGTGCCAGTCATAAATCGGAGTCGATTCATGCGACAATACAGGGATCCAAAGAACCCACCCTCGTTGTTGCTGCTACAAGCTATCCTGCTGGCGGGGTCGCGGGTCTGCACAAACCCTCAGCTTATGGATGCGAATGGCTCGACCACGCCTGCAGCCATGACCTTTTATAAGCGGGCGAAAGCTCTCTTCGACGCCAACTATGAAGATGATAGAGTGACCATTGTACAGTCTACCATCCTCATGGGATGGTACTGGGAAGGCCCCGAAGACGTCACGAAAAATGTGTTCTACTGGAGTAGAGTCGGAATAGTCGTGGCGCAAGGCTCGGGCATGCATCGAAGCGTTGAGGGTTCTCAACTCACCAAATCCGACAAGAGGCTCTGGAAGCGGATATGGTGGTCGCTCTTTTCGCGAGACCGCTCTGTAGCTGTCGCGCTTGGACGACCCGTTGCCATTAACCCCGAAGATTCAGATGTTGAGATGATTACGGAGGACGACTTCATCGAGGACGAACCTGATCGACCCGCAGAGTATCCGCCCGATCCGGTACACGTCCACTTCTTCATCAACTACGTCAAGCTTTGTGAAATCATGGGTCTGGTACTCTCCCAGCAATACTCGGTCGCTTCCAAATTCAGAAGAAACGCTCTTGATTTGACCCATAGCGACATGGCACTTGCCGATTGGCTGCAGAATTGCCCTCCAGATGTGCAGTGGGACAAGTCGCGGCATCATTTTTGGGCGGCGCTGTTACATTCGAACTACTAGTATGTTCACATATCCTCGCTCAAAGTCTCCTACTGACGCATCGTAGCACGACGCTCTGTCTCTTGCATCGGGCTCACATGCCAGCAGCGGGTTCTCCGAAAGCGAACAATGCTAATGGATTCGATGAGCACGCCTATCCTTCTCGAACCATTGCCTACCAAGCAGCTGCCATGATTACGTCTATTGTTGAAAATCTTCGCGCGCATGACGAAATACGATATACGCCGGCATTCATCGTATACAGCTTATTCTCCGCCCTCATCATGCACGTCTATCAAATGCGGTCGTCGAACAAGTCGATAGTCTCAGCTACGGAGCAACGGCTGCAGATATGCATGGACGCGCTCAAGGAGGTCTCGAAGGTATGGCTTGTGGCTAAGATGGTGCACACTCTATTTGAATCCATCTTGGGTAACAAACACTTGGAGGAGCGCCTACAGAAGGCCGCCGGCAAGCGACACCAGAAGAACAAAGCGTCGATGCCGCAGCCGCCTCCAAGGCCTGCGCAAGACGCAGCACAGAAGCGGAAGTTCGATGACATGGATTTTGGGGGCTTCCCGCAAGTCAACGCTCCTCCAGCTCCGCAAGTATCGTATGAGCGTTCAAGGCCACAGACACCTGCTGTAACCCCTTCTCGAGATCTACCGCAAGTACCGCAAATGCCACAGATCACACATGGGTCACCGCAGATGTCACGTCAAAATAATGACGCCTTCATGGGACCATCGCGGTCTGGAACGCGCCCTACAACCCCCTTCAACCCCTCGTATTCGTATCCGGGTACGCCTCCCGATCTGTTCTTGGTTACACGTCAATCGCCCAATATCTCTCAGGAACTGTGGCAGAATTTTCAACCTGATCAGCTGTTTCCTGCAGAGTCAAATCTCAGCATTCAGCAACAGTCACCGTCACAGAACCACAGCCTTGTGGATCCTGCGTTATCGCGGCCACAGACAATGGCAATGCATCCAGCGAACGAGGCGACCCAACAACCAATTCCGCCCCAGCAGCAGTTGCAAGGCGGGGTGTCGATGGCAGGCTTTGATCATAACAACCCCCAAGCATGGCATCAGCAGATGGACATGATGCAGCAGAATCAGCAAAATGCTTCAGCCGACGACAATTGGAGCAATAGTAGCAATGGACGACAAAATCCCATTGTACCCACAACATTAAACGTGGAAGACTGGTACGTCTTCCTCCAAAATTCTTCCGGCGCCAACGCCTGTTCCGATTTCTACGGCTATCAACAACCCACCTTTCCTGTTCAGTGAATGATGATGATGCGATACTGACTTCTGCGCGTTCAAGGTTTAATTTCTTCGGCTTCAATGGCAATGGCGAGGGTGCAGAGACGTTCCAGAACGCTCTTTATCACGCGGGATTGCAGTGATTTGCCATTATCAGTACTGCTTTGGCATGTATATGGTTGATCTCGAGCATACACTCGAATCGAGATTATGCGGTTCGATTAGCAAGGCGTTCTTCGATGCGATATAGCACGCTGGATTATTTTCGGTGGCACCAGGGGCAGGTCTAACGGTCGAAAATAGCCGCACCCATGGGGGTCGGTCTGGGAAAAGGGAATATGTACTATATAATCGTTACGCCGCAACTTTGAAGCGTCTTACTGCCGTATCTCATCGGATTTGGTGAGCTTCTGTTACCTTGTGTTACTCCAGGATGAGCAATGCAGCGCCCAGACTCATAACATAGCATTGTATCGAGCCCCAATAGGTGCGACCCGCGCTTGCACAGGCTGGAGCGATGGCACGATAGCTTAGGCGTCTCTTCACATCTTACTTCTTCCATCCTTTCGACATGCCTCATAAGCCTGTTTGAAACCCTTTACATGATCCTTTGCTCATCAGTCTGCTTCAACGCAACGGCTTTTTGAGGATGCGCAACGCTACCTCCGAACTGATCTGCTCGCGACAACGCTTCTTTACGGGATCTTCCATAACACGAGAAGCATTTGCTTCGCAATTCAAGAACTCGATACACGGTTCTGAGATAGCTAAACAGATTCTTTGTGTACTAAAGTCTAAGGATTTGCTGCCCCAACTGTTTCGCGGTTTCTCAAAAACAAGGTAGCGCAACTGGATGATAAGATGGACTTTGTCGTTGGTCTTCACTTTTCTCAACACGAATGGGGACTGACATAGACTTCAACTACTGTGATAGTGGCATAGGCTATGGGGGAGAAGAGACTAAGTTGTCTATATACCAGCATCAACCCTTCGGAACGCATTCAAGAGGCAGCCTGTCTAAAGCATCATGGTACAAAGTTGTCAATACGTTCTAAGCGTTGTAGCAGCATAGCCGACGCTCCACGCACCTCGAGACGAGGTGCTTCGTGTCGAGGACCACCTGCAGTCATGTGTCCACGTGACGAGGCAGTGGAATGCGGGGTGCGGGCCGGCATGCCTGATCAAGCGACCCCTCCGCTCACCCAAAGTGCTCGCGCCGACGCCGTCGCCCCACCTATTGTTTGCCCATCTCGACGTGGTATAATACACAACGGCCCCTTCCCAGCAATGGCCCCAAAGCGCGCGCTCTTCTCACTCAACCTTGACTCCAACGCCGATCATATCTACCAGCGAGTCGAAGACCACAACAAGGAAGGCAAAGACAAAGTCAAGGTCCTTGAGAGCTCAGGACCTACCGTCGGAAATACCAGCCTGTCCATCATAACGAAGCCATTTGAACAGGCGGTTAATCGCACGGTCGAAAGCTTCATCGACGAAACTGGGAAGGAAGTACACAGTGCAGAGGGAGAAGTACACACCTCCGTCTGTAAATCAGAGAAGGGAACATCCACTCGAACGGTAAAAGCCAAGAAGTCGGGCAAGAGGATCGAAGACCAGTACGACACTAGCGACCTCTAAGTCCCTCCACACCACGCACTCAAGAGTAATGGACAAAATGTCAGACCTAAAGCCCCTTCGCATCGCCATTGGGTGCGACGACGCTGGCGTTTCATACAAGAAGGCCATCATCAAGGACCTCGAAGCAGACAACAAGCGCGTCGAGAGCGTCACGGACGTCGGCGTCCCTGAGAACACAGATAAGACCGCGTACCCGCACATCGCCGTCGATGCGGCTCAACTCGTCGCGGCGGGCAAAGCCGACCGCGCAATTCTGATATGTGGTACGGGTCTGGGCGTTGCAATTTCTGCGAACAAGGTGCCAGGCATCAGGGCCGTCACCGCTCACGACAGCTTCAGTGTAGAGCGCTCGATCTTGAGTAATGACTGCCAGGTGCTCTGCATGGGGGAGCGTGTTGTCGGTATTGAGTTGGCGAGAAGGTTGGCGAAAGAGTGGATTGGATATCGGTTCGATCCCAACAGCGCGAGTGCGAAGAAGGTCGCGGCCATCTCAGAACACGAGCGCAAAAACTATGCCGCTTTGCAGGCGGAGGCGAAGAATGGGCCTTCATGTTAGAGGTTGAAGGGCTGATAGCGTTCGAATAGAGTTATGATTCTTGGAACTTGTCCACAATGGGGGTTGATGAAGGTCTCGTCGTAAACTCTAGGTGCTAAATCGATCCTTGGACTCGTACAACTGCGACAATGTGAATACGAACATGTCTGTGCTTGTATGTGCGAGATCGTCGCCTTGAAATATTTGTGGTTGTCACAAAAAGCTTCGCGATGCAGCGAAGTACGACTAATATAGAGAATAGGCTCAACGCGGTACATCCAAGATTATGGGTTGAAATTCTGCTACTGCATTCCCCATATCGTAACAGGTCGAAAATTTTAGCACTGCATCGCTCATCTTGGGATAAGTTGAGACGAGGCGGTGTATGTTCCGTGTTCAGACGAAGCTTACAAATCCGACAATTTTTACAAACTGCTTGGACGATCCCGTTGTTGTACTCATACTCACCGTCGTGCATTGAGTGGGTTACATGGCCGGATGCAGCACATACTACCACGAAGTCTCACTCAGATCCTTATCTCTGGGCGTAGTCCTCCCCATGCTTAACATCATGCCCAGAACTACAGTACTACCGCTTTCTTGACGCCCTTAAGCGCGATCATCGACCGAAGAGCCTACTTCGAAATGCTTATGCTAAGGGGAGAAGCTGCTCTTCCCACTCTGAAGCTAGCAGCAAATGCCAGCCTACAAAGGTATCCCACATTCTGACTACCGAACGTCAGAGCAATCAGAACAACCGCTCGGATACATGACTCAGCAGCGAGCCGATCTATCGACAATTTGGTGGGAGTAGCAAGCAGGCTACTTTCCAACATTATCTTATATACGAGCTTATAACCACTTAGGACCATCACTCGATCAACATACACGCTGGAGAAGTATCTGTAGCACCCTTATAATTTCATGTTCGGGATCTGAGAGCCTCGAAGACATTATGGCAGATCATAAGCAAGTACTGGTAATGATGCCGGGATCGGTGAGTTACCACCAAAGACAATGAGGCCTGCGTATAATAACTATCTCAAAACAGTTCTGCCACGGGGACGTCCATTACCCGCATCTAACCTCTCTTTTCACTTCCCGGGGCCATGATCTGTTGCCAGTACTGTTACCTGCGACTACTAAGCGTGCTCCACCATCCATGTACGATAGCGCCGCACAAGTTTTTAAGTGAGCTTGCGGATGGAGGCAAAGACGTATCGATAGCAGCGCACTCGCACGGTGGAACTCTTATGAGCGAAGGGTTGAAGGGCTTGAGCAAAGCCGAAAGAGGACAAAGCGGGAAGAAGTGCGGTGTCGTGCTAATAAGTTATTTAGCAGCGTTGGCATCTGGCGGAGCAGTGAGCAGAGGTGGACGCCGGGTTCCCATGGACTACACCACCAAGGACCAAGTCCGTTGTCCCATTCCTTGTCAAATCCTACTGCGGGTGGTTGTGGCATCCAGAACCCGCAACCACCGCAAAATACTATTTCGGCGATCAAGTCCGTGGAGATTATTTTAAGTGGGCCAGGAAGTTCACGCAGCAATCGGCTTAGAGCTTCTTGTTTGACTTGACGTATGCTGGCTATAAAGATGTCCCTGTGTCGTGGCTATTCACCGAGAAGGATGAGGTCGTTCCTCCGCGCGTGCAGCAGACGAGCATCGGCAATAACGAGAGCGCGAGCGGGGAAAAAGTCAACGTCATGAAGACTCCTTTTGACCATATGCCGCATGTTGGTGCACCGCAATTGGTAGTGATTTAGATGGTTCCGTTGGTCAAAAAGGCCGGACAGGAATAAGGATAAAACCTGCTGTACCTCGTCAGAACTTTTGGTACCCTGTATTACCCTAGCACTAAAAATGGAGTACCCAAACTTTTGACGTAGTACTGTAAGGGAGAGTAGCGTAGGTGTCCAGGAAACGTCCAGTTCCAAGTAAGTAATACAATGATCTTCCGATCTGTCCTCTCAAGTAGTCATGTATTCGCTTGGAAAATGTTCAAAAGAAGAGATAGCCCCATTTCTGAGCGAATGGTTTCTTAATCCTCCACGCTTTGGGATCCCAGGGTGCCTTGCCCTGGATGATTTCGAAACTCGGCATCAGCGCTAAGTCCTTCATGAACTCTTCGTCATCAATCACACCACTGAGAGATATGAGGGAGTCGCGCATCTTTGGAAATGGAAAGCGATCTATCCAACGCGGATGTATGGTGATAAGCTGCAGCTCCGTTGGTCGTAGCGGTGCTGGGACATCCGGGCCAACCGGATCGGATTTCGCAGGCACAACGGTGCTACAGGGAATCCTCAAGTACATTCCATTGATGTACAGCGCGCCGTAAAAGGTCAAAGGGTACTCGGGTGGAATTGATGAGCATTCAATTGTCGGCAGAGGATTGGTAAGGGACCCCGGCAGGTTGATGTTTGCAAGGTGGTACGGCAGGAAATCCTCAAATGCTGATGACGGCGAGGCTGATGACGAAGAGGTACTTGAGTCCGCATCCGGCATCAGCGGTGCCATTTCGAGAGCGTTGGAAGCAGTGGCAAGCCAACAATCGGCACCAGGTCTGAGGGCGCTGGATACCTTCCCCTGGTGCTGCGTGCCGACTCCTCTCCGCGTTTCATCTTCCTCACTTTTCCGTTTCGCATTGTTCTTTGCTTCGCGAAGCCGTTGACCTAGACATGCCCACCAATTAGCGTTCTATGCCAATTGCCTTGGGTCTCGATACCCGAACGAGCGGGCAGATAGTATATGTAAGGCGATCGAGTTCTGTTAAGATTGAAGCTGCATATCATGCCCTGATGAGATAGTGAAACAAGCTCCTCTTCAATCACAGTCGATGACCGAAACAGGCCACATAGGGGAAACTTACGTCGTGCTCTTTGCGCTAATCTATCTTGGATTTTCTTCCTTTCCCTCGCGTTTTCAACGTTTCGCCAGTCGTCTTCGCTGGGGCTAGTTCTACGTGTCATGGTTTTGGATGCTGTGTCGTTCCAGCCACGATATCCAGTATCCAAGGTGGAATTGAAGCAAGAGGTCACAAAGCTAAGTGCAATTGTTGCTTACCAATATTGTTCCCGGAAGGAAGTAGCGGGTGAGCGTTAGCGCGAATATGGTTAGTCCAAATACTCCTCCACCACGGCGTCCATCTACGCTCGACTACACGCCCACAACAAGCGACGAAAAGCATGCACTGACATACTAATATATTCGATATTCTTGTGGTCTCTTGGAAAACTATCCTCCAACATCTTGAAAACAGTTTCAGCCCAGACTTGTCTTTGGTTCGCTGAACAGACTTCCCTACGCATTGAAACAGTCAGTCGGTTTCTGATATCGCAGGGTAACGCAAACGGTGCGACGAATGCCAGTCAAGGCTTCCTGAGTGCTCAAAGCCTCATGAAATATTGGAAATACCAAGAGTGTACAACTCTTAAAGGTTGTCAAGCCGCCTACCCGTACTTGACGTAAGAGCACGCTGCTATCATCGTATCGTGATGTCTTCATCGTCTGGCTCGAGCCAGGACATCCTTCTTGGGGCAACGGACAAACGCAAGGATGAGACTGGGGATCATACGACGCTAGGCCTCAAGCAAACCTGAAACAGGCCGGGGCCCTCATATCACGTGACCCATGCGTTGTGCATATCGAACCCCTTCCCACGCCAGAAAAAGCAGTCAAACGCCCAGCCAGTGGAAATTTACGGGGATTATGCCGACGCTTGGCCTGGGTTACCACAGAACATGTAACCGTCGGGGCGCAGCTTTCGAAACCCTTAGTGCATAGAGATCGTGGCGAGACCGTATGATCTGACAGAACAAGCGAATAGCTATATAGCAGAGGATCTCTTAGGATCATGGGTATGGTACTCTGTCGGCAAGAGAATCGCCCCCTCAGGACACAATATCTCACGGCTTCTACACATTCGTTACCCAGGAACAACATCTGAAGATTGAAATGCGGTCCTTGTTCGTCGCTGTCATCGCCCTCGCGACTGTGTGCGCTTTTGCATCTCCAGCACCACCGCCTCCCATGCCATCTGCACCCGCCCCTCCTGCTCCTCCAGCCACCAAGGGAGAAGATGCATCAGTTACCGTATCGAGTGTCGGATCGTGCGCAGTAGGTCATCCGTTGTATAGCGCATGCGATTGAGGTTACATACTAATACGCATGCAGCAAGATTGCTGGAATGAAAGCGCGGTAACAGCCAATTGCGACCCAAATGCAGACGACAGCTGTTTGTGTGGCCCCTTCTTGGATGCGGTCACTTCGTGCGTATCGCAAACGTGTAGCATAGGGGATAACCTAGGTCAGTACATCCCAAGCCATGTACCATACCTAACTGACTTCCATTTCAGAGGTTCTTAACACTCTGGAGCCTTTATGTTAGGGGTATTTTAAAATGACACGACCGACGAAGAACGTATTGTACATTACCAGAGATATTGAGAGAACCGTACTTGCGATTTATATACCCTAGACGACCGATCGGAATGCATCCCTCATGTTGGACCATCATCGATGTTCTATCTCTGAGAGAGATTCACCGATGTAAATTGACCGCGATAATGGGTGGAAAGCATTTGTCGGACACCAGCCTTCGATTCCCGCGTTGGCGCAGCCTCGGTACTATGAACAGAAGGTCACAAGGCCAATCTACAGCATACCAGGCGAAAACTTGCCGGGCCCTTCCCGTGTACTCCCCATCGTTAAACTCTTCGCCCTGCTGCGCTTCTACCAGCAGAGTTCCATTGCTACAACGTTGCCGTAATGGGCCTGTATTGGTCTGAAAACCGCCACTCGTCGGACATCCCGCATCAAGGGTTGACACAACCAATTTTTTACCAGTATACGAGCATCTGACGCATGGGATCAAGTCATACGTAAATGGTCAAATGGAAGAGGACATGCGTTCAGCCACAAGAAGGAACACAGCTGTCAAGTGTCTGGTGATGATGAGTTCCATTCGACGTCTAAAGCATCGGATCCAAGACATCACGAACCAAACAGGCCCCAACCCTTCAAATATGTAAACGCTGATGACTGTATTCCATACAGTTATCTGATTAGGCTGCTCAAGTGTGCAAACCCTCTCTTACGTATATTCTCCCCTCATCTCCCGCCACCACCGACTCGCCCGCCAAAGCTCATCTTCCTCGTCCCCAAGCATCCCACGATATTTATCCAAAAACCACTCCTTCGCCTCCCAGCTCCACGGCACGCCTTCACCACCCAAGTCCACACTAGCACTTCCCCAACAGACTATCGCATCCGCTTTGAGGTCTTCCCAGAATTCGACTTCATTGATTAGGGGCGGATTCTGAGCCAAACCTTCAATCAACCGTCTTCGAAAGTTGGGGAAGGGGAAGAAGTCGATAGCTGGATGATGCGACTGTACGATTTGGGCGGATGTGGGTCGCAAATCCGGTTTCAGGCCGTCGAAGCTGCGCTGCACAGCGAGCATCATGGTATCCGCGTAGGGCGACTCCGTGATCTTCGGGCGGTAGAAGTTAGATTGTGCGGACGGATTGCAGTACATGTGGTCTGTCAAGCCCAAACTCAGTGCGTTGGCAAAGAAGCCTGCGGCAAAGGATAGTGTTGAGATGTTTAGGTTGTTTTGATATGGGTCGAACAGGTGTTGAGTGCGCGTGCGGGTGTAGGCGGCGAAGACTTTGCAAGCGAGTGCCGCGCGTTGCTGTTCTGTGGGGAGATCCGGGAAGCACATTTGGTAGGTTACGACGGTTGCGTGGGGCATGGTGGTTATCGATGGAGAAGTAAGGTCTATGGCGGTAGGGGCGATGAAGTCGAATAGCCAATCAGGGTTCTCCACGGTATTGCTCGTGTCCGAATCTGGCGGAGGGAGTGTATCACTGCCTTGTGAGGTCACAAGTTCCAGGCTTGTATTTCCATTGGTGCTTCGATTAGCAGGACCAGACCGCGCGGTGAGCTCCTCAAGCTCTTGCAGCTTGCGCTTGCGTTTCTCTCCTGCGTTACATTAGAGCGGTTACCTTCATCGGACCTAGTGGTCTTGCATACGGTATGTCTTTTGTGCCGCTCTATTTTGTAGCTTTCTCTTTTGGGCAGTTGTGGCGTTTGTCGGCGCCTTCTTGGCCTGGTGATTGCTGCTTTGATTGAGCTCCTCGCTTCCGATAGGCATCGTTTGCTAGTCAACATTTGGTACGTTATCGTATCTTGTTTGGTTATGTTCGATGTCGTGAGTGAGAGAAGTAAGCAAGCTTAGTGTGCTGAGCTCATCAGATCTGTGCGGCCCCCATCTGCGCCGAAAGGGGTAAAGTTGATTACCTTCGATCACCCAATAATCGGACTAAAACTACTGAGGTAATACCTTGCGACTATCAAAGCATAGAATGTTAGATCATGATACGAACTCTTCAATATAAAAAGACGTTGTTGTTCATCATGGATTTGGAACAGACAGCTTGACAACTCTTGATCCCTCATCATCAAACACATACTCATCACCATGCCCCGAACCATCTTCGTTGTCGGCTCCAGCTCCGGAATTGGCCTTGAAATCGTCCGCCTCTTCTCTTCAAAGGGCTGGAACGTCGTCGCCGCTTCCCGCAATCCATCCGCCTCCGAAGAACTTCAAGCCCTGCAATCTCAGAATGCCGCGCGACTTCTGCTCGTGGCTCTAGAATTGACCGACCAAGATACTTTTGCGCCCGCCCTGGAAGCTGCAATCAGAACATACAGCACAATCGACGTCCTGCTCAACAATGCCGGCATCAACTTCCTCGGCGCCTTTGAGCTCCTCTCTCAAGAACAGCTCCGCAAACAACTCGAAGTGAACTTCTTTGGGCCAGCACAGCTCACGCGGCTCGCCATTCCTTATCTACGCTCGTCTCCCACCGAAACTAGAGAACAATCCCTCATCATCAGCATCGGCTCGGGAAGCGGACACTTCGCCATTCCGCTGTTCTCGTACTACACAGCGAGTAAATTCGCATTTGAAGGACTGACCGAGGCACTGCACCATGAACTTGCGCCACAAGGGATTGTCGTAAAAAATGTTGTCCCCGTGGGTGGCATCAAGGGGACCAAGTTCGGCGCGAACAACCTCCCGGAGGCGGAGCCGCTGCTTGTTTCCAGCCTCATGGGCCAGCAGCTTGATTTAAGCGGTGAGGAACCTGACCGGAGGAAGGTTCTAGAGAAGTATGTAGCGGAGGGTGCGAGGACGATGGGCAAGACGATGACGCTTTCTGATCAAGCCGAGGGGGCGAAGAGCGCAGCGGATGTTGCGGCGGTCGTCTGGGAGGCGGTTGAGGCTGGGGACGGGAGTTTTAGGTACTTTGTTGGGGCAGAGGGGAATCCGTTTGTGGAGGCGAGGTATGGTGGGGCGGTCTGGAATGATGAGAAGTACATGAACAAAACCAGGCAATTCTTCGCCTAGTGCACTGCGAGTCGAGTTCTAGCGAAGGATACCTTCATACCTGTCGAAGCTATTCAGTGAATAGTCACGGCGATTAAGCAAGGAAACACGATGGCTATGACTCCAGGGTGTTATTCTGGATCCTCACCTCGAAGATCTGTCTTGCAATCGCGTGTTCGCTATAAGTCTTTTAACTCCATTTCGCTGCACCGGGTGTCTCAGACTTTTCCGCGACCCTTACCCCGCCGTCGACCCCTGCCTCTTTCCATGATACTATGTTTCTGCGGACTTCGATCCGCTGCATCAGTCTCGTCATCGCTCCCCGCGAAAAAGTGACTCTTGACCTGCGCCGTACTGTTCCTAGCCGCCTTGCGCTTGGGCACTGATCTGCTCTCTACAGGTGAGGTGGCGACTTTGCGCTTTCCTCGTGTACTCCGTGGAGCTGGGGTGAAAATTCCCGAATTGTTGTCTGGGAGTCCGGCGTCTATAGGGTCGGCGGAGGAGGCAGGGACATCTAGGGAAGGATTAGAAAGACTGGAACCATGATCTTCGGAACCGACGATGGGTCTGCAGGTAGTTGGTTTGCATGTCGAGGTTGAAGCGCGCTTCGTGGCTTGGTCGCGAACACGAGCTCGAGAGGAGCAGATCCTACGTGTATGTTTGCTTGAATAAGGTACCAGCGGTTCATCATCTGAGTCTGAGACTTCGACGTTGGGATCCTCATCCTGTTGGTCGTCTTGTGTTTCTTTAGCGTCTTTTTGGTGCAATGATTGCATGGAGATGGGTGTTTGGTATGCATTCTCTGCTGCGGTTGCCTTGGCCTCTGAATGTGCATGTTCGATATTTTCGCCATCCAAACGTAAGGAAGATATAGGCGGTTGTGCGTCCTCTTCATCGGATTGCAGGATATCGCCCGCCATAATTGCATCTTTCCTAGGCGTATCGTCATGCTCAAGGAGAAATCCACCTGCAGCGCTTAGTTCATCACGCACGAACCCGCCCTCGAATCCGCCATCATGGTTCTGAAATGTATCCCACTCCGACTGTCCCTTCGGTTGCGCTTGTCCTCTGGTTTTTTTCGTCGTCTCTTTCTGCCAGACCTCCACCGCATCCTGGCCGTGATCGCGCTTGACACGCTCCACGATCCTCAATCCGAGGAGGAACTTCTTCCACAGCCCAAGGACATGTTTCTCCCTCTTGTCCTTATCTTTCTTAGCCTTCTCCGCTTCCGCAGCCTCCCATGCATCAATGACTAAATCTTCATTCTCCACAGCGACGACAACCCCCGTAATAACGGGTACAGCACGCTGCTTGCCGAATTCGAAGCCCGTGCACGCTTCTGCATAGTCAATATTAAGTTTTCTGCAGATCCGCGCAGTGCCCTTGAGTGGGATATGTATCGCACCCGTCGGGACCATCGTAGGCACGTACACATCAATATTCCCAAAAGCATTACGTGGGATCCTGCCATCCACAATGGGATCAGGAACAATCCAGTCGGTCTGCGCTTCAGAATACAAGCCCTGTTTCATCTTCTGACCCTCTTCCCGCTCGCGCTCTTCGATCTCACGCTTTCGTTGAACGGTAACGGCACGCATATTTACGAACTTGAGCGGCTGCTCGCCCTCCTTGACCGCGCGTCCCTCCTTATGCCACGACTCCACAGACTTGCACGTCACCATATCCTCACGTCGGTACACCGGCTCTTGCTTCTCGTTGTCGCCTTTGCCGGTAGTGAAATAGCGGACCATGGAAGCACCGGGCTCGATAGCTTCTTCGCGGCGCAGGTGTCGCTCTAACACGTACTTGGCAGAGTTCTTGTAGCCCTGGAGTGTCTCTTTTGCGCCTTCGTCCATGGTTTTGAGCTTCACAGGCTGCGCAGGGACGAGGTCGCTTTCGTCTTCGACCTCGTCCCAGGGCTGGCGCTTTGAGTGTGGGCGGGCGTACGGGCGAAGGACGGATTTGATCCAGTTCCACTCGTCCCATCTCTTGACCTTTCCTTTCTTATTGTGAATTGGGATCTTCTCGACGGGCATTCGGAAGCCTTTCGTTACGCCTGGCCAGCGGCGATTCCGCAGATAACGGGTCGTAACTTCCTTTGCGGAGCCGTCCGAAGAGAAAGCAATGAGGTATGCGAAGACTTGGTGGCCTCTTTCTGCATTGGCAGGGGTTGATTCGAATAGGTAGTACTTTCCATCAGCAGGTGTGGCCACCGTTATTTTAGGGAGTATTGATATTGCAACTGGTGTATGGGTAAGATTCGAAATGGCTTCAGTCCAATACGTCGGGTATGGAATTACACGACCGTAAAAGCGATCCTGCCACTGGGGTGCGTTCTCTGGGTCTTTGCTCCCAGGCTCTTCTTGGTCACCAGATGCTATCGATATTGCACTGCTGAGCTCTGAATCCGATAAATCGATGGGATCGTCCTTACCGCCGTGCAACTTCACAGGACTTGGGTTATTCGATGTACGTTTTGAACCATTCGTCTGAGCTCCTTTGGTGTCATTTCTGAGGTTGCTGAGATCCTTCGACTTGCCTTCCTCGGCCTTGTTGAACCTGTACCCTACAGGTTGAAGGCTCGCTACCATCCGTGCTTCTACTCCAAGAGCGCGAATAAGGGACGTGAAGAGTTGTTGTCCAACGTCCCTACTGCCCTCGCAATTTCGAGCCAATTCTCTGAACGCACCTAAATCTTCCACCCGCTCTCCAAAGGCGTTGGCATCGTCCTGGTGATCTTTCCAAGCCCATATCTCTGTCCCCAAATCGGCAAGAGAAAGGAAGCCGCGCTTGCGCAACGATGGTGCCGTAATTGTGTACTTTCCCTTCCAGTACATAGCCAGATAATTCAATAGCCGCGGTAATGGATCACCAGCAGAGAGGTTTGGCGTGTTAGGTTCCACACGTTCTGAGGTCGCACCCCAATCCCGCGCATTTCGATCGTTGCCTGTCTTCTTTGCCTTGTCTTCCGATGATCCAGCTTTTGCCGCAGCTTTACCCTTTCCACCTTTGCCTTTGGCTGCTTTCTGTGGGCTTTCATACACCTGCACGCCCTTCGTACCGCTCGATATCCACGCTCCCGTCTTCCCAATGTCATCCACTATCTTATCCGTCCAGCCGCCCTTGACAATGCGTTCTGGTCCGTCCACAATACCCGCATCTCTCCAGTAGCGATTCACCGCCTTCCAACACCCTGCATTCAGATGCCCCAACATTATTCTCTGCACCTCTTGATCACATACCCACGCATTCCTTATCAGGTTGTGAAACATAAGAAACTGCACATGCATGCAATGTGTGACAATCCTGATTTGCCTGTCCCTTTTACTTGGTCCCTTCTTGCCACTCTCTTTGGTGTATTCGACCACCACCGGCGCATCGAGCGTGAGGTTCAAGTCGCCTGAAATAACGGGTTCACGCTCGGGTTCTGCATCGTGCTTAGTGTGGTGTTTTGTTCCGAGTGCATCTTCCCACTCTTCCTCTTCGCTTTCATCATCGCTGCTGTCGCTCTGTGCCTTCTGCTTGCCTTGCGCCTTGGTGCTTGCCATCGGGACGTCTTCAAACTCGTCTTCGCTACTCTCGAGCGAGGAAAGGTCGCTGTCGTCATCGCCGCCGATGAATTTCTCTAACTGCTGCTTCTTCTGTGAAAGGGTGCGCGGCAGGTTCGGTGACGTGTTCGAGGTGGGTTCTTGGCGACGAGGATGCGCGGGAGTTCGCTTTGGTGTGGATTCTGCTTTCGGCGAATTCGAGCGGGGGCGCTTTCGTGGGATGAGGGGAGACATGACGCCGTAGGATTCTCGATGTTAAACCCAGGGTGATTGCGTTGATAGCTGGTTTTGCAACATTCGCAACTGCGGTCCTGGAGCTTTGGGTAGCGTAGTGACGTACTCGTAGGTACCGGTGGCGCGGAACTTTAGCGATTTCGTCCATCCCGCAGGGACCAGTCCTCGCAAACTCTCTTCTCTCTATCGACTCTCTTCCTGTCGCTCCTTTACCACTCCGATGGGCGTTCCTGACATATCGAAGACTAATGAGGTTTTCGAACTGGTCTGTGCTCTCTCCTATGTATGCTCAGGTCAAGAATGTGCAGAGGACCCCGCGAACGCGCGCCATCGCGTGCTCACATGACCCGTTTCCTTCCAAAGCTCTCATCCAGCGGAGTCTGACACTCTCAACCCCACGACTCAGAGCCCAATTCCCTTCCCCAATCCTAAGCGCCCCCAAATTAGACTCTGCTCTTCAAGATCAGCATCTCGACTACTACACAAGTCGTGTCCACTCTAGCGCGAGCTTCACAACAACCGTGGAGTCAATCCTTACTCCGCACACCGCATTTGCCTTACCTCCTTCGATTACCAGCCTAGAAAACTTCGTTAGTATTGATCATGGATGAATAGACATGTGTCTATACCGCATCGTATTGCAGACTTGCAAGTCGAATTTGTCAAGGTTGTCAAGATGAAACTTTTGTCAGCGTTTATAATATCGATCAACCCCTCCACGAGGGCCACGAACATGGCCTTCACAAAATGGCACCCTCTGCTCTCCTCTTCCTGACCTAAATCCGCTGGAAAATTACTACATCATCCCACACAATTGATGCAACCTCATCATCCCCATGCTCGTCGAAACCTTCCCATCTTCTATGAACATCTCCTCCGGCTCACGACCTTCCTCGGCACCGCGCCCCGCCTCTCGCACCTGATTGCGGGAAAAGTGGACAGTTCAGTCTGCAAGATATTAGCGTGCATGGCGTGGCTGGGGCAACAAAACATGATTGGAGTGTATCAAGGGAACACTTTACGGTGACCGGGGACGCCACGAGGCTTCCATCACCTATCTTAGGGAGTTCTTGTCACACTGCCGGAGTAGCAAAAACGTTGCCCTCCCCGCCGCTAAGGCTCGCTGGGAAGGCGTTTTCCCCTCCATTCAACCTTCCTCTACCCTTCTTACCCTTACTGACGATCGCTGCTAGGGGACGCATCCTCTCTTCACGCCATACCCACCCGTCTTTTCCCCAGTCTGAAGGCGACCGGCTCAACAGATATATCCAATCCGTCATCTACATGCAGTTTTTGAAAGAATCCGTCTCGGGCACTGTGCCGACCGATCGAGTGGTTAGAAGTGTGATTTGAAGAGGAGTGCTTGCCGTGGAAGGAAGGTGGCGGCCGACCAAAGATTCGGTGAGCGGGATTAGCTTGATGGAGGATGTGTTGAAGTGGGCCATGGAGACCGTACCGGTGAAGGCGGGGTTTGTGACCGGCAGGATGAAGGGCGGGAGACCTGGGAGGCATTATGCCTGAAACTTGGAGAGGTAGTAGATGTTAGTGGTTAAGAGCGTTTTGGAAAGCATCCAAACCTTACTTAGCTTGTCACGGTAGTCACAAATTTAGATCAAGAGCCATTGTAGATGATAATGCGAAGTCTGCTTCGCTGTTGCGCTAACTCAACATCTTGTTTGATTGGATGTCAACGTATTAAAGCATTCTTTCGCGTTCTAGTTGAGGTTCTCCTGCTTACTGTTACTGTCGTACTCGCTTGCGCCTTTACTACCTCTCACATGTTTTTGCGTGCTGCATGGATCCGCTCGTCTGTCTATCTCTCTTGACTTGTCTGGACTCTCACCGTGCCAACTGTATTAGACTTCATATCCTCTGTCCGACCAATATGCCGATGGCCAATTGGCATCAACCGCCAAGCAAACAACTCGCAATAGTATCCACAAGAGACTGGAATCTCACGGCCTTCGAGATTAAGCTGCTCCATTTACCCTCCGCTACGGATGCAAACGAGGACCAGCAAATACTGACCGTCAAAGGTCGCAAAAAGATCGTTCGTTCTGAGCTCGTCTTGAAATTCGGAATGCCACTCTCGACGTAGCCTATTTCAGGAACAAAGAGTACATTCTGACCGAATTGGAGAAAATTGACAAACAGTATCGCAGCCAAAATAGAGAAAAGAAAGAGGGGCCCAGTGATCCATAAGCGTATGTGTCGATTGGCATCGCATTTCCGGATATCTGGTCATTTAAGACAGCGTCCCATCATAAATGGACAAGGATCTGGTATGTTGAGGAGCAAAAGAGAAAGGAATTGCTACCAAAGCATAGAACATACAGGGGAAATCGAGATGGCCACGCTCGGAGGGAAACCCAACTCGAACAGAAAATCTACAGCTCCAAATCATATCGAACGTTCGAATGAGGCGTGGTTGGTTGTTGCAAGGCTGGCCTAAACCTCCGGCAGAAATCTTCAACGATAATCAACCCCAACAGCGAAATGCCAACCTACTATAGTGTTCAGGCCAATAGATATTAAAAAGCTATGATGCTCGTCCAGGGGCGCCTGTGAGGCTTGACCGAAAACACTCTTCATCCAAGCAGCAGCATGGGTTTCCCTCACAACAAGAATAATGTGCTTGTGGTGCGATCCAGGCTTGACCTCCAGCCGGATCTGGGTGATGATATTAGCCCGTATCCAGCGCACCCACGTAGGATGTCGATTTTGGAGCAATTGGACCAAGCCATCAACCTCTCTGTTGCTAATGGAGGGGTTCTGGAGGACGAAATCTATCGTTCGGTAAGGGAACTGGATCAAGTGCTTGATCAAATGGAGCAGGTTCCGGTCGTGCAGTTCCACTCTGTGAAGGAAGATCCTGAGTTCACCTGGGGACGTATAGTAGGCGGTGTTAGTCTTCGGGCGGGGTGGGAAAAAGGTCCGTAAGTACTTGTTGAGATTGCATAGCGGTATACGGTGGGCTTGCATCCACCAAGGATGAAACTCCTTACGGATCTGAGTACACGACTGTACCAAGCCAAGACATGGGATAGGCACACATTTGCCGACAACGCTAGGAACTTTTGCACAGCGAAGTCGGGGTTGATGCTCCTTACGGAAAGTGCTCGTCGGGAACGTTCGGTAGGTAACGTCAAAAGCAAACTCGTATATTCGGTTGCGGAGTTCTGTTAATTGTTAGACAGGACAGTGTCTTGGAGATAGACATCATGCTTACCAGCAGGTAGATCCAAGAATCTAAATGATAGAGGAGGAGGTTCCTTCTTCAGGCGCAGCTGGCTCATCTGCGGACGTTTGGAAGACGTTTTGGCATCGTCGTCATTGTCGCCGTGTCGCTTGCGGCTCTTAGGCGCAACAGCTTCGAGCGCATTTGTCGGCGGCTTAGGAGACCTGAGGCACCGCTATGAGTACTGATATGACCTGCGAGAGGAACTGCTAGATCGTATCTTACATAAATTTCTTTGATCGGGGAATTTGCACTTCAGCCTGTTGCGAGTTATGTAGCACAATGCGTGGTGGTGAAGAGTTGTGAAGTGAAATGTGGAGCAACAAAAGAGAGTAAAAGATAACTTTTGGGTGAGAGGTCGAGCGCCAGGTGCGCCTGCCTATGGCCTGGTTCAACTAGCCGTTTAGAGACAAGCAGCAAACGCATATACCATGGACAGACGTAGATGCAACAGGAATTGCGCCAGCCACATATTACGCACTTTCGCGCTGCGATAACAAGATGTGGCGATTATGGCCAAGTCAAATGGGATAAGTCTTATCAAGTCTTGCCACGGCTACATGGACAGATGGCCTTGCATTATTCTTACGAAGTAGTATGCACCGTAGGCCCGTGCTCTTCCTTCCTTACCGATGTTGACTCGCCGTCGCCGCTACACCGTTACCTTCCAAATACTTGACCACAAAACATTGTAAATGTACCCTGAATATGTATGAGAACATCGATCCACTGGAATGTTGATTATAAGACTTCGGAGAAAAACCACCTAACGCTTTGCTCGGAGAGCATAGTACAGTATAGTGATACTTCCAGGGCTAAAATTAAGTGCACACGCTGTTTCCACATATCCAGGTGACCATAGGAGTTGATATGACATTTGGTCCTCCCAACAGGAATACTTTCTATGCTTCAAGAAAGAACCATCGACTTCTACAGTGCACATATCCAGCGCGTGAAAGCGGACACTTCGTGCTATTTGAAGATGGCTGTAAAACATACGATGAATTGCGTTCATGAACGTATGCAGGGGCAATACTATGCGCGCGGTAGTTGTTGTCTGAGAAATGACATATATGAAGTTTGGATAGTCAATTGGACCCCAGAGGAAGTCCAGATGCAGACGCAGGCGATGTCAATGAAGGCTGGATGCGGGCGATTTCAAAGAGTAGTATTATCGTCGAGGCTCGTCCTAGTGGAGTTACGTTTTGGACATAGTGGCATTAGTACATCGGGAATAGGTACTGTGAGAGGTTCTGCTCTAAGAGCGCAGTGGTCCATGGAAAGATCGCCTGAAGGGTTTGTCGTAGCTCGAAAGAGGCCATACGCATCACTGCTAGCCATCCATGGCCGAATATGATTGAATGTAGGTTAGAGCACGTCTGTAACATCACAGCACCACCGCTGGAGATAGTTCGTTCATTCGGACCGGTCAAAAGGCACCAAATGTGTCACAAACCCTAATTGCTTTTTGACCTGCCCCAGCGGCGCTTTTGGCCTGCCAAGGGGTTTCATTTCTCATAGACTGAAGAAACATACACAGTCCGATGGACTCCGGATCCTAGTCCCAAATGCATTGATTGAACCATCGAAATCTCATCCCATTGTCATCCAGTCCGCACCACCCTGCCTTAGCATCCCAGTTGTCTATACCAAATGCTCAAAACTTGCTGAACTGCTTGACAGCCTTGCCGGTTCGGGGAAGCACACGGAGGACGTTGAAACGGACGGTTTTAGAGAGGGGTCGGCACTGGCCAACGATGACCTGGTCACCGGGCTCGACACGGAAAGCGGGGGAGACGTGCGCAGCGAGGTTCTTGTGGCGCTTCTCGTAACGGGAGTACTTGGGGACGAAATGAAGGTACTCGCGGCGGATGACGAGGGTACCTAGTATCCATTAGCGTCTGCCGTGTCCCAAATCATATGCTACCAAATGCGCGGAGAGCGCTCGGTCGGTAAAAAGCGTGTACGTACGGTGCATCTTGGTGGAGACGACAGTGCCGGTCAGGATACGGCCACGGATCGAGACCATACCGGTGAAGGGGCACTTCTTGTCGATATAGGAACCCTCGATGGCGGTCTTGGGCGTACGGAAGCCGAGACCAACATCCTTATACCATCGCTTGGTGCGAGTGTTCTTGCGAGGGCCAGTAGCTTTGTGATTCAGGAAGATATGCGGCTACATGTTGTATCAGTATTGCGAGACTTCGAAACGCGACGCGGCGGGTGCGAGTGGTAGTACCTGCTTCTGGAAAGCGCGCTCGGACTGGACACTGTTTCTCATCAGCATGGGGACTCGATTGCAGTATTATTGCGACGTACGTGAGCTCGGTGGCCATGGTTGCGGTCGGGATATATTGTCGGTCTGTTGGTCAGTCGCTGTCGTGAAGTGGTCGAAAATCGCTGTGCTCGCTTAACGGATTGGCGCTTGGCGGGCTAGTGGAGAGGAAGGAGTAGCCCGGAACAATTGTGCTGCCGCACCCCGCGCTAACCAATGGGCGAGTGCCGCGGCATTTCGACCCCTCAAGCTCTCAAAATAATCTCATCCCCCAGATATTTGCTTGGGTTAACTCAAATACTTTATTATTGAGTTGCCAGGGCCGTTGTGCTTGAAAAGGCTCTTGCGCGGTTCAACCAGACCCGGTCGTATGCAAGGTAACCTGCGTTGTCAGGAATTTTACCCGTGGGCAGCAACTGAAGATCAATACAATCCTCACCGTCGTTCGATCTTTTGCGCACTTCCTCCTCTTTCTCTTCCAAACGTCACCATGGATCCTACGAGACAGTTCATGGATCGACTCGGAGTCACGGTCGACTCCAACTCATCTTACCTACTTGTTGCAGTGCTTCTGGTCGCTGGCACGTATGCTCTCGCTGTGCCAATCATAAGCTTCGTTCGTGTCCTGTTGAGTCTGTTCATTCTGCCTGGAAAATCTGTGAGCTCTTCTGTAAATCATTATCAACTCGGAGACTAACCCTATCAGCTATCGTCCTACAGTCCTCGTGGCTCATGGGCTCTTATCACTGGTGCTAGCGACGGCATCGGTAAAGAGTTCGCCCTTTCGCTCGCCGCAAAGGGCTACAACCTCCTCCTCATTTCGCGTACGCAGTCCAAACTCGACAGTCTCGCTTCCGACATCACCACCAAATATGGTCCAAATATCTCTACAAAGACGCTCGCAATGGACTTCGGTCAGAACAAGGATAGCGACTACGCTTCGCTGCGGAAGCTTATTGACGGCTTGGACATCAGTATTCTGGTTAACAACGTGGGACAGAGCCACAGCATCCCAGTGCCATTCGTGGAGACGCCTGCCAACGAGATGAACAATATCATCACTATTAACTGCATGGCTACTCTGAAGGTCACGCAGACGGTTGCGCCCGGCATGATCTCTCGCAAGCGCGGGCTTATCCTCACTATGGCTTCCACCGGCGGATTCTTTCCCACACCTCTCCTTGCAACGTACTCCGGCAGCAAAGCCTTTCTTCAGCAGTGGTCCACTGCGCTCGCCTCCGAACTCGAACCCCACGGTGTGCATGTGCAGTGTGTACAGTCGCACCTTGTCACAACCGCTATGTCCAAGATCCGCAAGTCGTCCGCGCTTGTCCCTAATCCACGACAGTTCGTAAGGAGCGTGCTTGGCAAACTGGGTAGAAGTGGTGGTGCGCAGAATGTTGCTTTTACCAGTGCACCTTACTGGAGTCACGGGTTGATGATCTGGTTCCTTTCGCGATTCATCGGTGAGAGGGCACCGATCGTTGTGAAGATCAACAAGAGCATGCACGAAGACATCCGAAAGCGAGCGTTGAGAAAAGCCGCCAGAGATGAGAAGAATCAATAGCTAACACAAAGCATCGAAATGAACGAGATCGCTCATTAGCGACCGATGGCCTTAAGCCTTGCCAGAGGAGAGCACTTGAGCTCTTGATAATATGAACACATGATACCTATCAACAAGGACTTCGGCATTAATGCCACTTGGCAAACCAGCTTTCCTCGTTGGTCGGTAATAGTATCAACATTATCCATCACTCATCCATATACACGGTCTCCCTCATCACGACCCATGCACAATCCCAACAACTAAGTCCTACAAAGCTCTTGGTTGGATTTCGTACGACATATTCCCAAGAATAATAATCCTCCTCCAGCATATTGACTCCCCCTCGCACTCCCAGGCCCCATCCTATTGACCCAGGTAGAAATCCCGTTGCAGGTACATCCATATCAAACTTCCCGTACTAATTATCACCGGCCCAGCCAACGGCGCCCCCCACCTCGTTGTCCCAAACACCCACCACTCACTCATATAATGCGCCCACGCGACCCCATATGTCCACATCCCCAGCTCATACATCCCTTTCTGATTAATATTATACGCAACATAAAACCGCAGTATGCCTGTGAGGGCCGTCCAGGTTCCCCATTTGCGGCCGGAGAGGGGTGTGACTTGGGAAGGCAACTCGCCGGGTTGTAATGGTGTGGGTTTGCCGGGGGCGGTGTATTGTGTGAGGTTGGAGGGGATCTTTGCATTGTCTGGATTAGGGTTGTAGACGCGGGCTGCGTAGTGGAGGGTTGTGTAGGCTTGGATTGAATTCGCGAGAGATATTATGGAGACCTGGTAGCTGGTTAGAAGATCAATTGCGGATCCTTCGTTGCATCGTGTGCGAGGAGATGTGCGTTTGGATGTTTTTGGAGGTACGTACGAGTAGCAGCCACTTCGGTAGCAGGCCCTCAAAGGGCGGGAGGTGGGATGCAAGTTCCAAACCCATTGTTCTACTGCAAGGCGAGTAGGAGGGAGAGGCAATGTGTCGCGAGACAGTGCTCGGAAATGAATTATTGTTAAAGGGAGGCGGCGGAGGGAGCGCGTCGACGGATCAGAATACGAAACAAGATGGTCGGAAAACATTGGCAGGTTTTCGGAAAGGGTGGCCTGTGCGTGTCAATTACCTGGTAGCATCATCAATATCGAACCTGAGCAACAACTTCCAGTTCGACTGACGGGTCACTCCATATGTTTCACCATATTCGTGTACAGCAGCCAACAAGTGCACAGATAGAGTATCGACTATCAATAGAACAAGATATCATCCTAGGGCTACCGGATAGTTCACAACCGCCATCCCCTCAGCTCCCAACCTTGTGAGCATAAAAGCTCGAAACTTCATACACCACTAGGATGCATCCGACATGGTATTCCGAATTTAATGCTCGATATATTTACATCGAATCTCAAGTTTCAAATATAAACGTGCTTGATCACAAGGCTGGGCAGTGTGCTTACTGCTTCTGTTGCTCCTGGCCCACGTCGGCGACATTTCCAGCATGACCGTTGGTGAGGTGCTCAAGCTTCTTGCGATAGAGCTCGCCACCACACGCTCGTAACCGCTCTGCAGCCTGCTCAGGGGTGATGTCCCGCTGAGGCTCCCCCAACATTTCGTAGCCCACCTGGAACTTCCGCACTGTTGCGCTACGGAGGAGCGGTGGGTAGAAGTGGATATGGAAGTGACTGGATTCAATTTCCTCCTCAGTTCCTTGCAGCGGTGCTTGGTGCAGGCCCATACCTTCACGGAGATTAGTCTGTGCCTGAACGCGAATGAACTGCTCAGACTTACTGTACGGGAATTGAGTTTCGAACAGGTTGTCGTATCGCCGGGTGATTTCCGTTATGGCTTCGGCCAGCTGTTCCCTCTCCTTGTTGTTGAAATCGACCAACGCACGCTTGTGCTGTTTGCTTATTATCATAACCTCAAAGGGCCAGACAGCCCAGTAAGGGACGCCGGCCCAGAACGACTCATTTTCAAATACTGTTCGCTCCTTTTGTTCGGATTCCAGCTTTGCATAGTCGACCAGTAGGTGGCATCCATTTTGGTCGTGCCTGTACTTGCTGAGTTGCTGAATCTCCGTGTTTGGCTCCTCCGGTAATGATGTCGTTGTCCATACCTGGCCGTGAGGATGTGGATTTGAACAGCCCATGGTGGAACCCTTGTTTTCAAAGATCTGCATGTACCTATATTGTGCATTTGGTGCAGCAATATCGCCCTGGGAGAACGGAGGTAGTGATAGTGCTTTAGCAGCTTCCGCTAGCGGTGACTCTGGATCCAGGTGCGCCTTGTACAGGTTTGTCCAGGTCTCGATGATGGGAATAATCTCAACAGGGTTCATATCCGCAAGAGTCAGATGGTGCGAAGGGGAGAAGCAGATGACGTAGCATTTTCCCGTTACTGGATCGACTCTGAGTAGTCGGCTCGCAAGGGAGCTCCGATTCTGCGCTGGATGATACTCTTCTTGCTCTTCCTTGACGGCGCTGTAGTCGTTTACAAAAACAAAAGTCTTCGTGAATTTGGGATTCTTGGAGCCATTTGCCCGCGTGTTACCCGGGCACAGGTAACACTACGATCGGTCAGCCTTGATTCTGGTGGGGCACAGCACGGGCATTTTGTACCGCTGGGTCGTAGTCTGGGAGGGACGTTCTGGACGGCTTCTCCTGTAACCCTCTGGGACAATATAAGCATTGGTTTCATAATCTTGCCAAGTGCTTGACTTACTGCCACGGACGCTTGTTTCGGTGCGGCGAGACCAGGACCCAGCTGCCTCGCAACAGATTAAAGCGGCGGTGCGAGATGTCGTTCAGTATCGGGTCGCCCATGGTGAACACACAATCGCCAATACGAGGCCGACACGCGGGAGCACGGGATATTTAAAAGTGCCGCTGGCGGAACTACCGACGAACTCGCAAGCACATGGTCCCTGTTGCGAGGATAATATAGTGAATGTGACGCAGGCCTAGTGCGGGCACGCTGCTCCTTCCGGAATCGTGCCCGCCGGCCGGAGTGGTAGCTCTTGCCAGCTTGCAACGTTGGGAAAGAGCCTCACCACGCGCCATCAATTCAACACCCTAGCTGCCCGTTCGAGCTAGCTATACCCACGCACCGACTTGGAGTGGTTGCAGCAATGGCGGCCATGATGCCGAGCGCCTCGACGGCGAACGGCTATGATAACGATGCCCTGGAACAGGACCTGATTGACCCGGATGATGGTAAACTACCTGCCTGAACCTGCAGCACTTCGCCGAACACTTCACGATGCCTGCTGGGTTGTAAAGCCTCCGGAACATTTCACGGAAATCGTTTTGTCGAATGGCGGAGCGCTGTTAACTTAGCTAGCGTCCACAGCTGACACGTGTATAGCAACCCTTGACGACCTCGACGACCCCATTCAAGGCACCTCCGACCGCGCGCCACTCACAGGGAACATTGGATCACGGTCTGGAGGGAACACGCAGTCGTACCTGACATCTGCGGTCGGCGGCGAGGACCGTCGCGCGCCAACGAATACTATAGACGAGACAGTATGGGAGACACTCTCACGAGACCTGCTGGCAATTTGGGAGAAGCTGAAGCAAGTCTTGTGGCCCAAATACCTTCTGGGAGGCATCATGCAACGCGGTGGAGGGATAGGAGCTGCCGAACGTGGAGAGGCCGACGGTCTGGGCGGCGGAATTCGGGGGATCGCTGGAAGATGGCCAGACGCGGATGTCATTCTGCAGGGTGGCATGAGTGAAGGTCTGCGAGACTGGGATCTGTGGGGTCCGCTCATCTTCTGCTTGTTGCTGAGCCTGTTCCTCTCAAGGGGCGCAAAGGACGAGCAGAAGGATCTAGTGTTTTCTGGCATATTCGCAATGGTATGGTTGGGAGAGGCCGTGGTAACCATGCAGATCAAGCTGTTGGGCGGCAACATGTGAGTCTTTAACTTACAAGATCATGTCAAAGACTGACAACGACAGTGCCTTCTTCCAGTCCGTCTCAATCATCGGCTACACGCTCTTCCCCCTCGTCATCGCCTCGGCACTCAGTGCAACCGGCATTGTACCTATGCTAGTGCGCATACCAGTCTATCTCGTCCTGATCGCGTGGTCTCTGGCAGCGGGAATCAGTATAATGGGCGGTTCGGGCGTTGTGCGGAATCGCGTTGGCATCGCCGTATACCCTCTGTTCGTGTTCTATATCGCGCTGGGCTGCATCTGTTTCATCAGCTAGCGCTTTGGTTATAGACGGGTAATTGTAGCTGTGGGAGCGATACCACTGGGCACTTCCTAGGTTGGTCAAACGGCGCAAAGTGATACGAATAGAAACAGTGAAGTGGACAACGGGCAAGATTTGCTACACATTCACTGAAAGTATTCTAAGACTGCGCCATCTCCGTCTCGTTCAAAGTGTACCCATGCGCTTTCGAAGTCTCGAAAGCCGAGCAGTCGCTACCATACAGATGGCTCGCCGAGTGTATCGCCGCAAACAATGCGCCCCACCACAGATGCGATCTCGCGTCATTGGCTTTTTCGACCAGTTCAGGCGCCTACAACAACTGCGCGTCTACCTACGGCCACTCACCAGGCTGACTGAACTGCACGCTCAATGCAGGCGTGCTGTTGTTGCGCGAGGGTCCTGCATGCGTAAATACTACAAGCGCCGACGCAGCTAGTCAAACGGCTGCCAACAAAGCGTGTCCAAGCTCGAACCGTCATCTCCCACTTCACTTCACCACCACACGGTCCCGCTCGGCTCGCTCTCCAGCCCGCGGACAGAGCCAGCAAATTTGTACACACCGCCTTTGACTCCACCCCGCGAGCAACCATCCCATCGACAACCCTTCCTGTCGTTGCTGCTAAGCGCCCTCGCCACAGCCTGAGCAGAGCATTCTCGCACACACTCTCGCACTACCGCCCTTCATCGGCACGAGCATCCACTCACGAGGGCAATATCCGTTTGCGCGCGGAGTCAAAGTCTTCCTTGCAAAACGGCGACTGCTCCCTGCTTCGACCGACCATAGTCCTACCGAAGCGGGCAAGTCCTGTCCATTAAACACCAGTCGATCCCCACATTTCGAAGACCCTACGTAACCGCCTGCGTCTGGCACGCCGCTCCTCGCACCATGGACAGGCCGCTCAGTGTAGCGGCAGCCCCTTTCGAAAGCAACGATCGGACCTCCGCCCCAAAGTCCGACCACCTCACCTCACCGGCGCGGAGCGACAGGAGCAGTGACAGCGAAGGCCGACCAGTGAGGGAGAAGCTGAAGGAAACACGCATCGATGCGCAGGGAACTGTAGATGAAGCACCGAGCTCTGATCAATTCATGAACGACGCTGCTGTCAATGGCCACCTTGGCGAAGCCAGCACCTCTGGATCAGACAACGAGCGGGGTCGGCTGCGGCGCAAGCGAAGCCGAGAGGACTTTGAGGATATAGCTGAGGATGCGAAACCGCTCGGCAAGAAGCACGAGCGGCATGCTCGTAAGAAGTCAAGAGACGTCACCAGTCCTATAGGCTCTGATAGCGAGGTGTTGAAGAAGGCGAATGGTTCCATTGCTCCTATTGCCGAGAACGACGGCGACGTAAACCTACCCTCCACCGCTGCGACCGCTGGTAAGGAGGCAACTCCCGAAGCCGTAGCTTCAGATAAGGAAGGTGCTACCGTGACTAGCCCAAAGAATAAAAGGAAGCTTGAGCAGACTGTACCTGGCGCCGATACGACAAGTGAGCCTTCTGAAGCATCGAGTTCAACACCAAAGCCAGAGGAGCGCGACACGAAGCGGGCGAGGGACAGTGCTAAGTCTAATCCCGTATCGAAGGTGGTAGAAATCAAGTCCACAGTATGTTCTGCATCTCATGTAGCAACATGATACTGACCATTTGCTAGATCCCTCCCGGCAGTGGCTTCTCCAATACCTCTGCTGCATCGCCTTTTGCAGCCATAACCCCCAAATCCCCCGCGAAACCTTCTGAGGCGCACGCAGAAAATCTACCGCAGACGTCAGAATCCGCTTTCAAAAGCTCCGGTTTTGGGGCGTTCGCTAGCTCGAATGCCTCTCCCTTCGCAGCCGCCGGCAAACCCGTCACCAGTTCCCCTTTCGGTGCAGCAACCGGTAATAAGTTGTCCTCTTTCGCATCGAAGCCAGCTGCATCAACAACCACTTCGACCGGTTTTGCTAGCCTTGGAGGGGGTACATCCTCGTTCGCGAGTGCATCTAACTTGGGAAAGTCGACTTTCGGTGGCTCATTAGGGGGAAGTGCGTTTGGGAGTGTCATTGGAGGGAAGCCTGGCCTCTCCACCTTCGGAGGCGGTGGTAGTATCACCGGCTTAAAGGAAAAGGCCGCCCCTGAATTCGGAGCTGCAGAAGTCAAGGCCGCATCTGACGAAGAAGGAGATGATGACACTGGTGATGATCAAGATGGAGATGAAGGTGGGAACGAAGCTGAACGACGTAGCAGCCAACCGCTCTATTCGACAGCAGGACCACCCGAGACTGGCGAAGAGAACGAAGACGCTGCTTGGACAGGTCGCGCAAAACTTTACACCTTTGTCAATCATGAGGGAAGGAAATCATGGCAAGAGCGTGGTGTTGGGCCCTTGAAGTTGAACGTTACCCGGGAAGAGCCATACAAGGCCAGGTTTGTCCTGCGGGCAGACGGCACGCATCGTCTGCTTCTGAATGTGGCGGTAACAAGCCAATTAAGATTCGGCGATGCGTCGGGCAACGAGCCCAAGGATGGCAGACTGTTGTTTACTGCACCCACGGCAACTGGCGAGATTGAGTCACATATGCTCAGGGTAATGAACGGACCCCTTCCCACACGTCTGGCCAAGTTGGCTGACCCAACACAGCTCAAAGCAGAGCGCGCCTCCGAGCTCTGGAAGCAGGTAAATGATGTGAAGACATCGGGCTTATACGCCTAAGTCATGTATACATGCGCATCTGTGTTGGATACGTGTCTCACATCGTGATCTGTTTGTTTTGCATTTTAGCGGGCTCATCACATCTCCCTACATTCCAGGCAACCCCGGCATCTTTGGAAAAATTATTCGGCCGGCATAGTGCCCTTTTGGTCACATCACGAAGAGATGCGTTAACATGAGTATATGAGGTACAACAAGCATTGATGATAGGCTTTCGAGGGAGGGTCAGGCGCCACACTTGTGAAATGCAAGCAGACCTGATATGCTGCACAACCAAATAGATCCCTTGGGCTTAGTGCGTTGCTCAGTAGTGAGATAAGAGTATTAAAATCCTACGTTCCTTGACTTTGTTGCATACTTTCAGCATTGTCACGACGTCCTCGCTAGCCTTGAGTCACGGCACGATTGCGGATGGTGATTTCGCCCCGTGGGTCAGCCGCCAAGGCACCTTCTTATCTGGGTATAAAGACCGCCCTTCCAACGTAGCCCAATCGCTGACACGCGTTTAGCTGCCGGGCTCCCAAGTGATACCATTTCTTCCAATCAAGTCTTGCCTTTCGGTCCTATTTAATCTCTACAGTTTCCATTCCCTCCAACGGAATGCGAAACGGATGGCGCATTAAGATCAATTGCGAATGCGAGTGCAGCGCAAGACGAGCTATTTGGCCCAGTGCTTCAAGGTCACAATGTCCAGTTTGACTTCACGTTACTGTTTGAGAGGAGTATATTGAGTATATGGCCCGCTGCATTAGTCTTGATCTATGTTCCACTAAGAGCATGGTGGCTCTGGGGCGGGCAGAAGAAGGCGAAATGGAGTCGCTTGGTGATGGGGAAGCAGGTTGGTGACCCTCTAGACACATCTCCAACCGACCTTTACTGATCCTGTAGTTACTATATACCGTCCTCTTCACTGCACAACTCACCCTATTCGTCTTCACAGCATCTTCCCACGGCACCGCTGGCTCATAAACCGCCATCGTAGCACGAACTCTCCTCACGGCCGTAGTCTTAGCCCCAAGTAGCCTGTCTCTCCTCGAGCATGTCAAATCACCTCGAAGCTCCGACACAATCAACGTCTACCTCCTTTCCAGCACCATGTTCGATGCAGTGCAATTACGCACCCTGTGGCTTCGACCACTTCCCACGTCTGTCTGTGTCGCGGCTAGTGTGCGCTTCGCGGTCAAGCTCGCCCTCTGGTTCGCAGAAGCACAGAACAAGTTCACATGGCTGAGAGAAGATTACCGGTCCCAGGCTCCAGAGACTCTCAGCGGCGTGTACGCGAGGAGAGTCTTCTGGTGGTTGAACGGGCTGATGAAGAGAGGGTATAAAGCGACGTTCCGGCCGATGGACTTGATGGCTATCAAGAGGAGTTTGGGTCGAAGCCTGCTCGAAGCCCTTCAATCTGGTAAAGACAAAGGCGGTTTGCTAAGCGCCTGTCTTCGAGCGTTCAAGCTGGACGTGGCATATTTGGTGGTCCCTAGAACGATCATGCTAACACTGAGCTACACGCTACCATTCCTCTTCCAGGCTATTATCGGTCATCTTGATATGCCATTCGACAACCGCAATCCGAGTAATGGGTATCTTCTCATCACTGCGACTGGTCTTTTGTACCTTTCACTGGCCATTAGCAAGACGTACTACCAGCATAAAACATATCAGCTTGTTACCAAGATCCGCGGCGCTCTGGTGAGTATGTTGTACGCTCGCACGCTGGGGTCGGCACCTGATGCACTGTGTGATCGAGCGCCCGTCACGCTCATGAGCGTTGATGTTGATGGCGTTACTAATGCTGTCCCAATGTATAACGAGGTTTGGGCTAGTGCCGTGGAGATTGGTATTGCTGTCTATCCATTACAGAGGCAGCTGGGCGTTGTGTGGGTTGTACCGTTTGGGGTTGCGTTTCGTAAGTCACTTCCATACCTTCATCATGACCATAGTTGAGGAATATTGACTTGAAAAGTAAGTTCCGGACTCGCCGTATACCTGTCCCGTCAGATGGGTCCGCGACTTGCGAAGTGGAACGCAGCAACCCAGGAACGCGTTTCCGCGACTTCGCTTGTCCTGAGTCCTGTGAAGTCAATCAAAATAATGGGGATTTCGAAGTACATTGTTGAAGACATTCAGGCGTTGAGAGATTAGAGACTCGTACGTTTAAGGTGCTTAGACGGTATACCGTCTTTTTGAACGCGCTCGGTACGTGGATGATTACGAGCCTGGGCTGATCTAGTAGTAGGCTGATACATTGGGTAGCAAACCTACCATTTTATGCTAGTCCGGTACTGACATTTGCTGTCTTTACGCTTCTCGGAAAAGGAGAGTTTACTATCGAGAGGGCGTTTACATCGCCTTCGTTAATTTCGCTGCTAGAGATATCGACACTGGGACTCATCGCTTCAATGTCACATTTTGCGGCGGCAGCAGGATGTCTCAAACGGCTAGAAGAGTTCTTCCACGAAGTTCAGCCCGTGATAAACACGCCGAATAGCACAGAGAGGACTGTGGAAGAACATGAAATTGATAATATTCGGATAGGTCCAGTTGATGAGGACACCGGACGGCCACTCTTTTCTTTACGAGATTCCACCCTGAAGACCGGGGCAGCCTCTAACAGCTTCTCCCTTCGCAATGTTAATCTTGACATATACCAATGCCAACTGGTTGGCGTCACAGGACCGGCAGGCTGTGGGAAGACTACACTAATCAAGGCCCTCCTCAATCGCTTACCTGTCGTCGACGGATACCATGTAAAGAAACCAGATGAACGGATCGTATACTGCGCCCAGAAGCCGTGGCTTCCCAGCGGTACAATTCGAGATGCCATAATTGGTGGATCGCAGCCCGATGGAAAATGGTACATCAAAGTTTTGATGCTTGCGCACTTCATGAAGACTTCAAAACTCTAAACGCGGCCGACCAGACGGACATAGGAAGTCAGGGAACGAATTTGAGTGGTGGTCAGAAGCAGCGAGTGGTATATTCATTCTCACTTACTCACTTCGAGTATGCACGCTAAGTAGTTCATTTAGGCCCTTGCCCGAGCTCTGTTCTCCAGGCAGAAGATCTTCATACTCAACGATATTCTGTTGGCTGTTGATGCGCATACTACGGCGAATATCTGCCGCGCAGTTTTTGGTAAAGAAGGGTTGTTAAGAGAGCTTGGCGGTACTGCTGTTGTTGCATCGCACTCACGTAAGTCTAGTCTCTTCTTGTTCGGCATAATCTTAATCCCTAATCGCTGACGCGTATAAGCAAATATCATTCGCCTGATGGACACAATGTTAAGCTTCATACTAGACGGCCGTATCGAACAGCTGCAGTCGCCACCCGAGATCATTCCAGAAGCTGGTGCGAACTCGCCTCCTACACAGCTATTGGAAGCTGTTAATTGCGCTGCAAAGACAGACGAGATAGACACAAGAGCAGTCTCCACAGTGAAGCCTGAGGAGAACGAAATTAGGGGCACTGGTCGCTCAACAGGTGACTGGGCGCTGTACAAGCACTACATATAATCAGCCGGCTGGTGGCGCTTCGGCTTACTTGCTGGAGCGCATCTTGTGAGCGCAGCGCTTGACAACTTTCCTAGTGAGTCCTTCACTTATAATTTTGCCTTGTCTTTGGCTGACATGTTCAAGCTGTCTGGTTGAAGCAATGGTCATCTGTTGCTCAAAAACCCGATGCACCAAACCGAACAGCTTTCTACCTCGGCACCTACGGAGTAGCAGCTCTTCTTGGGCTTATGTGCCTCTTGTTCGGGATTTGGCTCATCTATATGGTGTTGATCCCGGATACTGGAAGGAATTTGCATGACACGCTGTTGGATACGGTGATTTAGTGAGTCGAACCGCAGTCTTTCGTCGTATACATGTTAGAATACGGTGCTAAAAGAGCGACAGCGCGAAGCAGTCTTTCCGCGACGTAACCTCTATTGGCACGATGCTCAATCGCTTCACACAAGACATGCAACCTATCAACCGCGATGTCCCCTCGGCCACGTGACGCTCTATGCACCCGAAATTTGTTCTAGCAGAGTGATCTATATAGACAGTCTATCCTGGAAACATCGAGAAGAACCAGGCTAACAGCACATCATACAGAACGACATGGTATATGTGGAACCTCCTCAACAGCAGCGCTAACATAGCTTCCAAAACCAGACGATGTCTTTCCGAACTCTCCTTCCTCAATGACCACGAGACCCGTCTTCTTGCGCGGCATCAAATCAGGCTGTCTCACACGCACCTTGCATCCCTTATTCGGAGAGCTTCTGTGCTTCGTGGATTTTCTGGCCAGGGTCGCGGCACCGTCATCGTCTTCGTTAGCCACGCGCGAAGTTGGTCGTTTGGTCGCATGATTGGCCTTTATTTTCTTCGTCTGAGCACTTTGAAGACTTTGCCTGTGCGCAGGATTGGGACGGGCGGATGTACTAGATGGCCTCAGTCGCGTCTTCGTAGACTCGGGTGCGTTCGTTCGGGGCGAAGCAACAGGAGAAGAAGAAGAAGCGGGCTTTGTGGATGTTGATTTAGGATCTGGGCCTGGATTTCGTGCTGGCGCTAAGGCGGAGATATCGTGGTGATTGACAATATTCCCGACCAATGTTGGAGCAAGCTTTGGTGTTGGAGCTGTAGTACCGGAAGCAGCGAGAAGATTGCCGCTTGATGAATCTGCGGATTGGATAGGCATTGAAGCAGATACAGGAGGGCCTACCGGAGATTTGTTTGGGCTGTTGGATGTCATCGAAGGCTTTGCAACAGTACATGGGGCCTGCAAGTCGCCTGGCATGTCTTGTGCTATGTCTTGTGCCATGGGAGGGATGCGAACATTATCTTGGACTGAAGCCATGTCACTCATGTTTGTATCCATGTCCATAAGCATAGGCTCGTCGGCTGTATTCGTTGTGTATGTGCCACAAGTCGCAGGAACCGTATGCTCGCCGGCCTTGTTCGGGATGGAATCATTCGAGTGTTGATCTTTCTCCCGAAACCACCCAGGCAATTCACTGATACCCATCTCCTTCAGCTTCTCCAGCGATGGTATTTCTTGTTTGTACCGGCATCCTTCCTCATTATTAGTCCACTTACATGCGCCATTCTTCACCCAGTGGCGGCAGTTTTCTTTATCTTTCGCGGCTACGGTGCGCTTGAGGGTGGACGAGCTTTTAGTGTAGCCAAGCCGATGAGCATCATTAGTGTAGATGGCTGCCATGCTGTCGGTGAGGGAGTTGGTTTTGCCATGGGTTGGACGACCGGAGATAATCGTTGATGTGGCCTTCTGCGCGTTGGGGGCGGCTTCCTTGGTGGGTTGCTTCGTTGGCGCCTCCTGTGCAGGTCCTTCATCAATAGACACATACTTTGCTGGTGTTTCTGTGGCGGCCACTTGCTTCGGGGACGCCTTTTCCATGGGAGCTTCCTTCACGGGCATCACTACACTATCCACGTTCTGCACTGGCTTGTCCTCAAATAAAACCTGTACGTCCGGGCTCAGCAGCGCAAGCGGAAACGGTATCTCAGATGTCTCCTCCAAGTACTTCCACCCGCCTTGGGACAGCTCTCGGTGGTTCAGGTTCTTGGGAAAGTCTTTCAAGTGGAAGGGTAATTGGTCAGCAGGTATAAGCGGCACGATGGTGTTTCCATGCTTTCGATGCACATAGTATCGGATTTTGGGGTCAAGACGAGTCGAGGAGGGTGATGGAGTGGAGGCCATCTGGCTCATTGTTCGAGTGGTAGCGTGTTCTGAAGGACGACGACCTTTGGAAGCCGAAGAAAAAGAGATTGAGGTCGGTCCAGCCAGACATGCTCTTATGCGGAGTGAGACTGTGTGAGCTCGTCCAAACTTTGCGCGTTTGTTGCACCAAAGCACAAGCGAATGCAGCGTGTGCCTGAGGGTTGTTCACTGGATGCACCAAAGCACAAGCGAATGCAGCGTGTGTGCCTGAGGGTTGTGCACCGATTGCCGCTACGTTTGGATGCCATCCGACAGGCAACGCGGTAGTTGTGAAGTCGGAGCGTGGGTTGACGCTCCCAGCAGGCAACGCGGTAGTTGTGAAGTCGGAACGCGGGTGGTGTTGACATGGTCGGCCCGGGCTAGGCAGGCACTACCGGCAGCCCTGTGCACATTACCCCACCAATCGTCGCGCGCGGTGCCAGACAGGGCGCCCTCTTGCGCCCTTGAGCCTCACACCCGAGGTTTGTCAAGCGGTCCACCAATCGATGACGCGCAGGAAGTGGACCGCGGAGCGGATGCAGTGCTCAAGTCGGACATGGCACCGTCCAAACCCCACCATCCCACCTCCAGCATTGCCCCGCGTCACTTCCCAAGCTTCTACTACATCACCCAAAACTTTTCCTTCTGCCTTCAGTCCCACACACTCGCACGCACTCTTCCCAACATGTCTCTCGGAAGAACCGTCAAGCTCAACACCGGTGCCTCCATCCCGTGAGTACCTGAACAGACCACCCCTGTTGACGCGTTACTGAACGCAATCCTACAGCCAATTGGGTTTTGGAACATGGCAGGCAGAGCCTGGCCAGGTCGAGGCTGCTGTCTACGAGGCACTCAAGGCCGGCTACAAGCACATTGACTTCGCCAAGGTCTACGGCAACCAGAAGGAGATCTCCAACGCCTTGAAGAGGGCTTTCACCGAGCTCGGCATCAAGCGTGAGGACCTCTTCCTCGTCTCCAAGCTCTGGAACTCCCAGCACCGCCCCGAGCACGTCGCCGCAGCCCTCGACGACTGCCTTGCTGAGCTCGGCCTCGACTACCTTGACCTTTACCTCGTGCACTTCCCCGTTGCCTTTGACGAGCGTGGCGACGTCAACCAGAACCTTTTCCCGCTACAGGACAAGTCCGACCACCCTGATGGCGATGTCAAGATCCTCGATGACATCTCCATCGTCGACACATGGAAGGCCATGACTAAGCTTCCCAAGGAGAAGGCTCGCGCCATTGGTGTCTCTAACCACACCAAGGAGCACCTCCAGGCTCTCATTGACGCCACTGGTGTCACGCCCGCCGCCAACCAGATCGAGCGTCACCCGCGTCTGCTTCAACCAGAGCTGATCAAGTTCGCCGCTGAGAAGGGCATCCACATCACCGAGTACTCTGTGAGCATCCTTCCCCACCACGACCTATGACTACAAGCTAACACCTCCAGGCCTTTGGAAACAACATGCTCGGCCTACCCCTCCTCGTCCAGCACGACACCGTCAAGGAAGTCGCAGCTGCCAACAAGGCCACTCCCGCCCAAGTTATCCTTGCCTGGGCCCAGGTCGGCGGTCACTCCGTCATCCCCAAGTCGGTCACCGCGTCGCGCATCCAGGAGAATTTCAGGGAAATTGAGCTGTCCAAAGAGGACTTCGAGAAGATCGAGGAGATTGGCAAGAAGGAGCCGCGCCGTTTCAACATCCCGTACGTTGCCAACAAGCCGAGGTGGCCGATCAACATCTTCGGTGAGCCGGAAGAGAAGGACGCGCCGCATAAGGTCGTCGTCTAAGTCTTGCAGTGTGAGTTGCAGGGATCAGACAAGGTAAAAAATAACATAACATAAATAGAATGAATCAATGGAATCCTCATGAACCTACCAGTCGCTGAGGTTTGAACACATGGGCAAGTGAAGTCATGCTATCCAGCAGGCTAATGCCCTTGTCGAGTCCGAAGATAGCGGTCATGATTACCACCGCGTCAGTCAATCGTTGCAACCGGGTTTGATCCCAACATCCCTTCTCTGGCCACCCTGCTGGTTTTCGTGTATTTAGTTGTCCGAATCATCTAACACTCTCAAGGCTTTGACTAAATCCTCATTTCCCACTGCTCATAGTGAGACTACTCCACCCAAATTCAATCAAAGGAAGTCCAAGAATGATAGATGCTGATCGTGACTGCACTCACTTAATCACGCAGCAGAGATCCCACTGACCTAGAACCGTATTGAGAAGGGCTCCGCGTGACTGCCTGCGATTGTCATGTAAGTATCGATACAGACGCATGTTGCTTGCTTGAAAGCAGGGTGAATGAAGATGCAGGTGCCGCCCTTGCAATGATGAGAAGGGCGAGCTGGGCGCATCTAAACCCGATCGAGCAATCGCACCTGTCGCCTTACCTGAAAGCCCACTCACTTGAAGCGGTTCGCAGACTCACTTGTGTTTGCTAGAAAGGCGCATGCGAGAGTTCGGGTTGCTGCCTGGCGGCGATTGGGGATTTTAGGAAGCCGCTCTGCCTATAAAGCACCTGGCATCCTCATCCTTTCAACGCCATCGAGAGCTTGGTAGAAATACCGGTTCTATGATCGCAATAGCCCTCTTACAACCATCTTACCTCGATACAGTCATGTCGGATCGTGCGACGGCCGCACCGCCTCCTCTTCGTCGACGCCTCCTTGCCGACATCGCGGAGGTTCAACAAGACCCTTACCCGGGCGTGCACCTGTACTTGGACGATCAGGACATAACACGCGCCTGCTTGGTCTTGACGCCGCAGGAACAGAAGCCGCTGCATTTGGAGATCAACTTTCCGACTAATTACCCCATTTGCGCCCCAAATGTTACGATCCAGAGTCATGTCGACCATCCGAACATCTTCGACAATTACATCTGCGCAACGATCTTGAACACGGATGAGGGCTGGACGCCGGCTTACACCCTCAAGGGCATCCTGATCCAGCTTCTGAGCTTCTTCTCGAGCGATATGATCGAGCAGGACGACGGCCTTGCAGGCGAGAAGGTAGATCTCGCCAGCTACAGAGCGCAGAGGAGGGCTGCTCGCGAGACGTACCGTCAGTACCACACAGAAGAGAGACATGACAACAGCACCTGGTTCTACGAGTGCTACTGCTGTGGTTTCAATAAGTCGTGGGTGCCTTCAAGGCCGGATCCGGTCGCGCGGAAATTTGCAGTCATGGCGAACAAGCAGGCTGCAAAATCGTTCGTTCATCCGGAACACTCTAAGCTGTTTGAGCTTCCCGACGAAGTTATTCTTAATCTTTTGTCGTGGATGGACACTACAGATATCATCTTTTTCGCCGACGCCGTACCCACCATCAAGCATATGCTTATCTCGTACGACTTCATTCGTCTTCGCGAACTGCAGTGCTTTTGCCTGAAGAAGTCCTTTCTGACGGCCAAGCTCGGTGTCGGTGTTTCAATCGCTGGTGGTAGGAAGCCAGTCTTTCGCTCCGAGTTCGACTTGCTGTCCAACGAAGCATACAACCTCTTCGGTGTTCGTAAATCCATACAGGGCGTCGGCTTCGAGAAATGGCTCCCTATACCCCTTTCGTATCGCCACTGGAAGTCTGTGCAGCAGAATGCGGGCCATGCCTTAGAAGGATTGCGGGTGGCTGCGGGGCTCTACGAGACAGACAAGGTAGCTGTCCTCTACCACTTCATGAACTCGATCGTGGTGCAATTCTCCAACGATGCCGCACGCTCTTGGGAGAAGCCAGATGCACGAAGCACCTTATCGCACGCGTCTGAGAAGGCAGTGGAGTCCTACTTCGCTTTGTTCCACCTTCTCTTGTGTTTTGCGACTGAGAACTCTACTATTGTGAATAACGCAAACCGTATGGTTGCGCGCTTCCTTGTCGGACCACGTACCAAGACGCACTTCCCAGACCTTGGCCATCTTCTCGTGGCAGCGCTCATCTCCCATACGGGCCTCACTCAGGAGCTGACTTTACACATCATAAAGGAAGCAATCCTGCGTAATGTGGTCTGGATGCTCGATATTAGAGGTGCCGCTATGGCTGAGCTAGCGTACCTCGAGCCCACGCCCATCTCCGACTATCGGCTTCAGAAGACTTTTGGAGCATCGCGCACGTCCTACCGCCTCCTTATGTTCCTCAAACTATTCAGCTCCACCGCACGAACCCCCGGGAAGACACTCGTGCAGCTGCGCGAGATACTGTTTGACACGCACAGCGCACCGCCGCCCGGTATGACCGCCGCTATGGCCCACAAGATCCGTGCAATTCATTCTATCGATTGCTTCCCCCAGTTTCTGACAGCCATGGGCATTACCCAGATGCCAGCTAGGTCGGAGTTCACAGCGTTTCTGCGACGCACCATTGGTGACAGCGTGAACGCGGGATACTCGCGAATGCCTATGAGCCAGAGCCAGTTGTATATGATTCGGAGGCTGTATGAGCCGGCTGTGGAGCGTTCGAAGGAGGTGCAAATTACGCCCCAATTGGAGGTTTGGTTCGAGCGCGGGGAGAAGTGGTATGGAAACGGGTGGAATGGTAGGCCAACTTTCTTCCCTCAGGAGACTAGAGCAGGTGGTAGCCGTGGTCGTGGTCCCAGTAGAAGGCAAGGATAGCAAGCGGATCTGAGGAGCCAGAATGCAAATTCAGATGCCAATTTGCGTACACTTTGTCATAATAGAATATGCCATCGCTCATACCAGGAATTGAGGACAAATAATTCCGAGTAGACTCTCTAATTACTAATATAATCATTACGTGCGCAAAATATAGAAGATCAAACAGTGAAATGAGACAGGTGAATGCACTGACGTCTAAAGTTGCACGGTTCGACGCCCATGACGCATGCGAGTCATGCCCGGTTTCACTCATGCATTGCTCGAGTCACCACACATAATACGTCCCTGCCCAGTGCGTGGCTTTGCAACACGTTTTGGTCGACAATATCTCATCTTTTGTGCAGTTCTTATTCATCTATCGACAAGGGGTTCTGCGCGTGCTTTCGTGAGCCACGTAACAGCGCCCATATACACATCTATCCCTAATAATTACAATAGAAAATGGTATCAGGCGCTTACTTCTGCGCCTGTGCCGCCAAAGCAGCGGCTTCCTGCCCGAACCTCGTCTTTTTCCTCAAAATATGGCCCCACTCATAGAGGGCAACCAAGCATGGTACGAACACCAGTGCCATGAAAGCCGGGATGCTAGACGCCCAGTGAATGCCCAACTTGTTGTATAGATCGTTCGTGAACAAAGGAAATGCAGCACCGGCGCAGGAGCGCAAGACAGTGCTAGCAGCAAGTGCAGACGCCGAATATGCCAGATAAGAGTCTACCAGGTAGTTCGTAAGACTGATGTACAGAAGAACCATGCCGAAGCCGAAGAAAACGCCTGCACTGACGCTGATGAGCCAGAAAGTTTCGGGTCCGTTGGTCCATGCAAACCAGAACAGGCCGATGGGTAGGACGACAGCGCCGAGCATGGCGGGTGGAAGGCGCGCTTCGGGCGGTGCGACGCCGTTGTTGCGAGCTACCACACGAGCATATCGCCTCTGGTCGATCAATGCAACGTAGAAAAGGGAAAGGACAATGCCAATGACCAGTGCGAGGAAAGGAAGTGAGGCGACGCCCTGAGGCCAACCGCGGACTTGTTGAAAGACGATAGGGTAGGCGGCGAAGAGAAGGAAGAGCGTGCCGTGGACGACGGACAGGAAGAGGGAGAGGAGCGTGACAATGGGCTCGTAGACGAGCATGATCCAGGGGCGCAAGGCACCAACACGGAGTTGTGTGCTGATCGGCTTGGGTGTTGCGCCTGCGACGATGTGCTTTTTGCCGGTTTCCTTGGTCAACTTGTTGGCGCGGCGTTGTAGTAGCACGGGTGCGTATGTCTCCGGGAAGGTGAAGGTCAAGACGAGCCAGGTGGGAAGAGACGCCGCAGTGACGAAGACGACGAGGCTGCGCCAGCCGTGGTAGGCATCGAGGAATCCGCAAATAATGGGACCCAAGTTCTGGCCCAGAAGGCCTGCGAGGGTGAAGATGCTGAGTACCAATCCACGCTCTTGTGCGTCAAACATGTCCGCGACCACGGCCGGGGCGACCGCCTGTGTGAAGGAGCCAGTAAGTCCACCAAGAAAACGTAGTACAATTACTGCAGTCATGGAGGAAGAGAAGAACAATGCTCCGGTCAGCAAGACGAATGCACCGAAGGTCGAGATATACAACTCGCGACGACCATACACTTCGCTCAATGGCGACAGTACGAGAGCTCCGGCCGCAAATCCGAGGACGAAAGCAGACGTGGTCATCAATGCAACAACCTGATCGATGTTGAACTCGGTTTTCAAGTCTCGCGTCCCTACGTCCATGTTAACTATGTCGCTTTTCTCGAGCCATGTACAAGGGAAGCGTACCTTGCGAGAATCCGGACGATGCAATCGATACCATGAAGCATGCGAATGCGAGGATCATCGCGTTCATCCACTTTTTTCCCTTTCCAAAGTTCAACGGGTTTTTGGCATCGCCCTCCTCCCAATGCACCAAAAATTGTTCTTTCTCCTTCAACAACTTTGTATCGTCGTCACTATTCAATGCTCCTGACTCCCTGCCCACCCAACTCGGCCGCCTCTCAACGTCAAACTCCCCACTCCATACTCTTTCTGGTACGTCCGCCTGGGCCACAGGAGCCAACCACGTCTGTCTCTTGCCCACCCATTGCTCGTGCTCGTAGTTCGCGCGCGGCGCTCGTGGAAGAAGCGTACTGTCCACAAGAAAGCTCATGCGCGAAGCACGAGCTTCAGTGTCGAAAGCGTTGGTCCATCGTTTATTTGGTGCTACGAAGGAACCATAACGGTCAGGCCAGGGCGCACTAAGCTGGATGTCGGAAGTGGTTGGGTCTGGTGTCGGCCAGATGGTTTGACGATTTTGTTTCCGGGCGAAAAAGCGGGAGGAGCGGCCGGTGTTGTGGGATGCCATCGCCACCTAGAGTGTTGTTGGGATGAGGGGACACCAAGGTGGTAGAAGAAGAAAGACGAATGAGATCGAATGTAATAGATACTGAGATCGTAGGCCTCGAAAGTATATCGAAATAGTGACCTGCACGGTAAAGGAATGGTACAAGAACTGAAGAGCAGTCGAGTCTACCTAGTAAAGACAGACATGCAAAGCACAAGATACGAAGAAACGAAAAGACGAGAAACGTCACGTAAAGGAAGAAGACGCAAACAGAACGGAAACGACGCTGGAGAGCCAAGAGCTGAGCTGCGTGTTTCTAGGCCAAGCACTCTTATGTTGTTACCTTGATCAGGGGTGGTATATTCACAAGGTTGTGCATGTGCGTGAATGCGTAGCTATGGGCCCACTCCGTACTGTTGACGTACGGACGCTACGTTATCAATCCACCAAGTGTTGCCTCTGATAGATGGCCCTCATGGGGCTGGGCCTGGGGCATGGCGGAGTGTCCTGCCTTGTGAAACATGATCCACTGTCGTCGGTGCGATGGCAGATTATCGAGATGACCAAATTTCGCCTCCGGAGGTTGTCCAACTTCAGCGAACATACACTGCTCGACTAACTCATACTCCGTCCCAAAGGCCCGATTCCCCTCAATCCTCTGCATGCATCACTTGCTATTTTCCTCACCGCCACCAACGATACTCGCCACCTCAGCCTCCTACCATCATGTCCACGTCCAGGACATGCATCCCACGCCCAGTCTTCCCAATCTCAGCCTCAGAAACACCCACCAAATCACCGTCTCCAAGTCCGGAATCAGAAGAAACATTCTGAGGCAGCAAGGCGGTATTTGAAACTTTTTCCTTAGGCCTCCTCAATACTGCCATCCCGCGCACGCCAACTCGTATCCGTGCAGCTCATACAAAGCAAGCGTTGGTCCGGCAGTGGTGGCGGCGGACAGCCTGCGAAACGGGACGTGCACCAAGCGCTGGCATTGGGGCGGCTATGAATGGGTCTGTCTGCGTAGACGACGCGCGGCGCGGCGCGATGCGGTACAGAAGGCAAGAGACAGCCGTGGATGGGTTGTGTGACGTCTGTCAGTGATGATACTATATAGAATTTGGTGGAGGCGCGGAAATGGTGAGGCAGCATGGGTGTGTAGTTTACGGTACAAGATGCGTAGAGCTGATCATAAGCCTCCGGCCGGACCGTCGGAGAATTGTCGAGGCGCGCTGCCGCTGGCGGATTTTCGAAAAGCTTGAAACATCTCTGGGTGACGGTTAATGCACATCTACTCCAAGAATTTGGGAAGGTAACCTGTTGAGGACAATCCGCTATCAGAAATCAGAAATCACGACGCTGTATCTAACCCAAGACCCTTCTACATGTGGCCCACGTATCGAACGGCACTCCGTATGTCGCTATTGCCTGGACAAAGCTCACGACTCCAAGCACACGGATGTACTGACTAATTCTTGTTCACGCACATTAAGGTCTTGCTTGACTCGGCGAGACCGATGTGAGCGCAACGGCATCTCTCATGCCCACGACATTAGAATCGCAAATGCGCTAGATATTATAGTACGGAAGTCTTGGAATCACGCAACTCGTTTGGATCTCTTAGTAGTGGTACTGTTGAAAAAGGAAGCAACATGCGGTGAGCATTCGGACGCTACAAGGCCATCATTGGCCATATCCTGACTACCACGACCCAATTTCGCTAGCATTTCCCTCCACGCTCAGCGACGGCGCTACTCGTCCATGTCCTTTTCAGGCGATCGAAAACACTGACGCTCGGCTTGTCGTCCTTCAAAGATCCTTAGGAACAGGCCCGTCGCTCTGACCATCCCAACCGCCTGCACCAAGCCACTCGAAGTAGCACCAAAATATCCGATGTGAAGCGCCATTGCGGACGTTGCGACTGTCGTCTTTGCAGCCGTAGCTCTCGCTTGGGTACCCGTCTTCCGGCAGATCCGCATTGGCTTGCAGGTCGTTAAACTTGAGACGCCGTCCGCTCGGGAGATCTATCATAATCTCGAAGTCGACCGGATTGTCGTCCTTTTTGTCGACAGTGAACTCGATGTCGAACGGAAAGCAGTCTTTCTGGGGACGTCCAAAGCACTGTATCGGCAGACTATCATCGCCGCGTCCGGCCTCATTCTGGGCCGGATCGAACAACCTCCAATGCAAGTCGCTTACTTTTTGCTCGATCATGATCTCCCACTTGCCTCCAGCCTGGATTGGTCTGGGCCCGAGGGCTTCCGTTGATGTAGCCGAGGGTGTCGGATGGGCGGTTTGCGACAGTGTCGGTGCTATCTTCTGCTCGGTAATCGTCTCGTGCGCAAGAGTTGGAGCTACGGGCTTCCCTATGCTAGTCACATCGTGCTTCATCGTCAGCACTGGGATTGAGATGGTGTCTTTCTTCATCGTCAGCACTGGGATGGAGATGGTGTCTGTCTTCATCGTCAGCACTGGGATGGCGATGGTGCCTGTCTTCATCGTGAGCACTGGGATGGAGATGGTGTCTGTCTTCATCGTGAGCACTGGGATGGATATAGTGCCCGTCTTCATCGGCAGTGAAGGTATTAAGATGGTACTGTTCGAGAAGTTATCCCCTTCGTCATCGTTGATACTGAGGGGACTTAAAGGACACGATGCTCCACTAGTGTCGTTCTTCATGGAAAGGGTCGGGATCTCAATGGTAACGTTCTGAGGGTTGTCACCTTCGGCATCGTTAATGTCGAGGGGAACCCAGGGACATGATCCACCGCTGGTGTCGTTCTTCATGAAGAGTGTCGGGATTTCAATGGTACCATTCTGGGGGTTGTCACCTTCGGCATCATTGATGTCGAGGGGAACCCAGGGACATGATCTACCGCTGGTGTCATTTTTCATGAAGAGGGTCGGAATGACTATGGTGTCGTTGAAATTGTCTCCGTCGTCGTCCTCGATGATGAGCGGACTCCAGGGACACGATCCACCGCTGCTGGTCGCATTGGGCATCATCTCGAGGTAGGGTATCGGAATTCCAGTAGTCATGACGCTAACGTTTTTAGAAAGCCCCGAGTTGATCCCTTCATCTTCCCCCCAAATCAAAGGCGCCAGCGTACAACCACCAGCTTTACTGGTGGTTGAGAGAGTCTTGGTCGCGCCCCCGGTGACATCGCACCCAACGATCGGCGAGACCGTACTCATGCAGCTCGACGTTTGAGTGCCTCCATTGGAGTCTGTGCCGACAAGACAGGATGAGAATGTCGAGTAGACGGTGGATGATTCGGTGCAAGAAGGAGTGTCCGTCAGGGTCTGCCACTCGGTAGTAGTGAGCCCCTCCAGTGGTGGGCAACCCCCAAAAGCCATGCTCTGTGCCGTGCAAGTCGAAATGGTCGTGGTCGATGTTTCATTATGCGCGATGAGGACCGGCATGCCTAGACGCGCAGGTACGAAGTCAGCTAAGTCATAAAAGTGGAGACGGTACGAAGTGTTTATGTCTAAGACAGATCGACTTCGTACCCGGGCATTGCGTACTCCTTTTGACACACAGACTCAGGACCTCTGTGACTGTGACGTAGTCTTTGGGCTTACACGTGGGTTTCTTCGTCGACTCAGGCGTCTCGGATGGCTTGGTCGGATGGTTTTTCCCGCCAGGTGGTGGACCGGGCTTGATCTTTTTACAGTCTTCACAAGTGCCGCATACCTATGGTAAATGTTAGAGGAAGGTCACTAAGAGATTGTTCACGCTACTTACCGCTGCGGGGCAATCAGGGTCGCATCCATTTTCGCTATGGCAATATCCGTCGCAGCCGATGATTCCACATGGTATTTCTGGATGTAATTCCGGACAGCCAACCCACTTGCAGGGATTGCATTCGAACAAATGACCGCACGGGGTGATCGTCCACCAAAGAATTTCCATGCCCCATTTCAGCCAGCATCCAATGTCTGGGATCGGGAACCACGGCTTGAATCCGCATATAGGTGGCTCGGGACACCCAGGTGGCCCATAAGGAAGACCAGACCAACCGCACCCACAGCCGAAGAAGCCGCGTGTCTTGATACCGTTCTTTGCACGCCCAGAATCTTTTGGGCAATCGCCATCTGGCTCACCTTCAGGCAAGATCAACCAAGGAACAACCGGAAACTCGTCATCGGAGTCGGAATCATCGCAGTCCTCAGTACAAATTATCACCGGGATTGGTGGAACCACTGAAAGGTTTGATGCGGATGTAGGACTAGGAGTAGACGTGCGCATGCTGTTCCAAGGAAATCCGATGCACCAATCAAGATCCTTACACTCTTGAGGAGCGATCGTAGGGAAGGGGATCATAGTGTACAGAGCCAAGCACCAATCGAACATGCAGCACTGCCAAGGCAAGTCCCAGAACTGATAGGGATACTCCTGAGGAAACACGCAGTGACGGATGTTGTTGGGCCACTCAGTTGGTGCAGGCTGTCCAGGTGGGGGAAGAGGAAGGAGACCAGGCAGGAGAGTTGTCTGTCTGGCTTGACATTGTCCCTTCGGGATCGGTTGGACAGAAGATTGCGACACATTCGTCACCGTAACAGGCCAGAAGCTCATTACATTCGTAATGATGGGAGCCTGAGTAACAACAGACGTTGTCGTCCCAGTGGAACCTCCTTGCACATATATATTGGTGATCTGAACCTTTGTGACCGAACCGCACGCAAAAGATGGAATCTCTTTGGTGGTGGTGACGGTCGATCCGCCGCCAATCGTAAGAAATGTCTCAGTAATATTCGCGCAGATAAAAGTGCTCTGTAAAGACAACATCGACGAAGGTAGGTCGAAGGTGCATGGAGGACTACAACGAAGAGCAGCGGAGGTGTTGCTCCATATGTGCGAGGGTGCACTGAGAAAGTTGCTCGGTGCAGACGTTCCAAAATCCGCTGTGCAGCCCTTCGTTGTTTCAACTGCAGGCCACGGAATTATTGCGGGCATCCCTGACGATGTGGACGTGGTAGCACTTGAGGACGAAGTGGTCGGGATCAAAATCGTGACACCACGAGTGGGAGAGGTCACACTAGAGGGCATAGAAATTCCCGATGATAGCTTCAGCGTTGTAGAAGAGCTTTGCGGTTCTAGTGTAGGAATACTAAACACGGCGTCAGTAGCGCTGCTCGATTTACTGAGCCACGATGGGCGAACAGCCGTGAAAGTTGAGCTAGTCCTATCGAAAGAGGTGCTGGTCTTGCTTTTTGTAGCCAACGAAAGAGACATGGATGTAGAATCGGAGGAGGCCGACAAGGTCGTAGTCGGACTGGAAATTGCGGAGGCTGAAGAATGGCTGCTCTGTGACGAGAAGAGCTCAGAGCTCGTGGTGACGCTCGCGGAGGGATCTAATGAAACTCGACTCTCGGAAGATAATAATGTCGACGAACGCCCAAAGCTTATATCGACGCTCACAGAGGAAGTGAATAAAGTCAGACTCTCTGGACGGGAAGAACCAACTGCTGAGCTTCGGCTCATAAGTGATGATACACTTGACATCGAGCTCTCTGTTGTGGACGAGTTCGCAGCCGGTGGCGCGCTTGAGGTAAGACCAGTCGAAGATGCGAGATTGACCGAGGTATGTTTCGCTGTTGACGACATGCTCAAGGAGCCTTCAGAAGTGCTTGGCACTGTATCTGAGGAATGAATTGATGAGACGATGGAGCTGACAGGAGGTGCGACTGAAGAAGCAGATGAGTGGCCCGGGCCCACGGGGGAAAGCTGACCATTATCGTCACACGAGTCGTAATCGATGGCCCACACAGCAGTGCCGCCCATGCAACGCTCGTTTGCGAAGTCTTTCTTCAGCGCGAATGTTCGGTCATTGTCGTAGCTGATCCACTGGTTACCCCAGGACAATTGCATTGCACTGGTACCTCCTTCGATAAAGCTCGGAGTCAGGTTCCGATCCTTGATAATACGCTTTATCTCACAGCCGCTGAGAACACCAGCTTGAGTGGAACAGTTGCCTGGATTGCTTGGACCAGTGAACGAACAACCATAGTACAGGCAATTGGGGTCAGCAGCAGTGTATCCACGGCCATAATAGGCAAGACCAAGGGTAAACTTGCTTGGGTGAACACCGGTAGCCCACATAGCTTCTAAATGAGTATCGATCTCTTTCAAGTCAGTGTGCGGGCGGATTCTGGCTCCAATTGCTGGGTTGTTCTCGTCCCATGAGCCATGGAGATCGTACGTGAGAATGTTAAACCAATCGACGTGTTGCGACAGACCCTTGACATCGATACCTTGCAAAAAGGTGTTATCATGGGGCAGAACACAAGTGAGACCATAGTCCTTCCCGAGTGCATCACGCAGCTCTTTCATGAGATTGACCTATAGTTGTTAGACGGTCCGACCGCAAGGAGGCAGTTGATGTTGACATACCTGGTTCTGTGTGTCCTCAGGGTACCCACCGCGACTGGAAGATGCAGGCCATTCCCAATCAACGTCGAGCCCTTGGAAGCCATATTCTTTGAGAAATCGAAGCGTCGACGTGATGAAGGTCTTGCGGTTCGCAGGACTACTGGCTAAGTCGGACCAAGTGGTGCGCGTTGGACCCTCATCACTGAATTCCCAGCCGCCGACACCAAGCCAGACCTGTATGCCACGGTTCTTGAGTTCCACAAACTCACGATAGACGATATCGTCTTGTGGGTTCTGCAGGCGTATCTGAAATGATTTGGGGTCGATATAAGCGAAAGCCAAGTTGAGTTGGGTCAAACCGTCGATTTTGATCTGTGATGGTCGAACTTTGTCGCAGGGCCGCGTTCGGATGTTCCATTCTCTATATACACGTTAGAGAGACACATGGCACGAAGTCAAGCAGGAGAGCACAGAGTGTAAACAGCAGACGAAGGGCTTACTGGTAATAGGCAATGGAGCGGGCATTGGCGCTACTGCCACCTCCGCAACTCGGCTTATCCACAGTGTTTCTGAAATCCTGCGCGATGAGGACATTGCCGTGAGAATCCCGATTGGGAAGGGTGTCGTGGAGTGAGAAGCGTGGTGCGCCGAAGAATGTAACATTCGAGGCAATGGCAAGGGCGCCCGCAAAGGCAGACAGACAAAGCAGATGCATGCTGTCGTCAAGGTGGAGAAAGCGCCCCCAGCAAGAGGGAAAGCGGTCGCTCTGCTGGCGGAAGAGAGAGCGCTCGACTGGCGCAAAAGGAGGGCGGGTGGCAGGTGATGAAGAGAGCGTCTTCGAGGCCAGGAGATTGAGCCAGAAAAACGACGAGGTGTTATAGAGAAGTGATTAGAAGAGCAGGTCGACGGTCGATTTATGTTGAAGTGAATCACCGCACCTGCCTTGGCAATGATACCGCACCTGCCCTGGCAACGAGGTCCGTGCGGCCCACATCTGTGAGAGCAGTCCGTCACCGCGAGGTTGAATTCGAATTCTTAGGCCCGAGCGAAAGACGCTTTCCTAATCCCTCCAGTAGGGGAAGTGCTCGACTCGTCGCGCTATATAAATCACCATCTGACCGTGGCGTAGGGATATACTGAGATGCACCCTACGCATGAACAGTGCAATGAGATATACAAGGTACGATATCTCTTCTGTAACGTGCTATTCAACACCCTCTCTAGGTCAAGAGTTACATGTGTTGTCTTTATAGCCGCACTACATCTTCGACTTGCTCAGAGTCGCTAAATCCAATCGGTACAATATAGATAGGTTTTAGGAACCGACGGTAGAATTTTTAAGCGCTACTGCGGCTATTTCAGAGCTAAGTAGATGGTTGGACAACAACGTAGAAGTGAGGCGATGCCCGCCCAAGGTGATAATCACCGGTATTATCCTCGACTGCTTCGGCCGGCGCGCCTTCTTCGTCTATAATCCTTTCTGGGGCATCTTTCAGTGGCGCACTCGTCATCACATCACTCAACATTGCGATGTTTCTTGGTGGTCTTCCTTTGCGGATTTAACAGTTTCGGTGGAAAGGATGAATTCGAGGAGAGAGACCGAAGAGATGCTGCTCCAACGGAGATTGATCGGAGGCTAGAGATATCAAGGTTACGTGACGTAGCGCTCAGTTGATATTGCCCTTACAGAGCTGCCTCATCTAATTGAGAATGGTGTCCACGAAACCTTCATACCATCAGCACCTGCCCAGGTGGTGTTCACATAGCTACGATGTCACCTCTCAGCTGCTGCATTCAGCTGGCTGGGTGACCCCCGAGCCGCCAGTCTTGTTGGCTGTTGAGAAGATGGAATCATACATTAGTGGTTGTCTCCTTGTTAGAGTCTCTATCCTCATACATGTATCTACATAGTGGTAACATGCTAGAATCACCTACAATAGCAACTGGCTAACGATTGTACCTTCTTTTGGCAGGTCATGCCATATGCATTTGCCAGCATTGGCTGGGAGTTCGCTCAGGTGTATACGCGGTTTCACGTTCACTGAAATGGTACATTACGGGTTTCTGTTTGGGGATCAAGTCTAAAGAAGGTCTAGGAATGCATTACTCTCAAGATTAGATTCATCGCTCTCTGTTCGATCCTTCCAGGAATGAGAGGATTAGCTCTGGAGGAGGTCGCAAACACTTCGGCGATGATTCGGACACTATCGCTATCCTATGCACAAATACCTAGGTACCGCAGATGCCGGGAGGGGAATGCTACACACTGAAGAAAACAACACCAAGCCATGTTGTGGGCATCGGAAAAACACCGCTGCATGAGCGTTCGAGCCGGGCTCAGTCAGCACGTCAGTGGTACTCTGGAAACTCCGTGAGGGAAAATCAGAATTGAGGGGAAAGAGAACGGGGGGGAAAGGACAAATTCCATGTCTGGGTACCAAGAGAATGTGTCAGTGGCCTTGCCGGCAAATATTTGGCCGATGGGAATGGAGTCAGGCTTAGTCTCCACAAGCTAAAAAGGATATGGCATAGTTTACAGGCGATCGCTGAGCAAGAAGCTTCGCACATTTAAAAGGACAACGTTGAGCCAGCCCAGGACAGTAAGCGGTGCTATAGTACGGGCAACGAAGTAGCCTGCTCTGGGTCGACATAGTCGCGTAACAGGGTGTTCTACAAAAAGGAAGAGAGCGTTCAGGTTGATGGTTCAAGTCCTGATCTGTGAGCGGATATGGTGTCGGGAATTCAGAGTACGACTTAGCGGGTAGAGCACACCAGTCGAACGCGTCCCAATCAGATGTATAGTGGAGCTTGATGTATGTTGAAGCTTGCATGAGCCGCACTGGCTCTAGGTTCTTTCGCAATGTAGCTGGTGCTGCGGGGTCAACCCCTACACACCAAAGGATGTCTATTATGGTGTAACCAACAAAGCGTTTAGGCGAATACCATCGTGCTGAGACTTACGCTAGTGGCGCATTTTGAAGTACAGCGCTTTCCGATCAGGCCGTTCGTTCGCTCTGGATTGTTACAGGGACCTCTACCATAGATGCGGGATTCTTTGTGGGCGCGAGAATCCGTAACGTTGACATGAGCTGCCATCATGATGCATCCCGACAGATGCGAATTCAACACGCGGGCACCCTGCTATGCGAAGTTCAGTGACAAGACGTAGACGTGCAAACTCAGAGCATCATCCTAGGGTGTTCCAGATCGCGCACATTGATTATCCAGTGCGCACAAGTCACCAGGAAAGGCAACGTAGAGACTGCCTTCGAGCCCCGTCCGCAGAAACACAGACCTGGAGGAGTCGATCGCCACGGCGCCAGTGCGGACCCTTCTTTTCAAGGCCAAAGCAGCGGCAGCACCCAGGTGCCCAAGCTTCCAACAGTGGAGAATGGGGCGAATTGGTCGGGATCTTGAAGAACCCGAGCGTGTACGGACGGAAAACAGCCTTGGAGAGCTGTTGCCGCTTAACTGAGAATGGCACGTTTTCATGCACAGGCCGCTGATGATAGACAGCCTCTCGCGCGAGATGCGGACTTGTAGACTTTTGTGCGTGATATGCGGCCCCAGACCAACGAGATTACGCCCGACCCATAATTCGCGACACGAAGGGTAACGTGAAACTCTTGAGCCATCGCGCACGAGCTCTTGGTGCGAGCATCGGCCAATTGACACCCACGTCGAAGCGTACCAGACTTGGCGCTCCGACACGCTATTGCGGCGTGTGCGGGTAGGCGGAGTGAGTGCGAGACTATATGCAGTCCGGCTGCTTCCCGCTATACTGTCCTCTCGGCCTCGTTCCTCCAAGATTTTGGAGCTCGCACCACTGCAAAATGGCCGCCGAATGCTACGCCAACAACGGATCGCTCTATGCAAACACCGCGGCCACGTACGTGCCCTGCAACATAACGGCCGTTGAAAATGGCGAACACTCTTCTTGTTGCGCCATCGGAGATCTTTGCATGACCAACGGCTTGTGTATGGAGCAACAGAATGAGCAAAAAGGCGCAAACCACTACTGGCGCAACGGCTGTACCGACAAAACATGGAAGGATCCCGCATGCCCTAATTACTGTCGGGGCAAAGGTATGCTCACATCTGCTCTCGACAAAAGCCCGCTCACATCTGGACATAGAGGAACCCGACCACTTCAACGCTTTCATCTTTTACTGCTTCGACCCTACAAATGATTTCTGCTGCGCACCACAAGGCACGCTTGAGGCAGGAGTCACCGGACGTAATACGAGTTGCTGTAACGATGATGATTTGGTGTTCCAGGCCGCTGCGCCAGTCATAGAAGGGACTGCAGCCGCAGCACTCCCGCGGCTCACCACCACGTCCTCCATCAGTGCTTTTACTTCCTCAGCGTCCACCAGCAGACAGCCAACATCCGGAACCTCCATGGCTGCAGCCACCACAACCGCACAATCGGAGACCGCAACTCCAACCGCATCGGCCGAGTCGTCTGGCATGTCGTCAGGCGCAAAAGCAGGCCTGGGAGTCGGTGTCACATTAGGTGTCGTTGCAGTCCTTGCGATCGTGGGTGCTGTGTTCTTAATGCGACGGAGAAAGGCAAACCGTCACAACAACGCGATACTCCTCTCAGATTCGAAAGCCAATCCGCCGCCATATATCACGTACGAATCGGCAGGAACCGTACGCGCAGAACTTGAAGGGACTATGTTGCCAGCGGAGATGCATCATGCTTCGGACAAGATGGGCAGCACAACCAGTGCCAGCAAAGAGATCAGCCCATCGACTCCGACGAAAGAGGATACTATAACAAAGTACTCTTAGATCGAGAGACACGTTTTGGCGATCATGGCTCACCCATCTCATCGCTACCTACCATATCGATCCCCAAGTGCAATAATATATCCCGAGCATATGCCGCCGCAGAATGCTAACCGCACTCAGCGACCCAACAAATACTTGGTCCGGAGCCATGAGACGAGAAAGCTCGTCTTTACTATTGTGGTTCGATGAAACATGGGAATCACCTCGACAGAGCAGCTGTGCGACGACATAATGTTGGCTGTGCCGACGATACCTTGACAATGGAGGCTAAGCCTCCTATTCTTTCGAAGCGAAGATACCCATTAAGATATACCATAATACCATTTGCAGTTCGCGGGAATTATCACTTGTACTAATGGCTGCATACCTGCCACTTTGTATTCTACTTGCCTCGCTTTTCAAATTTGCTCTTTGTAACAATGAAGACTGGACCACATAGACTCCAGTGTTTCCACAGCTCCTCTCGCATATCAATTTGGAAACACCGCTTCCCAAGTCATCTCTCAGATTCATCTTTTGATTTCTAAACTCAAATTAGATATCGACCCACACCTCTGATAGACAGGATGGAGCATTATGCACGCATCAGAGGCCGTCTGCCCAAATTGATCCTCCGTCCTTCCAAGCTTTCTGTGTAATAGTATTCGAATCAAAGTCGTGATTGGAAGGCTACCTCGCGGCAAATAAGGAACTGTATATTAAGAACGTTTACCGGCACTTCTACCCCACACTCTTGAGCATGCCGGCAACAAGCGACATATATATACGCGAACAGCATTTGGACGCTCATGTCCGACTCTTTTCACCATCCAAGGGGCACTAATCATGATGCGCGGCGCCCTACTTGCCTTCGTGGGTACTGTTGCCGCATTAACCGACATCGAGCACAAACCCTTCATGAGAAAGAACATCGACCCAATCATCCTCCCTGGAAAATATGTCTCCCATATGCATTCCTTCTACGGCTCCGACGCCGTCACAAAGGACCTTCCAACCACCGAAGACCTCCAGAAAGGTTGTCCGTCAGGTGAGAATCCAAACGACTTGTCAGTATACTGTACGCTTCTCCCTTCGTGCAAACCCATGCAACGACACACTAATACTTTCAGGGGCACCAACCCTCTACTACGTCAATGGAGACACGTACACAGAGATCTACCCCGCGACCTTCAAAACCTACTACGAGAACATCGACCGCGCCGAGATCTCGTTTCCGCGCGACCTGTACATGGTCGCCGGCAATGCGTCTGCAAAGTCGCAGGCTGATATCAACGAGAAGGTCACGGCGTTAACGTGGTGGTGCGATACGGGTGCAGATGATCGCAACAGTCGCCCAAGAGCTGCGTTTCCAAGAAGGACATGTAGCGCGCACATGCAGGCGATACTGAGGTATGCTAAGCAGAAATCAAGACTGGACTGTCAGGTCATCAATTAACATTGCACGTCAGGTTCCCGGACTGCGTTAACCCAGACAAGGTTACAGAGTATGCATACGCGGCTGCGAGTCCTGGTGGAAAGTGTCCCAGTGGGATGAAGCGGATGCCGAGCTTGAGGTTCTCGGTGAGGTATAACACCAAGGCTGTTCCGGGTGGGTGGAGCGGCGTGCCGCCGTTCAAGCTTGCTTGCGGAGAGGTAAGACCTGTCCTTTGCTTTCACTACATCTCCGAAAGATGACGTATGCTGACGGATACCAAAGATTGGTGACGGTTATTGCTTCCATGGTGACTTCATCAACGGCTGGTTTGAGGACGCCGCACAGAATATGCTAAAAGCGAAGGGGCAGTCTTTCATGGCCGTTGATGGCGCGCATGGTAAGGGGAAGGTACCATTCAACCAGAATTGCAAACCGAAGGATCGGGATCCGGGTGGGGGGACGAGTGATTATCATAAAAGCTTGGAATTGATGGGTCATATGTAGACTTTGTTCAGCTTCAAGCTATTGCACGTGAGAATATCTTGCCTTTTTGCTCCTGATAGCATTATGAAGACTGCTTGGTCGATCATGTTAATACAGTGATATACCTATGAAACCTTTGTCAGCTACGGCCACTGGTCCGACTGTACAGATGTGGACAGGTCGAATCATCATACCCGAGCAGCTATACACAAAGCCATCATCCCGAGATGTGGGCGTGCAAGTACGTCTCGAAGATTCTGTTCTCAGCCCGAGCCTACAAGTATTCAAAACCCTCGTCATCGACGTTTCGATTTCAGCATATGGGTGGATTGGCGGTGTGGCTCGTTATCGCCCTATTTATTTCTCCACGAACCCTTTCTGGTCATAGGGAACGCGCTTCGTTTATGGCACGAACCGAACTTCTTGTTTTCCGTCGGAAGGTACTAACTCTCAACCCTCAAAATTAATATGACATTGTTGAATATCCTTTACGTCGAAGTATGCCTGGAAGCGTGATTTCTTTGGGAGCTTCGTGAAACCAGCATCGACTCCCGGGATCTCGGAAGATGGAACAATGGTAAGCTCCTTTCGAGTATTGACCGGCGGAGTTGCTGGTTCACGGAAGAGTTCAATCTTGTCCATACGTATCGTCGCGCAAAGTATATGCCTATGTCGCTCATCAAACCAAGCCACCACAACCACATCGTTTGAGGCAATTGTACCTACGTCGGTTAGAGTTGTTTTAGTACTGTTAGCCTTCCGGACGTGTTAGTTCATCGAGAAAGACTAGTTTTGAGTCGACGAAGCTACAGTCAAGCAAAATGCTGTAGTTGAGAAACGGTGATGGCTGTGATAAGCCCAGGGCCTCTATTAGGACTTCTCGTGTTTCGACACTCAAGGCGTCCCTGACATGGACTACTCTCGTCGGTAACCTGATCCATGTGCGGGTGAACATAAAATCACCAATTTCAAGATATTCCTGAAGAAATAAGCAAAAATGCCCGATTCTAATTATATTGTGGTGCATACCTATAAGATGTTCTGGTTGACGTACACCACTGCAAGGGAGCGGCCCAAAAATTGTCGCCTGATGGATCGTGTCTAATTAGAGGTATGGACAATTTCAGAAAACCACTGAAGTCGCGATTTTCTGTCAAGTGGGTTTAATAGAAGGTGATGCATCGACACCCTTGGAATTGCATTGGATGATGGGCAAACATGCCAGTAGAAAGTAATGGTCGGGGCGTTTCGTTGCTGGCTGGGCCTTCGAATCTCAATACCAAAGAATTGTCAAAGTTCCACGCGAACACGCTCAGATCGCCGGTCGTTGTTAGGATTCCGTTCTGTAAACGGAGAATGCTTTGGAGCCCTCTCCGTACAGCAATGGCACATCTGAGACCTGGTCAGGGGATGTAGCGCGGATATGTGTTGTGCCAGCAACACTCACTGATCTGGAAATTTCCGAGCGCTGCGTATGCAAGGTCCTCTAAGCGCTGAGCCTACCTCTCCACGGCCCAAAACATACAATTTGTAACAGTGACATTAAACATCGACTTAGGAGACTTAATGATGACTTCCTCAATGTGAGTGGACGCAGCGATTGTCTGTGCATGCTCATCTATAGTGCCATGGCGGTTCCAGTTTTCATACAAAAGATGAGATGAACAGGAATCAGGAACTCTTGGAGCGTCCACGAACGACTCCACCATCTGCTTTTGTAAAGCCCCTTATGGGTCTGATCAGAACCTCTATGTCCGGCAAATAGGCGTGACAAACAGCAGCGTCTCTACACCACTTGAACATGGAATTGATAGCTTCAGAACGTTTCGCGCTGCTCGATTGATCTATGCAGCAAGTATCGATCCATACCCAGTCAGATCTGTCTTCAGTTACCTATCGGCATGTAAATCGACTTTGCTAAAGCCGGCCATGCGCATTCAAGCCCCTGGGTCGTGGATTTGTAGGTACGTGACTTTTTCATGATCCTCCAGCCAGATATGAGATAGGATGGCATAATGCGGGCAATCGTTGTGGAAAGTCTGGAGTTCCTTAGTATGCACATCAAGTAGACGCATCGTGGCCGTTCAAGGAAGCTGCTACGAGGCTGAAATCGGCGTGGAACTAGCGACTGAGGGTCCTTCAGCCAGCACAAGCCGGAAGTAGCGTGCCCTCGTCACGCGCCGGTAATAATATTGTACTTGGTATGGACGTGAAGTCAAGTCGCGTAACAGACAGCTTAAGGGGGTTAAGGGCTGGAATCTCACTATGCAACTTCGGAGTTGCGGCAATGCTGAGCGGTAGCGACGATAAAAGAGGATAGAAGAGCTAGGTGCAGACCGCCAAGTTCAAGTCAGCATTCCAGCCTTGCGAGGGCTCTGTGGCTGCGAGTTCGCGTGGTATCTTGATATGCATCAGGCAACTAGGTATGTGCGATTACAGACTCGTATATCAGATGCGGCTATGGTAAATGGTCGCACGCTGCCCGGGAATGTCAGTCAGTCATCAAGAACTAATGGATCGTCGACGATGAAAACATCATCAGTTGCGGTTCTCCGTCCGAAAAGATGAGGGTGCGGGATGGGCACAGACACGTGCCCTCAGTTAGGCCTAGCCTGCGAAAACACGACGTCATGGTCAACACACCACAGCAGCTAGCTACCCCTCCACAGTTAGTGGAGGCTTGATGCATCGCCTGTGCACGCGAATGCTCCCTTGAGCGCATCGCTCTATCGCCACAATGCCTGGGCTGGTTCGCAAGCTGCTCATCTTTGCTGCCGTGGACGGGCTCGTCCTGCAGCCCGCCCCGCCGCGCAACCACCCGCCGACGACGCAGCAGGCCATCAAGATCGACTACAAGGGCAATGTCGGACCGCTGCTCAAGGATCGCCACCAGGAGGACACGGCCCCGGACACTCTCGAGGCTCACGGCATCGTAGGTAAGACTTGATAATATATCACCGTCATCAACATCGATTGATGCGTCCACAGGTCTGCTCAAGATCGCGACATCGTACTTCCTCATCTCGATATGCGACCGCGAGCAGGTGGCCCAGATACGCGGCAAGCCTATCTACAAGATCACCGACGTTGCCCTCATCCCACTTGCTTCGCAGGCCGACGCTGACAAGGCCATCGTATCTGCCCGTGAACATGTACAACGGCATAGGAAGGCACAGGGTCTGGGGGAGGACGACTATGACAGCGAGAGCGACGAAGAAGACGCGCCGACCGTGACTGATTCGCTCGAAGAGGAACCACCAGCACCACCGACCGAAGTCAAGGACCCCGTTACCGGCCAGGAGGGCCCGGCGGACAGACGCACCAGTGTGGCCGAAGATGTAATGCAGCGGAAGGGCGTATATGGCCGCTTCGCAGACAAATGGTTCTCGAAGAAGGGATGGAAGAGCGACAAGCGCCGTACACAGGGCTTGAGTTCCACTGAAGACTTGCGCAAGGCCATGCCCAAGAATGTTGAGTCGGTACCAAAGGATCAGGAAGGTCCTGTGAACCCGTCCAACGCTGATGCACTTCCAGTCGAGGACGAGAATGTGCCGGAAACTGTCAACCCTGAAGAGATACCGAAAGCACTCGGCGGCGATAAGGATAGAACTACCATCGCCCTGCTGCCCAAAATCTTGAGTACTACAAAGATGTACTTCGCTTCTGGAAACTTTTTCTTTTCATACGACTATGACCTTTCGCATGGAATCGGACGCCAACAACCTAGCTCTAGTGTATCACTCTCCAAGCAGTTTGATTCTCTGGTATGTTCATTGCGTTGTATTAATGATCATCGCTGAGTTTCGGCACAGTTTTTCTGGAACCAGCATATTATAACGCCCTTCACGGATGCAGGTCAACATAATTTCGTTCTGCCTGTCATCCAGGGCTTTGTCGGCCAGCGCCCCTTCAGCATCAAGATTGTTGACACGAAGTCCAACAGTGTTGTGATAGATCCGGACGCCACTCCAAATGACATGGAGCTACATTCGATACACCAAAACAAGTCGACCGAGTCTGTCACTAGTACAGATAGGAACACGAAAACGCCTCCACCAGAGCCCTCTAACGGTAAAGACTTCCTACTGACACTCATTTCACGCCGATCTGTCAAAAGAGCCGGCCTTCGTTACCTTCGGCGTGGCGTGGATGACGAAGGCAGTACAGCCAACAGCGTTGAGACCGAGCAGATCCTTTCGTCGTCCACTTGGAACACCTCCCAAGACAAGATCTTCTCATTCACCCAGTATCGCGGTTCGATCCCCCTCTTCTTTTCCCAGTCTCCGTACAGCTTGAAGCCGCAGGTAGATACCTGGGGGTCTACAGATACCAATGCGAGAGCCTTCAGACGCCATTTCGCTGAGCTGTCAGGAAGATACGGCTCCGTATATGCTGCGTCTTTGGTTGACAAACACGGAAATGAAGCAAAGATTGGAAGCCTATACGATCAACACGCGAAAATACTCAATGAACATGGTGGTATGGATGGAAAAGGGAAGAAGCTCGATTTTGAATGGTTTGACTTCCATCATGTCTGTCGTGGCATGCGATTTGAGAACGTCTCTCTGCTCATGGACTCCATCGCACCATTTCTCAAAGCAGCCAGCTGGACCGAGATCTCTAATGACCAAGTCGCGCAAGCGCAGTCTGGTGTACTGCGAACAAATTGCATGGATTGTCTCGATCGTACAAATGTTGTTCAGTCCGCCTGCGCACGAACAACACTCGAGGCTCAGTTGTCAGCCGGTGATTACAGCATTGATCTCCAAAATGACCCCAGTACATCATGGTTCAACACACTCTGGGCAGATAACGGCGACGCCATATCGAAGCAATACGCGGGAACTGCTGCGCTCAAGGGGGACTTCACCCGAACTAGGAAACGCCAAATCACTGGCGCCCTGACTGATTTCGGGCTCACATTGACAAGGTACTACAACAACATCGTTAACGACTACTTTGCGCAAGCAGTCATCGACTACCTCCTCGGACGCGCGACCGATACCATCTTCGCCGAGTTTGAGGCAGACATGAAGAGTGCAGACTACTTCATCGACGTCAGAAAGGTGCGACAAGCGGCCATCGACCGCTCAGCTGGGATTGTTATAGAAGATAAGGACGAAGACCTCGTCGCTGGCTGGACATTAAGCGTGCCGACTTCGGCCGATCATCTCAAGACGGCGACCTTTGAAGAGGCCGTTCTACTGCTCACCGAAAAAGCGCTGTATTTCTGCCGGCTGGATTGGGGCACAGAAAAGGTGCGCGAATTTGAGCGTATCGAGCTTGACAACGTAGAGAGCATATTCCGGGGTGTCTACATTACTAGCACTTTAGCATCACGCCATATGGACGAACAGAAGAACGTCGGGTTTGTGATTCGGTATCGGGCAGGACCAGGCGGGGAGCTCGTGCGGCGCAACACGCGCTCGCTTGATTCTGGGAAAAGTGGTGCCCTATCCGAAGATCAGCCAGCGTCGAAGTCGAAGGCTCCACAGCCCACTGGCCGCTTCCTTGCGTTCAAAGCGCTCCCACCGCGAACCAGCATGCCGGCATCTGGGGAAGCCGCAGAAACCCCAGAGAACGAGGTGGAGGTCGTCGAGGGGATATGTGAGGAGATCGTGAAGGTGGTGAATAAGACGAGGGCAGTTGAGCAGGTAAAGCTTAGCATTCCTGGGACGGAGCAGGAAGAGAATATTGGGGAAGAGGCGCAGACGAGAAGGTTATTGGTTGAGGACAAAGATATCATCAGCTTGACAGATGCGAAGAGGAGCACTGGCTATGTAGAAACGCTGGCATACTCGATGAAGAAGCTGGTTTGGGGCTGAGATGGTCGACAGGGGGATGGGTAGATGTGACGGACGGCTTGAACACATAAGATGATACCACGTAAAAGCTGTAATGGCACGCACATTTCTTCCTTCTCATGCCAGCTGAAGCCATTGGCACGGAGACGTTTTTCGTGAGTCCTCGTGACGGTGCACCATGTGCTTGGTAAACATTATGCAAGCGTTTTATGTTCTGCCACGATTCATCATGGCCGACGAAGCTCAGGTAGTACGATTCATGAGGCCCCCACTGCCCCTAGAGTTTTGAGGCTCTCGTGCATTGCTCAAAGTTCCAGACAAGTCTTCTCATCTCCAGTCGGTTCTCCTCATGTGGTGACAAGCACGCCCCAGCTCTCCAGCAAGTCTCCAATATTACCGATGCAACAGAAGCCCACTCGGAATAGCTTTTCGCGTCCTCGCGCATTCGTGGAAACAGTATGGTACGTCCGAGATCCGAGTACACGCCACGGTGGAGACGCACCACTTGCGCGGTTGCATTGTGATCGGCGGCAGTACTTTCCTTGTCTGGCAGCGTATCCGATGGAGAGTTTTTGAGGCTCCTGGTGCTCGCAGCTCGCTGTCGGAGTCGACGAGGTTCATTAGGAAGTAGTCGCGCTGAATAGTCGCCTTTGTGCAAGACGTCGGTCATGCCTCTTTCCCATGGGCATCTCATTCGAAGGCACCATGCATCAGGTCTTCGACAGGCCGTTCCTCAGCTATGCGCCAATCTGCCCTAGGAAAATGCCATTTCCGAAACCCACCCGCCGCCGTTGACCTCTCCGGTCTGTCCATGGCGCTAGAAAGGCAAGAGCACGGACGAATCGGCCGGTGAAGATGTTGGAGGCACTCGGCACTCGGCACTTGGAGGCGCAATCAAGGCTGCGGGCGCTGCTGCAGACATGGGCGGGAGGCGCTCGAGCTAGTCGCCATGGCATCGTTACATGGTGCACGAGAAAACCGGGTCTACGTCAGCGACGCTGAGCGCGCACCGGCCCGTGCACACCGGAAAGCGTGATGGCTTTTCTCAACGCGAGCCTGACGTCACGCAACCGCGCTCTCGAAAACTCCCGTTTCATCACCTGGACAGCATCGACTTCGCCGCCACGAGTTTCAGGCGGCAAATGGGCCGCAAGTGCATGGCGAGGTGCTCGGGAAACAACAACGAGCCCGCTTGCGGTTGGCCTCGCAGGAACAAAGAGCAGGCATCGTGTCTTGGACTGCATCGAGCCGCTGATGACGATCGCAACACCATCGGCAGCCGATGCACGAGCTGCGATGGAGCCGGCCTTGTCCGCTGCCCAATTGCTTGTTTTCGACCCTGCACTACCCATCGTTCCGTCTGCCATAGCAGCAACGCCCCTGCGAGACCAATCAATGTCTCCACCTCCGGAGCCTATACTCGAAAGAGCAGTCCTGGAGATTGGGAGCGGAGCGGGATGAGGGAGCCTGACAGCTCGCTGGTCTGACTGTCTCCAGGCGGGGCACCACGTTTCTTGCTTGGGGATTGGCCCCGTGGGCGGCATGCCTGGGGTTTGGGTTAGAGCATGTCGTTTGGGACCTCCCGAGGCGACGCTTGACCGACCGTCTGCCCGTCTACTGTGTATATAAGCTTGGGGATTCCGCTTCGCTGGGTTGCGTTTTTGTCTGGCAGCTCTTTATCTTCTTTAGGTTGATACTCCACGGGTCCAGCCAAGATGTATCAGATTGGCAACATCTACGGCATCACCGCCATCGCCGTTATTGGCGGTGGCCTTTTTGGATTCGACATTTCCAGCATGTCGGCCATGTACGCATCATCGTAGTCATGTATCAACGTTGAGACTAACACATTGGTAGTCTTCCCACACAACAATACCGCTGCTACTTCAACGAAGGACCCTCGTATGCCGACGATCCAGATGGTTGCTCAGGTCCCACGGCCAACGTCCAGGGTGGTATCACCGCCGCCATGCCCGGTGGGTCCTTCTGCGGCGCTCTCCTCTCCGGCTACATCACCGACAAACTGGGTCGCAAGACCGCCATTCAGATCGGTTCCGTCATCTGGTGCATTGGCTCCATCATTTCCTGTGCTTCTCAAAACATCGCCATGCTCATCGTCGGCCGTTTCATCAACGGTATCGCCGTCGGTATCTGTTCCGCTCAAGTCCCTGTCTACGTCTCCGAACTCGCTCCTCCCTCAAAGCGTGGTCGTGTCGTCGGTGCTCAGCAATGGGCAATTACCTGGGGCATCCTAATTCTGTTCTATGTCTCCTACGGCTGCACTTTCCTCGACGGACCTCAGGCTTGGCGTGTCCCGTGGGGTATTCAGATGCTTCCCGCTGTCTTCCTCTTCTTCGGATTGCTCTTGCTGCCTGAATCGCCGCGTTGGCTGGCCCGCCACGATAAGTGGGAAGAGTGCCATGCCGTGCTCACCTTGGTTCACGGAAAGGGCGATCCCAATGCGCCCTTTGTTGCGCTTGAGTTAAATGAGATCAAGCAGATGATAGAGTTCGAGAGGCAGAACGCCGACGTGTCCATCAAAGAGCTGTTCCACCCCAAGATGTTGAACCGCCTACATATTGGTGTCTTCACCCAGATCTGGAGTCAGCTGACGGGTATGAACGTTATGATGTACTACATCACCTACGTCTTTGGTATGGCCGGTCTCAGCGGCAACAACAACCTCATCGCCTCGTCTATCCAATACGTCATCAACGTTTTCATGACCGTCTTCGCCCTCATCTTCATTGACCGCTGGGGTCGTCGCTGGCCTCTCATGATCGGCGCACTCCTGATGGCCACCTGGATGTTTGCCAACGCCGGTCTCATGGCCTCGTACGGACACGCCGCCCCGCCAGGCGGCCTCAACAACATTGCTGAACAATCCTGGGAAATTGGCGGCGCCCCCGCCAAGGCTGTCATCGCTTGTACCTACCTCTTCGTCGCGTCGTACGCGCCCACCTGGGGCCCCGTCTCGTGGATCTACCCACCGGAACTCTTCCCGCTGCGCGTCCGCGGCAAGGCTGTCGCTATTACGACCTCCTCCAATTGGATCTTCAACTTTGCCCTCAGCTACTTCGTGCCGCCTGCGTTCGTCAACATTCAATGGAAGGTCTACCTCATCTTTGGTGTGTTCTGCACGGCTATGGCGATTCATGTCTTCTTCTGCTTCCCTGAGACGTCAGGGAAAACTTTGGAAGATATCGAAGAGCTCTTCTTGGTGGGTGTCCCGGCCTGGAAGACGCATGTGGATTACCAGAGTACGAGGAGGGCGGAGGCTGGTGATTTGAATGATAAGGAGAAGGCGTTGCATCATGAGAAGAGCCCCGAGAGGGTCGAGGATGTGCCCAAGGCGTAGGATATTGTGTAACGGAGCGTTATTAGTGCAGTGAAATGATGTGGGAGATGCAGAGAGAAGTAGAGAGCTGCAGAAGTGCAACAAATTCATATGTGAATAATTATTTCGAACTTTCTATTGTCATCCAAAACACATTGAGAACTGGCAGTCGTGTCTTCGCTCCGTGGTTTCTGGTTCGACATTATGCTCGCCGTGTTGCCTCAGGGAGTCGTCTAAAGGCGCCTTTCGCCGTAGGAACAACCCACGTCGTCCCTTGTTGATGAAGCGAGTCACGCCGCGTTCACCTAACTTAAGACTCATGTTAAAAGTTGATGAAGCATATTTTGACGCCATCTACAAGATCATAGGTAGTATACTGCGAGGATCCACGGTTTGAACAATTACCAAATGACTGGGAGTTAGCCAAGGAATAGAACGATAGTGGTATAGGCACATGAAAACAGGCCGCGAGCCATAGGATGGTCCAGACGAACCGAAGAGAAGAGGGATCGAAGTGAAGAACATTGTGCTTCTGAACGTAGCACAAACTATTAAGCTCTAGTCTAGATAAGGCTTTGGGTAACGCTCCACCAGTCGCTTCTTTTGGCCATCATGAATGGCCATAAGCATTCTAGTTGAAGGAACAAGGCAAATATGAAGTGTGGCAGGACCTTTCTGGTCTTTCGCGTAACTAAGTTCTTGAGGCCAGAAAGAGTCTGCGAACGAAGACTTAAATCTCTTATCCTATGGCGTTGAAGTAACAGAAATTTCTATGACAGGGGCGTAATAGCAATTGCAATGCAACGAAAAGTCTTGAAGTTAAGTCTTGAAGTGATTTCTTACGTGCGCATCGAGAAAAGCCGGAGTGCAAGTGGGTTGCGCTGCCCCCTCCTGTGTGACTCACGCTTACAGCTTCCAGCACAGATTACGAAGACGAAACAATCCAGCAATAAATATTGAGATGAACTCCCCCTCAGATCTCAGTAAGCCGGCCTATCATATGGATCCAATCAGAGCCCATGGGTCTATATCCTACCCTCTAGTGATTTGGAAGCTCTTGGGATCCATAACCAAGATCCAAGTGCTACCTAGGTAACATAGACCCACAGGAATACAAAGCAAGCGTACGCCTGTCCATAACAATAGTGCTTATGTACTCCCACTATCGGTCATGCGGGTCGTTGGCGAAGGTAGGCTACTCCTAAGGAAAACACCTGTATTCCCCACGCGACCGCAACGTTCGTTTCGAAGACTACTCTATGGGTCTCGGCTACGGTCTCGCTTACCTCGGCGGTTTGATGTGTGACCAGCGCTGATAACGAGGGTGCTAGGCACTCGTAGATTTCGGACCTCGTTCGCCGCAACACCGCAACCGCATAGTCTAGCGAAAGAAACAAATTAGGCAGACGTAAGGCGTCCCATTTCGCGATGTCTAATGAGGTCTATTCTATATCGCCGGGATGAGCCGTCCTAATGGGCTCCTAGCGTACACTGTGCAATGCTAACCAATGCTATATAACGCTCTTCACTTTGATGAAACTACGAAGCTTGGGTATATGATAACAATGAGAAATCTTGCTACTACGCCAGATGTTTTTTTTTTTCGCCCGCGAAGGCTCCCAATGTGTAGGTGGGGAATAAAATCCAACCCATCATGCCAATCCATCTTACAGGAGTAAGAAAGAAGCAGGTTCAAGGACGAGGCGTCGAGAAAGGAAAGTCAAAACGCCTAGTCTATGATTTACAAAAGCAGGAGATAGAGAAAATTTCCTCGCGTATACATGGACCACCTCTTATTAACGTACACATGCCTAAACAAATGAACTCAAATGATCAACAGGCAGAAAAAAGCGCTCGCAGCACATGAACTAAGAGAAATCTTTACCAAGACCGACACGTGCATCCTGTTTAGCGCGAGGACCACTCATCATGGGTTTGGTAGGCTTGGTTCATGTTCCGGGTTGCTTGCTGAGCCCGACTATGTCCTTGCGTGGCGTACTGCGCTGGCTGCCCACTAGGGTACGAAGGCAAAGCATTCTGGATAGCTTGAGTGTCCCATGTACTGCTGGACCCGACAGGAGGATAGTGGTGCACAACCGGTACTGGTGGATGGGACGGGTGAATGGGACGAGTCGAAGGGGCAGCGAAGGGGTTGTTGTCCATGCTAGAGTTCGAGATTCGGGGTGGTTGTGCGAATGGATGTCCTGTTTGAGAGGGCGAGTAACGTGCGGAAGGGAGTTGATCACGTGTCGTGTAGGACTGCGCGTGCGAACTCGGTGGACGGGTAGCATACGATGGCTGCTGCTGGAAGGAAGTGTTCAAGGGCGCTAGAACCGGTGGTTCAACAATGATGCTTTGTCGACGTCGGCCACTAGGCCTCGTCTCCTCGACAGGATACGAGTGTGAATGTTGAGGCTGGGGTCGTGTTACAAAACGCTGTTGCACGGCTTCTTCGCGTTCTCGTTGTTCTGCAGCTGTGCGTTCTAGGGACATCTGCAATTCCTCCTGCCGGAGAAGGCGGGCTTGCTCATCGATGTCTGCTTGAGTCATGGAACCTCTACGCGAACGCTTACCACTTGTATGCTTCTGGTTGTAGCTCGTAGGTGGCTGGGTTTTCTCGCGTTCAGGCCTCTTTATCGCCTTCTTAAGCTGCCTCTCCTGTTCCCTATCGCGTTCTTCGGCCTTTTGTTTGTCACTCTGTCCTTTGCGGAGCCGTTCTCTCTCCTCATAGCGACCAGTCTCAAGCGTTGCGAATCTCACCTCTTTCTTTGCCTGCTCTGTTGCCTGAGCTAGTGCCTCGTCAATACGACGTTCCTGCTCCTGCTCCTCTTTCCTCTTCCGTCGGCGTTCACGATCGATGGCGCGATCAGTGATCTCAGGCGCCGCGGCGCGGGTCGAGCTTGCGTTGGATGCATTGGAAGAAGCATATAGATCAACAACGTCGGAGTAGTCGCCTGAATTATCGCGCGACGAGCTCGTGTCCCGTGACGAGTTATGAGGAACATCAAGCCTTATACGGTAGGCACTTGACTGCGTGGTCTGCACACGTGACGTGGTTGGTGGAGACGGATTCGGCCGTGAATTGTGAACAATAGTGCGAGGGTACTCGGGAGCCTGTCGACCCAAAGGTGACTCGGGCTCAGTCTCTGAGGTCGTATAGAGTGAAGGCGTCTGGCTTGTAGTGACCGAGGAGGCTGACGGAGTGTTGCGGTGTCCATGTGGCACAGCTCGCCTGGTTGCGTAGCCTTGTGGCTGTCCGAAGGGAGGAGTTTGAGGAACAGCTGTCTCTGGCAGGCCGGTTCGGATCGGGTAAGATGCGTCGGAGCCTGGTGAATCAACGGCAATCTCGTTAGAAGCCGTGGATGAGGCACCTAAAGAGGACCTCTTGTACGTCTTGGGCACATATGTTCGTGGGTACTTCGTGTCCCTGTCCTTTTTGGAGCCAATCTGGATGACGATTTCAGGTTTCACTGAGCTAGTGGGTCTCAGTGACGGACGCCGTCCACCGCTTGCTGATGGTCTACGTTCCTCGACAACAAAGCTTCCTACTCCAGTGGGCGTTGGAGGGTTGTTCGAAGCAGGCGAGGGTGCGTCATCGCGAGTAATCGGTGGTGCGCCTCTGTATTCTCTGGTCCTTTTCTCGGGCTTCGAGCAGCGCCTGCCGCGACGGCGGGCTCTGTCACACTCAAAAGTATCCTGGAAGGTCCTGCTCCTTCCATCCGCTCCTATGTAGACCTTCTCCTCGATTCGGCACATGGTGATGGCGGTGTGGAATCAAGGTTTGCGTTTGATCCAAGTCGAATTGGTTGCGCCTGGGTCGACGGCTACTCACCCCCAACCTCCTGCCACGGTAGGTGGAGGTCTTGGATAACGTTGTTGGTGCTACGGTTTGAGCTTTTTCCGAATTAAGATCCGGAGCCCGAACTATAAAAATAAATTGTAGCCGGCAACGGTAGGCGAGTGGAAAACCTTAAAAAGCCTGCTTCCTTTTGGGCGCAAAGTGGGCGGCACTGATTGCGAAACGACAAATTCCTTAGTCTTGCGGTGTGGTAACAAGTTGGAGATGTTGATGGTTTATGACTCTTCCTTGGGCAGTGACGGGAGGCGAGCAGTATCCGTGTATTCGTAAGAGGTGAGGCGAAGGCCCAATGCAGAAAGAGTCGGAGAGGCGAATACCAAAATAAAGTGTGACTTGCAGCAGGGGAATGCAAGGGATATGCAGTTCACAGCATGAGAAGATGAGCTGCTGGGGGCGGTAGGCTGTATATATATGCGGAGGGTGGGAGCCTGGAAAGACGCGCTGCAAGCCGGGGAGGATTGTAACGAGAATGCAAAACGAGACTATAAGGGCGCGCGAGCCTCTTGGGAATAGAGAGCAAACGGCGAGCCATGAGAAATAGGGTGAGCAAGGAAGGGATGAGGAGCCGGCGCCGTGGGGTCCATTCGGTCTTTGAGGAGCAGTCAATTCACTTTGCCCTGCACAGCCGACGGCGACAGCCACGGGCTACGGCCAAGTTGCGGACCCCTGCGCAAAACCGGTCTGGTATGCCTAGGGAATTAACAAGCAGAAAGCGGGCCTCTCGATTGGTGAAGTGCGTAGGTTTCGAGTACAATGAGCCACTCACGGGCCGCTATGACATTGTCTCAGACGACGCGACTCGGGCAGCCATGGCCCATGGCGTCGTCGGTCGGCGAGTGATGCCCTACGACGGATCCTGCGGCGGGGAAATCACGGTAGGCTTGTCCACCATGTCGTCGCGTGAGGCTGCACATGGCAGCGACGGGCGTCGTGCCCGCTCGCAGTCCAGTGGAGGTGTCGACGGCGGCTGGCGACCGATGGCGGAGGCTGTGGTGATGGGCCTGTCGCCGGGGCTGCCAGGCACGAGAGGGGGAGGTGTCGACGGCGCCCAATGCCTGGGAATGTTGCATTGCTGAGGCTGAAGGTGCAAGGCGCTTGGCCCAGCGATTCGCGGTGGGGCTTTGGCAAAGCGGGCGCTAGTCGGTCCTTCGACGACTCCCGCAGCGGCCCACACGCAAAGACATTGTGTTCGCATCGGGCTGCATTCTGCCACCGTATGTCGAGTCGTGAGGCCTGCGAACGTTGCGTGAACACCCTCTTCCTCGGCCGCCTTGCACACAGATGCGCACGGCCGGCGCGCCGTTGCACGTGCAGGAGGCGACACCTGGGCACCTGCACTGCTGCCTTGAGAGTCGGACGAGACGGGCGCCTCTGGTCGCGAGGCAGCAAAGACATGCTCGCTCAGCACGCTTCCGCTTCTGGAAGCCGTCGGTCGGGGCGTGTCGCGATGCCCAAACGGTCCTGCGGCAGTCGCCAGTGCGCCCGTCGACAATGGCAGCTCGTGTGTGCATGCGCCCCGTTCCACCCCAGAAACCCCGCGATCCTCGCAGCCTTGCGCCAACATTGCTCCATGCCCCCTTTGCAGCTTGACCGACTTTTGGCGCCTCAAGGTCTGCACGTTGTAGACACGAGTCTGCGCTTTCCAGGCGGTGTGTGCGGTCCTCCATCTGGAAAGAGTCGTGATCGCTTTGGGAAGCGGCGATGCAGCGCCACAAATAGCAGCCACAGGTCAGCCACGAAAGTCAGCGCTAGAGTAACAGTCCGCCGGTGCGAGTGCAAATAACCCAGGCTCGTCAGAGACTGAGAGACTTTGCTTGATTGTCAACGTCCACTTGGCGCATCTCTGTCGTTCGCGACTGTCCATGTGCTGTTTTCACGCCCGCCACGCGATCCCCTGCTCGTCTGCTAAACATATCTCCCTCTGTGTATGTCGTCCGCTCCGCGTCTCGTCCTCGCTCATCCAGCAGGTGCCGGCCGTGGACGGAGCAGGCAGCGGGTGCACACTAGCCACCACAGCCACAAGCCACAATATCGCCAACCTCAACTTGACCCGTGGTGCTTTTTCCGTATTACTCAGCTCGCGTTGCATTGTAGTCGAGTGCATCGAGGCTTCCACAAAGGCCCTGGTACGGCGGGAGCAATTGTTAGTGTGACACATCACGGAGCATTAGCATAGCAGACCCCGAGCCCATCTCCTTTTGCATGTCAATACATGCTCGAGCCGATCAAGGAACCGTCTTACTCATCAGACGGGGCACGGATCTGTCCGCCACACCTCTGCTGAGCCATATTCACCCATCCTGCCCATCACGACCAACCATAGCCGCGAAGGTACCCTAGCGAGAAGCGGCGGGTGTATCAGGAATACCAAGCTTCTGACATCTGTCCCTGGTCCAGCTGAACGCAATGCTTGGGCGCTCTACAGGCCCGGAATGCTCTGTTGGACGGATATGCCGTGTGTGAACCGCGTTGGCGGGCGCTTCGCAAGGCTCCAGTCCCACGGGCCAATCTTTTCTTTCCGTCGCTGACTTTGCTTTGACGGGATATACCCGCCACGACGGCCGACCATCGAGCTGGGCGTGACACAATCCCATGCGATTGTGAGCCAGTGCTTTGACTAGTATAACCTACGCAAGATGAACTGACTAGACGTCTAGACCGCCACCAGACGCTGATTGTTGACGTTATGGGAGGCCGCAGATAGAACGGCGGGCCCGAGCGGAGACGCTAGGTCAAGATGCCTGGTATTGATGCTCAATACCCTAAGGGACGGGTCGTTTCGCCTTGCTAGATGATCTAGCAGTACGTCGGGCAGCAGTATCTTCACCACGTAAACTATATCGCAGGGTTTACGCCTTGTGGGTACCTGACCTCACGCTTCGGTTCACGCCATACCACTGCATTAAACTCGACCAGTGTTGCTGTGTAACTAACTCTTTCATTTACCGCCGTGCCTCAGCAGTCCGTTCCAATTCGGACATGTATCTCGGCATGATTTTTAAGAGTTGGGCTGGCTGTCCCTCAGCTTCGCATATTGAAATGAATGAGGTCACCAATATGACATTGAAACCATCCTCCAGAATTGAGAACTTGATGCGTCTTAGATCGGACACGCCCTACGTACATAGTTAGAAGCCAGCATGTTGCTTCGCCTGAACCTTTTACGTTGAGGATGCCAAATCTACCATAGGTAGCCTTGTCTTCACTCGCTCTCGTCCCGCTAACAAGGTCTCTGATGTCGGATCAATAGCCACAGAATAAATTCAGAAAACAAACCACACGAAGATTTTGGGCCTGGAAGACATAAGATGGCACTCTTTTCGATAGAACTTGACCGTTTAGAATTAGCAAAGACAATTTAAAAGAACGCTTGAGTGGAATGAGTACTTTTCTCAAGCCATCACCGATATCATGAATTGATTATCGAGTGACTTGTAATTTGCATCATGTCTCTAAGTTTCGTACCACTTGAGTGCGGTCATGGCATAACATTGCTATGCTATGTTCTCTCAACAATTTTGGATTTACTTGTGCTACTTGATCAAAGAGACGTGGAAGCTTATAGGTATGGACTCTGTACTGGCCTCAATTCATATCAGCATCACCGACTTGCGTACCATCGTGACGCTGCCGGAACCACAACGTGCTGCTTAGTTCTGCTGCAGGAATCTGTAACGCATCATGGAGCCGCCCATTCTCTTGCGATCATCAGTTGACTCAAGCACTATTCGCTCTACGTACAAAAGCCAACGTCAACCGATGCCTAATTGACGAAGTGAAGCCGTCAAAAGTCGCGTCGCCCAGCAACGTAGCCCAAACCTGCTTTCACCCCACCACGACAATCTGCACCTCTGAACTCACTCACCGTTTGACACCTCGTATCTGCGCCTCATAAGCGCGATGAACACTCCGCAACACTTCTCTTTTGCACCAGAGCGCCCAACAATTTCATCGCTCTGTTCTTTACTCTGCAGCGATGTCCCCGCAGCCGCTCGACTGCACGGCCTTTGTCGTGAGGCCAGCGTCACAGTCATCTCCTGCCCCAGATGCGCCCACTGACCGAGTTCTCTCGACTAAGTTGCATCCATGCCCCTTCCCGGACCCCAATGCCGCGCCTTGGGCCTCGCAGTCATGCGAGGCGGTCGCAATTACGAGCAGTGCTCCCGACACGCTGAACGACCTGTCGATCACCACCATGGCCGATCCTCAGCATGAGATCCCGGTTTCTACTACGCCCGTAATGTCTGATGCGTCCAGTCGGCCCGTTGCTGCTGCGGCCAGTGCGAGGAAGGCGATGCCAGTCAAGAACGCAACCTTCGAAACCCTTTCAACTATGGCCGCATCTATCACGCTCGGCGCAGTGAGCAGCACCTTCACCACACTCGCAAGCCCCGTCGGCAGGGCTCCCGCCACTGTAGATCCGCCTCCAGATCCACCATGCGCATCCCCATTCGACCTCTATTCCTGCCCTTCCGAAGACTACCTCCCCGGCATACCTCCCGTCCTGATCGCACTGGTGTGCATCGTACTGGCATGGACGTTCCTCTTCGCCTACGCAGTGTACCATCTGCATCAGTGCGATGCAATTCCTCATAAGTTGCCAGCGCATCCGCAGTGGCGGCAGGAGGAGAATCATCATGGTCAGCGCAGTCCGAAGAAGGCGGGCGGAAGATTCGAGATGAGGGGCCTAGGAGGCAAGGAGATGGAGAAGGAGAGGGAGAGTCTGGGCGTGTTTGACGGAACTGGTGCGAGAGAGATGGTGAAGTTGGATTCGAGGGGGACGGACATGGAGGAGAAGAAGAAGAAGAAGACGAGATCTGGTAGATTGGGTGGGACTGTATCTCGGGGGTCGCAGTGCATGGGAATCGGCGATAGTAGAGAGAGGAGTTGGGTGGGAGATCGCTCGAAATGTGAGGGAGGTGTGAGGCTAAAGCACGACGTGTTGAGCGATGGCTAAGCAACGTTTGAACGGACATGGTGCTTCAAAAATGGACACAAAATCGTAGATGAATCTCAGGTTCGAGTCGATCAAGACTCCTCTTACAAGACTATAATCGGTTTCATAAAAGGAAAGAAATCGTGCACGCTTACCTTGAACCTATTGTGCAGTGTTGCTCAGGTGTCAAAACGTCGAATGCCATAATGGTCAATGATGGATTCGCGGCCAAGCGGTGACACGGTCTACTACTGACAGAGATGCTGTCTGGTCCAGGTTCAATGCAGTCAGATGACTTTTGATACGTGCTACTTACCCGTGCAAGATACTTAGCTACCGTTGCGTTCCCCCAAAACTACACTTCACAATCACATCACGGTAGAGGGTAAAGATGGCAATGAAGCCTGGCGATCAAGCCTCGTCTCTGTCCCTCGCGGAACTTCGACTTGGCGACACCTAGTGGGGAAAGAACCTTTTTTTCATTGACACCTAATCATGAAGCTCTCGTAAGGAGCGGTATCCCAAGCCGTAATCGTGGCAAGATCCGTAGCCCATGCACCACATAATTACCGAACCGAGGAAGAAAATACCGTATCGAGCGTCTAAGAGCGGGGGTTGCGGTCTCCGAAGCGGCGGGGTCGCTCAGCGACCTGCTGAGCAGCGACGGGAACGACGTTGACGGGGATTGAGTCGAACTGCATGATTATTAGCGGACCACTCGCGGGCAAGTAAGGGTTGTGTGAAGACGTACGCCGAGGCTCTTGAGGAGATCCTTAGTCTCCTGGTCGACGTCCAAGGAGCCAGACTCGCTGTTCTGGGTGAAGTCGAGGGCGGAGATCTCGGGGACGTATTGATCCTTGCGCTCACGCTCCTCTTCCTGGAGCTTGAAGGAAATACCGCGGACGGGTCCTCGCTGGATACGCTTCATCCTGAGCCGTGTCAGCCAACCAATTCTAGCAGTTACATGCGCATCGTCGAGACATACAAATGTGTCGCATAACCGGCAATCTTGTTCCGCAGGCGCTTGGAGGCGATGATGGCAACCTCATCGCAAATCCTCTTGTTGGTCTCGAAGTCGAGGGAGAGCTTGGGGTAGTATCGCTCAATGATGACCTTGGCGGACTTCTTGACGGTTTTGGTTCGGACGCGACCCATGTTGGCGGTTGACTGTGAGAATGTATGGAGGGAAAGAGGATGGAGGCTGCTGGGTTAGTCGGTCGCTGTCGAAGAGATGGCCTTGGTGTGCGCGGTGTGCGCTGCGAAATTGTGTGATTCTAAGCGAGCGCTACTAGCGTTTTAGCCCCACTTTTAGCGATAGTGCGTGGTCCGTGCTTTGCTGAACTACGTTGCTCCGAATAGGCTATGAGATAATTTGGTAGGGAGCGTGTAGTGGTAGACTCTTGCGAACAGTGGCAGTGCAGCACGCTTTCGACGAAGCAAAGTTTGTTGGTGATGGCATAGTCATTGATTCGTGATATTGAAGAACAGTTATTAAATAGGTATCTCTTGCTCGCTCATACGTAGACAAAAACAGGAAATGGAGGAAATCACCAGGCGCATCTCAAATGCCCATTGCACGCTAAATACACACAGTACATACCGAGGGACCATGCTCTTCCTTTCTTTCACACAAGACTTTGCTCTTTGGCGCACAAGCCCATCTAGAAGAAACGCCTCTCGTGGCTCGCTGTCTCACCAGACTCACCGCCGCTGGCATGGTGAGGAGGGTCAGGGTAGTAGAAGGCAGCGATGGCGATGATGACATAGATGCAGATGAGCAGACTGCCCTCCAGATAGTTGGACTTCCTGTCGCGCAGGAAGGACCCTACAACGAGCACAGCGAGGACCAGAGAAACCGAGTCGAAGATTTCGAAACGCATGTCCATGCCGATGTTGAGGCCCCAACCGACAATGATGACAAGTGGGGTGTTGAAAAGTGCGGTCTGGATCGAGGCACCGAGAACGTGAGCGAGAGCTAAGTTCATCTGACCATCCCATGCCTCATCGATGGCGAGTAAGTGTTCTGGAAAACGTCAGCGAAAGGGCTATATGTATGGTAACGTCGACGTACCTGCAGCTTTCTCTACGACGGGAACAAGAATAAGACCCATGAAGGCATCGCTAATGTGACGCTGCTCCACCATATGGGGGATCTCGATGACCAAGAAAACGGCGATCATCGAAACACAAGCTAGCGAGATCAAAAGACCCACGATACACTCCGTCAGGGTTAGCTTAGGTTTGGCCAGCTCTTTGTGGCGATCCTTGTCCACGAGTTCGTCCTGCTCGTAGATTTCGTGGAACAGATTGTCGTGCGACTTTAGTTGAAAGAGGAGGAAGACAAGATAAGCAATAAGGAGGATGATGGCGGTCGCACGCGAGATCTTTAACATTTCGGTGCCTATCTCCTCGGTAGCGAGTTCGAGGTCTGTGCGACCATTCAAAGCGTTGTAGTAGACGGTTGGAAGGATCAAGCCCACTGTGAGGAAAATTAGCAATTACTCTCACCACACATGCCTGAGGAAACGTACTTGCGGCGACGAGCATGAGACCGCTACCAGCCTCTGAAATAGCCTCATGGAACGATTGTTCACCGCCTTTGAGCCCGCCAGCCATGAAACAGAAGCCCAAGCACAACAGCATGTTGGCAAGGATTGAACCCAGGATAGCAGCTCGAATGACGGGGACATTTTCATCCCTGCCTGTTACCAGTAACACCATGAAGAGGACGATCTCGACTACAGAACCAAGCGTAGTCTCGGCAATGACACCGAGGACCTTGGGCATTTTGCGAGCGAGCTCCGAGCCGCAGAAGCCCACAGTGTTGGCGGCGGGTATCATGGCGATGAAGTTGGTGATGAAGATGGCAAGATGACTCCGTGGGCTGTCCGGGAGGGCAAAGTGCTGCGAAGCGTGTTAACAAAGTTGCCAATCATCCTGGTTGTGTGAATCGGACGTACCAAGGCGATAGCGACGGGCACCATGGGCCACAGAATGTTGACGCAGCTGGAGATGAGACTGTTGCTTTTGAAGGAAATCCTCAAAAACTTGAACGGGTGGAAGCCCTTTCTGCCGCTCTCCCCCTCAGGCTCGATGCCTGGTGTGACTTCGTGGCCATTGTGATTGAAACGCGGCAGGTGCATGTGGTGACGGTGGCCGTTACTGTTGCCATGGGGCACCTCGGACTTGGGTTCTTGCGCGTACTCGCGTGAAGATCGCGACCGGCGAGACGACATGGCGTGGTGTTGCGGAGGGTAGGAACGCGGCATGAGGTCCAGAGAAGTGCGTCTTCAGCTGGGCGGACAGTGCATAGACCGTCAGCGCAGCAGACAAGGAGCGTGTTTCAGGGAGCGTTGTGGGGACGCAACGCAATGGCGGGTGATTGCTATGGAGAAGGGGCCACGGAGATTCGTGCGAGGAGAATGTGTGAAGGGAACGCGAGAGACGGCGTCATCTGGAGAGCTGGCCTTCTTTCCAAGTTTATTATTGCATGGAGGCGCGGGACGCACGAGCGGCGCGTGGATGGCTGCCACTGGACGACGCGAAGCCCTGCGGCGATCGGGCATCAGACTCGCGATTGCCCATTGCTGCTTCCGTGCCCGTCAACACTCCGAGACCACACGCAAAGCACCACATGCAACAACGTCCCTCCACCGTCTTCTCCAAGTCTTCGCCCTCAGCAACGGCGCGAGCTTCGCACACCTTGCCGTTGCTTGTCCGCTTGGTCCTGCGAAACAATGCCCGCGCCAAGGGCAGCCAGTCAGGTTCCAAGCATTCTAAATCGCGGAGTGACATCAGCGGGAGCCCACTAGCGCCCGCAGGTCAGGGGCGCCAAGGCGCTGCGCTACGACATCTCACCGCCAAAAGGTTCCAGATCCAGACTCTCGCATTGCTCAAACCAACTGCTCCGTACTCGCACAACAAACGTGGGGTTCACCGCACTCATCGCGAGCGTCCTAACCCAATGCTAACCGGATCCCCTCACGTCTGTCTCCTACTCTCCACAAAATCTACATACTCAAAAAAACTCTTCTTGTACCTCCTCTCCTGCGTCGTCCGATTTACAGTCTGAATCCCAAATTGAGCATTGTAGTCCCCAAATTCCCAGTTGTCTGCCCAGCTCCACGCGAAAGCTCCAATCCAGTCGACGCCATCTTCCCACAGCGCTTTTAGCCCTTCATTCAAATATGACTGGTAGTACCAAGTCCGTGGACTATCAAACTCTTGGTCGGCCTGCTCTCTCTCTGCTTCGGCGAAGATAGGGAACCCGAATTCTGTGACGGCAATGGGGTGGCGAAATGTGTTCCATAGGTAGTTGAGAAACGTGCGAAAGTAGGTGGGGGTGATGTAGACGTATGACCAGGACCTGTAGCCGATGTTCCAGCCGGTGGTCGTAGTGGTCGACTGCGTGACGCAGTAGGGACGCAAGGGGTGCGACATGTTTGCTGCGCACGCGGCGATTGTGTCATTCGGCGGTGGAGATACGACTGTGGCTGTGTAGGGTTGGATGGAGAAGAAGTCTGCTGTGCCATTGAGGTAAGCGAGGTCTTCAGGTGTGAGCGGGACGTAGTCTGATATAGTGTCCTTGAACGCGTCGGGGTAGTCTTGGCCGAGAAAGATGGGATTTGCAAACGTGGCAAGCTGGAAGTCGTTGAAGTGGTTTGCCGCATTGACGTCCGCAGGATCGGATGGGTTGCGTGGGACACCGAAATTATCATTAAGTGTCAGCGAAATCCTTCCTGTCCCTTGAATCTCCTCGCGGTAGAAGTGATAGAGGCGCGCGTGTGCTTTGATGACGGCGTTTACAGAGTGGCCATTCCTGGAACCAAGTAGAGGCTCGTTGAAAGTCCACCAAATGGGCACACGGTCCGCAAAGTGCGTCATCACGATCTTGCCATAATTGACGAATGCTTCTTCAAAGGACACGTTTTGGTAGCTACGTTGGAAACCAGAATCCGTGTAACCAACGCCTCCAGTGCCTGGCGCAATGCCGATGTCGCTGATATTGGGATAGAATTCGAGCGGTGTGTCGGTGTGGTGTAGCACGATGGCTGGAAGCATTCCCTTCTCAAGTACGTAGGAGATCAGATCGTCATAATGTGCCAGGCTTTGCTGATTGACTGGAGTGCCCGGAAGGACGAAAGGCAGGATTCGACTCCACGGGATAGAGAAGCGGTAATAGCCTATTCCCATTGACGCAATGCGTTCAATGTCTTGCTTATAGAGATAGTAGTTCTCATTGGCGACAAAATCGTTGGCCGCTCCTGGTGATAGGAGACTAATAGCATCCATGTGCACGGGCGTCCTTCCCTCATCGGCGACCGCTCCTTCAACTTGGACCGCGGACGCAGCTACGCCCAGTAAAAAATCCTTTGGAAAAGTATAGCAGGTTTGAGGAACGAACGGCTCCGGCGGAGGAAGAACGAGCTCGCTTGTAGAGACCGGCGTTGGCTCCACGGTTGTCGAGTAAATTCCTCGTGTAAAATTGACCCACGGTATTGCGGTCCACAGTGCGGTCCATGAAGCATTACCGTAAGGCACTCCAGTATCCGTGGGAGTAGCATTGGAAGCTGGGTCCCAATTGCCCCATTGCGTAGTCGTAAGGTTTGGTACCAGGCTGCTCAATCGAGAGTAGTTTGGTGCAAATGTGGTCGTAGTTGTCGGCGCAGGTCTTGAAGTCGCCATCTTCACCGTCTCTGTCTGTGTGAAGCTGAACTCGCGGAACGAGTGCGACGGAATGGCCGTAGCATACGATCCGTTTCGAGTGCATTGCGGAAGCGACGGTGGTCCATCCACTGGAATATACACTTGCTGGGCAAGTGATACAGCACCGCTACAGAGCAGTACACGAAGCTTCATCTTGAGGCGGTTGAACAATGGCTCTTCAAGTGCGTCGTCGCAATAGGCTATGTATCAACATTAGTTTTGTGACTATACCGCTTGCTCCCAAGTCTAGGAAGCGGACACGGTAAGAACGATGCTATACGATGCTATACGATGCAGTGTGATGTGACCTTTCACATGGGTTTTCGGGAGGACATCCTTGTTTGAGAAATTACCGGTGGAAACTCTGGGGTGCGGTGCGGGGTGCGGGGAACCATGAGAGCATCCTCGGCCCTGCGGGTTATGTTTGTAGCGAAGGAATTAAAGCTCCGAAATACAGCTTCGTGATAAAGACGAATTACCTAGGCGTTATTGCACAACACTTTGAGAAGAGACACAGAGAAGAAACACCTTCATGATAATGGATAGTTTGACAAGTCGTGCACGGGTGTCGTGTACCGTTACCGTTGTCATTCAAAGTTCATTGGAGTTGATCGAGCGAGAAGTTCTGACTCGCAAGAGAAATAGGAGTCGAAATTTGTCATCAAGGTTCTGATATCCGAAAATTTTGGCGGGACAGACCACATCGGAGTGACAATCTCACAACCTCGCCCGCTCTGCCAACCCTTTCGCGATCCCGCGAGTAATCCAATCAGAGATGGCCATGTTGGTGACCATGGGATTGACTCCGCTCGCAGACGGGAATACTGAAGCATCCGCAACATACAGGCCCTTCGTACCCCAAACTTGTCCTGTAGGATCCACGACGCCTTCCTTCTCTCTTGAACTCATCCTGCACGTACCCATCTGATGTGCGGACACATACATGGTCTCAGGGCTCGGGAGACCTCTAGCCCTGATACCGTCCAGCCAGTCCTGGAACTTGTTGTCGTTGACGCCTTCGCTAGCGGGTGTCGCTGGGTCACGAACGAAAGATTCGGTGCCTGGTATCATGGCAAAGATCTCGATTGCGCCTTGGATATATAGCATCTTGGCTAGGGCGATGATGCCTTCAATGAGATGGGCTTTATCGAAATTCGACGTTGTGTATCTGACGCGGACGCGCCCATCGTGGGGGTCTGGATAGACTTGGCCGGGATGTTTTTCGCGGGCGAGTGCAAAGTAGCCAGTCATGTACCTAAGTCGTGCAGCGTTGAGTTTGTAATCCAAACCATTCTTCCAGTTCAAGAAGGTAAGCCAGGCCGTTGGCGTCATGTTTGTTGCCTCGATTTTGACCCCATGGCCTTTGCCGTCTAGATTCTCAAACTCATTGACGACTGACGTCAGACAATCGCCTTCCCATGGTACAATTTCTTCATTGTGTATGCCACCTTGGAGAATGACGGGATGGAGGTAGAGGTTGCGCCCTATCTGATCGTTCTTGAGCCCGGATCGTAGGAGCAGTAACGGCGACTGCATCGTTCCTGCAGAAACAATTACGCGTTTGGCCTTGATTATCACCTTCCGTCTGATAACTGGATCTCCTGCGATACCACCGTTGATATCTCTGGAGATCCAGGTACCTCTTACTCCCGTGGCAACCTGATGCCCACCTCGTTTCGCAAAGATGACCTTTTCAGCGTGGAAGCCTTCGACGAACTTTGCACCAGCGCGAGCCGCATCAGGTAACCAACTAACGACTGGACCTTGCTTCTCGCAGGAGCCACAGCCGAAGACGCAATGACCACAGTAATGTCGCTTTCCACCGCTGTTCTGGGGAACAGTCTTAGCCGCGTAGCCTAACTTGCGCGCGCCTTCGAGCAATAACTGGTTTGTGCGGCTGTGTTCGATGTAGTCTGTCGAAACACCCATCCGTTGGCAAACGCGGTCGAGCGAGTCTTGGAACTCTGCAGATGTGAAGAATGGGAGCCCTCGCTCAGCCCATTCTTTACGAACAAATGCTTGTGTTTGTAGTGATGCAGACCAGTTCACCGTACCACCACCCCCGAATGTCTGTCCTGCAACGACTGCCACTGTGCTGTCGTCGGATTGGATGGCTAGATATTAGAATGCAAGTCAGCAGAACCCAGCTGAACGAGATACTTTGGCCAGTATATTAGGTGGGGCAGAAGAGCGTGCCAAGGGACGTACCTCCACCATGCATGAACAAGTTATTCCATCCATACTGGTCACGCATCGGAAAGTGCTCCGGAGTCCAATGATGTGCCTTCTCAACCACAATCACGCGGTGTCCAGCCTCAGATAGATTCTTCGCGGACACTCCGCCTCCACAACCACTACCTACAATGACAACGTCCGTCTCAATGACCTCCGGCTGATCACCAGGAGGGATCTGGAGGAACTCGTAATCAAAGCCTTTCCCGGGAACCATGCCAACTGGTACTCGTGGGTAACCAAGAAACCGTGGCAATGTTTCGGTTGTTTTCAGCCAAGTTTGTTTGGACAAAGTGGCTAAGGATCGAACGAGCTGCCGCAGGAGAGGCAACCGTGCCGTAGCCCATGATTGGAGAATGGCTTCTCGCACACGTATAGGCTGATTGCTAATGGGCGTTAGTTTTCCTGTAAGTACGAGTGATCCAGCGCGAGTGTTGAGTATGTTCAAGATCATCGAGAGATCCTTCTTGTTCGATTGAGGCAAGGTGAGCGCGATGACTCTTCGAAGTTCCTCTCTAAATACGGGATCCAATGCCGGGTTGTCATGAAGCAATGCTTTGGCGGCTTCCTCGCCATCAAGGTCTGGCGTGAGCTCCCTAAGTCTGCTTACGGTTGCCGAGTATTCATTGTCGGTGACGACGATCTCGGCTCTGCCCCGAGCAGTTGCGGAGGGCTTCACAGCCGGTACGACGGTTTCCGCAATAGCGAGGAGTGTCTTCCATTGGGCTGGCGTCAGAGGGTCTTCAGCTGGAAGGGGAGGCAGAGTAGTGGCTTTTGGAGACACGGTTGTGGTGGCGATGAGTTCAGACATGGCAACCAACGGCGCGGGTGTTGCAATAGGAAGCCTGACGGCTCGTAGAATGGACTGCTCACATTGGAGGGCGAGAAGTGCTCGAAACAATGCGGTTTGTTGGTGGCACGACAGTCAGCCTCAAACGCGGAGTAAACGCGGAGTGCATGAGAGCCTAGGTTCGTTTGGTGCATGTGCGCGAGTCGTACTTTCCAACCTCGGCACTGGCATCGATCAGACGCCACGAGGTGGCGCAGGAGCAAGCCACACTCACGTGCGCATCTTAACGCCGGGGATATCTCCCCGGCCCTACCTTACCTGGACAGGCAGCGTCCAGGGCTGGGCGGCTTGGGACGAGACCCTTTTCTGGTTTGCCTCAAGCCTGTCCACAGCGTGCGGCTCACATTGCTCAGCGCGCCGAGTTGCAGCGACGCAGATGAATCCACGGTCCCATCATGACGAGCCAGAGGGCATCCGATGGCGGCGGCGTTAGGTTGCCAATATAAATTACGAAGGAAAGCGACGCGAGTGGCCAGAGATAAGCCCGCGTCCTAATTGGGAGCACCAAGGCCCGTTGCCAAAGCCTACGGGTCGCTGCCGTCACGGCCGTCGCAACACACCAACAAACGGGCGCATGTTGCATGGCATCTGCAGAGCGCCACATGTTGTGCGCGGTGACCACCTTTGCGACTGCGGCGCTGTCGTCGTGCTGTCGTGGACGCTGCGCGCCCGCAAACATGGTGCGGCCGAGGAGATGCGCAGCGCAGAGATCAGTGGAGCGATCCGCCATGTTTGGGCGGCGGGCTGGGATGATCCTGCACAGACAGATGCTTGCAGCGAGGCTAGCCGTTAGCACTTCGGTCCAAGGTCGCTGGACCCTCGCCATCGCCAGTCCGCTACGGGCAGAACGACGTCGTTCTTAATTCACTCCCTCGCTCCATTCCAGGACGTGACCCCTCCATACCGCTCGTTGCAGCAGCTCCTTCACCGACAAAGCCCAATCTATCCGCCCGCCCAACCATTCCCGCCCAATACCAACCGGCGTGGGCAACAGTCCACTCGTCGTGCAGCAGAGACAGATAAACCCCGGGGCGTTCCTGTCGTGTACCCGTCCTTATCGCCCACCGCCTCTGCCCAAACACCAATTGCCTTCGACTGCAAACACGCGCAGAGCCGCAGGCTTGCTCAGCATACCCTTTCGAGAGCGTCAGCGTCGCGCTGTGAACAAGGCCTCCCGACTCTCACCCGCGGTTTTATCTTGACCACCCGCCCGCCGACTCTGGCATCTCTACCCACGCGATCCTTCGAACAAACGCTCGTCGCGCCACTCCAACCGCCGTCCGGTTATAACCCGCACTCATACACCTTGCCTCGCTCCCTGCTGGCGCGCACCCTTATTCGATCCCTCCATGTCAACCCAGTTCTCAGGAGCGGCCGTTGCTGCGCAGCACAACCCGTTCCAGCACGCATACAAGAAGTCTGCGCTCTATAGCCAGATCGACTCGGGCTCCAACACGCCGATGAACGTGTCACCCACCTCGCCACGCACCATGAGCCACCTGCCGACATATCCCCAGCATGCCCCGGCGCTTCGACCGCTGAAGACGCCTGGCTACATCCCCGCAGCGTTGCGTAGGACGGAGAAGCCTGCTGGACGATCGCCGCCCAACCTTGACTCCGGCATGGATACACCGAATACCAGCTGGAGCACGGGCGGTTTGTTCGGACAGAGCACCGGCGATATTACGTCCATCTCTCGCGTCGCGACGGAGGATATGCGATCCATCTACGACGACACCCCGCTCTCTCCTGTGGCAGGACCGATTACGCGCAACCACTGGCAGGTACGTTGATCTCCTTTACTGCTTGCTCGTTCATCTTCTGTTATTATTGTCAGCACCCACTCTCCTCCACTTTTGTCGCGTGCCTTTCCTTGAGCGAGCCGCTGTTACGTACTTGGTTCGGAGCGGGCCCCTTAGCGTGGCAACGCCTCGCCGAATACCGATGCGCGCTGCAACAAGTGCATCCTGGCACCTCAACAACTCTGACATTGCCTCGAGACTTGACATCGCTGCCATGTGCGCATGAGGCACGATGCCACGACGTTGTTGAGACGGGTGCCGTGCGCTTTTTGTTAGGTTCCACTGTCTCACCCACCACGAGTCCCCCACACTATGTTTTGGCGAATGCAGGGTCGCCCGTCTCCGGGCTGCCTCGGTCTTCTCCGTCGTTAGTCCACTCCTTTGACATTTGGAGCCTCATTCTAGAGCCTTCTGGGCCAATCGGATAGAGCTGACTGAATGGTTTTAGCCTGACAGTTCGACTGTCGTGTGTACCGCCTCGTGCTGCCAGCAGCCGTTCGGTCTCTTCATGCGTCGCCATCACTGTCGCAAGTGTGGCGGCATCTTCTGCTACCAGCACCTCCAGAAGCAGGTTCGCCTCAACGAGCACGCCTTGTTCCACCCCGAGGGTGACTGGCACAAGGCTTGCGATCGTTGCCACACGCAGTTCCGCGAATGGGAGCAGATGCGCTCTAGCCGCACCAATAGCGAGAGCTCTGGCAGCATCGAGAGCCCCGCTGCCGTACAGATCGAGCCGCCGCAGGCGAAGCGCCCAGAGTGTGCTCCCAAGGCTAGCTTCCTGTCACAGAGCTTCGGTGGTGGCACCTGGAACTGGAGCACTTTCTAGATGACGTCTCTTTCTAGGCATCGTGCCTTCTTTCTCAACATGATGATATCCCGGACGGCCAATCTTCCATCGCAAGACACGCGGTCGTCCACAATCTTTCCAACTCTTTCAGCTTCGTTCCGAAGCATCAGCATAATTGCATGGTATCCTGGCGTACAGCATTATCCGGGTGGTGGGCCTTTGCAGCGAATCGGTGTTTACTTAGTGCGCTCCTAGATCGCAGCGTTCTCGTCAACGCGTGCTGCTACGGCCAACGAGATATCCAACCTAATGATTGTTTCTTTTAGACCTGATCAGTCGACTGGCTTCTGAGCTGGCGGCGAGATAGTTGAGCTCATGCTCCAGCGAAATGGCGTTTTAATGGGTCTGGCGTTTAGAATCTTGGTGACTTTGTTCCTTCCTACGTTCGACGGTATCGCAGAGTGCTAGAGCACACTGCGAGGCAGTATCGGTGGGTTGCTCGCGGGCCGCCATGGTCGTGCGTGTAATCTTGGATGGGCCCTTTAGGAGTGTGGTCGATATGGTATCCAATGCTGGAATCAAGTTCTTTATGAGATTTAGCCGTTTGCAGATGGTGACTCAATGACTAGCGATGGCGTGATGGGAAGAGGACCGTGATGGGGTCCCGATGGTCTCTTTAGCGGCTTTCGGAGTGAAGGTATGACAGGGTGGAGACAGCCGCACCTGAGCAAACACTCGGCAGGAGCACTTCATATATCGTTTCAAGCACATCAGGAGAGATTCAGCTCTCTAGACAACATGCACGTTTAATGAAACATCATAGGCTGGTCGATCCACAAAATGCCCAGGAAGAATTCGCTGGTGGGCCACTGAGCGGTCTTCAGCCCTATCGATGATCGCTGCCGGCAATGCTGGCGCTCCCCGATTGGCTGAACCCTGGCTCGTGGCAGTCAAATTCCAACACGACATTCTGAGAGTGGATGACCTCTTTTCCATATCCGCAGTCACATCACGCGTGTCTGCTCACCGCTCTGCTGGGTTCGCATCCCGATCAATACCGTAAGGGACAGAGTTGGCGGTCATTCATTCCTTCGTTGTGCGCGCCGCGGGCGGTGTCCCCGCTGTTCTGAAAATTGCGACTACCACTTCTGGTTCCTGCAGACGGTTCTTTGGTACTAGCATCGTGGCCATGGGTTCTGAGGCGCAAACTACGAAGATGGAGGGTAGTAACGTAGTAGAGAAGCCGAACAAGAGAGTCAAGCTGCGTGGAAGGGCTTTCTATGAGAGCATAGGGAGCCCTAAGCTTGTGCTTGCGCCCATGGTGGAGCAGTCCGAGTTCGTACGTTATTTGATTTACTATACCTTGACTTTGCAACAAAAGAAAGTGGCTAAAGATGCATTTCCAGGCCTGGCGCATGCTGTCCCGCTCCTTCCTCCTCGCCTCCGAGCAGTCCAACCTTCTCGCCTACACGCCAATGTTCCACTCCAAAATGTTCCTCGAAGGCCCCAAGTACCGCGACTCGCATTTCCAACCGCTCAAGTCGGCCATACCCTCCCCTCCCGACACATACCACATTTCGCAGCTGCCGGAATCAGAGCGCCATCTTGACGGAAACCCCGCGTTCGACCGCCCACTCACGGTGCAGTTCTGCTCCAACGACCCCAACGACCTACTTAATGCCGCGAAACATGTGGCCCCGTTCTGCGATGCGGTGGACCTGAACCTGGGGTGTCCGCAGGGCATCGCGAGAAGGGGGAACTACGGAGCGTTCTTGCAGGAAAGCCCAGAACTGATTGCGAAGATGATAAAAAGATTGGACGAGGAGCTGGACGTGCCTGTTACGGCAAAGTTTAGGATACTAGAGACGAAGGAGAAGACTCTGGAATACGCAAAGATGATACTGGAGGCCGGCGCGACCATACTCACCGTACATGGCAGGCGGCGCGAACAAAAGGGGCACAATACGGGACTCGCAGATTGGAAAATTATTCGCTATTTGAGGGAGCATCTGCCGAAAGAAACAGTCATATTCGCAAATGGCAACATTCTCCAGCATGAGGACATTGCGAAGTGTCTAGAAGCAACGGGCGCTGATGGCGTTATGGCGGCTGAAGGGAACCTGTACGACCCAACTATCTTCGCCAAACCGCCTCCAGTGGGTGAAGAAGGTCGCGAATACTGGCGCGGAAAAGATGGGAAGGGTGGATACAGAGTTGATGCTGTATTCCGGCGATATTTGGACATAATCCACAAGTATGCGCTCGGACAGGAACCGCCCGTGCGAAAGCCGCTTTTCCATCCCGATGACCCTGAGGAGCCACCATCGCCGCCACAGGAAGAAGATGAAGGACCGCCGCGCAAGAAGCAGAAACAGAATAACAAGGAGAAAGGCCAGCTGAAAAACCCAAACCTCACAGCTATGCAAGCACATTTGTTCCATCTCCTGCGGCCACTCGTATCGCAGCATCACAACGTGAGGGACGCATTAGCGAAGTGCCGAATGGGCGACATCGATGCTTACGAGAACGTGCTGAAGGTTACGGAGAAAGTTGTAAAGGAAGGCATTAAGGCGTACGAGCGGGAACACGCCGATACCGAAACTGCCCACGGCGCGAGCGCTACTAACTCTAAGTCTGCGCCGGAAATCGCACAAGACGAGACCAAACAAGTAGATTTGGACCCATACGCATCCTCACTCGCCACCGTTGCGAGATGCAAACGTCCTTTCTGGGTGTGCCAGCCCTACGTCCGCCCGCTCCCAAAAGAAGCTATCGAGAAGGGCTCAATGCAGCTCAGTAAGAAGGAAAAGAAGAGACTGGAACAGCAAGAGGCGGACGCTAAGGCTGTTTGGCTACAACCTGAGGGTCGGACTGAGAAGGAGATTCTGAAAACGGGAATGTGCGATGAACAATCTGCTGATAATACGGTGACGGCGGAGAACAAGCAGAACGAGGAGGTTGAGGTACCGAAGGAGGGGCTGGTGTGTGGATGAGAGAATGGCCGTCTTGAGACTCACTCGACGAGTCAATAATTGCGGCTTGAACACCCCTCCGCTCCGATACGAATTACACGACGACCTCACGGACGCAGGACATTCCCCGAATTAGTCGACTGCCCTGGTGAGGGACTCGGCCGCCATCAACTACGGCGTGCTCAACTAGCTCAATTGGATTCATTCGGATTCCATCGATTATTGAGAACAGATACATACGACTTCCGTCCGAGGTTGGCAATCACAAATACTTGGTTTATAAATTGTTCACTTTCCTCATCCCTGCGTGGTCGCTCCTTCCTCGTCAATTGACCAATTTTGACATCTTGTCTCTTACCTTTACTCTAACCCCAAGACTCCAGCTTTCTCGTCTTGGCACTACCATCGATATGCGAAGATTACCACAAGTCAATTGGAGAACGAGAACAACAACAGCAACAACAGCAACAACAGCAACAACAGCAACAACAGCAACAACAGCAACAACAGCAACAACAGCAACAACAGCAACAACAGCAACAACAGCAACAACAACAACAACAACAACCATAAAGCGACTTTAGCTTCGGTCTAAAACGTTCTGCTACTGGTCAAATTTCCACGCCGTTTCTTGGTCGCTCTTTCGCTGTTTCACTCACTGGTCTTGGTTATAGATTCCCTACGCATAACTGAGGATCTCTAGCTACAGCATCCTTCTCCTATTGACGTATACGCCGCATCTTCTTATCATAACCCCCGTCGCGTACCGTATCGCCTTCGCTAGGGCGCCTATCAAGCTGGATTTTGCAGGCCATTAGCTTGATTCGCACCTCGACAATCGCTCAAATCAAGATTACGTACCGTAAGCTTGCGCTACTATACCATGCAGACATAAAGGGTCTCGGAAACGTCAAAGGTAATGCGGACTTCGAGCGGGTATGTTTTAAGCCCTGACGTGTTGGTCAAGTAGGGCTTACCTCTATGTGTAGATCAATGCGGGATATGTCTTGCTTTGCGATACACATGAGTGTGCGAAGTACGACGCGGAGTATTCTACTTGGTTTGTTTGTGAAGAAGATACGAACGAGACGCAAGAAGGGAAGCATGAGTCAGCAAAACGGGATGACGAAGAGGATTACTACGATGCGGCAGTGAAGCAGCTGCGGGATCAACATATGGTGTTCCTTGCCCGCGTAGATCAGATGTGGTGGAAGCGCGAAGAGCATGCTTGGTCCATGGAAAATATTGGCACAACCATCAATTGTTAGACTGGACGTGAATGCGAAGGATGTCAGGCTGCCGAGGAAGCTAAGCGTGCGGCGCAGAAAGCAGAAGAGAAGCGTCGTCAAGTGGAGGGGGAGCGCGGTCTTGAGAAGGGGGAGCAGGAACGCAAAAAGTAATAGAAGAAGACCGATGCCGCCAAGCCAAAATCGAGATGCCCAAGAATGCACGCAAAAGGCCCGCGAGCAGACTGCCCAAAAGCGCAGTGAGGAAAACACACGTCCGACGCCGCACTCGCGCGAGGAGCAGGAGAACGTTGCGCGACTCAGAATAGCGAAAGCCTATATCGGGGGTAAACATCATGAATGTCCTACCAGGTTGTAACCGGGAGGTACCTTGCCGAGCACTGAAAAGGTGGACAAATGCATCGGCTGGACGAAGAAGAAGAGTGCCGCTACATGTCTATTCCGCGAGATTGAGGCCTAGCAATCCTCGTTCCAGCTGCCGGAGGGAGGCGCTGTTGCATGCAATCTTTGCAAGAAGTTCAGTATCGTCACGCTTGCCCTACAGGAGGCGGATGTCGAAAAGGATGGCGAGGAGGAACACTCACTGAGGGCGTTGAGCACGATGACCAGCAAATGGTGACAGGAGAAGCAGACAGATATACATTATTAAATGATATCGTCAATCAAGCTCCCTGTTCTTTCAGAGCATCCTCTGGCTATGCGCAGCCGTTCTCGACGTTCAAAACTGCCAGATTCCACCCATTGAATTTTGCAAGGCGCAGCTACGCTGTGCCTGCTGCATGCGGTATAGAACCGATGACGCTCTACGTACCCGCGAAGACGTGTCTTAGTTCGATACTCGGCATGCTCCCAGGAGAAATGAGAGGAAGCCAGGCTCTGCTATCCGACGTCTACGTCACATGTCTGGGGTCGCGGGAATAAGGGTGGAATCGGCGAGCACAAGGGGGTTGAGATCATCAACCAGGCTACGCCGTAAAAGGTGGCAGGTTGATCCAGTCTGTGTCTACGTTCCAGCCCTAGCGATACAACTTTGGCGGCATACAAGTCACCAGCGGAAATGCTGCACGTTGAACGTCTCAAATTCAAAACTGTTCAGACATTCCAGATCAATGATTCTAGCAATTTACACTGGCGTTCTTCCATATTACAGCTCAACTCGCAGAGTATTCAGTCATTGGCATATCTAAATCGCCCCTTCGGATCATTCGAGCACAGGTAGAGCGCATAATTCAGCCTCCGCTTTTCTCTGCCGTGGCCTACACCTTCAAGAAAGCTTTCTATATATACATGCTGTTGTAATGACATATTGTCGTACCTTGGTGATGTTGTGGAGCGCGCGTAAATTTCGGGGAGGTCCTTCAAACCACAAATCCCTCCGCACATGAGTACAAAGAACACGATCTTACAATCCTGGTCACATGTCATCAAGCGATGTTGATGTTACCTCGAACTCTACTGTTGCCCATATCCGGATAAGAGCTATAGCGTTGTCGCTCTTACCGTTGGCTCGAACCTCCAATAATAGACCTGGTGCCTGCTTCCAACGTGCGATCCCAGATTCTGGAGACAACATCAGTGCCATCGTTGGTCTACAGAGCACTAAGCTGTGTTTCTATAGCTGGTTTATATTGCCCGAATATCGAACATTCGGTTTTATACATTAGGAAAGCTTGCTGGGAGCGGTACAAAGTAACCGAAAGAGCGTCGGGGCAGGCACAGACTGCGTTGTCTCGGAGACTCCGATCACTCCCAGTTACTTTTACGTAGAAACGCTTTCTTTCGAAGCGCGCCACCCCATACAAAGCGCGGTTACTACGGCAGTGTCGCTCATCCAGTAAAGACCGTCGGACTACTTCCACCAGTAGTCTGGACAAGCTTCTTACTGCATGCGTTTCCACCTCAGCGTGTATCTTAGCGGCCGTTAGTATCATGCAACCTTAATCAAGCTTCCTAAGTCAGCCCTCGGAAACTGTTGGGCTGGAGGCGCGGGAGCTGGTTTTACGGTATGGAAATCGACTTCTCACGCCACTCATCATCGACGTGCACCTCGGCGGCTGGAGCGGCTGAGTGAGACTGGTATAGGGTTCTAGCAGCAGAGTTGGTTATGAAGGTGTTGAACGATCGGTCAGACATATCGTGAAGATGCTGTGAAGCATCGCTACCAACTATTGACATGATTCACTCGTGCAAGATACCGTTCCACGAGTTCCTGTTACTCTGAGCTTGCGGTATGCATACAACTCTGTGGCTGGAGTACGCTGTCCCAGCTACCAGATTTAGCTTTTGCCCTTGATCTATAGGCGCCCTACACGAGCGACTGGTTTTCATGCCGACTTCCTCGCCATTGTGGTGTCAGACAATGCAGCCACATCAAATGTCAGCCCAGGTTATTCGAAACTTGGCCTAGCCAGCTGCTCGAACAAGGCCTGACTTGGACCAGATTTTTTCCATGTTCAGTCCTTCGTCTTGGAGGTGTCCTTCGCTTGCAACTGACATCGGAAGTCCAAATGCACATGCTTGCAGGGATGCTCAGTGGTACTACATTGACAACCAGGACAGCGACAGTGTCACGATCATGGTGATATCTCCTCGGCACAGCGGCACCCTGATGGCACTGCAATCGAGTCTGGTTAATCTCGAGTATCTTTGCGCGCGGAGTAGCAGAGATCCGGCTACCAGTCTCTTCTCTCAGCCTCTTTCCCAACGATGAGAACGTCACGATCTTGGTCCGTCGCGGACGGCGACCGGCAGGGTGCCTTTGTTAACGCAGACTACTGCAGCAATCTTGCTTCGCCGTCCTATGACAGCGTGACGGTGAGACAGCGATTGGTGTTGGCTGCGCCGGCTCCCCGACTCGACTCCGGTTACGCTCAGGCGGCGCGCACAAGCACAAGCCTTGGTCGATCGGTGCGTCTCCCCCAGCCGAAAAAGGCTTAGCCGGATGCGGGAAGGACATGTCGTAACTCCGACTTCACACAACAACACCGACCGCGTGAGCGCCACAGCAGACGAGCGCGATGAATCGTACCAACAGCGGCTCCGTCTTCTCGCTGAACAGAAAGCTAAGGCCTTTCCTTCGCCATTACACAGACCAATGCTGCATCATCGTCAAACATGTAACGCCCATCACCCGTCCATGCCATCATGGATCGGTGTACTGCAAATTGAGCCGCAGTAGTCCTTCGCTACCAGCCTGGCCTAAGATACCTACACTGAGGCTAAGCTACCGCCGTAAACCCACTAACTTGTTTTGCATGACTATCAGGGGTTCTGGGCATCAAGTTTCATTGACACCACCCGCCGACGACCGACGAACACTGTGGCGGGAACACAACCTCCCACCGACCTTTCCATTTTCGCTAGCAACCTCACGTCCGACAAGGTTGCACGCAGGTGTCAAGCTAAACTGACGGCCAACGGTATTTCCTGATCGGATCGGTGTCCCACGCGGACCACAGCCCTATGATTTAGCTTTTCCATCACCGTGCCAGCCTCGAAGAAGCAGGAGGGATGGCGTATATAGTCATCCCACCCTTCTGATCTGGACAATGCCGCAACCGTCCTTCACTGGTAGTGGCTGTTCTTCCAGAAGGACGCCACCCTTGCTTTCATCTTAAGGTCTTCCAGCGCTTCGCGCACTTGACACAACCTCATCCTCCCTCATCCGTGGTCAATACCTTCATGATGCTGTTCATGTCTATCAGGGCGGCCTCTCCAGCCCTGCTGGTGGCCTTCATATGTCCCTCCGTCTTGTCGTCTACGATCAAGAGGGCGACGGACTATTCTTGCCAAAATGGTCCACAGTCGAGGTCGTGTTGGGGAGATTTCGATATCGAAACTGACATGGACTCGAAATGGCCCGATACCGGGAACACTGTAAAGGTGAACATTCCAATTGCCGCATATGATGAACGTAGCTAACGGGACCAGTACACCTGGGAACTCAGCAACACAACTGGAGCGCCAGATGGTTACGAGAGGATATTGATGTTGGTGAACGGGCAATACCCGGGACCGGTAAAATATATATGCATGACATTAACGTCCGAGTCTGCTGAGAACGCTTAGACACTTGAAGCAAACTGGGGAGACAACATTGAAGTCACACTCACCAACAACCTCCAGTCGAATGGCACAGGCATTCACTGGCACGGCTTCCGACAGCTGGGTACGAACGATGAGGATGGTACAGGTGGCGTGACCGAGTGCCCCATTCCACCAGGTGGTTCAAGGACCTACAGGTTCAAGGCCTCTCAGTATGGTACATCTTGGTGGCACAGTCACTACTCGGTGCAGTACAGCGAAGGTGTTTCTGGTCCCATCGTGATCCATGGTCCTTCAACGAAGAATTGGGACGTTGATCTTGGACCTTTGCCGTTCACCGACTGGTTTCACACTCCTGTGTAAGACTCTCGCTCTACCTTCTGGACTCTTTTCGCTTACGATGGACAAGGTTTACCGTAAATGCAGCCACGCTCCACGCGAATGCCCCACCTACTGCAGATAACATGTTGGTAAATGGGACGATGGTCTCAGATCAAGGCGGCAATTATGCTGTTACCACGCTCCAGAAAGGGAAAACCCATCTTCTTCGGCTCATGAACAATGGCATCAACAATTGGGTCAACATAGCTCTCGATGGACATCCCTTCACTGTGATTGCAGCGGATTTCAATCCGATCGTTCCTTTTAGTGCCGACTCATTAACAATAGCGGTTGGTAAGTCCAGGTGTCCCAGCCTCATACCTGCACCAGCCCCACCAACCTCCGCGCTACTACATCTCGGAGCGTTCCCGCTAATCAGGTACAGGCCAACGCTACGACGTTGTAATAAATGCGAATCAGACCGCCGGCAACTACTGGCTTCGCGTCGGCACTGGCGGAGGAGCCTGTGACGGACCAAACGCTAATGCAGGCAACGTTCGAAGCATCTTCCGCTACGAAGGCGCAGACGAAAAAAACCCCGAATCAGAAGCAAGTGCGCAGTTATCGACAGGCTGTGATGACGAAAAGAATCTGGTGCCGTGGGTGAAAACCACAGTACCCCAGACAACACCCAAAGACATGGAAGTCAAGTTCAGCAACACCGTCGTTGATGGCGCGAATCTAGTACAATGGCTCATTGGCGACACGCCCATGCACATCAACCTCAGCAGCCCTTCCATTCAGCAAATCTCCTATAACGACGGCAACTTTTCGAAGTCGGAGAATACATACAACATCGGGCAGGCGAACAAGTTCCAATACTGGGTGATCCAACAAGACCCGGCTAACCTCGCTGCGGTTCCGCACCCTGTCCATCTCCACGGTCATGACTTCTACGTCCTTGCCCAGGAATCGGAAAAGACGTGGGACGGTGACATCTCAGGCCTCAAAATGGACAACCCCCCTCGACGCGATACAGCGACGCTGCCCGTCAAAGGTTACCTCGTGCTCGCCTTCGAGTCGGACAACCCAGGCCTGTGGCTCATGCACTGCCATATTCCGTTCCACCTCTCGCAAGGCTTTGGTGTTCAGTTTGTCGAGCGAGCAGGCGATATCACCGGTACATTAGACAAGGTAAATGGTTGGTGCGAGGATTGGATCTCCTGGCGAGGAAAGTATTATCCCGATGGACTATCTGAAGGCGACGTCTCTGTGTAAGTGAATCTGACTGGTGCGCATCACGAGCGGCGTTGCGGCAATGTGATTTCCGAGCGACCACTTGGTACTCCTGTCACGGTGGAAGGGGTCTTGGTGGCGCTGTTTCATTATGTATAATGGTGTGGGACCAGTAGTTTTACGGCTTGGATGGGCCAAGGGATCTGGCATATAGGATATGGTAATATGACTACAGCATGTTGTACTTACATACTGTACACAGTATACTCTTTTTACATGTAACGCTGCTGAGGCTTTGCTTGAACTATCTGCAGTTGTCTCAAAAGTACGGGCATAGGAATGGCCTTGGTACTCGTAGGGTTCGTGACCAGAAAAGCTTCAATGTAGTACATTGTTGTAATTCCTTGAACCCGACCCTTCCACCACTTACAAATGATTGAATGGGATGAAACATTGAATCAGGACTCGGTAGGATAATTCTGGGCCTTGATGCATTGGCGGATCAGACACGCTGGCACTCTCGCACAGGAACACATCCTTTGCGCAGGAGATTCAACAACCAGGAATCGGTCCTCGGGGAAGCCGAGAAAAAACTCGTGATGCATCTGCAAGCGGAAGCAAAGAAGAGTCAATAACGAGGTTGATGTTGTGCGTGGTTGCAGTGCAGTAGCGGAGCACGTGCGGCGCCAAAGACCGCTCCTGATTGGTTGCTGCAGCTGTGCACGCCGCACCTCATCAAACCTCCGACATCTACCGTCAAGCGAACAGACTTCGGAGTCGGATCAAGGCCTCCAAATCTTGTATGCCTTCAAGTTTGCCAGCCAGCACTGGCGCTGACGAGAACTGTGAACGCTTTCGGGTCCGTGAACACTGGCACGCTGAAAACGGCCACTCGCGCGGCTTCACGTGCAACGGATCCATGGAAAAAGCCTTACGGGTGTCAAGCCGATTGACGGACACAGAGTCTTTTTCAATAATAATACGTACCGAGTGATCGCGCCTGGACGATGTCGTGGCGGAGGATGTACCGGAAATGTGTTGGTCCGGTGTTGCCGTATCTTTCAGATTTCTCGGGATACGATACCTTCTTTCAATTGATCACTCGTTGAAGCGTGACGTTCGTTACCATGTGATGGTGTGGAGATGTAGGCACAGTGAAATCTATGCACCCTTCGTACTGAGCGTATCCGTGGAGTGTTGAAAAAAACATAGAAGCGTCACGGGGTTCCCGCCGTCCTTAGTCCACTCCCCATTAGCAAGCGTTATTATTCCTAGTGCCCATTTGCTATTGTTCCTGCCGCTTCTCTCGGTCATCCGATACCTCTCTTCCCTTCCAAACTGTCCCTCCTGCTCCTCTTCTGCTTTGTCGTATTCTTTGGCCAATTCGACCTTGTAGGCCTTGTTCCTTTTCACTATCTTTAGTGGGCTCTACATCGGCATCCTGAGTGGTAAACAAGGTTATCAATCTCCTTCCGAGATTTTTGAGTGGATGTATCGGTCGTGGAGTGTGTCTGAGTTGGTCATCGTTGTCGTCGGTGTGGATTATTGCTGCCAATTTGAGCGTGAAGTATGTCTTTAATACGCACGCGTGTGATTGGCGATACTTATAGGATTTCGCAGATATCATACCACAGCGTAGAAATCGATCGTGGCGATGTGAGAGTGCGTTCACAGTGTTGGTGGTGTCAATCTCTCAGCTGATGTGACCAAAGTGTAAGGCTCCAGCCAATAAAGCGCTTGACACAGCTCTTCGCCATGCATTCGTGGAGACAAATCACTGCAAAAACTGGAAAGCAAAAACTTTTGATTGGGATGATCCTGGATTGGGGATCTTCCTTGTGCCGGATCTATCGTTTCGTCCACAAAATACCACCGCCCTACTCTACCTGAAGCTGCCATTCTACAGCGAGCCCAGAATTCCGACATGAAGGTACAAGAAAGAAAAGGTCGTGTCGTCGTACGTTTTTATCATGTATAGGGGGTATAGGGATATCTCTCGTCGCCGCTGATGAATATGGTAAGAACATAAGAAATTCTGGACTCGTTCAGTCGCAGATCGGCCGTGCTGTTGATCTCAAGGGTGACCGTATCCAAATCCGGGCCACAGCGCAGGAGGCGGAGTGGTTATGTAGTTCGGCCTAGGATCAGATAAGTAATAGCCTGCGACCAAGCAGGTGTCATGCGGCAAAAAGATGAACAAAAGGAAAGGTATGCAATGCAGAACGAGGGGATCAAGCACTACAACCTTCCATTGTCAATCTTCAATCTCTTCCACATGCCCACGTGCTCAATACCCTCTTCCACCCAATGCGGCTCTTTCTCGATCTCTACTTCGCCGTTTTCGTTGAGAAGCTCCTCCTTGAATCCGAAATGTTTCTCCCAGTAGCCTTTCAAATTGGCCTGCGCGTGTATCATGACGAGGCCTTGCCATGTGGCAGCGTCCTGGGTTGCCTGGCCGCGCAAGTTGGCAAGTTCCATAGTCGTTGGTGAGGGTGGTTGATAGATGGTCTCGGGGTGTTTTGCGGCGTAGTCCGCGGCGGTGTTGATGAGCAATTTTGCGAGGCCGAGTTTACGGTAGGGCGCAAGGACAGCCAGGCGACCAAGCTTGACGTATGGCTCTGTCGAGTGTTTCTTCTTGGAAGCAGCGTAGGTGCCTGCAGGCGGGTCCGCATCCGGATGCTTGTTTGTGTTCTCGAGGTATTTGCTCGGTTTATGTGGCGCAGGAATCAGTCGAACCGTACCCACGGGTAGCCGTGCCGCTGACGCGCTTGCTCTTCTGGTATCCTCCTCTTTGGTAGTTGATCCTTCCGCGCGCATGTGCTTTGGTGGTGAGCTCGCGGTGGATGCGACGGATGCGTAAACCACCCAATGCCAACTTCGCGCGTCGTCTTCGTCAAACTCAGCGTCAAGAGGCACGCCCTGCTCGCCGTAGACTTCTTCCCGCACCGACATGGCATCGCGGAAAACTTGTGGTATCGAGGCGGGCTGCTGAGTGTGCGGCTTGGTGTTGTCATACTCGCTGAGGTCGTTCTTGGGCGGGGCGAGCATGGAGAGGAACTCGGTGCCTCCATTGCCGTTGGCGGTGCCGAAGCCTGAAGTGACGGTGGTCATCGTGGTGCGTGCGCGGCTGGTGGCTTGCGTCGAGGTACTCAGGCAGACGTTGCTCTTATGGTGACGCTCGCGTTGGAATCAAGGGTCGAGGAGCGAGGCTTTCGCGAGGAAATGGGGTGACGGCGATTGCAAGCGGCAGGCGCAACGTGGTGTTCCTTCCCCTCTTTTATCTCACTTGCGTGTCGTGCTTTCCTCGAGTCTCACAACCCGAGCAGTAGCGCGTTTCGTCCCTGATACCGGTATGATCAGCGAGGCGATCTGTGAGGAGGCTGTGTTCTAAGGTGTGCTGCGTGCGTGTGACAGGCTCCGAGACCCTCGATGACGTCACCTGCCAAGCTCTGACGGAAGCGGGTAGGAGCGGTCCTTGCACACCTTGCAAACCCTGCAGCAGTTGTGGCCAAAGTTCCCGGGCCAATCATGGCTCCCTGGTCTCGGGAACAACAGCGAAACGCATGATGAGAACGATGTTGTCGACACAGATAGAAGATGACGAAGAAGTTGTCGTCGATGAAGCTGTCGTAGAATTGGACGTGGACGAAGCGGAAGAAATACCGATGTCGACGTCGTCGACGCGGAAGATGTAGACTTCGTAGAGGGTGCTGCTTAGTTCCGAGATTGGCGCAGTTAGAGGTATAGTCCAGGTTATTGGAGTGTGGAATAGCAAGTCTTGCAAGTTTGATGACACAGATGCTTGATTCTGAGGAGAGGTGGGACTAGAAGCAGAGAAGGCATCAGCGACGTTTTGAGGACGAGCCAACAATGGAGAGCGCTTACCTGAGCAACGATGTGATCTCAGAGTGCTGAGATGCCAGTCGGGATGATCCACCGTTGAGCGAGAAATGGAGGGAACAGATGATCAGTATTTGGGTTTATGTAGAGCTGCTGGACGTCGCCCGGCCAACGCCCGGTCTCTGTGCATCATGAAATAGAGCCAGAATCAAAGAGGGAGGGATTGGTGATTAAAACAAGATCGAAGGGTCTGTGAGTTTGCTGTAAAAGCAGTGGCGAACAGTTTCGAGAAGCATTCTAACTAAACTAGGTGCAACAAACACGATCGACAAGCAAATGCGCGGGTATGAACAGTACGTGTGCTTTTCAATGCTAGCAAAATCGGAAATACAAAAGCGAACTGAATCTACCCTGCGTATCTAAAACATGTATGAATCAACCTCGAATGTGATCTTCCTCATATTCTGTATGTCGAAATTGCTCACCATGGGTGCCGTTTTGTCACCGCAGCTGAAGGTTATTCCAAAGACAATCCGTGCTATACGCTGAGTTCGCCAGGAACAGGTTTAGAGACCGTTGTAGCAATTGTTGTTTTTGGTATAGAAGTGTGTTCACAGGAGGATGACACGAATAACTCAATTCACATCCGACTCTCGGAGCGTTGAGAATCTGTAGCCACCTCTTCCTCCACTACAGCGTCGGTCGAAGATAGTACCTCGAGAGCATCGCCTACGGTCGAGACGTCATGAGAAGTAATCGAAGCCATTGAAAGCCTATCCAATCCCCGCCAAGAGCCACGAACCGTACCCGCAAGCACGGAATCCATAGAATCACGCTGAGCACGAGGGTGCCGTGAATTCTGCCAAGAGAGCCGTGCATGAAACGAGGACGCTGGACGCGGTGAGCGAGAACGATGAGCATGCTGCGCGAGGTCTAGTCGAGAGGATCGCGGGCTAGAGGAGCCCTCTTGATGTTCAACAGCAGTATCTGCCTCAGATATCCTGGTCGCGCTGATGGTCAATGGACCGGTGTGGGTAAACAAGGCGCCTGCAGCAATTCCGTCAAACTGGCTTCCCATTTGATCGAGAGAGTACCGTTGAACAGATGGCGTGGTGGATGAGAGCAGGTGTGGCGCTAGACTATGATAATCGCCAATAGAAGAAGCTGAGTGGCGTCGATTGCAGTCAAATTGGCCGGCAGGGGAACACTTTGAACGCTTGAAGGTCGTTATGCGCTCCCGGATCCAAGCATGACGCTGCTGTGAGGTCATTTGTCGAATGGCTTCCTTATCGGTGGACTCTAGTTCTTCGATAATTTGTCTAGTGGTCTTTATAGGTCTGGTAGGGACATCTTCCATATGGGACGACCTGTCAATCCCAGACAGCAAGGATGCGACGACTCTGGGCATTCTGACCTCCCTTTGAATTTCCCGATCACTTTTGGGAGGCTCCCCTTCACGATCTGCAGCCATTCTAGGCTCTTTCGGTCTGCGGAAGAAAGGTTTGAAGCGTACTTTTCTCAAGACGCCAATCCTGTCTTTGAGCTTGCTTTTGATGCTTCTGATTGTCGGCGCACTAGCTTGCGGGAGGCTAGGCAATGTATGCTGTCCTGTAGGTGCGTTACTTAGCACTTGTGTCGATCTCGCTGCGACATCAGACACTAGCGCAGGGTTGGAGTGATGCGCTTGAGAAGTTCTTGACTCTGTGTTTGCGGAAGCATCCGACAAGTTACGAGCGAGCCGTGAGGAGGAGCTGCGGGAAGGTGTTGGCGAAGGATCTTCGGGAACGTTGGCCAAAGCTGTCGGTGAAGCAATGGCAGCTGCTGATCGTACCATGTTGAAGAGAGTGTAGCGGAAATTGATCTCCACGTCCTCTAGATCGGTCGTAACGGTACTAAGCAAGGATATTTGCGTATTGTTTAGTCCACCAATGGTGAGCCATTTTTGACCGCAGCGGTCGCAAAGGACGTGGCTGGCTTCGCAGACGCCTTCGACTACATGGATATGGATCATAGCGGCTTTGTGATGATGACCACATCTCGCACAGTTCCCGTGGAATGTAAGAGGCCATCTGCCAGAGGGAAGCGAAGGCTGCTTGTCGCTACTAATGGTCGACATAGTGTCGCGCCGTATAGAACCCGACGAGAACGGAAAGGTCTCGGGACGTGCGTCCATAATGACAGAGGTTCCGGCGAAGGACATTAAACACTGATCTCGAGTCCGAAGAAGCTCCTCGATCACTCGTCGATAAGCTGGTCTCAGGAATTGTAAGGTTCCCGGCGAGAATGGGAATACTAGCTCAACAAGGGAACCATTGGGTCCTAGGGTCTAAACATGATACCGAAGGGTAGACCTGAGATACAGACTATCCCGAGGAAGATAGGTATTTGAGGATAGAATGGTAAATTATACACACAAGGCTACCAGTTTAGTTTGTACAGGGCGATACGTGCCCTTTATCGCGACGACACTGTCATCGCACATCACCGATGACCTGTTCAAAAGTTGTTGCCTTGAACAAGGCATCAAAAGCCCCTTCAGGAGGCCGGCGATTTTGCGTCGTGCCGGGCTCTGGTGTGGCGCAGTTCCGACCACACGAACTCCGCCACCCCATGGTTGAGATGTTGGGGGCGACACCCGCCTCATGTGCAAATGAAAGATCGATATGCTAGAGCAGAAGCGATGACTTGGGGCTGGGTACGATGCATCTTTGCATGGACACGAATTGCGCATACCCTTCTCAATGCAATCTGGGTCACTTGAACATTCGCATGAGGGAGCGGCGGGAGTGCAGATAGGCGATGCGGTCGAGACCAAACGTATCACAGTTTGAAGATGACGGAACATTATATTAGATCAAACAATTGAGACGAGAGGAGGCGAGGTTCGCGATGGGGATGTCACACTCGGTTAGCGCGCCTTCCAGGAATGCCGAGCCGCTAGCGTCAACCAGCGCACACACAACTTTCGAAATCGCCCTCTTTCCCTCGAACTCGCTAAAGCCAACGACAACACCCATCGACGAGCCCCCCGACAAGCCGCCATCATGTGTGAGTACGCCCTTCAGCAGAGCCCCTTTCGCGGTGTACGATTGTTCTATGCTCGCCGCCCCCCTTGTTCGCGCGGTTTCGGTTGGCGAGAGCTGGACGCATCGATATCACTCTTGCTCTTCGACGCACAGATGAACTGACAATATTGCAGCGCTCGTCTCCGGAGAGAAGTCGAAGTACGTAGAGCCTATTACGCGAACCCTGTGCCCTCGAAGCCCATATCCCGCAAGACCGCATCTCGACCCAGCCGCACTCGAATCCATTGCAGCACACACGATTGAGGTTGGACAGCAAGGTTGGCCGCTCGATTACGATGGAAATGAAGAGAAGGAACAGTAGTTTCAACATGACAAGTCACAGGGAGATGGGTCGCGGGGAGCCTTGCTGTCTGAAGCGATATTGTGTGAGCTACGGATGCGTGCAGTTGTGTGGGATGCGATGGTCTTCGTGGCTTTTTAGGGATATTGTTCGCCCTACAAGGATTGTTGACGAATGCTGACCTGCCACAGCTTCCAGTACATCATCCGTTTGTTGAACACGAACGTCGATGGAAAGCAGAAGGTCATGTACGCTATGACCAAGATCAAGGGTGTCGGTCGCCGATACTCCAACTTGGTCTGCAAGAAGGCCGATGTCGACCTTTCTAAGCGTGCCGGTGACCTCACCTCCGAAGAGCTCGAGCGTATTGTCACCATCCTTCAGAACCCTCTCCAGTGTACGTTTGGCCACTACCTATGCTAAGCGAGCAAGCATTGACGTTCCGCAGACAAGATCCCCACCTGGTTCCTCAACAGGCAGCGCGATATTGTCGACGGCAAGAACTCTCAGGTTCTCGCCAACGGTGTCGACTCGAAGCTTCGTGAAGATCTCGAGCGCTTGAAGAAGATCCGTGCCCACCGTGGTCTCCGACACTACTGGGGCCTCCGCGTGCGTGGCCAGCACTCCAAGACGACCGGTCGCCGTGGTCGCACTGTTGGCGTTTCCAAGAAGAAGGGATAAATGTTTTCGCTTTCGCTGGGCAGCTGGGGCTTTGTGTGGTGCGGGAACAAGGCTTCTTCGGGTGGGGAGGTGCACTTACGGTGTTACAAAGGGCATTCATTGGCTTTCACGCTACTTCATGCGCTTCGGACGATATGAAATGGCATGAGGATTTCTAGCGGTTAGGGTAAACAGCCTGTACCAAAATCACACAATCTACCTGGTTCTTCAAACAAAAATGGTGCTCTACGTATCATCTATGTCGTCCACCTATTCGCTGTACGTCGATAGATAAGCTAAATACTCCTTGGATTCCCACTAGGCTCGCTAGGCTCCTGCCAAAAGCCTTCTTTAGCACCTCCACTCCACAACAGCACATAACGCCCACAAGCCGCTTCCCTCAGGCTCATGCGCCCCAATCGGGACGAGAACTTCAATCCTCATATCAATCCACCATCATTATGAGCATCGACGAGCCCAGCGTCCACCTCGTTATCCAACAAGCAAATGCACAATCGAGGTTCGCAATCCGTGTTAATTCAGAGCAGAGCTACATTTGTCTCAGACAAGAGGCGTACTTGTGCGCTTTCGGCCGCACGGTAGCTTCGAAGACGATAACTTCGATATTATCGTTTGCCGATGCTAAATCTCGTGTAAGAAGCTCCAAGCCCTGGTTGACTCGCAATCTACCGATTTGACGCTCGGTGAGGTATCGTGGTAGCTCGCATGCGGCGTCTCAAACGTGGTTCCTTGTGCGAAAACCAGGACCAGGACCAGGACCACGACGCCATCTTCGAGTCAGAATATGTCAAGCGACTAGTAGGTCATTCCGCGCGCCACAGTATATCCTACAGGAAGCCTTATTTCCACAGCCCGAGGATGGCGTCCACTTCGTTGTTCAGCGAAGGACTGCGTCATACCTGAGATTGCGGCTACCGGTCGGTTTCGTAAGACAGCGCATGAGGCAATCCGCGACCCAGTCCCACCAAATGTAACTTGTTGCGACTTTCGTACTCTTGTAGTAACTCGCCAGCTCGGTAAGAATACCATATTGTCGATGCGTCGCGTAGCGTTCAGGAACCGCCTGCGCGTCTTGCAGACCCAGACGAGTGCGGCCTCGTTGAAAAACTCAGTGCGCGGTGGGAGTAAGAATTCTTGGAGTGCCCATGCGCACTGGAATAGAGGGAAAGACTTTGTTGCGGAGATGAAGTGCTTTACTTGCTCATCGCGCTTTTTTAGATCTGGGGAGTAGAAGGATAAATTGGTCGTGTATACCTCGACATTTGATTGCCCCGGCACCCGGGACTTGCGCAAGAAGCCTTCTATAGCGTTGGTGGAAGAAGCGGCACCAATGGTGATATAGACATTCGCTTTCACGCTGGCCATCCTTCCAGGTTCGACATCCCAATCGCTGGGTTGCTGCACGATGTATAGCGCGCCCATCCATAAGTACCGTAACCCTAAGCTTCGCGTGACAAGTACAACATCCTGGATTGTAAGTGGTAGAGCATCCCATGATATAATTTGCAGATGTTGTGCGAGTGAGTGGTCATGGAGTCCCCGGCAGATGATCTCCAGCAGTAGGAAAGCGCGGCGTATCGGCCGAAAGACCCATTCGAAAAGGCGGATGTTGTTGGAGGTGTCACCAATCCTTGTTGACGCGGGTCGGTAATGGGAGTAGCAGAAGCGGGAAATCCTTCGCAGTTACTCACATCGTGGTAGTCGTAGCAGTCTTCTCTAGCCATGCTTGGATAAGCAATGGCTGCCTCAATCAGTCCAGATTAATAGCCTCAAAACTTTGTGTAACATTTGCAAACTGGGCTTGGCTCTCAGGGTTCATCTTCTATTTGGAGACGGTACAGTACATGTGCGAGCGAGTATGTTTTGAGATGCTATATCAAAAGAACCTCGCGTTCAGGAGTTGGTTACCAAACGCTAATCAGACGCTAGGTCTGGTACCATAGGCAGATATCGATATGGGGCTATGTGAGGTACCATGGCAGCGGCTACACTCGTTAGCATATATATTGCCGTGACAGTGTGCAAAACGCTGGTTCTCGGTCAAAGTTTGAGAAGTTCTGTATATCATATGTAGAGATTGAGTCTACCACCTATTTCTACGATTTCTGGCTTCAGTGCTATCAACAGTTGTTGCTCAATGCGTACGAGAGCGCTTAAAAGAGATCTCGAAATTCATAGATACACCCAGTCTGAATCTTGATCAACCTCATTTCCAGTCACTTCGTCATTCATTTCATCATCTATAGTAACACCCGACTCGTCCTCAACCTCCATTTCATATTTACTCTTCTCTGACCAGTCTCGTGGCTCATTCTCAATCTTGCAATCACATCTTATCCGACCAACAGCTCTCCGCTGTTGCTTTATCTTCGCCAACAAACTCCTTGCGCTTGGTCGAAGTTACGATGCCTTTTTAGCATGAGCTCACAGCATGTCTCGTAGACAGTGTGGTTGTCAAAGTCCGAGATATTGCCCCATTCGATCTCTAGAATGCCCTTGTGCGCAACGCGGTGGTACTGTCTCGTGCAAGGCGCACAGTCTTTGAACATCTCGTCACGAAAAGCTCCAATCTTGCCATCCCCAAGGACTACAAGCAGCTCGACGAACACGAGACCAAGTGAAAAACGCCCGTCTTGGAGCCATGAGACAACGCTTCATTTTCTTCGCCGCGGAAGGATTCTGGAGCAGCAAAGAGTCGAGTAATTATTGCTTCATTTGTCATCGAAGTCTCGTCGTCTGCTTCCTTCCGACGAGAAGAAATAAAATCAGTGAAGTATATCCGGCCTCGTCGACATATGATGTTGCTCGGTTTGATGTCGTCATGGTGGACATGTTGTGAGTGCATGTAAGCTGGAGTTGATAACAAACACATGTACCACCGTTTGATCCAACTCTTATCGAATACCTCTAGATTTGTGTGTCTCCGATATCCATGAAAGTCTGCAAGTCGTACTTTCCAACCGGTTGCATAAGGAGAGGTGTTTTGTGTTCTCTTTTTGCTGATGGCAGCTCACAAAGCGAACGATGTGCGGATGTGAGAGTCGTTTTAAGCTGAGGATCTCGCCTCTGATCTCGCTGATTTGTGCGGCAGCCTTTCCCCTCGGAAGTCAGGGACGAAGAAGCGTTTTCGAGCCATGCTCTTGCTGCTCCTTTTGTCAATGACCTTTTCCACCTTCCCGCTTCTTCCCTCACCGAGTGGTTTCACTAGAGTCAAAAACCTTAGTCGATATAGTCGCACATCTTCTTCTATACATTCTCGCTCTGATGAGGCTCCTAAAAAGAACGGCTCTTCTAAGTGTCAAGCTGGGGGAGCTTTTCTGGAGAAAGGCGTTCGCGGTCTTCGCGGACTATACGATTCGCAAGGGTTCCCCATTCATTCGACGCTATACTTGATATGGGGTTAACGGGCTTGCTCAACGGTTGGTCATTCAATTCCTGACTGGTTCGAGACGGGGACGATTACGGGTTCGTCGATCTCGGTCTCATTGTATCCACCACTCTAAAATTATCTTTGAATAGATGAGACTATCTTCAAGAAGCGAATTGTGGACTAAAGAGTATGCTGAGGTGCGAAGGGGGCAGGATTGAGGCTGTAGGGAAATAAGGGTATCATGCACAGCACTCAGCCTCGCCAGCACATGCCTTGCCAGGTCTTGGCGCTAGGGTGGAAGCCATGTTACTCTAGACTACGCGTCTATGGAAAGCAGACCTTGTGCGACGTACCAACGACGTCTCCAGTCACACAGGGTGCCTGGAGCTCATGATTGGCCTAGACGACATTCACTCGACTCCTTGCATTGCAATCGAAAGGATGTTGTTGTTCAAAAGAAGCATGTATTTATCCCTACGACATACTATATAGTCACCAAAGCCTTCGTTGGTATCGTACACGCGAAGGAGCAACATGTTTCAACGCCCCCAATGCATCTTATACCAAGGAAAATAGCCGCGATCAATATCGAATCCGAATGCTTTCAAATTGCTCGCCCCGTTGGGAATATAAGGTCGGTAAGGTAAGTCGCTCTACGCCCAGAACTCACCAGACAGCCACCTAGTCAGCATGTCAGCGGACGCTTCGGGCTGATCGTACGGCACCATGTGTCCACCAGCGTGGAGCCTCATGAAGGTGAAATTGCCACTCGACTTAACCTGGCCAATCTTCTTGCCATCACCACCAAGCTTGAGATCTTTGAGCTCGGCCTTAGCGTAGTCCTTCTGTCCAGGCCACTCGAGAGCCTCAGTCCAAGCTTTGTTACCGAGCCAGTTGCAGATGTAGTCGGCGTCGCCAGCGTACACAAGGACTGGGATCTGCTCAAGGATGCCGGGCACGACGCGGTGGTAGGGCTTCATCCAGTCACCCTGGAGAAGGAAGTCACGGTTAATGTTGAAGTTGCAGCTGTCATAGGAGTTGACCTCGGCACCGACGGCCTTCATGACCTCCTTCTTGTTGAGGTAGGAGCTGATCCAATCAATCTCATCATAGCAGAGATCGTTGTCGCCGCAAGGACGGCGGACGTCGTAAACGTTCTGGCCAGTGCGCTGGTACGGGCCGATCATGGCATTGTTACAGTAGATTGAGGCGGGCACGCAGCTCCACACGGACTCAGAGTTGTAGCAGTTCTCAATGAGGCTGGCACAACGCGGATAAGCGTTGTCCATAGACTGGCACTGGCTCTCATCGAGAACAGCAGGCCAGCCGCCCTCACCGCAGGCCATAGGGCGGTAGTACTCGTACTGAGTCAGACCATCAGTAAGACCATTGCCGATAAGAACAGACTGCAGGTTGATGTTGCGCTTCTTGTGAGAAAGAATTTCGGATGCGAAGACGGGGATGTAGTGTCCAGCATAGGATTCGCCTGAGATGTGGAAGCTCTGTTTGGAGTACTCGGGGAACTGCTTGAAGAAGAGGGTGAGCAGAGCATAGATATCCTTGCCGGCAGCGACCGTATTGCTGACCGAGCCACTGCTATAGGAGTAGCCGACATTGACGGGCTGATCAATGAAGATGACAGAGGCGTTCGCGTTCCACGAGAAGTCGTTGAACTTGACCTTGCCGTCCTTCTGGACAGACGAGGGACCGAGCTCCATAAAGAGACCCATGAGTGACGAGCAGCCGGGGCCACCATTGAGCCACAGCACGACAGGGTCATTCTCCGGGTCATTGCGGGACTCAAAAAACCCTTTGTGTTGTCAGTAAGTGCGATCCGACTTGGCCATGCAAGTACTCACAGTAGAAGAGATGCTTGTCCTCCTCGTTGTCGTCAAGATAGCCACTGTACTGCTTGACCTTGTCGACGCCCAGAACACTCGGGTCGACCTTCTTCACACGCAGGTCGAAGTTCTCGAGCTTACCGTCGATCTCACGCTCCTTGTCGCCTTGGGCGTTCTCGACCCACACGCTCTGGACGTCGGCGCCCTTGACGATGTGGTCCCACTCGCTGTCCTCGCGGCGCGTGTGCGGCTTGGGCATGGAGAGAAACGATGCCTTGTCGAATGCCTCCGGGAACATGAGTGCTACCTCATCCCAGACACGGCGGGCCTCGCCAGTGAGCGACTTGAGCGACTCCTCCAGGTTCTGAAGAGGCTTCGCCCATGAGTCTGTGTTGAGGTGCTTCAGCTGTTCAGGCAGCTTGAAGACTTGCTGTTGCGGAGTGACAGCGGCAGAGGCGGCTCCAACAAGGAGCGCGGAGGCGGCGACCTTCATAGTGGCCAACGAGCGCGAGAGCTTCCCGAGCTACGGCGATCGGATGCGACTGGTGGTTGAAGAGAGGCTCGAGAATAAACGCTACGATACGAGAGACAAGGATGGATGGATGGACGCGGCAAATAGCGTTGAGCTGAAGGGAGATGGGATGAGGGAAGGAGCTTGGGAGGGATGCAGGTGACGGGTGTGCGTGTAGAGGTGCGCCGTCTCCAGGCAACGGATGACGCAGGCGGGTAGCTTATCAGGTGGCTGGAGCTCCATCCGCTAGCGCTCATCACGAGGGCCTCCGCGTTTCGAGCACTGACTGGCGCGGCAGGTCGAGCGCGCCCGCCTCACTCACGCTGTCGTTGGCAGTGCATTCATGGACCTGGTGCCTGCAGCGAAGGTCATCTACTGTCAATGTCATCTGCTCGTGGGCAGCACCTCTCAGTCGTACCTGCATGCGCCGAGAGAGGACTAGTGGCTTGGCGAGCTCAGCCCTGTCACTGGTCGGTGAACCATTGTGAGCCATGCCGTCCAAAACTTGCGGCCGACTCTTATACTTTTGACGACTACCTCCACGAATTTCGCACTACACTGAACCTCAGAAATTAGTCGCTATGCCTGTCGGAATAAATCAGCCTTCAAATCAAATCAAGCTCACCAACCTTGCCTTGGTGCGCATGAAAAAAGGTAGATTGCCCCGCTACACCCCGCAGCAGACTGACGAGGCTGACGAGACTGACGAGACTGACGAAATGCAGGCAAAAAACGCTTCGAGGTCGCATGCTACAAAAACAAGATCCAAGACTGGAAGAACAAGATCGAGAAAGACATCGACAACGTAATACAACTCGAGGGTGTTTTTATCAATGTCAACAAGGGCCAAAAGGCCTCCAAGGCAGATCTCGAGAAGGCATGGCCGGGCAAGAAGAACAAGGAGATTGTGGAGGACATCCTGGAACACGGTGAATACCAGGTCGGCGAGAAGGAGCGTAGCGCAGAGCTCGAACGAATCAAGAACGAGGTCATCAACATCGTCGCATCAAAGCTCGTCGAGCCCAAATCGAAGCGCGTCTACACAACCGGTTTGATTGAGAAATCGCTGGATCAGCTGAGCCAACAGACTTCTGTCCAGCAGCAAGGCGATAAGGCGAATGGTGCCTCGGCAGAAGATGGAGAGGAAAAGGAAAAAGCGCTGCCCAAGTGGAGAGGTGTCGTGGTTACCAAAGATGCCAAATCACAAGCCAATCATGCCATCAAGTGTCTGATGGCCCACCAACCCATACCTGTCACACGCATCCAAATGAGGCTTCGGATTGTTTGCCCAACCGCAGTCACCAAGCAAACAGTCAAGTCAACAGGAAAGCAGGAGAAGGGAAAGGGCGCAGCCGATGAAGAGCAGCAGGCGCCCAAGAGCGTTAAAGAGACGATATTGAGCTACATCGAGAAGGTGGAGACAGACGAGACAGAAGGCTCTGAATGGGAGGCGGTCGGCCTCGTTGAGCCAGGAAACTACAAGAATCTGAACGAGTTTATCGAGAACCAAACAAAGGGTCGCGGCAGGGTGGAGGTATTGGATCAGTCTGTTGGTGTCGACGTTTGAGCGAACATTCAAGACAGCGTCACCTAGCGCGTTGATCATTTACGCGCCAACGACGAAAGCCATCGAAGGATTTAGGTTCCCATACAGCTACCGACAGTGGTCTGCAACTGCGCCGCATTAACCCGTGTCCAGGGCCTGTTAGCCCAAGTCTGCCGCGCTTTCCATACGAAAGTTCGCACAGCAATGTACAACGCGCATTCTTGTGCGATGTGCAGATTGACCTGACGTTGCAGCCAGCACATCCGCCACCCACACAGAACCGTGACGCGCTGCAGGTTGCGGCGTTGAGCATTGCGCACACAAGGCGCGACCGGCGCATTCTACAGGGTACATATCAACAACATCATTCATGACCTCTCTACAATATTCATTCCTCGTTGTTCTCTTGACCCATGCGTACCGTCTATCGTGCACTTCCCCATTCGTCCAACCCCACCCATCCCACATTTACCCCTGTCTACTACAACCCACTCGACTGGTTCCACGACGACCTGCAGCTTCTGGGCAGTGATTAATCCTCTCTGCTTGCGCATGGTCGGTGCATTGGCCGATCACATACATGGTACTTCCTGAATGAATCATAACCAGTCATTGCCTGACAGGTGGTGAGCCATGTAAGGAGCTGCATGTCTAACGCAGCAATCCTCTCGCGATGTTCAGGCTATGGGACGTACAATGTCAATCGAAAGTGTAGGTATCCACACTGGTACACGCGCATGCTCGGTATCGTACCCCCCAAACTATCCTCGAAGGCATGATCGTCGACGCTTTCTATTTCAGACCCGGTAGGCGCCCTCGGCATCCTTTGCTAAAGAGCCGAGATGCGGTTTGGCTATCAACGGAGCATGGTCGACCTGAACATTATTGCCTACACTGACGTTCATCGTGATACTGTATCGTTGGGATTGTAGATGCAACCAATACGCTTTACTGAACAGCATCAGGAGCATTAGATTCCGAAATCGAGATTCATGGTATCGTGTCTACGTACATCAATGCCAATTCCTATGAACACTAAATGTTAAGTCATGATGATGTGTCGGGCGTCCAGGCCCTTCCCTTCATTGAGTCGTTAAGTCGTTAGTCATATCCAATAAATGCACGAGGAATAGTAAAGTAGCAAACAAAGAGACAAAGAAGTGATGTGCGAGACATGCAAAACCGGAATCACCAGAACGCCGAAAGAAACCGTGTATCAACCCACTGCTCGCTGTCCAGTGTCCTTCCTGCCATAACTCCGTGCTGTCTTGCCCGTGACCCATCCTATACCCTGCCCGATTGGCTTCTTGTCCCTCGACCGAGAGTAACACCATGTGCAAATGCAATTCTCTTTCTTGTTCAAATACAATGTCGCTTAGTCCCACCACCTTCTCCCTACTCTTCCATTGTTACTCAAGATCCCCAACACCTCCGCACTACTAGTCTTAAATCCCCAGATCCTTTCAATTGGTTCCGCAATCATAGTCCAGTCAAAGCCTCGAATGTCATACATGTCTAGCACCACACGCACCAGCCAGGGGTCATACATGGGTACGGTAGGATCCTGATATATCGACAGTGCCAGCGTCGAGGAAATGATCTCCGGCGGAGAAGGCATAACGTCTGGCTTGGTATTCACGTCCGCAGGCCGCGCCCTACGCTGTGTACGTGTTGTCGCCGACACTGGAGACGGCGCGGCCGGCGATCCTGAGAACAGGCCGAACGCCTCGTTATCTGAGGTCGGGGAGCTGGAAGCAGAGGACGAGGCGCTGGACATCATACTTTCATAACTCATCTTGGTTTGTAGGACAATCGGTTTTCGGACTGTTATGGCGTCTTCCGCGGTGCTGAGGGCATTGTACCTTGGTAGCGGCTTCGAAATTGCGCTCGTAGACTTGGAGTACGGCGAGTCGTCTATTGGCGTGACCGAAATGCGGGACGAAGGGGAGTCGAACGACTGCGAGCGGTGTATCCGTATCTTGGGCGAGGGCGTGCGCGGCGGGGCGATGAACCGCGTTCGTGCTGCCATTGTCTCCTTCCGGTGCAGTCTTATATATCCGGATTGAATCCCACAACAGTGGTCAAGATGATGTAGAATGCTTCTTACACACACACTTCGCTTCTTTCTCTCGTAACAAGCGATGCCTAAGTCAATCAATATTACACGCGAGCAACGCCTCGTTTTCAAACTCAAGAGGCAACACAAAACTAGGGAAAGGGGTTCGGAAGGCTTGACAGCGGGGTTCGATGGGTTCACAAACAGACTTATATGGAGACGACATTGCCTGCGCTGGCCCTGCATGCAGCATGTTGCGCAAGGGGTTGCCGCCATGGGGGTCGTTGTACGACGAGATCGGAATTGTTGGTGGAAATTGGAGGGGGTGGGTCTGCGGGGAAGAAGGGAGTGGTGGGAGTGGTGTGGGATGACGGGAGGCGCATAGGCAGGGCCCTGGAGGCGTGGAAGACAGCGCATGGTGCATTTGTGAGGATTGTCGGTCGGTAAGAGGAATTGAATGATGAGGAGCGCATCCGAGTGGCGCGGTCCGGTCGCTGTGCGACATTGGTCCACGCTGCAGCTGTATGATCTTTCGTACACAGTATCGTGCCTGCTGCATACTGTACCCCATGGCCGAGTGCTGTTCGTGCTTTGGAAGGCCGCAATCAAAACGAAGACAAGTGCGCTCTTGCGCCGTTAGCGGACCGACCTGACCGAGAGCGCTCGAATGTCTGTCATGAGACCACGCGCTGATGAACGGGCCCAACATGCGACCGCACTTGTTCACTCGAGACTGGAGCGGAAGAGCGTCTGCAGGTGTGACGTGGATGTACCGAGAGCTTGCATATGTAGCCTTCTACGCATTGACAAATAGGAAAAGGTTTGAGCGCAGAGAATGTCTTTAGGGGGACACACTCCTTCCGAGGCTCTGAAAGGAGCCTGCGGCGCGTTCTCACCATCACTTTCACCCGGCCCTCCTTGCGCTAGGCCACGATCACGTGTCAACTCCGGTGTCTTGGCGCGAGCCTGGCCTCTTCTTCATCAGCCCGCGTCCACCGCCGATGTCCACCTCGTTTTGTGCGTTTCTCTTCGTCACCCAATGTTCTCTGCGCAGCGCTCTTTCTTTTGTTCACTCAGCTTTCTGATCGGAGACCTCCTGCCTGCACATCTTCTCTCTTTGCAACCAGTTCGAGCAGTCGCTGGCAAGGGTAGTGCGGGTGTGGAAAATTAGCATGGAAGTCAGAGGTTGATTGCGCTCTGAGTGCTATCAAGCAGCTACGCCGCGTACCGTGGTTCCATCCTAGGCATCACCACTCAACAAAACACCAACAAGTCACATCAAAACTATTCCCACGAACTTTGCCTAATAGCACGTGATAAAAGTGCCGAAAGAGGATAGTGCGGTCTCAGCACGCCTGGCTCGCCGGCGAGCAAACACTGATGCCGAAGCATAGGAGGAGCTTCTTCTTTCGCTGGTTCCAGCAGCGTTGCTCTCCCTGTGTCGACCTGCGCGCTAGGCGCAGTGGAAGCATATATCGGGGATTCCAGGTGCCGCGCTGGCGTGTTGCCTTCACTATTCCTCGTCGAGTACTATGCCTGCTAGGCTAGGCTTGAGAAAGAGGTTCCATGTGATGTGCCTAAAACATTCATTAGGACGGCTCGTGTTCACGTCTCTCTCATTCAGAATGATGTAAATTGTCGTACTTGAGGATGAACTACGAAGATACAAATGAAATCGGCTCAACCCATCCTAGGATCCATTCAATATGCATGTACATGCTCGTGGGCGACGTTGTAGAGCGGCGCCTCGCCCTTGACAATCGTGTGGGATATCACACCTAAGGAATCACTATCGAAATACTCATCTTTACGGGTATAGTGACCCAATTTACTTCAGATCTATCTGAATCAGCAGAGCATATCAACACATGTCAATGCCTCACTCTTAAGATGTGGGCCATTACTTCGGGGACACACTATCAAGTATATGAATATCATGGTCCAAGGTTATTCCAGGATCCATCGAAGTCGTAGAACTGACTCCAGAAGACAGTTCGTTGGTCGTCTATAAATGAACTAAACGACCTGGACACCCAGCTAAACCTTCACTACAGCCTGACCATTCTTTTGCCTCCACATCATACGACGCCCATTTCTAGGGCTTGTTGCAGGGCAGGGTATTGATGAAGCCCACGCTATAGAACGCCCGTTGATCCGCATGGAGAAAAAGACAGTCCGTGCACTACAGGCATCTACCATTTCTTGTCGGACTGGCAAGTCTTCCCGTACTTCGGCAGAGTTGGAGGTAAAGGTGTGACGAGAGCAGGTGTAGCCACGCCGCCACCATCGGCTCTCGCGGTCAAACCTTGTACCCCTCCGCCTGGTCCACCACCGTTCACGCGAATGTTACAGTACCCATATTGTTAGTTATTGAGTGGTCTGGTGGGAGTGGTTGTCGTGGACGTGGATGTTGTTGTTGACGACAGCATGCTGAAGTGCGGCGGACCAATACTTGGAGAACTAGGCCAATGCGTTCTTGTTCTTGGATTTTACATTGAGGTTATCAGGTAGGATTGACGTACGGCTCGACGTCCATTTACGCGAAGTCAATCAGTAAGCTCGAGATAAACTCCTTAAATACCTTCTCCGCCTCGATCTAATTCTGCTGGCCCTTATGCTTAATCTTTGCAGTAAGCAAATCAAGCTCGGCGTTGTTGGCTAGGTAGGAATATATTAGCATAGTCCGTCCATCTCAACCATCACTCGGTATCACGGCTGGGATCTCGGGTCTTCTCGCGCTTGTTCTGGTAGGCACGAGGAGGATTCACGATGGGAGACGATTGAACAAAGAATTAGACTTTTGCTTGAGTGGCGTTTGCAAAAGGTGTTCGAGGGAGAGGGAAACTGAGAATGAAGAGGCCAGTTCTTTATGTAGACAGGGGTATGAATGAACGACCGACCGTGCTCTCTATTCGCTAGCGCGTTCACGGTGCATTCGTTAATACATTCGCCTTTTCGACTCGGCAGGTGCGGCAAAACAGTGAAAGAAGCAAGCCACCCTGGAAACTTCCACCCAGTGTAGCCTATAGCGACCTGTGAGAAAGTCCGTTCACCCTTGCACGCCCGAGAAGTTGCAGCGAGCATCGTGCGTAGTTTCGACTATTCTGGGACTTGATGAATTGTACTGCGGGCTCTACTTTTGGCCGGTGTATCCTAATCAAATTATGGAGTCCCATTGAAAAATAATGAGAGTTTGTGGCTGAGAACAGAACCTATGTACCTGGGAAGATATACAGAAGCACGATATGTAAATATCTGATTCACTAACATTAGCCTAGAAGCGGGCGACTCAGTGGCATCAAGCAGCTTACCCACAAGGAAACCATAGCCGCGGACATAGAAGATAATCATGTTCTACACCGTAGAAATTTAGCCTGTAGAAAGTTTTAGACCACGTTTCACACTGTTCTAGGCGTTGGGTGGGGAAGTATAGAGGAGTGGCAAATGCGATATAGTCCCGTAACGATCGTTAGCTCTTGGTCTTCATCCACAGTGGCGAAAGCTCACCCTGTGAAACTCTTTCGATAAACTTAGGGGTCTTTTCAGCAGCAGATAAATGACTTGTCGTATCCTACGACGACGTGTCTCAAGTTTCCATGAGTATTACGAGGAGCTTCCAAAATGCGTCATGAATGCAGTCTACCAAGAAAGTACACAGACAAGGCATAGATCTGGCTTTCGCCTGGGTATAGTCAACATCATTGAATTGCTTGCTTCATAGTAAAGCACGTTTATGCGCCCGACTCGATTCAGACATTTCCTCTTCTCTCAAATCATTGTCTTTCAGTAAATAACACATTCAAGAACATGGCTAATGTTAAATATTCCATCACAAACGTCGCTCAAGAGTGGAGCTTGTATCATGATCGATCCAGCTACTTTGAATCCAGGCCCTATTTCCATGATTCATTCCGTGTCCGATAGCTAAACTCAGATTAGCAGAACGCCAAATAAACGGTTTAGCAGTTCGGCTGCGGGCAGAAATTGATTGCAAAGATTACCTCTCCCACACTAATTACTCTTCTTTGAAGCTCGGCTGCTGTCCGCTACATGGGGTTTCATGGCGCCACCGAACCACCCAAGGCACTTTTGAACAGCGTTGTGGCTTTCTCCTGGCAACCGTGGATCGACGGACCATCCTGGAATTACAGTATCGCGGAAGTACGCCTCGAGGAAGCAGCTCACGGCGCGGAATGTGGCGGTTGGATCGTTTGGGTCCATTTTCTCGTAAGGCGTCCCGAGGCCCTTGGCTTTCTTATTTGGATCAACAAGATGGGAGACGAGGGGAAGGTCGCTAAAGTCAAATTGGTCAGCCTGCTTATAGGTCCACTCCACCTGCGGACCAGCGATATGCTTCTTGGTCTCTTGCCAGGCCGTGTCATTCTCGCTAGTGTAATTTTCGCGGCCAAAGAAGATGGTGTATGCCAAGACGTCTTCTGTGATAACAGGTGTGGATCCGGAAAGATTGATTGTCCATTCGACACGTTTGTCACTAAAACCCATTGAGGTTGCAACGGAGCCACCGAGACCATGTCCAAGCATGAAAAGGCGCTGTGTCGGTACCTTCGTGTTACCATCCGTAAAGGTGAAGTTGGGGAAGATCTTTGGAAGCGTGTCGGCCTTTTCGAACTCTTCAATTACAGAATTGACATCAGCGATGCGCGTATCAATTGCCTTCTTGGTTTCGATATTGCTGACAGGCCTGTTGACTTGAAAGGCATCCAAAGTGACGGCGCCATCTTTCTGGATGGGATCCAAGCCAGTAAATTCAACGATGGGCGCATCGTTGGGGTGATCGATGGTGACGACATGAGCCCCATTCGCACTCAGCTGGCGAGCGAGCTGATTGTACACAAATCGACTCGTGCCAATAGCAGGTTCGAAGATGAGGAGAGGAAAGTGGTTGGCATTATAATCATCAGTGTTTTTGGAGCAGCTCTCGAAGTGTAATTGCTCAAATACTCCTGCGCTCTTGTCGCCAAAGAACTGTAGATTGCTTGCCTGAGCCGTTAGGGTGGGCATATAATTGTTGTCCGCAAATGCACCACAGGCCTCCTTGAAAACGGGCATAAAGATTGAGTACGCCACCTTGCGGTTCTCGGAATCGTTATAGGGGTCCTTGCGCGAAGGATCGACTAGAAAAGAGTAGCTATAGGCCACCTTCCAGGGCCTACATAGCGGGGAAACAAAGTCAGTGTGACGATCGCAGATCGGAGAACTGGTACATGTAGATGCCCCGACCAACTGTGGATGTCTGAAAGCTTCAAACATGTGCGACAGCTGGAATGTCCACTTTATGCGCCGACAATACTCACATTCCAGAAGGGTCAGGGGCAGGGATTTCGACTCTGCTACTTTGGCTATGGGCAGGAAGGACCAGCACAAGCAAAGCTAAGCTTCCGACTGCCCCGGAGAGTATCATGACGATTACTAAGGGGGGTAGCAGACAACAGCGATGATGCAGTTTTGCGATTGCTGCTGGGATTGTGGAAGGGGTACCTGCGCTTATATATTAGCGGGGCATAAGGTGGAAGCCTGAGGCTTGGAGAGATTTAATCAAATATACGTACGAGTGCTTGCAGATCCGCTTCCATATTCCGTCCGCCCCGCCCTGCCGACACTTGTAGTCACTGCGACTGCAGAGAAACCTTCAGTCGCCCGAGCCTCACGTCCAGTGAAGACTTTTCGCCACCTTGTCCCGAGCGATGGAGCGTCTGCTTCCCGTGAACGGCCATCTGTCTCCCCACCGCTGCCATTTTGTATTGACAATGGCACCTCATTTACATTCGCGATCCTTTGGCGTGGGACCTGCATACGACCATCGCGTTGCATTTTCGGGCGGTATATGATACTGGCAAATGTGGCTCACGGGCGACGTGCTCAGGTTACGCTCGTCGTATTGCTGAGGGGCACACAGGCCTATATATCACAGTGGTACTCGATGGTGACGGTTACCATATGACGAAAGGTGAAGTGTACCCTTACGGTGGTAGCGACGCCCAACAAGGGCTGGTATTTGATTGCCGTAGAGTGTAACGTGCTTGAAACGCTGCTAGGCGTAGATCTTGGAAATGCACCGTTTGCGCCCCCACCATCCTCACGAAGATCGCGTTCGGAACATCATGTATAGCCCGCTTATGATGCACTTGTCACGGATCCTTATCAACTGCAGAAATTCAGTGCAGATACGACACGAAGGACTTCGGATAATAAAAGCTGTAAGCGAACGCATGAGCTTGGTGGTTAAGACAGAGACGTTTCCAGGATTGAACGAGTATGGAGCGCAGAAGTATGTAGCAAATAGGACTGACGATAACAAAAGAATAAGAAGAAAAGAAAATTTCATATTTCTCTCAAATATTAGCAGCATACCCCCTGCCCACTGCCTTGCACATGCCATGAAACCCGAAGCTCATCGGGCTCCTCATCCCCGCTCTGGCCAGCTCCGCTAGATCTTATGCCCGCAACACCAACAATAATTCTTCTTTTTGATTTCATCTAGCACAACACTCAGCAATACTCCTTCGTCCTCCTATATTGCCTGCGGATCGGCCACGAAGATCGATTCATCCGGCGTGTGGGCTTCCGTATCCCAGAAAACCCGCATTCTTCGTGACGCTGTCAAATTTGATGATGCCGTCCATTAATATAGACTTCAGATGGTCGGCTGTACTGTACGAGTACCGATCTCTGCGTGTAAGGTACGCTGGATCGAAGGTTGGAAGTTCCATGGAGATCATAGGGTCGGCCTTACAGAGAAGTTTGGCGGGACGAGGGTGCGTGGGAGCGACGCTTGAATCAACATTTGAACGCTCAGAAGAAGGAATGCGTGATGAGGTACCAGAGGCAGGAGAGACGCTTCTTGCCCGCATAGGCCTCTGAAGCGTCGTGTGCGCTCATTAGATTTTCGTAGTAACGGTGGACGACGTCTAGGTCCTCGTACAGGGACAGCTCGCAGATGATGTCCGTCTTCTTAGCGTCGCTGAAGGGCGTTTGCTCCCAGGCGTTGGACAGTATGGAAGCAGAAGAAAGCGTCGGATTCGTACGTGGCAACAAAATCCCGACCAGCGCGGTCGATGACGTACCAGTCTGCTTTTCCAAGACGTTCGAACGGCGCGACTGCATCGAGGATACTCTTTGGGTACAGGATAGACGTTCCACTTCAGCTTACGTCGCAATTCCAGACAGTTTAGTTCTCGGTAAGGAAGAGCGAGTGCAGGTAGGCCGGCTTTCCTGAAATGTAGCAATGATCTTAGTTAGATCACTCATAAATTGACGTGCGGAAGATACGGTATGTGGTCTTGTATACCAATTCGAGGTTGTAGTTGTATTCGCGTGGGTAGCTGAGAGCTGGCCCACTGATCTGGTATGAAACCAGTTCTGACGGCAGACACGCTTTGGTTCTAGGAATACAGGGCCGATTTGATTCAGAACCGCAGCTCCGTTTCCAGTTGTGGTGTCTCCACCTGTTGATGGCCAGTGGGCCCTTCTTTTCCGAATGACCGCCGCCTGGCATGTTGATCGAGACAGTGAAACCGACGTTCCGAGGACTGTTCGCTGGCTTGAACAAGCTCGCGAATTTGTGGAAGAAGCTTCTGTGTCGAGCAATTGCCCCGCGCCACTCAACCGTCGCAATCCGTATAAATGTTTGCAAGCGATGCGCAGCTTGAAGGAACAAGCATGATTGGTAAAAGAAGATGACTGCGCGAAATCTCCACGGTGTTTACCCGTTACAACTAGGCGAATGCAATACGCGAAGATCTAGGGGCTAAGCGAAGCGCAAACACCGAGCCGGTATCCTGGAGCGCGGAATCACCGCAGACGTCAGGGACTGTAAACGCTCTGCAGAACGATGACCTAAGACCCATGGGCAGCCCTGGAAGGTTGAAAATCACGTGATGTTGTTTGCAGGGCTATGCCCAAACTAGCTTGGTTCAGTCGCACAAGCCAACATTGACACTATCGATTCACCACAACCACAATTCTGTCTCCAATATCCACACTGCATGACGGTCAAGTAGTGACAGGCTAACTTCTTTGATCTTGGAAGAAGACTCGGGGACATCCCGCCTCGTGAACGTACTGAAGAGAACCTTGTAGGTTAGATTACGGCGAGATCCCAATATTCGTTCGAACTCGCCATGTCGCTTAAACGCAACCGGACTTGATATAACACCTTTAACTAAGCACCGGCGAGATGTCCAAACCAATTAGGATCGGCAGTGCCAAGACAGACCAATCGCTGCCCTGTCCGTCTCTTGTTAGTAGCCAAGTCCGCAGGTGAGATCCATTATGGTAATTAAGATACAACCTCTCTGAGCGCAAATACCATTCCAAACTTCTGGTGCATGCTACACCCAGGTGCGCTACCTGGACGCACAGCCCCTCGCCTCCACACTTCTGCCGCGGCAGACGGTGATCGCGTGCTAGATGCCGAGCCCGCCGCTCTCGGACCCCATCCGCGAAGGGCAACATGGCCGCCTATCCCAACCGCCGCGGCACACACAGCACCTATCTACAGATGCGGTCGACATATGCGTCCGGGATATTACAGGGTTCTGTTTTTATGCTTAGATTGACGACCCAAGCGAGAAATTGCAGCGTCCTTGAATCATTTGCGTTTTACGTTGCCAGATGAGGCACGACTTTATCTCCAGCTTACAATTCTGTAGAACCAAAGCCGTATAACCGCCGTCGACACCGCTTGAGCTATACTGTATCTCTCTGTGACCTTCCCCTTTGGCCATGCCCAGATGCTTAGTGTACACACTCCAACGGGAGTTGGCAAGACATGGCTCGGTGCAAATAATTGGAGGACCCAACTAATGAGTAGCATCAAAGCGCTTGAAGGGTCATTTGGGTTTCAAAGTTCACACCTGCTCATAGAGATAGATTCTGATGAACAGACATTATGTTGACCAATAAGGGGACTCCGCGAATGCCCATATTTACACGAGTCGGGGGCAGAAAAGGGCCGATGCACCATTGTGCTCGAGAGAGCAGGCACTATACCTTCCTTTCCGAGATGGGCTCAGCATTGGCAACGGCGGAGGGCCACAGTCGGTGGTCTAATGATGTTGTGGCTAACATCAACTCTCTGGTCATCAAACATGTATAAAGAGACCGTCTAGAACACCATTAGAAGAGCATCCACGGATCCTCACAGTCGCTTAACGCCTCCACGTCCCAGGATGCTCAACATTAGCCGTCTCGCTTTCCTCTGTGAGTTATTCCACTCCACAGTCTATTGCGCAAGTTTAACATTTACATAGTCGGAGCTGTTCTCCCCACGGCGCTCGCTGCTCCCGTAACAAAGCAGAGCGATGTTATTGAAGGCAAATACATCATCACCCTAAAGCCGGAGGCCGAGGTCCAGATCCAGGTCAATTGGGTAAACGATGTGCACAAGCGCAGCTTTGCCAAGCGTGACACTGCTGGTGTCGAGCACACATACGACATCAAGACCTTCAAAGGTTACGCCGGCGAGTTCGATGAGAACACTCTGGCCGAGATCAAGGCCAACCCCAATGTGCGTAATTTTCAACACGTCCCAGGCATAGTCCAGCCATGATCCAGGAAAATACAACGTGATCGAACTGACACTTCAACAGGTTGCTGCAATCGAGCCGGACCACCTTGTACATCTCCCCTTCAAGGTGGAGCAGGTCTTCGACAAGCGTGCTCTCACAACGCAGACCGGCGCTACCTGGGGCCTTGGTGCTATCTCTCATAATACCGGCTCTTCTACAAGCTACATCTACGACTCTACCGCTGGACAGAACACCTACGCCTACGTTATAGACAGTGGTATCATCACGAGCCACACCCAATTCGGTGGCCGTGCTTCCCTCGGTTACAACGCCGTGAGCGGCGTTCAGCATACTGATACCCTCGGCCACGGAACCCACGTCGCCGGCACCATTGGTGGATCTACCTATGGTGTAGCCAAGAAGACGAATCTCATTTCCGTCAAGGTATTCGATGGTAGAACTGGTTCGCAGTCCACTATCCTCGCCGGTTTCGACTGGGCTGTAAACGACATTGTCAGCAAGGGCCGCACCTCGAAGTCCGTCATCAACATGTCCCTTGGTGGTCAAGCCTCTACTGCATGGACCAGCGCCATCTCTGCCTCCTATCAGCAAGGTGTGCTTTCCGTCGTAGCTGCCGGAAACGGTGACGAGGACGGCAACCCGCTCCCTGTCTCTGGCCAGTCGCCCGCCAACGCTCCCAACGCCATCACCGTCTCTGCCGCCGACTCCTCATTCCGCGTTGCGTCGTTCGCTAACTATGGGGCGGGCGTCGACGTCTTCGCCCCTGGGGTCAGCGTTTTGTCTTCTTACATTGGTGGCAACTCGGCGACTGCCAGCCTCAGCGGTACCTCTATGGCTACTCCTCACACTGTTGGTCTTGCTCTTTACCTCATTGCACTTGAGGGCTTGTCCACCCCGGCTGCTGTCACCAACCGTATCAAGGCTCTTGCTGTGACTGGTAAGGTTACTGGATCCCTGAACGGCAGCCCCAACGTATTCATCTACAACGGTAACGGTGCCTAGACAGCTTGCACTCTTCATTGAGATGTGAGCCATGCCAGGAAGGATATAGTGGATACGAGAGCGGCTCGAGATCCGGTATCTATCGATCATGTCGTCATGACTGTAACGTATTATCCTAAGTACATATGTTACAGTGTCAGATGGCTCCTTTTGAAGTAGAACAAATGCCGCTAAGCTACCATAAAGATTGCCAACGTAAACTTTGAAATAATGATTTGGTGGGGGGTGGGCGGCCTCGCTACGTAAATTCCTAACCTCCTGTAATCGATTCTCGGCCTCCTATCCTACGAGTACTTCCAAGGTTTAGTCCAGATCACGTGTAAAGTGGAGCTCTAGAAATACGGTAAATGTTAACTTTGTATGATTCTCATCTTCTAGTTTCCCCCAGGCGAGTGGCCCTCAATGGGTATATGCGTTATTAGCAATATGCAACTTGTGACTTGTGATTCGTGAATCTTGTTGCCTTCCATCCCTCCAAAGCTACTCCAACATTCGCAGTCGACGGGCCTATTTGCCACTAACCGGAGTAGTAGGAACCCCCATTCCCAAGGCGATTGCTACTGACATACAAAGCATGATTCGATACGAGTCTAGACGTAGACATGAACGTGACATTGCACCAGTGTGGAAGCTTGGACACTGAGATAGTAGACGCTATTCTGTGAGGGGTTAGTCCAGTTTCCAGCCCTACGCGGAGCGAAAGTTGCATCACCGAGCCCTTCGATCCTTAGCGCAACCCACCGAACCGCGCTTTGTCGCTCGCATAAATCACTTTCAATGTCTGTCGGGTCCTCATAACACCACGCACGCGTATGAAAATCGCACCTGAGTTGTTTACATACGAAACCTCAACTGCGGAACCCCACCCTCCGTGCCCTCAATGGGGGTCTTTCTTTCCACCGTGCAGCGCACCTTGAACCTCCTCCTGCCATTCACCCACCCAGATACTCCCCTCGTGCAGGATGTTATACACACTGCCGTCCTCGTCACAACATTGTATTACGCACCACAAATCGCAGAATACTACCACGCACATCACCGGCCTGCCGCGCCGTACACCACTGCAAACGCTGACGATTCCGCCCCGATCGGACGGATCCTCAACGGCCCTCCACCCGATGTACCAGATGGTCCTCTAGACGAAGATTGGGTGCTGCAAGACGACGGGGACAACGAGGAAGCCGGCATTGAGCCCCCACCGCACGCACCAACCCCGCCCCCAGGCCAACTACACAACCCACCTATAGAGGATGCAGCGTGGCAGAACGATTTCGCAAATGGCGATCCCGGCCCAGCAAATGATCATCCGCAGCCCACGCGCGCAAACCGGGTTATTGGCGCTAAGAAGGCGAAGTCTCTCGCACGCCGCGACCAGAGGCGGGCATACCACGAGTTTCACCGGAGCCAGGCGGAGCAGCGGAGACTGACAGAAGAGGCTGGAAGGGAGGGGCGCGAAGCGGCGCTTGCGGAGGAGAAGGCACGGCGCGCAGAAGTGGAATCGTTGCTTGCGGAAGAGAAGCGCGAGAGGCAGGCTTGGGAACGCGAGCAAAAGAGGAAAGAGGCCGATGAAGAGCACCAGCGGCGCGAACGTGTGGTGGAAAAGGTCAAAGAGGACATTGTACGGAAGGGTGCGGTTGATCTGGTAGACGCTGCGATGGAGGAGGGCAAGGACAAGGTGTGGATCGAGCGGTTGGTGCGGGCTAGTGGGCTGCTGAGCCAGATGGAAAAGGGAGAAGAGAAAGTCATGATAACAGGCGAAGGTTGGCTCGTCAAAATCGATGCCGAGATTATGCGAACGGCGTACGAGGAGGCTGCGTCTTTCAGCGACTCAAGGGATGGCAAGGTCAATTTTGCCAACTTTGGCGGCATCCTAGAGAAGGTAGTTAGGGCGAGGGCGTTGGCCGCAGTTTGAGTATTGCGTCTGTTGGATATAAGCATGGAATGGTGTTTATGATGCATTTACATGATGTAGACAGAACGGCCATTATACCCGGACTAGGCCAATGAATGCTACGAACATAAATTAGACTGAGTTAACTCCTTGCGTACGTGCGCATAGGCTTTCTGCGCAGTACGTGTTAAACATGCAACCGCCTCCATGATCAGAACTTAGGCACACAGCTCCAATCACCACCCATAGGCAGACAGATAGATATGGTGGTATGATGATTTACGGTCATGCGAGAGGATGAGGACCGTGTTGTATCGAAATGTTCATTTTTGTCATGCAACCATGGGAGGTGTTATTCGCCTAGAAGACCCGATACATGCCAAAGCCTTTCATATTCATACCGACCAGGCAAACCACCCAGACCAGCCACATGAAGAACTCCTTGCCGCTCGGTTTGAAACCACCATTGACATCCATGCACTCCAAGTCCGCCATCCACTAAAAATCTCTCTACCGGTTGCTCTTCGCCACACGCTCCAACTCGTCCTTCTTCTTGATGGCGTACGAGTTGCTGCTACCCTTGGCAGCGTTGATGAGCTCTTCAGCCAAGCACTCAGCGATGCTCTTGATGTTGCGGAAAGAGGCCTCGCGGGCACCAATGGTGAGGAGAGCGATAGCCTGGTTGACACGGCGGAGAGGGGACACATCGACGGCCTGACGACGGACAGTACCGGCGGATCCGATACGGGTGGAGTCTTCGCGGGGTCCGCAGTTGACGATGGCATCCACGGCGACCTGGATGGGGTTCTGATCGGTCATGATGTGGATCTGGGGAGAGTCAGCGCAGAAGTAAAATCATGATCGCGCCGTTTGCAAGAGCGAGCGATGTATGCATAGCTGGAGACGTACGATCTCGAAAGCGTGAGCGACAATGCGCACAGCCATGAGCTTCTTGCCGTTGTTGCGGCCGTTCATCATGAGCGAGTTGGTGAGACGCTCAATGATGGGGCACTGGGCCTTCCTGAATCGCTTGACAGCATATCGGCCGGCCGAGTGTGAAATGTAGACGGGGGAGCGGATCTGGATGTAGTCGCTGCACGCACTATGTTAGCCCATGTGTTTTCCATGATGCGCCCCGTACGCCACGCATTGCACCCAGAATAACAATCTTCCAGTGTCTAAACTCGGGGACGGCGTACGTAAGAGAGATGTCCCGGATCTCAACGTCCTCATAGCTCCACTTGTTGAACAGCTTCACGCTGCCAATCTCCTCGGTGACGTCCTTGGGAAGGATGGGGTAGCCGGCCTGGCTCTCGACCTCGACTTCGCCGTCAGACATGGTTGTGAGTTGATGGGGATCGACTGGTTTCGGCGGATTGGGTGGGTGTCGTTCGAAGTTCTGCGTGGAACTTTTGCAATGGCAAGTGTGTGCTTCTCGCTTAGTTAGCTCGGTTTGAACTTGGCAGGCAGGCACGGACCATGAACGCCGAGGTAGGCGCGATGGGTGCACCGTCAGAGGACAAGCACCAAAATTTTGCCGTTTACAGAAAAATTTCACAATAAGAGATTCATGTGATCTTCATCATGTGTTGCGTGCTGTTGTCGTGCACTCAAACCCGCATTCACACGCAGGCTTATTGCGGCGTACGGCCTGAAGACCTTCGCCCATCGTGGACAAATCGTCGTGATCCAATAACCTCAATTATACTAAGCTAAGACCATGTACTCCTCCAGCGCAACCGGTGGTATATAGCCGAAACAGAAAAGAACCAATGAAGGATGAACAATACCAAACGCCGATGAAGAAGGCCCGCGAGGAAGAGGCCATCGCGTCTCCAAACTCCTGCAATGCCGCTATCCAAGCCTTGCGAAACGAAAAAAAAAACACCACACAATCCTACCAACCGAACAGGCAATGGCGAAGCTTCCCGCTCCATCTTCCGTCATCGCCGCACCCTTGAGACTGGGGCGCTGATGTCTCTACGCTCCTTCACGCCTTCCATCATTTGCTTTCGAGGTGTCTCTTGACCCATAGCCATGCTTCTAGCACGTCCACGGCGTTGCCTAATCGCCTCAAGGGCAGCTTCTCTGTCGATGGGGAGCTTGTTCAGATTGAGCTCGCCGAGCACTGGCGTAGGCGCATTTGTGGGAGCATGGGCGACTGTTGAGGGAGTAAGAGGTTCAACCCCTGACTTGATAGCCGGCGTAACCGGAGAAAAGTGCAGTGGGATCGTCGTGGTCGTCGTGATGGTACGAGTGAGGTAAGGAGTCGCCGGAGGATCTGAGGTTTCCCGTGAGGGGCTTTCAGGTTCATTATTTTCCTCATCATCGTCATCGCTGTCCATGACTGCGTCTTCGTGGATGAGAATGCTTCCTGATTTCGACTTTCTCTGTTCAGCCTGAATACTAGCGCGAGACTGAGGGCGACGGGCATTGGGAACCCAAGGCGAAGCCAATCCAGTGATTGCAGATGATACCAGCTGAGGCTTTTCCGAAGGGACTGTTCGTGTTGAGTGGTCAACCTTTTCCGCCGATGAGATAGAGCGGAAAGTGCCAGTGGTTGGCGAGAAAGCCACAGCTGGCTCGGGTGTTGTGCTAGTCGGACGCTTGACGATGACTGTGTCGAGAGTCTGGTCCATAGATTTCGCGCTGCGGTCATCGCGCTGTACTTCTTCTGCCGGTGGAGTGATCGGCCGCTCAGCTGTCATTGCTTCAGACTTGATGACATCTTCCATGTGTTCGTCGCCATGGTCACTAGGCGGAGGGGTCATGGCAGGGAATGAAGCTTTGATCGCGTCTATCGCAGCGGCATAGCTGTTGTCGTGTACATAGTCCGAACCTTTGGAGTCGGCAATACGACAGGAGCAGCAACGGAACTGGCACTCCATCTTCATAAAGTCGATCTGCTCTTGTGCGCGCTCGCGAAGGCGCTTCTCCGTGGCAAGCTCTTGCTGCGCGAGCTTGAGCTCTACAGCCGCCTTCTTCGGCGCCACGTTCTCCTTGTCCTCCTCGTCCCGTGCAAAGGACTGCCGTTTACGCGGAGATCGTACTGGGGAACCAAAATCATCATACTCGTCTGTTGTAGCTGACGGAAGCGGGATCTGGCCTTCAGCGGCGATGCGCAGCACTTCCTCCTCTTTCAAACTCGTCTTGAGCGCGTCGCGTTCTCCCTCAACCAGGCTTAGCTTTTCCTTCAACGTGTGAAGTTCCTCGCCCAAATGGGTTTCGGTGGCGTTTACTCGCATGTCCAGGATATAGCACTCATTCTTGTACTTCTCGGCTTCTTTCATGTAGAACCTGAGGTCTGACTCCACGCGTGCCAGTGTCTTTTCAAGCCCTTCGTTCTTGCCTCTGAGAATGGCGACCTGAGGCTTAACATGGGCAGCCTCATCCTTCGCATCCTGCATGGCTTTCTTATAGACATGACCTTTAGCCATGGCTACCTCATTGTTGCGGCTCAGTTTCGCCTGCCGTATTGTCAGCTGCATCCCCATACCAGTTGCGATTGGCTTACTATCTTTGCATTCATTTGCTCCCTTTGCTCTTCTACATGCTTGAACGCATTCTCCCACTTGGCAATCGCATCGCGGTTATCCTTGCGACATTTGTCGTACGTATCGCGCGCGATGCAGCCATCGTGTTCCTGGGCTTTCCTCTTCAGCTCGTGTTCAAGCTCGTCTACACGGACCCTGTAGCGCTCCATCATCTGGTATTTGCGCTCCATCTTCGTGATTTCGGCAGCGTGTTTTGTTTTCTCTTTCTGCAGAGCCACCATGTACTTCGCTTGAGCTTCCTTGAAATCCTTAACTTCGAGGTTCTCAAACATGGCGGCGAGGCCATGCACCGAGACGTCCGAGTCGTTGCGGCGATGCTTACGCAAAGGTGATGTGCGTAGGTCGGGTAGTGACGGCGATTGAGCTGATGGAGTGCCATACGGCGGCTTCGTGCTTGCTACACGCTCTGGGCTTACTGGAAAGAGGGACATGGGCGGCGACATGGGAAATTTGGCGGGCGATTTGGAGGGTGACGGCGGCGACATGCCGCTCGGGCTTTCTGTGAGTTTCGCCAATTTGACGGTTGTAGGATGGTTTGCTGCGGCCCGCAGAAGCCTTGTGTGTCTTGTGTGTCTGGCTCAGGCGGGGTGTAAGTGTATGCGATGTGCATGCAAATGTGGTGGAAGCAGCGCGGCGCTTTGGGTAAACAAAGCTAACCGAGTCGGCATCCCTGCCCCTAGCAACAAGCACCGGTCACATGACTTACCGCACCACGTCACCTTACCACCACCCTACAAAGGCATCTAATAGCTGAGTTTATAATCCGACCTATCTTCACCAATGCTGCAAAATTTGATTAGCTTGCGCGTCTAGGCTGTAGTTCGGGGTGGCGCGCTCCTCCCGATGTACATTTGAGCACGAAGAGAGCTTCAATACCGTGTCCGGTTTGAACATTTAACATTTAGTTTTCCGAAAAACATCGCATGATGCGCAGTGACGATATCTTGCTTGTTTTTGCCCTCAAAACCGCCTTGCCCATATCTGCTAACGATAAACCCTCCTTTCCAGAAAAGAAAGCATACGCCTACCCTCTCAAATACGCCCTTCGTGTGAGTCCTCGGTGGATGCAGTGCTTTGTAAGCCTGTTCGACCCACTCGCTCGCAATGTCCTGTACGATGCAAACGCTATCGATGCAAACGCTATCGATGCAAACGCTATCGATGCAAACGCTATCGATGCAAACGCACTGTACACCGATACTCGCATGACTAGAAAGTTTCCTTGTATGACTTGGGGAACAGATCCAATGCGATACCTTCAGTCATAAGAGAGCTTCAGTTTCTTGCGGCCGTCTCAATGTGGGCGTTCACTGGACCCCGGGCAGTGGCTGAGACAAGCATAACGCACCATACTTGTGACTTCCGTGAATGTTAGGGCTGTTTCACCGACCTCAACCAATCTCAAGTAGCGTGCTGAGAATTGAACGGCCTGATCTGTGCGTAGCCATCCAGTCCTGTTTTACAAGCGTTAAGCCATCCCTTGAGAGTAGCCCGTGTGCTACTCGAGTCTCTAGAACCAGGAAATGATCTAATTACCTGAGTACGTTCAAGACTCTTCAAGGTCCTATTTACATCTTCCACTCATGAGCTTGCATCTTCTGACAGTCCGGACGATGTGAAACCTGCATCTTTATGACGTCAGGCAAGATGGTGGGTGGCTAATTTTGGCATCGATCGAAAATACGATAACCACTTCGATTTCCACAGACAACCTTTGCTGGCAGCTTGCCTGATGTCTGCAGCATATTCGATTTCATGATCTCCTTTTTTCAGGGACCCTGCATGTTATGCAGCACATATTCAATACGAAAGCTTTCGCCTGATGCTGAACTGACTCAAGACGAAACACCACCTCAAGTCACGTGAGACGTGGTATGCCCCTGGGCACCAACCCCTTTCCAGCCAGTTGAGCAAATGACCTCGACTTCGTATGATTTTCTCCCTATTTAGATACAACTTTGTATGGCGTGATAAGCAGAATTTACTTATATAGGTATATTGATTCCTTAAATAGACGTTGGACATGCCTAGTTTATTGGCGGAAGGTGTTCCGCTGCAGCTAGTAGGTGCCGCCCTAGGCACTAGCCCTATATAGAGGCTCTGCCGAGCCTACTTAATTTATCACTCTTATACTTAACTTTATGTTTCCTGTACGTTTTAAGCCTACTTTTAATAGGTTATGAGCCTAGCGCTCTACTACCTATATTAAGTATTACTTTACGCTCTACTTAGCTATACACCTATAAGTATTACTACGCTTACCACCACTAGCGATTCTACTTACTACTATTAGCTGCCTAATCAATACCTATAGTACACCCTAGCTATAGATTAATTACTATATAATACTTCTACTATAATAGTAGCTAAAACGCATAGTCTAAAGCTATTACTAAAACTTCTTTTAGATAGCGTCTATTATTAAGGACTTTACTAACCCTTACTACTTAAGTTATATACTAACGCCTACCTACCTCTATAATATTAATATTCTTATTTAAACTTAATCCTACGTTACTACCTAAGCTCTCTACCTATAGTAATAACTTTACTAAGTACTAATTAGCATAGATAATTACTTTTTAATATGCTAGCCTATAGCTAGTTATCTTAAAGAAGAAGCCACGCCCTACTACTCCTTCTATTAATATAGATATAGTAGCGCTAGCTATATATACTAAGATAATTAATGTATAGAATACTAATAATACTAAAATACTTATTATAATCCTCTTCTTAGTTTATAATAACCTAATATAATAGGTTACTAACTATAAAACCTTACTAGTAGCATAGGACTACCTTACTAGCCACTTTAATTATAATATAGGCTAATTATCTATTCTATTATTCTAGAGCCTTATAAACCTCCACTATTATAATAGTAATAACTTACGTATATACCTTAATAAGTTTTATTAGTAATAGACCTTATTACGGCTACTATACTATAATAGAATTATAGGACTTATATTAATAATAGTAGTAACTAATTAGATTATATAGGAGAAGAATATAATTATAGGTTAGATACTAAGTATAATATAAGTATATAAGGAAGTTACGTAATTAGATCTATAGATCTATAGAATAGAGCTATAGAGCCTAAATCTATAGAATCTATAGGTAGAGCCTATAGAGCTATTATTAGATAGTAGTATATAGAGATAATAGATTACTACTAGATAAGCCTTTATTATTAATCTATAATATAGTTATTTATATCTAGTTTTCTTATAGAAAATTACTATTAAGCTTTTAGTAATATACTCTTATAGTAGTAATTAATTAATATTTATACTATATATAATCTATATAACCCTATACACTACTTATTTCTTACTAGAACCCTAATAGGGCTATAGCTAGTAATAGAGTCCTAGAGGCCCTATTATACTTTAATAATTATATTTTAAGAGTCTTTATAGGTATATACCTAGATTACTAGTATTAATAATAGCTCCTATAGTAAACTAACTAATATTATTAGACCTAATAGACCTAGTCTAGATAAAGAAATAACTTAACTACCTTAATAAAGAGAATACTAGGGCTAAGAAAGCTTATAAGTAATTAGTTAAGTAAGTAAGAGTTATATTAGAAGGGATAGTAGGAGAAGCTAATAATACTATAAAAAAATAGATCTAGTAGATAGAACTCTAAATAAGGAATAGACTACTAAAACTTATAGATCTAGAGAAGTTTAATAGTACTTAAACTAAACTTAGAAGATTTCTAGCCTTAATATTTCTTTACTTAGATCTAAATTAAGAATATCTTAGAAATAAAGACTAGAAGGTAGCCTATATAGCTATCTACTTTACTAGAAAAGTAATAGACTAGTTTAATAGTTATTTTATAGATTAGAGAATAAGCTAAGTTAATAACTAGAAAATAGAAACTAACCTTATCTTTATAAGCTATACTTACTTTAAGGAAAAACTATAGTTAACCTTTAGTAATATTAATACGGAATATATAGCTAAATAGAAACTTTTAAAACTCTAATAAACTAAGATAGTAGTAGCTTATATATTAGTATTTAAGTAGCTAGCTAATAAGGTCTTAGACTATAGAGAAAGGGCCCTAATATAAAAATTCTATAAGGGACTAAAGTTAGATATTAGGTATAAAATAATTAGAATAGAGAAGCTAATAACTCTACCTATAATAATTAAATAAGCTATCTAAGTAGACGACGAGTTATTTCTATAGAAATAAGATAATAAGAGAGAAAGTAGATATAGTATAAATAGGTAAAACTATAAAACCTATAATAAAGGGGACCTAATAGTCTTAAATACTAATAAAGAAAAAGGATTAAGTTAGAATATAATAAAGGAGAAGTAATATAAAGAAGGCGCCTACTTTAGCTATAGTAAGAAAGGTTATATAGCTAGGAACTATCTAAGTAAAAGCTAGGATAAGTCTATAAAAGGTACTAAAGAGGAACTAAGGAAATAAGAAATCTTAAGAGATACTAAGAAGAAACTAGCTAGTAGTAAGGAATATAAGGTAACCTATTAGACTAAGTACTTCTAGAATATATATATATTATATATAAAAATAAAGAAAGATATAGAATACTAGCTAATAGGTAAAAAGTTAGTAGTAACCTAAGAAGGATAAATATATTAGGATCTAGAATCTAACATGGGAAGAAAGCTACTTATAATAAAAGATGGCTATAGCCCTACTAAAGAATTAGATAATATTCTATAGTATTCTATACGCTAAGCCTTAGGATACTAGGACCACGTAATAGGAAGGTTATATAATATACTATAGGATTCTATAGATCCTATACTTAGGATTTTATAGAACTATAGGATATTATAGGATTAGCTATATATATAGGAATAGAAGAATCTTATTAATTCTTATATTTAACCTAAGTTTTAATCTATTATTTAGATTTACTTAGGCCTCCCTTATTAACTTATTATACTTTGTAAGATACTTCTATATTAATAGGAACCCCTTCTTCCTTCCCTTAGTAAGTCTTACCTAAGAACTAACCTTAACCTATTTAGGACTAGCTACCCTTTCTAGATTTAATATCTTAAACACCCTTAATATAACTATAAAGACTCCTACTTCTTCTATAGCTTTAAATAATAATACTATTACTCTAATAGGTAACTCTAAGAGTAAAGCATATAAACCTAATTTATATTATAGTAATAGAAAGTATACTAATATCTAGCTTCTTTAGTTAGACCTCTATTTCTTTAAACTTAATAAATAACCTAAAGATAAATAAAAGGTTATCTTTATAGCTACTTATATGTAAGGTAATACTAGAGAATGGATTTAACCTTATATAACTAAGTATCTAGAAATAGACCACGATAATAAAGATAAAGAATATATAAATAACTATATAGACGTAGTTAATATTATTAAAGACTATACTAACTTTAAGAAATATTTTAAATAGATATTTAGAATTACTAATAAGGTATCTATTATAGCACAAAATATT